GTTGAAGATTTCTATAAATATCTTCATCTTTATTATATGTTATATTATTATTAATCATAGAAATATTTGATTTACTATTATAATCATTATATTGATATTCTAAACTTGTATTAATAAAATTTATATTATTTGAATTTATTTGGGAATTCTTTACACTTTTATTATCTAATTTCATATTAATATTTAAAATATCTTCCATTTTTATTTTTGGCATGTTTTGAAAAAAATTGTTAACTTTATCACTCTTGTTTATAATATCAATATTTACTTCTTCATAATTCAATACTTCTATATCACTACTATATAAATTAGAATCAATTTCTACTTCAGGAGAATTATCTATATTTTTAAATGATGTACTATTAGAATATATTTCTGAAACATTTGTACTTTTATTGTTATATTCAGATATTTTTGTTATATATTCCAATCTCTTTGTATTATACTCATTATCTTCAAATTCACCATCTTTTTTAAATTTTCCAAATACATCTTTAATACTCTATCTGCTTTATAATGATCAATTGGTAAATGATCTTGTATATCTTCATTATAACTTATATTATTTGAATGTAAACGAATTTCTTTATATTTAGGATTATCAAGTGTTTGTATAGAAGGGATTGCACCAAAAGGTAAGATTTCTACTTTATTAATATCTGATGAATTCATATCCATATGATAGATAACATCATTATATTGATTTATTGAATTTAATTCATTATAATAATTATGATCTTTATTACAAAAAACCTAATATTCAAATATTAAATATTTTTAACTTATTAATATATTATTACTTTTATAACTTACCAAAAAATATGTATTATAATTTAAACTAAGATATATTAACAATAAATAAGAAGTTTTCATAATCATTGGAAATATAAAGTAATATATAATACAATAAATAATGAAGATTATACTCCACATAATGTATGTGATGCCACGCGGTTGAGAATCTTTGACTTAAAATCTCTAAAAAATACTATATACTATAATATCAAATATTATAAATTTTTCTTCTCTTTTATTTTCTTCAATATTTATTAGTTAATAATTTACTAATAAAATAATATAATATTTTGCATCTTCAATATTATTATTAGATCAATATAATAATAATATTAATAATTATTATATTAAAAATATATTAACAAAAGTTTATATACTTAAATTTACCTATATTTATTATAAATATATAATATCTACAAAAAAATTTTCAATTATATTTACTTTTATATTTTCTATTAATTATAATAATTCTAGTAATAATAATTAGTATTTAATTATAATTAAAATATATAATATTAATTATATATTCCATTTCTAAAACTATTTATTTATATATATTTTAAAATATTCTTATAAATTCTTAGTTATTAGATATTTTCGAAATGTTCTCTTATTATATTAAAAATAGATGAGATAATCAATTAAATCTAAATAATATTGTCTATTGAATTTTTTATTAATATAAGAACAATTTTAAGATATAATACCAATTTTTATTTATGGGATATTTATAGTAAATTAAATTCAATATATTTTCACTATTTTTTTTTAAATTATAGTTAGTTAATATTTTCAAAATAAATATTTAGTTAAAATTTTATTAATAAATTTATTAAATGAAGTCTCAATATTTACTCTAGTTAAATAACAATATAAAGGTATAATTTAATTTACTATTCAGTCATATTTAATTAGTTTAAAGTATTTGTTTTCAAATTAATTATTCATTTAATAATTATTAATAAATTATTTAATTATATTAATCATTTTATAATATTCTTAACAAAATTTGGATCATATGGTATACCTTTAAATGGTGAATTTTCTGCATCCCATGCTTCTTTTATAATTTCTGATATTTCATTATTATCAGATAATGATAAACCTTTTAATTTCTGTTCATGATCATAAATTAATTTTTTTATATTTTTTTGTACTATTTCATCACAATCTTGGAAATATCTTGTCCTTGTAATATTATTTATATTAATAGATTCATCATTTTCAAAGCAGGAATTCCACCATCCTTTTTTCATTTTCTCTAAATTAACTATTAATATATAAGATGAATATATATTTTCTTCAGAATATGAATTTATATGTAAATCTTTATTATCAATCTTATCAATATACCATGTACTTTCTTTTGGATTAATTTGCTTAAATAAGTTACGATTAAATAATAAGTTATTTTCATATAATATTTCAATATTTTTTGTATTAATTTTAACATTTAAATTTTTAATATTAAATGGGTTTATATATTTTTTATTTTCATTATTTTCTGATAATAATTTATTAAATATTAATTGACAGCATATTTCTGTCTCACTTTGAGACCAATAATAAGTATCATTTTTACTACCACAAAATGTTGATGCATCCATTAAAATAGATATGAAATTCTATTTAATAAAATTTTTTAATATTAACAGGATTTTGAATATTGTACTATTTTAAATATTATTAGCTTCGCGGGGATACTTTGATTAATAAAATTACTATATATTTGGAAGATATCTTTAATAAACTACTTATAAAATTAATAAAATCTTAAATTTTAGATAAATAATAAAATTGGAAATTAAAAAGTTATTAATATATTTAGAATTATTTATTATTTTATTTAAAATTATAATAAGATACTTTGATCCAAGATGAATATTTGATCTAATTTAAAATAATAATAAAAATTAAACTAATTTAAATTTTGGTGAATTATTAATATATTTAGATAATCATAATATAATGAATTTGGATATAAGACTTGTGAAAATTTCTAGAAATATGATAAGACCATATATATTAAATCTAAATATTAAATGGCAAAATTTGCAAATTATAACTTATGCATTTTCTACTTTAAAATATTGGAATAATAGAATTAAAAGAAATAATAATAAAATTAGTTATAATAATAACTGCAACTATTTAAATATGAATAATAATTTAAAATTACCAAAGGGATTTGAAAGATTTAATAAAGATAATGATTCATATTCAAATACAACTACAAATGAAAAAAAGAAAATAAATAATATAAATAGGAATAATAATAAGTCAAATAAAGTGGATATTGAGCAATCTATATTATTTATGATAAGTAGTTTAATTGGTTTCATAATTTATACTTCAATAAGAAATAATAATAATAAGATTACATTTCAAGAATTTCTTTCATTATATCTTAGTAAAGGTTTAGTAGAAAGAATTATTATATTTAATGGTGAAATAGGAAGAGCATACTTAAAAAGTTTACCAAATGAATTAATACATACAAAATTATCATCTAATTATGATGATACACAATTATCAATAAATTCAAATTCAGAATATACAAAATTAAATAATATAAGATCAAAACCTAAAATGATAGATTTTACAATTGGAAGTTTAGATTCATTTGAAAGACAGGTTAGAGATATACAAATACATATGGGTATTGATATATTAAATCATATACCAATTGAATTTTCTAAATCTACTTTATTTCATGATTTTTTAAGAAATTTTATTCCAACTACATTAGGTTTATTATTTACATTATCATTATTAAGAATAGGTTCAAGATCATTAAATAATAATAATCCTGATAAATTATTTAGAATGGGACGTATTCAACCAATTAAAATAAAAGATATAAAATCAAATGTAAAATTTGGTAATGTTGCTGGTATGAAAGAAGCTAAGAATGAAATACAAGAATTTGTAGATTTTTTAAAAGAACCAAAACGTTATGAATTTTTAGGTGCAAAAATACCTAAAGGAGCATTATTAGTTGGTCCACCAGGAACTGGTAAAACATTATTAGCAAAAGCTGTTGCAGGTGAAGCAAATGTACCTTTTTTTTCTATATCAGGTAGTGATTTTATTGAAATATTTGTTGGTATTGGACCAAGTAGAGTTCGTGATTTATTTTTTCAAGCACAAAAAAATGCACCAAGTATTATATTTATTGATGAAATTGATGCAATTGGAAAAAAAAGGGGAATAGGTGGATTTGCTAATAATTCAAATGATGAAAGAGAAAATACATTAAATCAATTATTAGTTGAAATGGATGGTTTTACATCAAAAAGTGGTATAATAGTATTAGCTGGTACAAATCGTGCTGATATATTAGATCCAGCATTAATAAGACCAGGTAGGTTTGATAGAATTATTATTATTGACAAACCAGATTTACAAGAACGTAAAGAGATATTTCAAGTTCATCTTAAACCTTTAAAATTAAATTCAAAGTTAAATATTGATGAATTATCTAATAGATTATCTACTTTATCATCTGGATTTACTGGTTCAGAAATAGCTAATATATGTAATGAAGCAGCAATTTTTGCTGCAAGAAGAAATACTATTGATGGAATAGATATAATTGATTTTGAACAAGCAATTGAAAGGATTATTGGTGGTTTAAAAAAAAATAATAATTATCTTTCTTTTAATGAAAAAAGAATAGTTAGTTTTCATGAAGCTGGTCATACTATTGTTGGATGGTTTTTAAAAAATACTGATCCTATTTTAAAAGTGTCAATTATACCCAGAACTAATGGTGCATTAGGTTTTGCACAAATATTACCAAGTGAAGTCAATTTATATACAAAAGATACTTTACTTGATAAATTAGCTGTACTTTTAGGTGGTAGAGCTTCTGAAGAACTTTTTATTGGTACAATTACAACTGGAGCTATTGATGATTTACAAAAAGCTACTAAAATAGCAAATGATATGATTTTACATTATGGTATGAATTCAAATATAGGTTTAGTAAGCTATTTTTCAATGAATGAATCTCTTAAGATTTCTAATTTATCAAATAATTCATTTTATAAACCATTTTCAGAAGCAACTGCTCAAATTATTGATAAGGAGACTAATTCTTTATTAATAGAACAATTTTATAGAGCAAAAAGAATTCTTCAAGAGAAAAAAAATTTAGTATATAAATTATCAAATTTATTAATTGAAAAAGAAACCCTTACAATAGAAGATATAACTGAATGTATTGGTCCTAGAATATTTGATAATGATTCAAATTATTCTAAATATATTGACTATATTCCAAAGACTCAATAATTATTTAAATTTTATTATATTCTTTGAGAGCATTAGAAAGTTTACTTTCTTCATAAGAAATACTATTTTTAGAAAATATATATGCTTGTTTTTTTGTATTAATTAATATATTTCTTATATACCTTGTAATCCTTTTCATTTCTATTCTTTCTTCATTATCTATTTTTTCTATAATATCATTAAATTTTGATTTTGATTGTTGGATTTTTATATTTAATATACGCTTTTTTTTCTCAAATTCTCTACATTTATTTTGCAAAAGGATATATAAATTCTTTAATTTTTTATTTGTTTCCTCAATTTCATTATCTTCTTTCATATTTTCACTTAAAGTTTCTTTTATTATTTCATTTTCTAGAATTTTTTGATTTTTTTTATATTCTTTAATTGATATATCTATTTCTTTATATAATTTTGAAGATATTTCACGATATTTCTCCCAATCTCTTTTTTTTCTTTTCGTTTCAACTTTATGTATAAGTCCAACTAAACTCTTCATACTTTCTGTATCATCCATTTTATTTTTAAATTTTATAATTAAAAATTCTATATAGGAATCTCTTTGTTATTAGATAATTTATAATAGTTCATTTTACATGTATTACCGGTATATAATACCCCACATTTTATAATATATTTGATACCTAATTATATTAATATTTAAATAAATACTTAAAGATCTATTATTTAATATTATAGACTAAATTATACATCATTATCACATTGCATATTTTCTGTAGATATAGAAATATTTTCTTTACATTGAGATAAAATATTATATTTTAGTTCGGCATTATTTAACTCCATATAAGCATTCCTAAGTAAAGTGCTTAATTCATCATCTGGTTTAGGTAAATTGCACATATCTATTTCAGCAAGTTTTTCATCAAAATATTCTGTCAAAAATGTTTTAAGATCAAAATAGCTACTGTGAAGTCTCTTAAGTACTTCATGATAAACTTGTAATGTTTCATGAAGACACTTTTCTTGTTGCTGTATATCATGTATATCTCTTCCTTGATTCTAAAAATAAAAATTTTAATAACAATAATTCTTAATATTTATTGAAATTCAATGATCTTTTTTTTTCTTAAAAATAATCTTACCTTCATTAACTCGATTTTTGTATTGAACTCACATCCCTCCTTTTTATAATATTCTAGATCTTTCATTGTCCTATTTAAAACAGCTGTCATAATTTTCAATTGTCTTAAAATATTTACATCAGTCATTTTATTGATTTACGGAAATATTAACAAAAAAAAAAGTTCTAAAAATATAAGTAGGGAAAAAAACAAAAACCACGCCCAGGCGCCACACGCGTGTTACGTGTCACACACACAGACTCATTAAATTACATTAGAAAGTTATTATATTCTTCCTTATAAATATTTATATAAATCCTAAATTAAATGATAATATAGATAAGTATTAATTATAATTAGTAATAAGATTTAAGCTAATCTTAAATGAATAATAAAGTCCTATATATGATAAATCTCAATAATAACAATATTAGTATAAAATTAAAAAAAAAGAAAAGAAAAAAAAGTAGAAAATAAAGAACTTGTTATTAATTACTTATTTTTGGTCTAGGAACTTTTGCAATGTTGTATAATGCTTCAGCAAAACCATGTTGATCATTTGTTGCAACTATATGTCTTGCTATTTCTTTTACTTGCGGAACTGCATTACCCATAGCTACTGGATGACCAACATACTCAAGAATCTCTAAGTCATTATTTGCATCACCAATTGCCATAGTATTTTCTGGTTTAATACCAAGTCTTTCTAATAATATTTTAGCTGCATGACCTTTTGAAACTCCAGTTGGAAGAATATCAATACATACATTTGATGATAAAACAACTCTTACATCTAAAGCCTTACCAATAAGATCAATTTCTTCTACTAGATGACCTAATTTCGAAATTTGTTCAATAACTAAAATTTTTTGAGGTAAATATTCCATAGATTGTGCAAATTCTAATAAATCATCTACTACTTTTGTAATTACATTAGATTTATCATTAAGATATTTAACTGATTCAGTAAAAGTTGATCTCTCAACAATTCCAAAATCACGTTCATATATACCAATAGATAAATCTCTATATATTAAAGTACCATCATTTAATTTTTCACATAATTTTAAGGATTTTAAACGTTTAATTATTTCAATACATGTTTCACGGCTTATACATATCTCCTCAATAATATCTTCATAACCATCTGGTCCTATTATTAATGCTCCATTATGATATATACCAGGATACCCCTTATGTTTTATAATGTCATTTGTTTCATCATCGTATATACCAAAAAGACCTCTTTGACATCTACCTGTAGCTGGAAAAATGATAAATCCCGCATCTTCTGCAGAACGAAATGCCATTGCACATTCTATAGATAATTTCGATTCCTCATTAGCTAAAGTGCCATCAATATCAGTAATTATACACCTTATATCATTCATAATTAAAGAAAGTCAAAACGAGAAGGAAATATAAAGAAAAATTAAGCGAATTTAATTCCAATATCTCGCCTTATAGGGAACTAAAATAGTAGACACATTTCAGCGCCATGTCTCGTATTATATATTAAAGTAATTATCTTTTCATCTCTTTATTAGTATATTTAACTTAATTTATAATAAATAAATCTTACCAAATAAAAAGAGAAATAATACCATAGAGCTAAATAGTTAAGTTACAAAATTTTTCAACAGCTTCTGCAAATCCATCATCATTATTAGAGGCTACTATGTGTTTTGCAACACTCTTTACTTCAGAACAAGCATTAGATACTGCTATTGAAGTACCTACATATGTTAATATTTCTACATCATTTTCAGCATCTCCTATAGCCATACATTCACTAGGATCAATCTTAAGTACATTAAGTAGATATTTTGCTGCAGTTCCTTTAGAAGATCCCTCTGGTAAAATCTCTAATATATCTGGATGTGAAAATAATACTCTAGCAGGTTTATTTTCAAGAAATTTCTCCAATAAATCCTTTAATTTTTGCATAGTAACTCTACTTTCACCTATAACAAATTTTAGAGATGTATTTGGATTGTTCCTTATAATTTCTATTACACTATCAACTTTCCTAGAAAATTCATGACTTAATCCTTCAACTGCCCTAAGACAACTTCCACGTATTTTATGTACAAAATCATTGGATAAATAAACACTATAAGCAATACCCCTATTTATTTCTCCACGTGACATTGCTTCTTCATAACCTTCATCATCTTGATGCCACTCTTCTTTTATAGAATCCAGAAAATCACATAAATCACACATACATTCATCAGGAATTGTCCATAATTTTAAGATATCATATGGACCTTTAGGACCTATTAAGACTGTCCCATTAAAATATATCCCTGGAAAACCTTCATATTTAGCTATTTCCCTTATATTTTTTGAAAGTAATTTTAGAAATCCAATATTAGATCTTCCTGTAGCAGGAACGATAATTATACCAGCCTTTTTTGCTGCCAACAATGCGTTTTCATTTCTAATAGAGAGTTTATTATAATTATTTGCTAATGTGCCATCTACATCCGTAAATATACACTTTATTTTTGAGCTCATATCTATAATATATATAATAATTCCTTAATTTATATTTAATTATATAAAATTAGAGAGAAAAAAAATTGCACACAAAATATCATTAAGGCGGGTTTTATCTTAATATTTTTTTTCAATTTAATTATTTATTAATATTGGCGGGAACCCACATATAAAAATAAAAAAAAAAGATAATATAATAAAATAAATTGAAATATATTATTATTTAAAATTTTAAAATTATTCCTTTGTATCTGATGAATTTATGTTCATATTATTAGGACATATACTAGCCTGAAATGAATCTAGGATATATGCTGATTTATTTTTAACAAATATTAGAAATGGTTTAAGTATCTTTTCGAGCCTTGTATGATAATATTCTATATTTATATTTTTTAATACTGATGACTTTATAGATATAGAGTCTTTATAATCAATAATTGTCTGATCAAATGGTAATATAACATAACCTAATGAGGGTCTATAGTGAATCATTGGATTAAAATTAAGACAAAAATATTCCAATTCAAATGATGTCTTATTAAATTTATTTGATATTTCCTCCCAATCAATACTTTGATGAGATACAAAAGTATTGTCACCTTGTTGAATCATAATACATTCTACTAAATAACTAATTTCTGATAAAGTAAATATTAAACATCTTTCACAAGATACAGGAATATTATAACGTTTATTAATATCAAATAATTTATTCTGACAAACATCTGTCTTATTAATTAGATCTTCTATATCCTTCTTTTTAATATCCTTTGTAATAATCTTTTTATTTTCCTTTATTATATATTTATTATCATTATAGGAACCCCTAGATTTCCTCATTTATTATATAATTAATAATATTAGATATATCACTTTAATATACTTTTTAATAGTCTCTTAATAATATTTAATATAATAAAGTAATAAAATAATACATATAATAAGATTATCTAATATTATTCCACTAATATAAATAATATTGGCCGCTAATAATAGGAAATATTTACTGTTAATTTGAATATTTGATTATTTTAAATATAATAAAAATAAATTTGAAATTTATTATAAAATAATGAAATATAGAAAATTAGATGAAGATGAAAATAGACAAAAATCATATTCATATGAACCTGGTGATTTAGAAACAGTTGTAACAGATCATGGATTAGATGTTGCATTTAGAATAAAGGTAATAGCAGATTTATTAGAATGTCCATTATGTAAAGGTTTTTTTAGGAATGCTACTACAATTAAAGAATGTTTACATACATTTTGTAATGTATGTATTATAAATTATATTGAAAGTGGTAAAGAATCATGTCCAAAATGTGGAGAATATATGGGAGTTCATCCTATAGAAGGTTTAGTATTTGATAGAACAATACAAAATATAACTGATAAAATATTTCCTCAATTTCGTATACTTGAAAATCAATTAAAAAAGGAATTTAATATTAAATATAATATTGGTAATAATAATAATAATATTGATATTTTAAATCCTAATTTATATTCAAAAATTTGTAGATCTTCAATATATAATTCTAAATTAACCCCAATAAATGCTAATAATGAATTTCATAATAAAATTTTAGATTTAATCTTAAATTCAGATGATAAAGATAAATTGGAAGAAATGAAATTATCACTAAATATAAGTATTAGATTATTTATTGAACCAATTGATAAAACATTACCTAATTTAATTAAACCATATATATTGGTTGCTCCTCAAATAACAATTCAACATTTACAGAATTATTTACTTTATAAATTTCCAGATATATCAGAAGTACCTCAGATTTTATTAGAAGGGGTTGTATTACCTAAGAATCACTCTATTGAATTTATATGTAGATCAAAAAGAATAGAATTATGTAATATTATAAATCTTAAATATAGATTTAATTGAAAGATTTTATATGAAAATAAAATGATACTATTAAGTATTTATTTCTCTTTTTCTTTTTTTTTGTTCTTTATTTTTTTTTTTTTGTAATTTTACAAGTTTATCAAGTATATTTGCAGCTATAATTTCATCTGTATCTTGTTCACTTTGTTGCCTTTTTTTTTCATTTTGTAATTCTTTATAAATGATTTCTTTAATACGATGTATAGCCTCTAAATTTTTATTAATTGAAACAACACTTTCAGAATATTTAGATATTATGATAGATTGGTGGATTTCACGAATTGTATTATTAATAAAATCTTTAACATTTGGAAGATTTAATTCACGTCCACAAATATCAAATAATGCTAATGCTACTTGAGAAGGTGAATATATAAGGAAACATCTAAAATAAATAATATAATAATAAATATTTGATAATATGAAATGATTTAAATAATAATAAAACTTACAAAGTTTGAGATGCAGTTAAAACATATAATTCAACTTTTGCTATAACTTTATTTAATATTATACTTAATTCTTTTTGTTTTTCATTATCTATTATAGTTTCAATGTAATACCTTTTATATAAAATTTTTAAAGCTTCCAAAGGATTTCTTGGATTTATTAAATATAAATGAAATTTTAATGTATTACATACTATTAATTCGTGTTGAAATATTTGTAATATATTTAAACCAGGTACATCTCCAAATAATTGTTCTAAAGTAAAATGAAGTCCAAATTCTTCTAATTTTATTGCTAATGATATACAAGTAAATATTATAATTCTAGGATCATAACTCATTACACTTTGGTAAATATAAAATCTTTGATATAATAATGCAGCACTATACTTTACTACGAATGGTAATTTCTTATGATTAGTAAATTCCATAAGTTGTCTTCCATAATATAATACCAATAATTCTTCATCTTCTAAAGATAACATTAAATTCTGTGGATCTTTTGTACTATTTGATATTTTTAAATATTCTATCCATTCATTTTTTACACGATTATTTATCTGTAACCTTATTTTTTTTATATCTAATTCAGATTCAAATATCCAATCACTAAGATAATGGGATTCACTTGGAAATGTCATTTACTATCATGATTTTTATTTTATCTACTTTCTTATTTAAAAAAAAAAAAAAAAAGAAGAAAAAGAAGAAAAAGAAAAGTATTAAAATTAATATTAAATAGCGCTGTTTAATAATATAATGATCTTAATTTTGATAAAAGAATAAATAAATGACGAAATTAAATGATGAGGAATCTATTTATCTTTGTCCAATATGCCTCATAAATACTTATTATAAATATGGAGTTCATTTATATTATGGAGAACCTTGTGGTCATAGGTTCTGCTCTGAATGTGCTAATAAATCTAATAAAAAATCTAGTGGAATTCGTATTAATACTAATATATCAAATTCAAATAATTCAAAAATATGTCCAGTATGTCGTCATTTTGTACGTTTTATTATTGATTATGAATATGGTGAAACTAATTTTATAAAATTAGAAAATATTGCAAGAAAACAAGTTTTAGCTATTATGAATAAAACTCGACAAGATTTTGAAAATACACCCATATATAATGATTATTTAGAGGATAGAGAAACAACTATTAATAAATTAATAAATGGTGATGAAAATGAAAAAAAAGTGATTCAAGATTCTTTAAATCAATATGCAAAAGAGCATCAGTTAGAAATTTTAGAAAGACAAACAAAGTATGAAACATCATTAAAAAATACAATTAGGGATATTGTTAAAAAAGAAGGAACATTTTATGAAGAATTACAACAAGCAGCTCAAAATAATGTTATTGATTATTTACATATTGTACATCCATTACAAGCTGAATATCCAGAATATTTCCAACAATATCAAGATAATAGTGAAATATCATCACAAAAAACTTATAAGACACAAGATATTTTAGGTAACAATATACCAACTCCTATTGACAATAAGATCACATCTAGAGACAAAATTCCAATACAAAAGTGTCTACAATTAGATTTAAGAATTCGTGCTGGTGGAGTAACAGAGAATTTACTTTGGAATCGTTGTAAAGATGAATTATTTTCAGGTTTTATAGTAAATAAACGAAATATAGATATAGATATAAATAATTAATTCTTTGTTTCTATTAATTTTCTACTTAATAAATAATAAATATTGACAATATTAAGAATTAAACCACATTAATATTTAATGATTAATTTAGGATGTCACTATAGGCGTCTCGTCTTGCAGGCCCACTATTCTGACTTAGTGGTCTATTATTTATAGCAGTTATCTAATTTAAAATATTATTTAGCCATGTAATAATCTATAGGAGTGATGAGATGTCACAATGTATTCAAATATAAAACAAATCTATATTATAAGGTTTTTTGGGAAAATAACAAAATATATTTTACTTTATATAATATTTTATTACTATATATTTGTGTTAGGTGGTGAGACAAGAAATCTAAGGAATATGAAACTTCATAAAGGTGATGGATATGGTGGTGAAGGTTTATACTATGAACCTGAAGATTATAAAGAGGTAGTTATTTGGTTACATGGATTAGGTGGTAATGCTAACGAATGGTCAGATTTAATTAAACGTAGTACTTTATATCCTAAATTAGCTAAGACGAAATGGATTTTACTTTCTGCACCACAACGTCCAGTAACTTTAAATAATGGTATGATTAGTCCTGCTTGGTTTGATATTAAAAGTTTAAAGGAGGGTACTAATGAGGATATAGAAGGTTTTAGACAAAGTGCAATGCGTATTATTAATATTATACGTGAAGAAAAAAAGAAAGGTATTAAACAAAATAAAATAATAATAGGTGGTTTTTCACAAGGCGCAGCAATGTCTTATTTAGTTGGTTTAGCAGCAAAGGATATTCATTTAGGTGGTATTATAGCCTTAAGTGGATGGTTACCATTAAGGGTTGATGGGTTTAATAAAGGTCATGAAAGTTCATTGAATGATGATTATCTTTATTTTGGGGATACTAAAGAAAATAAGAATAGAATAAAGATTTTTGCTGGACATGGTGAAGATGACTTTATTGTCCAACATACTTGGGGTAGAAATTCTGCCAATATAATTAAAGATCATTTAAAATTACCATTTATAACTTTCAATTCATATTCTAATATGGGCCACTCAATAAATAATTCTGAATTATTAGATGTTTATAATTTTATAATAGATGTATTTGGGGACATACCATTATCAGCTAATAAATCTGATGTAGTTTTAAATATTGAATAGTCCTAATTAACATTTATATTGTTTATGTTGAATTGTTTTATTAATTCTAATACAATATCTGTTGCATTCCTTCTCCTTTCATCATCACTTAAATTATGACACTTTGAACGTAAATCTGTAATTTTATACATTAAAGAGTCAAATTGACTAAGATCATATATTTCTTCTGAATCTCCTTCTTCTGGATCTTCTTCTAAATAGTTGTCTGAATTTATATTATGTTTCTTAAGTTGTAAATTACTCCACATAGTACAAGTAATAGATTCAACAATTCTATTTATACCACTTTCTAAGTTATATACATATTGACAATTACTATCTTTTGAGGAAATTAAGATTAGTTCAATAGATGAATCTATGCATTGTGATTTTATTTCATAAGATATTTCGGGATTTATTAATGAAGTTATACAACAAAGTTTTGTAATATCATAATCTTTATATAGTTTTAATTTGGTTAATAATGTAGATAAATATATAGTTTTTGAGACAATAATTAATAGAGCATCCATCTCTTTGACCTTTTCAGGTTCAAATTTATCAATAGGAATATTTTCTACGTTTATATTGGCTTTATAATATTTTGTATCAATAGACATTAATATTGGAAAATCTCTAGATGATATGGTTGGATCTAATTTTAAAAGTATATTATGTATTAAATATTGATTTGTATCATCAGTAACAATATATAGTTTAGATTCCTCTAACATTAAGATAACTTTTATAATTCTTTTCAGTTTATTTTATTTTATGATTTTTCTTTTATTTTTTCTTCAAGAAATAAGAAGAAAGTAAAAAAAAAAGTCACAATATAAATAACCGGTATAAACAATTTTGGCGCCAAAATGTCCTAAATTTTTTAGGTCTATTTGTAACCTAAGACTAAATTAAGAAAATAGTCCATTTGGAAATTTATAATTTAAAAATATAGAAAAAACTTATATCAGATGTTTCACATTCAATATACAGTTGGAGGTGCTCCAATATATGATTTTTCTTGTGGTAAATCCCTTCCAGAATATCTTGAAGAAGCTAGAAAACAGAAGAGATCATTGAGATATGATAAAGAATATAGAAATCGTATTGAAATATTACAAAATTTTGATTTTACAGTAGCATCATCAAAAATAAGAGTTAGTCCTGATGGTCAATATATAGCTGGCATTGGAACTTATCCACCAGAATTACGATTGTTTGATATATATGAATTATCAATGAAATTTTTAAGACGTTTTGATTTTGAAGTTCATGATTTTTTATTTTTATCTGAAGATTATAAAAAACTTGCATTTTTAATGACAGATCGTGTTATTGAATTTCATGCTCAAGGGGGACACCATTGTCGCATAAGAGTTCCAAAACAAGGTCGTGGAATAGAATATATGAGTACAAATGCAGAAATGTTAATATTTGGTTCTACATCAGAGGTTTTTAGATTAGATTTAGAAGCAGGAATATTTTTAAAACCTATAAATACAAAATTTGAGTTTATAAATACAGGTAAAGTAAATCCTACACTACCAATAATATTATTAGGAGGGAATAATGGTAGTGTAGAATTATGGGATACAAGAAATAAGAAAGTAGCAGCATCATTAAAAGTAAGTTCATCAGATAATTTATATATTAATAAATCAAAAAATAATATAGATTTTAGTGAATTTGATTATAATACATTAGATAAAGGATCTAGATTTGATTGGTATTCAATGTCTAATCAAGAACAAGTTACAACTTCTACATTTTCAAAAGATGGTCTTCGTTTTGTATTAGGTCTATCAAGTGGAAATGTTTTAATATATGATATAAGGTCAAGTCATCCATTAGAAGAGAAATCTCATAAAAATGATTTACCAATTATGGATCTCCATTTTACAAATAATTTAAATTCAGATAGTGAAATATTAATTACAGCAGATAGACAAACAATCAAAATGTGGAATGAAAATAGATCATCAAATAGAAAAGATGGATTAATAGGTACAATATCTACTGAATACCCTATTTCCTCTATTTGTACATATCCAAATTCTGGTTTAATTATGGTTACAGGGGATCAAACTAGGGTTGGTATGTACTATGTTCCAACTTTAGGTGTAGCTCCAAGATGGTGTTCATTTTTAGATTCAATAACAGAGGAACTTGAAGAAGAACATCTTAAGAATAATTCAAGAGTTAATAATTCCCAATTATATGATGAATATCAATTTATTACAAATAATCAACTTCGTGAATGGGGAATAGAACATCTTATTGGTACTCCTTTACTTAAAGCATACCTTCATGGTTATTTAATAAGTTCAAAATTATATAAGGATCTTCATAATATTATAAATCCTATAGATTATGAACAATACCGGAAAGATATATTAAAGAAAAAGTTAGAAGAGAGAGCTCCAATGAGAATTCCTATAAGAAAAGGTAAAAATCTTATATCTAATACAAAAATCAATAAAAGGTTTATTGAAAAACTTAATAAGAAGGCTAGAGGTGAAGAAGGTAATGAGTCTGAAACAGGACTAGAACATATTAAATATAGAAAATTAAAGAAAAATCTTAAGAAAGGGCAACAACAATGTGCTCAGGCCTTATTATCTGATAGCCGTTTCTCAAAACTATTCAATGATACTGATTACATTATAGATGAAGAAGAAGGTTTATAGTATTTTATAATTTTAATATTATTTAAAAGTAGTCACCTTTTTCTTTTTTTTCTCTCCTTCTTAATAGTCCACTTTTCTACTACTTATTCTATCCTATAAGATTTTGAATCTATTAAACTAGTACAATATATACCGCCAAAAATACGATACCCGTGGCATCTTAATATAAAAAAGGTTATTAAGAAAAGTTTAATTTAAAAAAAAAATCTTATATTGTCATGGAATTCAAAAATTCAATGAAATGTCAATCTATTCCTGGAAATACAAATAACAGAATTGAACCATCGATATATAGAGGGCCTGAGTTCTGTAAAAGATTACTTGATTTACCGATATTATTTAGTAATGCCCTTGCTGCACTTAATTCCTTAAATAAATATATTGATAAGGAATGGAATTTCTTAAATGAAGCTCATAATGATTTGTTTAATAATTTACTCTATTTAACTGAAAGAATATCAAATAAAATTCAAAAAGAACAGAAATTAATCATTGATGATAAACATTCATTATCAAATCATATAAATTATCCAATAGAAATCCAATCTAATCCTGTGTCAAGTTATAATTCAATATTATATTCTGAACGTCCTAACCAATCTAAAGAGGAATCAATAAGATCTATAGATAATCATATACTTGAGATAAAGAACAATAAGGATATAAATCAGGAAACAATTTCTGGACTTGAATATATTCATAATCAAAATTTAAATAAAGTTACATATCCTGGTCATACAATAATGAATATGGGGGAATCATATGATGATAATTCTTATTCTCAATCTACAATAAAACTTCAGATAAGTAATTTAAATAATTCTCAAAATATTCACTCAGAGGTTATAAATCATTCAACTGATATTCAACAAATACAAAACCTTTTACCTGAAAAAGAAATTAATAATACTGAAATTATTAAAAAAAATTATATAGAGTCTTTTGAAAAATATTCTAAATCTAAAAGTGATATAGAACTTTCATTTCAAAAAAAAACTCATATTCTTCAAGAATTATATACTCAATTATCTGCAATTATTAGATCTCTAGAAATGTTTATATGTGTTAAACCAAAATTATTACAATCAAATATAAAGTCATTATATGTAATAAAACAAACAGATATAGTAGATGTAGAAGATATTAAAAAAAAAGTTGGTATTAGGGGACGTCCTCCAGGAGGTCGTGGTCGTCCCCTTGGTTCTACTAAAGTTAATAAGAAGACGAAGCTCCTCACTAATAATAAGAAATCAAGTAATATATCAAAATAATATATATAAAAAATATTATGTCGTTATTACAAATATAAATCCCTTTAATTATTGCTAAGTTTTAAGTTCCATCTTTGTCGTGAACTTTGGGTAATGATGATAAATTATATTTATACTTTTGTAAACACTTTAGGTACTTCTATCATTACAACATTGCTGGCAACCATTACATTGTTTATTTATATAATTTTGATTATAAGGTTGTGGAATGTAATTAAAGGGTGTCATTTGGATATTTATATTGTTATTAGGAGTTGCAACTAAAGGAGCTGGTAATGCCAGATTCATATTATAAACTTGATTCTGATCCTCAATATTTGATAGACTATTATCTATTATCTCATTAATTATGCGTTGTTCCTTTGCTAATCTCTTACGATTACGGTAATATATAAATTGTATACATTGGTCATTACACCACACCCATATAAGGCAAGGGATACAAATAGCTACTGGTATAATAATTAATAACCATACTAAATATCTAGTATTAGTTACTTGGTATCTATTTCTATATATATCATCCTTTATTCTTTGCATAATGTCATATTTCCCCGGTGTTTGTTCACAAAGTGCACCTGTCACTATTACTGATACCAAGAATAAAGAATATCTTGAAATGAACTTTAATAGCATCCCTTAACATTTATTCATAAAAAAAAAATTATGTGGGAACCAAAGTCGCAAAACAAGTAATTACCACTAAAGCACCAGTTATAATCTATTGAGAGCTCTTTATCCGTACCTTTTCTCCCCCTTATTTGGTCGCCTGTAATACCCGCCAATATTCCTTTTTTGGTGTTGAATCTTTGAACTCTACTTTTTTTTTTCGATAAATTTCAACAGGTGGAAATTTGACATTTGTAAAGTTAGATCCTGAAGGAAATGCACTTTTGAGTTAGAATTTATAATGTTTTATTTGAAATGTGTAATAAGGGACACAAAAACTGCAGAACCATAGACATTGTACATCCAAAGTGGCCACTTTTTGCAATCTGTAATGATAATAGAACTACTAAGATCTTAAGTACTAGCTCTGGAAAGCTTGTTCAAATAATAGGAGCTGATTCAAAGTCTTGTGTATATTCATTATGTTGGCACATAGATTCTTTAACATTATGTATTGGATATGAGAATTATATTGATATATGGATGTGTAGTGAAGAATACAAAACTCTACAATTAATAGAGGAAGGTTTAAGTGCCCCAACATTTGATATAGAACATGAAACCTTTATAAATCAAACTACTTGTACACAAAGTCAAGAATCAGACAGTTTTGTTACTGAGGAGAATATTTTTAATGATATTTTTGGTATTAATTTGAGTAAAAGAATAAATTACTTATGGTATAAGAAGTACAATGAAATAATTTTTATACATGTTAAACGTATAGATCTACTTATGAATAATTTTATAGGACCAGTAGTGAAATTACATTGGTTCCATAATTCTATGTTAATGGCATATCATTTTCAGTTAGAAGATTCCAAGGCCTGTTTATCATTTTGGAAAGCAACATTTGATATATTTAACTTAGATATTTATAATGATATAAAATCACGTAGAAAATATCATAAGTCATCACAATTGGTTCCAGGAGAGCTTCCAACAATATTTTGCACTGTCTTTGTAGATGTGCTACCTCATCCAATTTTATCTTGTGGTATTTGGGATGATTCTAATGGCAATTCATTTAGGAATAGAATAAATAATATTCCTATAATTTCAGTTGATCCTTCAGAAAGGTTTATTTCTATTTATCAACATAAATCTTCATATTTATTTATTTGGAGATATGAAAATGTAGAGATGTATAATAATCCAGATTTATTTCCATATGTATATAATCCTTTAAAAAGTCTTTCTAGTAAATTACCTACAACTATTGATGATATATCTTTATCCTTAATAAATATAAAAGAAAGTGAAAATTTATCAATATCTCAAGATAAGGTTTTAGGATTTGAGTTCTATGGAGGTTTTATTAATCCTCCAAACTCATTTAAAAATCAAAAAATTTGTTTTGATGATGAATATTTAATTGATGTACATTGGAAACATACAAATCTTGAATATCCTGAAGATATATATCCTGGAAAGGCTATCCAAGCAATATTATCTACAGTATCCTATTATAATGCAATACTATATATCCGTCTGTGGAGAGAGTCATCTTTTTATAAAGCATGCAAATTTAATCAAATTTGTTGTGTTCGTCTAGATTATGATTGTATCATTAATCCAATAGCTTATATTCATTGGTTAATGCCAATAGATCTTTCAGTTTCAAACGACTTACCAGAAAAACTATTTTGTGGCGGATATTACAATTTACCATATTTAAATTCTATTCGATATCCTTCCAGTATTGATGATATGAACTACTGTAATAGTATACACCCCCCGCATGTCTATGAAGATGATAGTATAATATGTTGTATTCCTTTTATTCCACTATTTTCTACCGGACATTCTGAAGATTTATTTCTTACAGATATAGATAATTTTGGAGAAAATTCATGTAATTCAACGGATATGTTTGCCCTTTGTTTCAATGGCTATATACATTGGTTTTATATATCTAATTTATATTCTGAAAATGATGAAATGTATCCAAATGTATATGAATTTTCTAAAAAGTTAGCAAGTATGTCAAATGGTGCAAATTACAATATTCATAAAATTATAGATATTAGGAGTCTTTGTACACCTCAATATAATAATGATAAAGGGAAGATTACACCATTTTCTTTAGTTGGACAACTTTTAGATGGTTCTATAGTTATTTATACATACAATAATTCATGGAATTTTGTAAATTATATCCCGAGTGAAAATACTAATGTTATGTGGAATAATGATACCTCTCAAGAATATATGCAAAATAAAGATTTAGTTACTGGAAGATCTTTGGTTGAATTACCTTTTTCTACGAATTCTCTCTTAATTACTGATAATAGTTCTCTATATCTTTTATCATCTGAATTTGAAGTATTAGCGAAATTTCAATATATGAAAGTTACAGAGCAGAAAATGGATATTAGTCTTAATAGTAACAGAGATCCTGCATATTATAAAAAAGATACATCCTGTATATTATATAAAAATATGAATATGAAGTGGAGAGAGTTACAAGTTATAGATTTTCTTTTAAATATTCCGAAACCTTTTTCTAAACCATATTATTCACTTTTCTTGGCCTTGTTCAATCAATCTCAGTATATTTGTCTAATAGCTTTGGATTATACTATGCTTGTTGGCTATCCATTCATTGAGATGAAAAATTTAGTTGTTAAACCATTATGTAATGAGGAACTTGATAAATACTTAAATGATAGTGAATATATTCTTCATGTAGATATAATCAAAGTACTATTTAATTTTCATGATTTTAAAGAGGTATCTCACAATTACCGGATATTAATGCTGGATATATTTAATGATCTTGATTATATTTCAGATAATATGGGGTTTATTTTTGTTTGTGTTGTTGAGGAGTTTTCACAATGTAACTCTAAACATATAATCTTTTTTAAATTGGTAGTTACAAACATGTATGAAATTCATGTATTACCTCCATTTATACCATGCATAGAACAGCTTGATGGTATCTTTCAACTATTCCATTCATGTAAATCAACTGACTCAGACAACATCCTCTTTATCACATCTACAAATTATATTGATAAGGAAATTATAAAAAAGAGGCAAGAGTATAGTGAATTCAATGAAGAGTTTGGATATGAAAGTATAGAAGATGATTCTTTTAAAAGAAGTCATCTGAAATTACATATTTGTTCTATAAATAATAATATAGATAACAATAATAAAGAAGATATTATAATAAAACAAGTAATTTATTTGAATATTAGTAAGGAATTGGGGGATGTAAAAATTTCTTCCATTAAATTATTGGATTATCATGTTATTGTTTTATATGAAAATAGTACCATTTTATTTTATTCATTATTTTCTGTGGATCTAAATAATTGGACAAATATATCTTGTAACTCTGATACTGACACTTTGCCAAATTCTCTATATTATCCAGTATTTTCTGTTATTAGTGCATCTCAGAAGATATGTCTAGGAACTTTAGGTTTCAATATCTCATCTACAAAAACTAGTATTACAGATATATCACATTATTTAGATGGCACTTCACATTCTTTAGGTAAGCAGGATATTGAGGTTCAAGATTACACTATGTCACTTTCTATTGTTCGTGAATGTGATCATTATTGCTGTTTTATATCTAGAGAAAACAATATGACACAAATCAATGACTGGATCTGTATGATATGGAATAAACATCTATGTAAATGGGATCTTATAAATTTAGATATTCTAGGGAATATATCTTGGAAATATGTTTTTGCAATACAGCAATTCAAACTAGCAAGTCTAATATTTGAACATGGGAAATTAAAACCAGTCGTTTTATCAGGAATTCCTGAATTTAGTATTAAAAGCAATTTGAATAAAATTACAGGAAGTTCATTTGAATCAACTATAAAAAAAAGCTATTGTTTATATGATCCTACTCAGTTAGAACAGTTTGTATTTTCTTTTAATGCTTCGAAGCAGATTTTTGCTAAGGAACTTATTGAAACGATTAAGAAGAAACTTTTTGAAAATAATGAATCTGATAAATGTGAGGAATTCTGTATGATTACACCAGATTTAGGTATGATACCTTCAGATCTGTCAAAAGTAAATATAGATAATTTGAAGAAGTCGAAGGCAGAAATATTTGATATTTTCTCAGATGATAATCTAGCACACCATTCAAACACTAATTTTACACCAAATCTAACAAAAGAAATGATTACTTCAAGAATCAACCTTAAAAATCAACTTTCAATGTCAGAGTCTGAAATTGAAATTTTATGTGCACTAATAGACACTTGTGAAAACAGTGAGAATGATATTTTCTTTTCAGACTTTTCAAATCCTCTTGCTAATATATCTAAATTTGAAGAGTATTTATTGGAAAGATTTATTACTCGTATGTCCTATATTGATCAAAAGAAGAGAATTTATTTCTCATATAATAAAGATGAACTAAATAGTGAGAGTTCTGAATCCAAGGATAATACTAATAAATCTAGTGATACTCATATGAGCATAAAGTACTTTGATACAGATAATATGTTGAATTGCCATGGAACTTATCAGAAGATTAAAACTTCAAAATTAGATAAAACCGGATTTATAGACACGAAACCAAGAAATTTGAAATTGAGCTCTGAAGATATTTGTTGGATATCACTATGCTATGATGAGAACTTAGTAAATAGAATATTTCAGTATGCTGTAAATACAAACCAACTAGATTGGTCTATTTTAAAGTCTTGGGGTATCGGATATTGGGTAAATAAATGTTCAATATTGAGACAGTTTATAAGTTTATGGATTCAGAAACTATATCATTGTTATATAAATAAAATCCGAAGAGAATATCAATCAGCTAGTTGTAATATAATAAACACCACTACAATCTATTGTGCAGAGAAAGAACCACCAAGTTCTGAATCTTCTGTAAATATTAAAGATCTCTCAGATACTCTTATTGTATTTTATACTGTTTTGGGTAAACTCAATATTGTATCTACCATATTCAAATTGCTTAAAAAAGTTAATGTTGTTGAATTTTTACAAAATTTTACTGGAGAAGAAACCCAAAAAAAACAAGCTATAAAGAATGGTTACTATCTAATTCGTCAAAGATCATATTACTGGAGTCTAACATTTTTCATATTAGGAGGTGCATATAGAGAGATTGTAAATGTTTGCTTGCAATATTTAAGGGATCCTCAACTAGCCTTGGTAATTTTGAAACTTTCTATGGATACAACACCAGAGTTATTGTCTAGTCCAATTAAAGATCTTAGAGATGGTTTGTATATTTGCAATGAAAGTGATGGCTTTGATAATCTTACCTCCTTAGAATCTTCTGAAGATCGTATGAAGTGTATATATAATACCCTGTTAAATGTTTTGTTATCTCAATTATGGAATTCTGCTCTTACTCATCATGACCCATGGTTAGGTATTTTGGTTATTCTTCAGATATATAACTCCAATCCCAGCAATAATATTTCAGATATTTATATTCAGAGTATAGTGATCAAATTAGGATCTCCTAAATACTTTTATAGTTTATGTAAGAATGAAAGCCAGTTAATAACAATTTTTGATAATAATATAGGATTTGATAATTCTCAGTTATTAGCATCTACTACTTCAGTAAATAAATCATCTACTGATGATCTTACGCCTATTTTTGATCTTAACTATAGTTATATGCATCCAGAACATCTAAGATTATTCCGTAAATATATATATTCAAGATATCGTTACTATTATCCTTTACAAGATCCTGAAAAACCTAGTGGATTATTATTTTATTTGAATAATTCTTTCCAACCACCAAATTGTACAAACTCTAATATGTCGAACTTTATAGATAATGATAAAGTATTATCAACAGAATATGTTATAGATATTATTTGTCATTATATTAAAAAAGACTGTAATCCTTATCATTATTTGGGTTGGTTTAAATATGTTGAGACAAATATTCAATTGAACCCAAAATCAAAGGATTATCATAGATACAATGTTGTCAGACCTATTGTAATTAGCAATATTGCACAATTTCTACAATATATTGTAAGATATCATTCTGGTAGATATGTTGACGTTCCAATATTCTTATGGTTTTCCTCTTTCATGTCTTACAATCGCTCCTTACAGACTTTTTTTGTTGATAGTATTTTTAGTTTAGTTGGATATTATAGTGCAAGAGACTTTCTAATATTCATTATTAAAAATCTGGCTTCTAAGATTGGTATAGAAACTCCTTACATAGAAGAAGAATTGCTAGAATTACTAGATCTCATAATATATCAAATAGAAATTGAAAATTGTCAAGAATCGTTAAGAATTAAATTAGAAATGTCAGTTGGGGAGTTTTATAGTGAATTATTCAATACCCTTGGCTATTATACAGAGTGTAATTTAGATCATATTCAAGTGAATCTTCTTGAGATATTGTGGCCACTATTAAGACTTCTTATAATAACTTTATATATGGCAAGATATAAATATGACTCTTATGTTTTACTCAAAATATGGATATTATTATTTCTACTTAAGAATTCTGATAGTGGGGAGAAATATATTCAAACAATTTTAAAATTTTGTAGATGGACAATTATCACTTTCTCAATATATTGTGATTATTTTAACTACAACAACGAAAAGGATTTAAAACATGTTTACTTGCTATATAAATGCATGTTAAGAGAGATACCTACAGATAACAAGTTAGAAACGAATTTTATGGAAGCCTTTGATAAAAATAATTGTCAGGCATATCACTTTAATTTGTTGGAAATTGCCAGTTTTGATATTATTCATCAAACTATACTACTTATTTGTCAAGAACAATTTATTGAGGACCTCAGAAATCTTTTAAGTAAATATCCAGATGTGGAAAATAGTGAAACTATTGGTAGTTACTTTTTTACTTTGCTATTAGCCCTTGAATACCATTTTTACTATAAAAGAAGACGTAGATGGCTCTTGGAATTATATCCTCTCTATCCTTTGCTTTTAGCATATTTTGAAAGTAGAGACAAGCATCTAAATGATAAGTTGGTACCAGTTCCTTTGTTATTTATATCGAATACAAGTAAAAATCCATTATTTGATATATTTAGAATTTTCTGGGATTATTTCAGAGTATATAATCGTATACTTTTAGGATTTTGTAGGGATCAAGATATAATAACAGTAAGCCATAGACAAAGACCTTTAAATATAATGTACAATACATTATTAAGATCATTGAAGCTCTGGTATCCATTTACTAACTATAATGAAGAAATATCAATTGATGTTTCTGGAAAAAATTATTCATTATCTTTATCTCGAATAGATACGATTGCAATTCAACCTTTAAGTTTAGGAAGTCCTGCAACACTACTAGGGACACAAAGTACGGATTCATTAATGGGTATGAGCAGTGAACAAAATATGACATCTTTTCATTCTTCATACTATCCACCACCATTTATGTTAAATATTACAATCCAGAATAATTATATACAGAATGAAGTTAAGGGATATCATCCTGTTAATTCACTGTTTCCAAAAGATCCTTATTTAAGATGGTATATAAATTGTAAATCTTTTGTAGATCTGTTCTATATGTCCCATGTACTTATTGAAGATTGTAAAAATAATAAGAATTCCCCTTTTCTTATTTTTAAATACACCAAAAGTGATCTCAAACCACAATTAATGGTTAATTCTAAACTTTATGATTTACATCCTAGAACATTTGAAGATCTTGAAAGTGTTAGAAATATTAAAAATTATGAAATTGACTTCCTATTAAATAAAAATTCTGAATGGTTTTCAAGTAAGACTGTGATATTAGAATTTATGCTCAATTCTTTGCTGAATTTTAGGCATAATATAAATCATCCTATAAATGTGATATCTTATATAGATCGCATTTATATTTCAGATATACCAGAAGAAATAGAACCTGGATATAATATATTTGGGAAATTAGGAGATATTGCAGTAGGAATTCATGAAATAACTTCATCCAACCTTCAAAGTCAGAGTTCACTTACATCTTATATTAATTTGTACTATAAAAGTGAAACTATTGAATACATTGAAGTATATAATGAATTAATGCTAGATATATGCAAAGTCCAACAAAAAACTGCTAAAGCTTTGATATGTGGGCACTTAGTGTCTATTACTAATCGTGAGAGTATACCAATTCTTCTTCCTTGTTGGAAATATGCTAACACTCGTAATTCTATTCCTAAACCTTTGTGTAAAAGTCATTTTTCTCTTAATAATAAATCTAATGAACCTCAAAGAAATAATAAAAAAAGTTCAAATGTAGGCTATATTCTTAATGTGTCATGGTGTCCATTTGGAAAAAGAATTATTTTATCTACAAGTTGTGGATATATTCTTGTATATAATATTAAAAATAAGGGTAGTAAGCCCTTAGTACCTACTATAGAATTTGCTGTACACAAAAATGATTGTTATTGGGCTAATATTATTGATAAAAGTTGTAGATACATTGCTTCTAGTGGGAATGGTCTCCCTTTAAGTGGATCATTATATAGATCTAACACTACTACCCACTCGATTATAAGATCCGATACTTTAACCCTTGCAGAGTTTATGGGAGATAATCCTTTTACTTTAAATAGCTATGATACTTCTAGTATATTATCTGATGAAAATTGTCTGTGTATATGGGACATATGGCCTAATTCATTTACGTACTCAAAAAGATCTATGGGAGATAATAATCATACAATTTCATATACTCCAGATTTATTATTAGCTATAGAAAGTCCACCAATTATTCAAATGAGTATATGGACAGATAGACAAGTAATGTTCTATTTAGCGAAAACTGGATTACTATGGTGCATATCATATAGTAAGGGACGACAGAATCTGACGCCTTTTTCACTAAAGTTGGCTCAAAAAAATGTTATTATTATGAAACTTAGCTTTGAGAAAATCCCCAGTATAGGCTATACACTTCCAGTCTCATTGGGAAGACTGACAACAATATCTAGTGATGGATTTTGCGTAATTCATAATGTTATTTACCCTTTACAAGAGCCTGTCTCATCTATAAAGTTAATTCCCAAAATAAAATTTGTGTGTAACTACTCACCATCTAACAATCCCTTCCATATTATAACGAATAATAACTTTACATCTACTAGTCAAAGTAATAATATATTTAAGAAAGTAAAATTCATAGATGAAAGTACAATTATAGTCATTGATATAGAAGACAAATGTAAAATTATAAAGTTGTCTCCGTTCTATTACTAAGCTATCTGAAAATTTACAATTAGCTATAATGATTTATTTAATTTTTGTAGGAAAAGTAGAATTTCTATGTATTATTTGTAAAACATAATCTAATGATTCTCATATATTCTTTACTTTCGTTTGATTATATGAATTTCTTCCTTCTATCACAGCTGTAAAACCTCCAAATCTCCTACAAGTTATATTGCTACTATATTGTGGAGTATTTTTATTTTTACCTGATACAGGTGTATATCTAGCTGTTTTTAATGGTACATAACTTAGTGCATGTTGAGATTTTATATTATCACAGGGTAAAATTTTACCTGTTGAAGGAGGAGGTACATAAGAACTACTATGATTATAAGTCACAGCACAACGAGTCATTTTAAGATTAATCATATCATTTGGATTAATTGAATTCTGATTAGCAACATTTTCAAATCCATTCAAATTGTAATCTTGATTTAGTACCTTCTTTACTGTTGCCTGGTGAGATTTCTGTAAGATTGCTTGATTAGGAATATATGATTGTCTTATAATTGGAGGAAATGCAGATGGATTAATATTAGGGATACACATAAAATGCTGTCTTGGTTGAATTAATGGTTTAATAGGATGTTGAACAGTTTGAAATAAGGCTGGAATTGAACCTAGTACGGAATGAATTATACCTCGTGTATTCATTTGTGACATCACTGAATTTTTAATAGGATTGTTAGAACTTCTCAAATTCTGCAAAGGTTTATTAAAATGTTCAACTTTTTGATCTAATAAGTTATTATGAATTTCATGTTTATTAGTAATAAAATTTTGATTTGATTTATTATCCTTAACCTTAAAATATTGCGAGGTAGTCTGAATATTTTTTGAGTATATATTTTTTTGAAAAAGATTCATATTTGGAGCTTGAGTTATAGAATTCTTATTCTGTCCTATAGAAGGAATATATCCACTTGGTTTATCTACTGAACAATAAATATTTCTATATACTGTTTGATAAATATCAGGAATACATGGTGGTTGTCCTTTAGAATTTAAATTTTTTTTATTGTACTTTATATTATCTATTCCAGTGAAATTTTCATCAACTTTTAAAGACCTTCCGCAATTCTCCAAAATTAAATTTTCTTGTGGATCTATATCCCGGAGAAACTCATGGTTTAAAGCTTGTTTCACTGATATTCTAAATGTGGGATTTGGATCTAACAAGGATTCAATAAAAGATCTAGCAATAGGGGAAAGTCTATCTTTCACTCCTAAATAAGAATACAAATAATCTCTATAACCCAGACTATACCATTTCCATCTAATATCATTGTCAATTTGGTATACACTATCAAAAATTTCCAACCCAAACATTAAGTAGAAAGTACTCCAACCTAGACACCAACTATCTACTTTGCTAGCAATGTAGGGTTTCCTTAAAAATATTTCAGGAGGTCTAAACTTTTTCCCTACACACCCTAAATATGGAACTGGGACCTCAATATCTGAATTTTTATACTTTGTAAATCTTATAGCTTGTCCAGGATCACAAACTTTAATCTGGAATTTACAGTACCTATTTTCATTTGATATATTCATATTCTTAGAATTTCTAGTTTCGCAATTATTAAACTTTTTATCTATATCAATATTATCTTTGACTGAGAAAAGAAGACAATTTTCAAGACTAAAATCTTGAAGTGCAAAGCCTCTATCATGGCAAGCTGCCAAAGCTAAAGCTGCTTGTTTCATACAAATCCTTACAAATTCCTCGGGTAGCCCTGTACGATACTTTCTTAAAAGCTCTAAAAGGTCCTCACCATCAGCTAAGTCACTTACAATACAGTGATAATCCTTAGTCTCGAATACATCTCGTATGGAAGCTAGATGAGGATGGTTGGCCATTTCTTTAGCAAAGAAAACTTCAGCCAAGGGAGTTTCGGGTAATGAACGATTTCGTTCTTTTAAACTAATATCATCTTTTATCAATACTTTTACTGCTACAGGGTCTCCACTTATTTCTCCAAAACCTTGATACACTCGACCATACAAACAATTTTGGAGTACATCAACTATATAATAGGATTCTAGGTTTCCTTTGAGGACTTCATGTTCTGGAAATTTCTGTGTACTTACTTGATTTCCCAGCTTCTGACTTTCAATTTTCATTACTTTGGTTTTACTTTTAAATTATCATAAGCTTCCACAAATTTTCGTGGACAGGCTTAGGGCCATGTCAATACGACATGGACACAGTTTGCAGGTGGGCCTCTACGGATAAATGACCTAGAATCCTTATTCTCTCGAAATATTGCAATATTTAAAAAAGTATTGACAAATATATTCCTTTAGTTAATAGTAAAAAAAAATTATCAATTTAAAGTGTGAAATTGTGATATTAGTATAAATAAAAAATATTCAATAAAATATACAAAAAAAAGGATAAATAAAAGTATAAATTTGGAATATTGACATTTCAAAGTGTTTATAAATAATAACAATTAGGAGTTTTAATTCCAAGTATTTCTATCTTATAATCTCACTTTTTTTTTTCTGCGGAAAACAAAAATAAAATGTCATTAGACTCCCACGTAAATTAAAGGCGCCAAATAATGGGGCTAGTAGAAACTTCAAAGTATTCTTATAAATATATGGAAAATCTCTGCAATTCTTTAATGGCTAAATTTGATACAAGTTCGCCAGTAAGAAATTGGGTAGAACAAAAATATGAGAGGAATTTAGGAAATTACATTGATACATCAATCGAAAGTATATCTCCAGGATTGCATGCCCCTACAAAGATGACATACTACTCAATTCCACACAAGAATGAAGACTATCTAAAGCTTTCTTCAGCATATAATTCAGGTGGTAATTTGATAAATGGGGAATTTTCAGGGCTAAGGACGTTTCAAGTCACTAATAAAAATCTGAATACTCAGCTTAAGGATAACTATATCCCTGTAAGCTGTACAACTAATTGGATAGGTAATTCATCATTAAGGAAGGAATTTGATTCTAGTACTCCAAATGTGTATATGCAATATCCTGAATATAAAATAAATTCATCAAAGTCCAATTTTATGGAGGACTATAATAATTTTAGGACAAATCCTTCAATATATACTCATCAAGCTCTAGCTCCAACATATCTAACTCAAGATAGAAATAATATAATGCAGGTTGATCTAAAAAATAAGAATAATAAGACTAAATGGAATAAATGGAGTAGTTATTCTAAGTTATTACCTTCAGTAATTAGTGAATTAGGAATTCAGAATGAGTATAATAAACTCTCAGATATATTCAATAAATATTCAAATACCGTGCGAGGTTTTATGTCTAACTCTGAATTTTATAGATTTATGGAAGATGTAAACATTATTGAAATTGGTTATAGAGGAATTCTATTTAATATAATGGATAGAAACCAAGATAATTACTTAACAGAGATTGAATTCTTATCTGGTATGCTTGTATTTCGTCCATGCAATATTAAACAAGATTTAACAATGAGTTTCGGGAAATTGAGGCTTCAATTTATATTTTTTTATTATGATTCTAATAGAGATGGTGTTTTATCAGACCATGAGCTGGCAAAAATAATTGAACATATTAGTATAATTAAAGCTACAATAAATAATGGCAATAATAAGCCGAAAAAGAATCAAATATCTAGTAATAAATCTTTAGATCTTTCAAATAAAATCCTTAAAGGATATATTAAAAAGAACTACTGTAGTTATGATGACTTTTTTATTCTTGTACAAAATTGTATTTTGAATGGAACAGAGAATTTACTAAGATGCAGAAATGATATTTTTCAATCATTGGATGAAATATCAAGATCTCATAACAAAAACCAAGTATATTACAATTATACTAGTAACTCAAGATTTTGTCCTGATATATTATTAAACCCAGATATAAAGTCTGAAATGAGTCCTTTAGAAAATATAAAGTATTCTAAAAAAGGATCTACTGGGACATTTATCCACACTCCAGTAATAAATGAAATGCCTCCATCTTCTTCAACATATAGTAAATACATAAATTCAGATACTATAGTAGATAGATCTAATTATATTCAGAATATATATAATGGTAATAAATTTAATGTTGAAAGTTATATGAGCCCACCAAATAATCAACATATTAGTTTGAAGAGAGAATTAGAAAATAACCCAACTATTTTATCACCAATTAATATGAAATATTATCAAAACTTGAATTCAACTAATGAAACTAGAAAAGCTACAACATTGGATAATTTATCAAACAATAGATTGAGCTGTGAATCATCTGCAGCATCTCCTTCATATTATATTCCTTCAGAAGGACGTACAAATATTCCATTTTCTCCGGCACAATATTAGAAAATAAATTTATAGTTTTTTATACTTGAATCTGATGATAAATATAATGAAAGTGATCTAAAGTGGGAAATTATCTAAATTATGTCGGGATACTTGTGAATAATTAAATATATATTAAAAATTACAGGGTTATATCAGGTATTTTATAATTACCTACTACACATTAAATTATCTATTTAGGTATTCTTAGGATTACCAAGAATTAGTAGCATTAGCACATTACATTAATTCTTTATATCCATTAAATATTTTATTTAATTTATTTTTTATTAGGAAATAGAAGATTTAGATGTTAATATACACTTTATAGATACTTTTTTTTGTAATAAAATTTGGCATTATTAGAAATATTTATATATAGATTAAACTTTAATTAAAAGGACTTCAAGATTAGTTTTATATCTTTACACTTACAATTCCTAATTGTTGATACTAGATTATTTTAAATCTTCAGAAAATCATATAATTCTGTAAATATTTTTTAAAACTACTAGATAGAAATATTTTGGAGACAGAATAAGCTACATGTTCAAAGATAAATATTTAAATAAATAAAATGGGGCCAAATAATTTAAGAATAATATATCAACTATTATATTTCTACTAATAATAAGATAATGATAATGTAATCTGCTCCAGCTATATATTGAATAAGATCTTATTAGCTAGTCTATATATATAATCTATATAAACAAGATTTAAAAAAATGGTTAATCATACTAAAAAATTCCATTTTCAATATAATGAACTTGTGTTGTTCATTGTAGTATTTTCATATGTAGAATTTTTGTAAAAACATGGAAATAATTTTCTCCATTTACTCTGCTTATTTTTTAAAATAAATTGTCTTTGTAACTCTTCATTATCAAGTATATTCTGTCTCTCTATATTAACTTCATCTAATTTATCTTGTACAGTGTTAATAATATAATCAATACCACATAAATCTTTAGCTGAATAAAGATCGCTTAATCTATCTTTCTTTTTAGTTGCTTCTAATAATATATCCTCTAGTAACTCCTTCTTTTGCATTATATTTAAACTATTATACTCTGTATATAAATCATCTAAACAAGTATTCAATCTATTAGCTAATATTTCTGGTGTTTCTAATTTTTTAGTTAGATCAGTTTGACCATTTAATTTAGAAGCAATTACTTGTCTATTTGTGTCTGAATCAGTCGTATAACCTTCTGATATTTTATACCACTGGTGTCTGATCTCATTTGCATGTTTTAAAAAGCAATCTAATATGATTTCAGTAGACAGTTTATCAGATAAGTTCATACTGATAGTTTTATATAGTTCTTCTAAATCATACTCTAATTCAATCAAAGAGTAAAAATTAGTATTATCATTGTTTTTATTTCTTGAAGCCATAGACATTATCTTCTTGTTTGAGTTCAATTTTTCAGTAATTACTTTATCAGTAATTTCCTCTATATAGCTATTGCAATATTTAATTCCAATATTGTGGTTCTCATTAATAGCTTTATCCTCACAAATCTTTATTTGATTCTTTAATTTTATTTTATGATCAATATATATGTCAGTATCTATCAGTGTACTTGTATGCTCCTTGTATAAATGCATACATTTAGATTCTATCTCATTCATTTTATCTTTTATATTAGTATCTTTGATCGGTAATATATCATTTATTTCTCTTCTGAGTTCTGATATAAAATACTCATTGATTTCAGTTAATATATTACTACATAGAGTATTTTGAATATCAACATTAATATCTGCAATATTAGTCTGTGAATTTTTCTTCAAGATCTCAAAAAATACTGATGTATATCTATTTATAGTCCCTGAAGAATTATATTGTCCTAGTTTATGCCTCAAAGCTTGATTCCTGCTCAATCCTAAAATTCTCTGCCTTATGAATAATACTTGTCTAACATAATCATTTCCTAATTTTTGAGATGAAACCTTCTTAGAATCTTTGAAAGGAGATGCTAATACATGACATTCTTTCATACTATAAAATGATCTAATATTTGTCTTTAACATTTCAAAATATTTTATCTGATCTTCAGGACATTCATAACCACATCCTAATTCATTAAGCAAAGTTTCTAAGTAGTCTACACTACTCCATATAACATTATTGTCATATAAAATATAGTTGAAATCATGTAATAACCAAATAAATGAAGGCCTTGGATTAGTTTTAAGTGTACATAAAAGATTTCTTCGTGGAGTTTCATTAATAGACAAATTTAAATGATCTATTCCTCGTTCCCCAGAATTCTGATTTCCACTGAAATCCTTATTTTCATTATTTCTATTATTTTGATAATCGAAATTCATATTTGGTTTAAATCTTGGTGTAAGTAATAGTAAAGGATTTGTATTACTATCTTTTTGAATATTGAGATGGCTAGGAGTTCCATTAGAATTAATTTCATGAGATTCGTCAGGATTTAAGAGTTTATCAATTAAGGTATTTTGTCTAATGACTATTCCTTGTTGCAAATCATTAATTACCTTCAAACTTAGTAAGGAACTCTGATTTATTATTCCTTTATTATTAAATATTATACAAGAAGAAATCATATTAGCAAATAGTACTAATATATCATGATATTTAGGAATTTTATCTAAATTGAAATCTAATAAAATATAAATAAATTCTTCATCCCTATACCAATAATACAAGTTAACAATTTTACATATATTTTGTTCATTAGATTTTCTTGTTTCCAAATTTTTTGGACTATTTAAATTATCTTCTACAATATTGGGATCTGGAGCTAAAAGAAAATCTTTAAATAGCTTGTCAGGACAGTCTATTAAACTAATAAAGCACAAAGGAGAATCTCCAAATTCCACTACTAATTTCTTCATAATCTGATCATCTAAGAATAAATTTCCAGCTAAATTATCATATAATATAAAATTTAATGGTGGATATCTGCTTTGATCGTAGAACATATCACTTTCTAATGTAGAAGCAGATAGTCCTTGAGACATATAAGTATCTAAACTCATAGTACTATTAGCTGGAGCTTCTTGTAATGTTAAACCATAAGGTAATAAATGAGGCTTAGCTAATATTTTTTGATGCTTCCTAGAATTATTAGAATGGATAGGAGAAGAAAATATCATTTCATTATTTGCACTAGGAGCAGCTAGACAACTTTCAAATAGTGCATTTCCATTCTGAGTTATGGTAGGAACAGCTTTCTGTAAGTCTTTAACTAACACATGCCCTAGGGCAACAACAACATCCACTACACTCTTTGCACGATTTCCATTGTCACCATTTTCTGAATCAGAATCATAGTTTCTTCCTAATTGCTTTATATCAACAACACTTTGATTATCATCATCTTCATCACCTAGTCCTCTTATTCCTTCCGGCATACGAACTACAGGATCCTCAAAATTAGCTAAATTACGACTTGGTGGAGGAATTAAGATTGGGGCTGCTACTGGCCTTCCAAAATTCGTAGTCGGACGAGGAACTGATGAATTCTTCCATGTAGGCGTTCCTACACTAATTGTTCCCGATCTTACTAAATCATTGGCATAATAATGAGTTTGATATGTACCTGTTTGGGGATTAAATTGAGTAGGAGTTACCCAAAATATGCTCCCATCATTAGATGCTCTGGGAGTAGCAACAACACTATCAGTTGCTTGATTCGGTTCGCCCATTGAAATATGTTGAGACATTGCACTAACCAAACTTTACAATTGGATCTTCTCTAGATAATATTCTGATCAATCTCTTTATATTTTATATTGCCAACTTCACTAGTATACGTCTAATCCCGTGCATTCCACACAAATACAAAATTAGTTTCTCACGTGGACAAGTCTTCAAATCTTTGGCGCCTACAAAGGTATCGAAATACTTGTATCTATTATATTATCAATAGCATTAAAAACTACAGAAATGGAGTCTACTATATATAATTAGATTGATCAAACTAACTCTATTTTTTGTTAAAATTATTTCTTTAATTTATGATAAAATATTAAATATATATTATGTTTTCCTTGTAAACAAACATAAAATTCTACTACACAAGTTCATATTGTAAATTTGCTAGATCTTCTATTATACAAAACAATAATATACTTAATACTTATCTGAGCTATTAGAGAAATTATATTTAATTAAATAATAAGTAAAATTATTATTTATAAATATTAAAATATCTTAAATATTCCAATTATAAGATATAGTGAGAAATATAAACGTTATTAGATCTTATTCCTTATTTAAAATAATCATAATTTTTAACTATTCAAAATTACAGTAATTTTAAGATGTAGTTTGTTAATCTAATAATTTATTACTGTGGGGTTCTAAAGATATATTATCTCATTAAGTGCAAAATACTACTATACATATAATGCATGCATGCGCGAAAATATATAGCGATTAGGTATCTGAAAGTTTCTAGAATTATTTAGAAATGACATTATATGACACCAAATTATTTATAGATTATCATAATACATTGTTTTATACTTATTTATGTTATTTGTAAATTCTCATGTATATTACATATTAAGTAAAGTAATATCCTCAATATTGTAATCTAAAAAGTAATAGAACACAATAAATTAAGTATTTCCTAAATATATATATCGTAAAATAAAATAAATTTTAGTAATAAGTTCTTGTAGAACTAAAAAAAGTGGTTAGTTAACACTGGATAGGAAAATAATTATGTAACATATACTTCTTAGCTTGTATAAATTTAGAGAACAAAGCTCTTCATATAAAAAAGAAAATGACTGTAATAACTTTATTACAAAAAAAATTTAATCCTATAGCTGTCCTGTATTTTTTTATTGTTCTATCTATCTTAAAAACATAGTTTGAGATTTAATTCTAGATATGTTTCCACCTAATCGGCGGTTGGTCCTGTAAACTAGGCTTTATAGATGTCAAATCAGATATTTTTGATATCATATAATGGAAGTTACAGTTACCAGAAGGCTAAAAAATTTTTTAACTGATATAGACTCAGCATATAAAGATTTAGAAACAATTGATATTGATATACTTTACAAGATATATACGGAAACAAGCTTTAATATTGATCCAAATAAAAATGATATTTTAAGTTTGCAAGAACTACTACTAGATTCAAAAAAAAGTCTTATAAAGAGTGATAGAGTTATAGAGAACTTTTCTTTGATGGAAATTTTGAGGAGAAGATCTGAGGAGCGTCGCTATCAAAAAAGTATTAGTAATATTCCACAATACAAAAATTCTATAAATATTGTACCAGATATATTTGGGAAAAGTTACTCTAAAGACGTAATCTGGAGTATAAATGCTCTAATAGGTTTAATTCTTACATTTTTGGGTGGTTTCTTTGCCCCACTTTTTTTTGGGATAATAGATATAACTACTAGAACTTTTGTTGGATTTGGTTGTTCCATTTTGTGTTTAATAGCCGAAATTGCCCTATTTATGCTATATGATATTAAGAGAAATCAAAAGATAGCTAAAAATAAGCAGAATGATCCTATATTAAAGTTCTTAAGATGCAAAAGTGACAAGAAACTACTATCTACTAAGTTAAAAGCTAACGGTATTCACAGTATACCTAAACAAAAAGTCGAAAAGGAGGATTGAGATTAGTATATATATACTTCAATACTCCTATGGAATTAATTAGAATTATATAAACTTCTAACGTTTACTTAATATAAATCTTTTTTTTTCTTTTTGTTTCTTAACCCCTCCCCATATATTAATACTAATATCAGGTTAGCTATCATTATTAAGCGATATTTGCCGCCGGCGCTTATTGGTTGGTTATAGTCTTGTTAGATTTCTACTAATTACAAAAAGATGGAGGACTTGATATCTATAAGAAGTGATCCTAGCCAAGGTATATGCTGGTCAATAACTAAGATTGGGGATTCGCAATCCGGAAATTCTTTTTTACAATGGAGATGCAATTGTTGGAGTATTCAGGATGATTTTGCATTAGAATGGGATATAAACTTACCCTACAATATATTACGACAAATTAGAATAGAACCAAATTTACTAGCAAATCATATATCTTGTATTAAGAGTGGAAGTTTTGTCTTTGCAATTGTAGTATGGTCTACTACTTATATTTGGGTATACTGTCACGATATAGCAGAATTTTCTAGACTATCAGGTCAGGGTTTAAGTGTATCTATTGAACCTAATATACATAAATTAGATGGCTATCAAATTGATGAAGAAGTACTAAATAGTGGTATAATTGAAGTATCTTTACCAATTATTGCCAGTTTTAGTGATTGTCAATGCATTGCTATATCAGATAAGCTATCAATTCATACAATACGTTTAGTTACTAAACAACAAGAAAATATTCCCTACAGTTTATTTGTATCCTCTAATTGGTGGGAATTAGCTACTTATAATGAACTATTTTTGAGTCAAGATAATAAAGTGCGGAATATTGAAAAGTACTCAAATGTTAAGAAAGCATATAGTACTTTGAAAAGTATGCTTAGATCTTTCAGTTGGAATAGCAATTGTGGAGATACTATGAATAAAGTTATAGATCCAAATAGAGATACTAATTTTGATATATTGAAATTTGATCATTCATTGAAAGCAAGTAATATTGAAAAAGAGAGACGAGAAAATCTTGGAAAATTTACTTTATCTAAAAGTGACAACAATATCTTGATAATACCTTTTCCTTCATGTTATTCAAAGTGGAATATTTCATTTTTGTGCTTTCTTATATTTGAAAAAATAAATACTCAAGAAAAAGAAAATATCTTAGTGTTATTCAGACATGATACTTTTGGAGTTATTGAGTTTTGTTGGTCTATTACATTACCTTATTCAAATAAAGATAATTTTTTTAGTCTTATTGCTATTCCATATACAGAGAATACTTATTGTAAAAATATAATCACAAAATCAACTATGCAATCTCATTTATCTCTTGCTTTACATTCTTCTCTTCCATTTGGACTTTTTGTTGTTTATAAGTCATTTATAAGCAATCAATTCAGTTTAAATGTTATGCAGTTAATTACTCAGAAAGGAAATATAGCCATTTATGATCATTTAAGAACCGAAAAGAAGGCTCATCCATTATTATCCTGGACATTGAAGCCCAATTTCAATTTTAAATCATTAGTAACTATTCTTAATTTGAATACAAGTGACAATTTAAATATTGATATTGTATATCCAGGTATTGAATACAAATTTAATGATTCAAATATAGAAAATAATGAATCTAATAGTGATGTTGCAGATCAAATTAAATTTAAAATATCTGACTTTAAGAGTTTCAATTGTATTTTAATTGTTGGACATAAAGTTCATACCCTTTCACTTGCAAATAATGGACATGAAGTTATATGTAATAAACTTGTAGAACATCCAGAAAATCATAAAATGTACCATGTTACTTACTTCAGGAATATTTTATATATACTTACTACAAATCAACCACTTCCATTACGTATTGACTTATCGAATATTAGTAATTTCTCAATGGAATTCTTTAATTTACATAGGACGTCAATAGATGAATATACTAGAGATAACTCAGATATTGAATTTAATGAACTATTATCTTGTTATAAGAATTTAAGAAATGGGGATAATATAACAGAGATGTTTAGTGAAGATCAAAATTTATTAGATTTATGTTATCAAGAAATATACAGATTAAATACAATGAATGATCCTCCTGATCAAAATATACTCAATAAGATTCTAATGCAACTTATTAAGGATATTTCCTTGAAAAAGGTAGAGGGGGAATCTCAAATAAATTTTTTAGAAAGAAATCGATATACTCAACTATTAATTTTGGTTGGTAAAGTAATAAATCTACATAAGGACTATCTAAACATGGATCTAATAAACCTCTGGGGTAAATGCTGCATTATTATAGATTCAGAGTATTGGGAAAATCATATCTATAATAAAGATTGGATATCACATATATCCGGTACTTGTTTATGTCAAATTACTTCTGAATATCCTAATCTATTATCTTTTATAAAACAAAATTTTGACCTAGCTGAAGCTCTAAAATAGAATGACCGCTCATACATTAGATACCCGCTAAAAATATCATACTCCGGTAGATTATCACCCCCACAGGAAGAAGATGCATGCTGCACAAGCCGAAATTATAAAATATATATAAAAAATAGGTAGAATCAAGCAAGTGTTAAGATAAATTCACAAGCTAATTTTATTTTTATGATCATTTTAATTGGTTCTTTATATGAAATTTTATTTACATCTCCTGGTATTTAATTAAAAGAGATATTTGTATTTATCACGTCCAATTACTCGAATTTTCTTAATATAAATTTTAATGCTACAAAATTACTGTGTTGAAGATTTTATAACCTCAATATGCAGTTTAGAGATAGTTTTAAATCAAGCAAGGGAACGTGAATTACGTGATTGCCTATACTATTGGAGGTATACTAGTAAGCTAATAAAGGAATTAAATATTCAGAAGAAGCGATATAATATTTACATGCTAGATGGATTTTATGCTTTAGCAAGACAAACACAAGCTGTCTGTATGTTATTTCATATATTTGCTCTTCATGAGTATAAATTAAAGAACTATGCTTTAACTACACTGAGGATATACTCAAATATGTATAATTCTAAATATGAGAATAAAATATTGGATAGTTATATTGACTTAATTCATATGTTTAGTAACTTTAGTAAAATTTTAGATTTATACAAGTATCGTATAATAAATAAAACCTTTAGATATATAGTGGATTATTGTGATAAAGAAATTGTTAATAGTAATATAAATGGGGTTGATTCTGTTTTATCTGCTGATGAGACTAATGAGTATTCAATATCTGACATTACTATACCAAAAATAGAAGAAGAGATTGTTGAATCTAATATGAATTTAGAAAACCTTGAAGATAGAAATTTAAAAAGAAGTGTTATAAAGTCAGACTTAAGAAATAGTTTGAATAATGGTCTAAACTCGGGCTTGAGAATACCTTGTACTTTTGAAGATGTGTCTATGAATTCAACTGATCCTAAAGTTAGTGAATACGTTACTTATATTCATGGAAGTTTGATTCCAAATCCTTTAGATAAAATTCAAACTGTTTATAAAAGTAGAGATATATTTTTAAATACAAAGAAGAAGGTATCATTCAAGGATCAAATTGATAGACGTAATACTACTCCTAGTATACCATCATATCAAATGGATAATTACAAAATTGAAGGCTTTACCTCTACTACATACGAACCTTTATTCTATCATAATCCTATTGATAAATTCAATAGTGCTAGGAATTTTCATATAAAATACTATCCTCCACCAACTCTACCCTTAGGAAAATCTTCAACTTTGAATTCATCTAGTAATACCCCACAGATTTCTCCACAGTCATCTTCTTCAAAGAATATAAATTTTCAGATTATGCATAATTATAATAATGAAAATAATTCATCTTATGTGAACAATCCAAAGTGGAAATTTTCTAGTAATAACTATCGCCTATTAAATAATGAGTCATATGCCACAATTAAAAGGTCTCCAAGAAGTTCAGATCATGCGAAGAATGTATTAAATCCATGTATAGGTTTGGCATCTGAATCTACAAATATTCTTACTAGTATAACAGATCATATAAAGTCTATATTCTAACTTTTTTTTTTTTTTTTATCGAAGAACTGAGCTTGAAACTTAAAGAATTAGTATAATATTACCACATAACTCACATGTTAATACCGTTATAATTTGCATGCATATCTCCAGTATATAGACTACTTTCTTAAATCTTTTTGTTTCTTTTAATCCTTGATAGATTTAAACATTTATGGAGAAATTTAGGGAAGTAAGCACGAGCTACATTGCTAAGCTACATGTGGAAAGGTAGAGAATTTCCAGTACTAAAGATTGAAAATAAGATTTGAAGCTTCAAGTAAATCTTAGCCTAATTATTGTTATAGCTTTAGAAAGGATAGAAAAAAATCATAGAAAAGGCCTAATGGTTTAAGAAAATAGAAGTCAAATTTTACCACGACGTATAAAGTTCACCGCTTTTTTTTTCTACTGACAAGATCCACAAATGTACTTTGAAGCTTTGACAATTGAAGAAAATTGACAAAAGTGTTGTGATGGAGGGTAGTACTACGAATATGAAGCATCTTGCAAGCTTTTCTCAAGCATCACTACTTGCTAGAGAAGAGAAGGTGTTGCAAGATGCAGAAGTTGTCATAACGACACAGAGAGCTCGTATAGGGGAATTAAGATCAGAGCTAGAAAGATTGAATGCTGAAAAAGCTTATTGGTCTGAAACTCATATGAAAGAAATGAATGAAGTCATTCAAGAAAATACAAAACTAAGACTGCAAATAGATAAAATGCAAGCAGATCTAAATGCTCTTTTGCACACACAAGGTAGTTCCGAAAATTTGATTTCAAATCTGACAGAGGCTCTAGCAGCAGCTGAATCAAATTTGTTAATAAAAGAAAATGATATAAAAAAGTATGAGGAGATCCATAGTAAATTACCACAAGAAAATGAACACTTAAGAAATGAGAATCAGAGACTAATAGTAGAAAATGAACAATTTAAACGTGCACAAGAAAATTCAAAAGATTTAACAGGTAATCAATTTATACCTGATACTTTACAAGCGCAAGCAATAAATAATAACCTTTTGAAGCACACTAAAATGGCAAGAGACCTTGATTTTCGTACAGAAGAGTTACGATTAAATAAAATGTGTTTATTACAGCTAGAGAGTGATTTGATAGAACATCAACTACTAGTAGAAAAGCAAAGAGTAGAAATACAGCGTTTAAATACTGCAATAGAAGCTTTAAATAGAGAAAAATCGCTAATTCCTCCGGTAGTAATGACAAATAGGCAAATTGATAACTGGAATAGTATACAAATGTCAGAATATACATCACCAAAGCAATTTGCAGAACATATAGTTTCAGAACTAACCAAAGTTTTACCTGTTAAAACTAGTAATTTACTTGATAGTTCTTTAGAAGGTGATTTTTTGAATAATAATTGCAGTAATATTGATATTGTACAATATAGAACAATGGAAGAGCAAAGAACATTAATTTCAAAATTACTTAAGGGACTAGAACAATTGGGTTTTGCGAGGAGTGAAGCTGAATGTTATAAAGAAAGAGCTTCAGATTACAGATGGTTTTATTCTGCTGTTATAAGTCATAGTGTAGTATATAAAACTCCTAAAGAACAATCATCTACATCTACTAAAGTATTAGATCAAAATGCACCTCCAGGTTTTTTCAACTTGTTAGTACGTGTAGAATCTGGAAATATGTCAATATTTCAAAGTATTGATGAAGAAGTTCCATTATTTACAATAAAACCTTGGAAGTGCATAGTTAATATTTATGAAAAAGATCGTCAATTTACCTTGACAAGATCTTCAACAACTTCAGATCAAGAAGAGCATCATATATTTTATTGCAAAACTGAAGATGAGTTTAATCGTTGGTACTATGCGTTGTCCTATGGTGGGTTTATCAATAATTCTGGTAGATACCAAAATAATGGAAGAAATGAAGTAAGTGTGTCAAACAAGACAATATTTCCAATTAGTGTAAAATGGATTGATGTTAGTGAAGATTCACATACTCCCAAAATTACTTCAATAGATGTGGTAGATGATCAGATAATATTAATACAACTAAGGAAAGTTATAAAAACAGAAAATATGAATTTGAATGTGAACGATAAGAAAAGACAATTCATGTTAAAAAATAAGAGTAGTGGGATAAGTGAGCAATATATCTTATACCCAGTAGTTGCAAGTAATTTCAACGTTTTAAAGGATACTTTATTAAATTGCAAATGGGCTGAACTTAAATCAGATGTGAATTTTACTGGTTCACAAGTCACCAACAAAGTACTTGGAATAAAAAATTCGATACACCCAAGAGCTAAAGAGAGTATTAATCTTCATGATGTTATTTTAGTTAAAAATTCTCAAGTTTTACTCTTCCATACTGAAACAAGTAAAAAACCATTTTCAACAATATTTGTTGATAAATGTAGAATAATTTGTGATAGAAGAAAAATGAGTATACTAGTTATGAATGTACAAGAAGACCAAGAAGAAAGCTTTTATTTTATGTTCTTATCAATTGAAGATTTCAATAGATCATTGGCACGACTTAGAGAAGGTGGTGTAAAGGATTACAACAAGCTAGTAGACAAGGAAATGTCAAAACAGGTATGTGTTGTGTGCAAGAATAAAATGGATTTATACAAAAACTATGTTATTGATAATTCAGCACCAATTGTAACAATGACACCAAATGATTCAACTTGTCATATTGACCGTGATAGACGAGAAATAGTACTAATACATTCAGATAGTAATAATAAAAAACAGAAGATAACACTTGATTGTGCTACTAGTCAAGAATTTGAAAAATGGAATATTGCTTTAGTTTTTGGTGGGTTCTTACCTGGACTATCTGAATCTTGTATGAGTAAATATACTTTCCAAATAAGGCTATTTGGAGATGAGGAAAATCTATCAAATGAAACAAATGAAATACAAACTAGTGCAAAGTATAAAGATTTTTATACTATAAATAACTGTCAGTCAATAGATATATTTAGTCACCCAAAGAATAAAGAAAAAAATATTCCTTTGTTAACAATACCATTCAAAGATACAGATTATGATAGCGATGTAAAGAAGCGTCTAATCACATTTTATACACGACGTGGCAAACCAGGAGAAGTACGTATAATATTAAATTTACAAACTCTAACAAACTTTGATAACTTTAATAAGGAATTAATAAAAATTGATTTTCCCATGGTACATGAAAACAAAACATCCATGTCAAAAGCAGAATATATTATAGCTGCTAAGTATAATTCTGTGAGTGTATATTGTACTGTGAAACCAAAGGAAACTCAAAATATACCTACTGAGGGCATGACTCAAATTATAGATGATAATGTTACAAGGAAGTTTCCATCTTCTGGATCAATTACCTACAAAGTAGATGAATATCATTGTGTTGTTAGCCGTACAGGTAGATCTGTTTCTTTAAGACGCAAGGAAGATGATTATGATGTATTATCAGTACGTTGTAAATCATTAATAGAATATGAAAGATGGGAAAGAGCTATGTCTATTGCTGGCTTTATAAACAACGATCCTCCATCTCCACCTGGATATCTACCACCAATAACTTATCTGTTTCATTCACTTGACTATGATTATAGAAAACAGCCATTATTACCTGATGTAAATAATTCTGTCGCTGAAACTACAAATATTCAAACAAAAGCTAATGCAGGACCCCCTCCATCTAGCAAGTCTATTGCTAAAACATCTGACCAAAATTTATCGAAAAATATAAATCTCAATAATACTACTCAGAGGGTATCAATACCTACTAAAGATACAGCTGAAAAGGTATTAGATCAAAATATCACACATAATCAACCTTTTCCAGAAGAATTGATATATAATAAGACTAAAGAAAATATTTCTAATACACTTTCTAAACTAGAAAGTATAAATGATTGGGAAGACAAACCTCAACTTGGGTCAGATTGTGAGGAGTTTAACTCTAGCTGTGAGAGCAATAATGAAACATATACTAGAAAAGACCTAAACAATTACTTAGATGAGAATCACTCACTTGATTCCAATATTAATTTAATTTCTAATTGTGATGATGATAGTGATCTAACAACGTCAGATTTATCAAAACAACTCAAAAACATTACTAAAGATGATTCCTTATTACTTTCAAAGCACCCAAACTTAGTATGGGACTTAATAGAAGAACAAGATCGAAATGAAGGTGAGAAAGAGCCAGTGTATAAATATAAAAAGAAAAAAGGTATTTTTGGTATTCTTGTTTCTAAAATACGAGAAAAGGTATAACTAATACAAATTAAATATATTTTTCATAATTATCCTTATCACAAGTGGATTTGAACATTTCGGGTTGATTCTACTGTTGGCCTATTAGAAAAACGATTTGAAGTTAAATTTGGTAGAAAAAATGAGGGTTGATTAGATGATACAATAGAATTACTACTATTTAATGTTGTATCATCAATGTTTGAAATTCCTAAACCTGAAATATTTTGGTTGTCTAAAGAATTTATACTGTCTATTTGAGTAGTTGGATACCAAGGTAAAGTCTTCTGTATAATTTGTTGGAGACTTTTCATATCTATGCCATTTTTGCATGAATCTATTTGATTATTATAAGAAATTGGTGTATATTTATAAAGTTCAATGTTCTGAGGCAATGTTAAAGTTTGTAGTGTGGTTGTAAGGTATTCAATAACATCTGTTGTAGTACCTAGTGCTGCATGTAGAGTAGCAACTGGCGATGATGGTTGAGGTAATAGCGCAACAAAATCTACAATACCCTTAGGCAATTGAATATTATAAGCTGTTACTTTGTTATTAACAAATTGTGAATTTGAATCTACATTATTGATAATAGATTTAGTCTTTGTAGGGTAAATATCTGGACGAAACTTAACCATAGTTGTTATATCTGGCTTTGTACATAAACTTTTACCTATTCTTGACCACTTAAGCTCATCACTATACCCAAAAGTATCGTTATTGTCATAATAGTAGTATTCAGCATCATCAATATTATGAATAATATTTATATCTATATCTTCACTTTCGTCCATTGCTTTTTCATGGTTATTAAATGCTCTTATAAGGCGAAATTCCAGTGATTTAGTCATTAAAAAACATTCAAAGTCATCACTATCTACTCTTTCACAATCTGTATTCTCAAATTTGCTAGAACCCAACATTTCACTATCATCTCCCCAAGTATTAGACTTTTTAGTACTATTACTAATTTCTTTATCTGTTTCTAAATTTTCATTGTTAGCTAAGTCTCCATTTTTACGACTAATAACAGTTAAATAAGTATTATGATCTATATTTTTTAATTCTTCTGATATATAAAAGTCTGTCCAAGTACTATTTGGATATATTGAACCAAATCTAAAGCACTCAAAAACTGTACGTAATTTGCTAGGACATGTAAGAAGATATTTGTTACTATTTACTGAAGGTAATGTATAACTAGTATTATTTATATTTGAAGTGTTCTGATTCAAATTACCTGCGTTATTCACTATATTTATATTACTTGTAGAGGTTGAATGAGCTGTGCTATTATTTAAATTGTCAACATCATCTACTTGAGTATCATCAAATGTATTCAAAACATAACTGTAACCATAAACCCTATTTTTAGGATCAGTATCAGTTGTAATAGTCTTGTCGTTAATATCCATAAATTCAGGAGCTCCAAGAATAGTGTGCCATCCCAATTTCTGTTTTTTACCCATAAGCATATCAACTTCAATACTCTTACCTTCTTTCTGAAGCTGATAAATACGATTTAAATAATTTAAAGTATAAAGCGATGAGCCACAATTTCTTTCTACCTGGAACCATTGCAACCATAGTTGCTTTGGTGGTATGCCAGTTTCTCTATATATTTCATATATACATGACTGTAAAGTAGATCTAGCTTGTTGCAGCTTACCAGTATCTAGTAAAAATGTTACAAAACATGACATAAACGATATATCTAAGTATAAATGCCTATAGTACATTGCAATTTCAAAAACATGATATGCACCTTCTAGGTTATTGTGCAATCTCCATTCATTAAGTGCTTGAGAATAACATATCCATTTAATCTCATTTAATTTCGGGAAATTTTTTATTGTATGTAAAAATAGTTCACGCCATACTTTCTTGCTACCTTTGTAACGTAAAACAAAATTTAAATATTCTATAATAACAACAGCTGAAACATTTGGATTGTACTTCTTACTGTGTAGATTATTTATAGTTGTAAATAAAGTACCATTATTAGTCGTATCATTGTCATTAATACTTTCATTAATTGTTGCACTAGAATTAGTACTTTCAGTATATATCATTGAATGAAAAATATGCATAGTTTTATCGGGTTGTTTTCTTAGTTCATAAACTTCAGCTAAAACTAATTTCAAAATCTCATCTTTTGGAAGAAATCTTTGAATTGAAGAATCTAAAATGTATGTAGCACTCTCAATTCCAGAATTAGATACTGGATGATAGTTCCATACAAATACAAAGTATTCATACCAAAGTTCTGGATGATAAGAAAAATATAACAAACAATTTTTATAACAGAATGATACTCTATTAAAGTAGTTATCATTCTCTAAATTTAGTGGATTCGATTTTTCATATAGCAAATATCTCCTCCATGGTATAAATTTCTGTATCCATTCAGATCTATTTGCTTTGTTTAAAGGCTTAGCTGGTATATCTTCCTGTAGATTTTCAACCATTGGCAAAATATCCTTGTACACAAGCTTAGATAGTGTTACCAATTTTTCACCAGATTGTAGTAAACTCTTCGAAACAACCTTACTTATAGCCTCTGAATTAGAAAGAGTATTTAAAGAGTTACTAATTGTAATATTACCACTTATCAATACTTCAGTAGAGTTTGATGTAATCGAATTTTCAAAGAGTGAGTATGCAATAAATGCTGTTTCTAAATTACTTACAGGAGTCATTAACCATTGAATAAAAAATCGACGCATAGTTACAATTGTCGCAATTTTATCGGCTAGTAAAATACAATCCTCCACACTTTCTGTCGTTGGTGGAACAGTACTTGTTTCAAATGGATTCAATAGTAAAGTATTTCCTCCCATATTTTTCTCATTTCTTGATATTAATGTATTATATACTAATAAGCGCAAGGTATACATACGTTGCCAAATAAATCCACTTCTGACATCACTTCCCACTGTATCTATTGCTGCTTGATATATTTGATATCTATCTTTTAGACTTTTAGTATGTTCATCAATAAATAATATATATGATGTCCATATACTTACACATGGGCATTGATAGATACATCTATGATAAATTGCCATTAATGCACTCTCACTTTTATCCTTTTGATTCTGCATATATTCAATATATCTCCTCCATACTATTGGACTTGTTGGAAAGTATTCTAATGCTCTTTCAAACACCTCACTATCAGGCCTAACTGTAAATATACTCTCCCATGAGGTATAATCATAGGGATTCCTCTCCACTATAGATTCTATCAAAGATGTGAGTGTCTTTTTCATCCCAGTTTATATTGTATTCAACTTCGGTTGATATTTGCTCAAAGTTATAGATGAACACGAGACGAAGCAATTTTGAGCCCGCTATATTTTTCTTTTGTGATAACATATATATTGGAAAGTATATATCTCCTTACTTTCTATTATATAATATCTAAACACTTTGCTCAAAATAAGTATATTCTAATAAATATGAAACTTATTGAGAAGTTATTGGCTGAATAACTGAAATGTACTTTATTTCTCAGTGGGTTGTTCCATTTATTTGCTAAGTTACATTCTTTTTTAAAGTTGTTGTAAAAGGCCTGTAAACTTTTTTTTTGATAACAAGATATTTACTTTCCAAAAGATATTCTAGTTTACTAATTTGAAACTTTTTAAGCTCTTATCTCATTTTATTTAAAAATATCTTGTTTTAATATTAGATAAGTTATAAATAGTAAACAACCTTCAATTTCAATTTTTGTATACAAATATTCCAAATACACTTTTATGTATCTTTAAATATATATATGTATTTATATATCTATATGCATGCATGCAATAAACGGTAATGTGTAGGTCTTGCAGGATAACCATATAGAGTTTAGGACTATTACTTATAATTATTGTATCTGTATAAATATGAACAATTTTTAAAGCTATATATAGTAATTACCTAGGCTTTAAAAAAAAATGAAAACAGATTATAAGGTAAAGAGTAGAGTTTAAATCATAACATTCTACGATTAATGCTCAAATAGAGTATATGGCTCATTATTTTTTTGGAATTATTTTCTAGAAAATATATTGCTCTATTATATAATAAAATTAATAAAATACAGCAGAGACATTAGAATGACCATAGAACCAGAAGTATCTTATAGTTCAAATAAAAGATATATTATTACTAATTCAAGATCCTATACAACTATTAGTATAAAATAAATTAATGTTAATTATTTCATTTGCAAATATAATTACTTATCTATAAATTTCATTGTTAGACAAATATAAAAAATTTAGACATAAATTATTATTTCTATTTTAAAGAAAAAAAGAAGTCCATAATTATAAAACAGACATAAACTGGAAATAATTTATCTTATATTCAATAACAAATCAGAGACTATAATTAAACTTTTAACTAATATATTTCACTAAATTAAATTCAATAAAACAAGATCTGATTAAAAAATTAAAAATATACTTAGCAAGTTTCAAATAATCTTCAGTTTTCTGAGAGCTTCCTAATTGAATAAATGTACTTGGAGTTAGCTATATGCTATTAATGTATAAAGTCCCAGATTTTGGAGTTTAATTATCATTTGGTAACTATGAATATTTTTATCTATAAAAAAAAAGAAATTTGATTCATGTTAAATATTTTAATAGCTGAAGTTTTAAATTACAATATCTTGATGAAAGTGATTATATATTGTAATCTTTCACAAAAAATTCCAACATGTTAGTTTGATAGTAAATTTTATTTTCTTTTCCACTTTGAATTATACTGTATACTGTAATTTATTAATTATTTTTAACGATTTAAATAGTTTTGTGGCCATGTTAAATATAAATAAGGAAAAGTTACTTGATGAGTGGGGTGTAATTAATTTTTTTTAGAAAGACTAGCACAAAATGAAATGCATTAGGACTGTTAAGTATTGACTTGAAATAAATTGAAGTTGCAAAGAAGACTTAATATTAGAATATGATCTAAAAATTTCAATAAAGACTTTAGTTGAACTGTTGACTGTGTAACGAGCAATTAAGAGTAAATATAAATAAAAATATGGATGTACTAGTAAATAGCAGAGAAACACTGTGTAGTGTTGAATTTAATATAAATGGAGGTAATAAATTGGAGAATACAAGCAATAATAATCTGTTCAAGTCAGTGACATATAGAGTGAAAGGTTTTTTATTCTCTTTTTCAGAAATTAGTTCAAGTGAACTTAAAGAAAATAATTCAAGCTTTTATGAAATTGAAGAAGGAAATATAGAACCTTTATTGTACAAAATCTCAAAATTTAATTACAACCTTAATATATATACAAACTTTAAATTCATTTATCTTTTGGAAATAGATGACTTGATGAATTTTACAAAAAGTTATGGAGAATCCCAATCGTACTATAGGTCCCACAAATTTGGAGTAATAGAAAGAAGTAAAGTTATAAACTGGTTGAGTACATATTGTGATCGATTGAATTTTCAATCTTGTACATTTCATCTATCATGTAGTATACTTAACAAATATTTGATAAAGACAAAAAGATGTCTAGATAATTCATCTTTAGTAGAATGTACTTCAGCATCACTTCTACTTGCATCAAATGTTATAGAAACAATAAGTGATGGAATAGTCCCATCTTTGAAACAATTCTCTGATGCAGCAAAGTGGTTACACCGTTCTACAATAGTTGAGAAGCAGATTGATATTTTAACAACAATAACTGATAGCTTTAATATTACGGAGACTCCTTTACAAATGTTTATTTTATATATTTCGAAAATCTACCATCACGAAGAACTGAAGTATATATTTTCTTATACACTTAATTACAAATATATTAAGAATATAATTAAATGGTGTCTACTAATATGTGACTATTTGGTATTTACTGAAATACCTACTAACAACCTTGGCCAGGATCTTTTACCTTTACTACCAGCATTTATTCTATGGATAGGTATTAACAGGGATAGATCTGTTTTTTATAAAGAATATTCTTCAGAAAAACTAGAAAAATTATATTTTAAAGATGTATGCTCTTATGAGAAATTAGACAGTCATTTAATCCAGCATATATGTAAATTATTAAATAAGGTTGCAAATCAAGTGTCAAAATATTGGCTTAAAAGATCTAAATATTTGAATTTAATTAAGGAAGATGCAATAAATAACTTTAGTATAAAACATAGTTATATCTCATTTGAACTAATTGGAAATGCTTAATTAGTGAACAAGTATTTGTGTTGGTAATAAAACATAGCAATGGACTTTAGTCTCTACATATTAATGATGAATACTAGGTTCAGAATAAATAATTTCTTCAATACTTGTCCTGACAGTCTTCCAAACTTCATCAATAGGTGGAGAGGCATCTATAGTGAAGCATTTATTAATTTCCTTAAAGTATTTTACTATTGGCATTGTTTCTTCGTGGTAAACCTTCAGTCTTTTAACAATAGTCTCTTTATTATCATCAGTTCTTCCACTAGTTTTACCACGCTTTAGAAGACGCTCAACTACTATATCATCTGGGCAGTTCAAGAATAGACAACCCAATACTTCAACCTCATCAGAACTAACATTATCAAACCAACCTTTCATATTATTTTGGTTGCGGGGAAATCCATCAATAAGAAAATAATTATCATACCATCCGTGTTCTTGCATTTTCTTTCGAAGTAATTTAATTGTTATTTCAACAGGTACAATTAGACCCTCTCTAATATAATGATCAATTAACTTACTTGTATCATCATTATTAATCTGAGCTTCTCTTAGACAATCTCCTGCACTTAAGTGGATAAATGAGTAGTGTTCAACTATTCGTTCACATTGAGTGCCCTTTCCACTTCCTGGTGGGCCTAAGCAGAATAGTACAGCAGGTTTTTTTTTTGTCATTATTACTTCACGTTTCGCTTCCATTTCAGCTACAACCAAGGAACTTTCGCCAAAGCACATTTTCACTTATTGGGAATATTTGATGTTGTATATATGCTTAATATACCTTATTATCTACGTAATATTGCAAAGTAGCTTAAAAGCTCAAGATGATCCGAGCTGATATTTTAAGGAGCACCTTACTTCTAGAATCCCTATATATAAAATATTTTTAGGTCACTTGTTTATACCCAGCTGATGTATCAAAAATTTCAATACTTATTCATCTCGCTAATATATCTAGTGTTGGATAAATAAAGGTGTGCAAATGTAACGACATGGCGGTTTCAAAGAATAGTAATAATGGGAAAACAGTTGAGTACTTTATGAAAGTTTCATAGATCGTTTTATATTTGACTTAAGTCCTGTCAATTCTCCACTATAATCATTTTCAAATGGTCTTATATCTCTTTTGATACCCTTCAATTTCTTCAACGCTTTTTTGTACTTAATTCGATTGTGTACCCTTGAATTACCTTCGATCTTCTTGCGTTTCCTAGTTAAACCCTTATTCTTTATGATATCTTCAGTTGCTAGTCTTCTAGAGTCCCCTTCAACTAAATCTTCAATATTTGGCATACGGACCTCATCAAATTCCTGTTTCCTTTTAGCTTTGCTATGTTGCTTTTCCTGTTTGTATTCATTAATTTCTTCAAGATATTCATTGTCTGATAACTGTACAGGATCATTATCTTCATTATTACTAAGGGTATGATCTGTTTCATACTTTTCCCTATGTCTTCTCTCGTTAATTGCTTTGTTTCTTCTGGCTATTTTGTCGGAAATACTCCTGTCACAATTGAAATGATCAAAAGTGGCCTTTTTAATATCTTCCTCAAGTTTTTGTGAGTGGCTTATATACCTTGACAATGCATGATTATCAACATTAGTTGCCATATTTGTAGTCTTCTCGGCAAATTGAAGTAAGTCATCCAATGAGTTTACACCACTTTCAACCTGGGATATAAGCTCCTTAAAGAGTTTTTCTTCCTTTTTATCCTTCTTACCTTTAGGTAATCTCATCATATTCTGCTCCTCAAATTCCAGACGTTTCTGTATACGTCTCTGTAATTTTGCTAATTGTGGTAATTGTTCAATATCATCTTCCTTCCCTATTAATTCCGGGCCTTCTTGTATGCTTGATCTTATTTGACGAATAATATCTGTACGAAGCAACCTTTGCTTTTCTTTTTCAAGTTCCTTCATAATTTTTTCAGTACTACTAAGCTTTTTTTCATTGAATTCAACTGGTATATTTTTAGGTGCCTTATATTTCCTATCTTCATCAATATCACACCTATCTTCAGATTCCTCTTCATACTGACCAACACTCTCGGCTTTAAAGTTGTCATTTTCATCATCATCTAAAACTAGTCTGTCTGGTCTAGGAGTAATCATAAGTTCATCTATTTTCCCTGATCTATTTGCAGTTTGAGTTACTCTATCAATATATGTCTGTAATTTCACATCGATAGGCCTAAGCTTATCCATCATTGTACGTAGGGTTATTAAGCGTAAAAGTACTGGATGATCTTTTATAGATATATTTGGATTTAACTTAAGCATCATATAATAACATAAATAGCCAATATAAGATATTAAAAGTATATTTTTGCATTCTAAGTAGCTAATACCCTTATCTGTTAACAATCTTTCTTGGTTATTTTCAATAGATTTTTCTATATGAATCCTCATTTGTAACTGATCTACCTTTTCCTTCACATCTTTAATTTTTTCCTTCATATCTTTTAGGATAGGAATTATGTCAGGATTTAATTTTACTAAATCATCCATAGTATGTTTATCTATTTGTTCATTACAATTAATTAATTCTTTGTTACTTCCCTTTGAGAGTTGACCAAAGCTGTTTAATAGATCATTGACATCGTTTACCGATAGGCCTAGAGGATTAGATTGCAAAGCTTCATCTTTATTTTCATCCTGATCATGATTAATAATATCCTCAATTCCAAAATCTAACTTGTCTAGTCTTGAATATCTAGTTTTCTGAATCTTCCTAGCCTCTTCTTCTTGCATTTCTATATCTGACCAATCTTCGTTATCACTATTTTCACTAGAAGTCTTATTATCATAAAAATCCTCTTTCTTCGTCCCCCAGTTTGCGCTAATAAGCTCTCCATCAGAATTTTCATTAAAGTTCTCATTAAAATGATCATTTTCTGAGTCATCAGTAGTGTCTGAAATACTTAGAACACTTACTTCATTTATTTTTAAAGTATCATCAGCATCATCATCTGAGTATACCTTATTAAATAGATTTGCCCTTGAACTCCGTTTTTTTATATTACCCTTAGGATGATTTGCCATATTATTGATACTTCCTATCTTTATATTTGCTTTTACTCTAACTCCTCCTCTATGTCCGCCAGATTTCTCTAGTCAAGTCTTACCTGCCTATTTATTTATTGCGCCAATGTATTACGCAAAAAAAAAAAAAAAAGAAAAAAAAAAGTGCTAGCAATCCTTGTGCAAGCTTAATATAACAAATCTCAATAAAACTAAGAGTTGACTAATAAATGTATGTACTTTTGTATATACTTTGCATATATCTGAGCTACCTCCCTTTTTGTTATGTTTGTATGATATTGTAGACTCCAACATAAATCACCGTTAACTGTCACTAAATTATGGGCAAACATATTTAACCCAGCCTTTAAAAAAAAAAGGAAAAAGAAAAGAAGGGGATCTTTTGTGTACTTTAAAGTTTTTATTTCCAAAAAATTAGAACTTACATTATGCTGTGAAACACAACTATAGGAAGATTCAACCTCAATAAATGTCTTCTCACCACTTTTGCTATTATTAATTCTCTCAATAAGCTGTTCTAGTGGCTTTGAGTCCCATATACCACCATTACTGACCAAAAATGATGATGGTCTAGCTGTAGGATTCCCCAATTGCATTAGAAGTTCTACCTTGTTTGCTCTGGTTGGAGAATTCGCTAAGTCATGTACAAAACCTAAAATTTCAAAATTGTAACTACTACTCAAAAAGTAAAAATAAAAACTTCGACATTTCCATTCTAATACTTACCACTTATAACATGCCATTTAAAAGTAACAGTGGATGGGTCCTTAGAATCTACAATTGAATGAATTTTCCTAGTAGTATTTTTACCAAGTTCCCAAATTTTATTTACATCATTCAAGCAACTCTTTTGAACTTTCATATCTAAACCCATCAAAACTGCATATGATCCAAGCGCAACAGATGGCATACACTTTATTTTCCTACTATTTCTTGGACTAATAACTTTCGAGACAGCCTTTTTTAGCCAAGATGGGCTTGATTTATCAAATGAAAATGAATGTTTTAGCTTGGGTAAGACTAGTCTTGGAGAATTAGCAATATGTTCTTTTTGTTGTTTATTAGGGATTATAATCTCAGAATTAGATACCTTTTCACTAACTTCGCAATTTTCAAAAGATGAACTATTTTCATCTAGTGATGAAGATTGACTTGTTGTAGATTCATGTGTATCAGAATATCTAGTACCACTATCAAAATTTTTCTCACTTGCAGTTGCTGTAGTTGTCTCATTTATCGAATTATTTAGTGCTGATTCAAAAATCCTTATTAGCATATCTTCAATACTTTTACTTGTTTCAGAAACTTCTGAGGTATCATCTTTATTTACCCAACGACGGCAGTTTATTGCAACCATTGTACGTATTGGAATAACTGCACTACACCCCTCAGTATTTAAAAAACAATCTGTTGATGATAGTTCAATTGGCCTACATCCCGTCACACATGTAATATTCTCTCTATCACTTCCTCCAATTAAATTTCTTTCATCTTGTGAAACTAAAATTTCTGTGGTATCTTCTGAAATTAAGGTCTTTTTACTTCTTAGCTCATATATTAGAGCCATTAATCCTAGTGCTGCAACAGCTTCAATAGCACCGTTTACTTGCATCTTTTTACTTTTACAAATACTTCGTAACTTTGAGAATACCTCCGATGATATTTTGATTGGTAATATACATGTCCTAGGAGACTTTTCTTTATCGGCATACAAATCCCTCGAAATCTCGAGGCATGAAGGATTTTCAAATGGAGCAACAAGATTTCTATATAAGCAAACTCCCTGAGTTGCAGTAGCTCTCCATGAATAAAATGGTTTTAAAATTCTTACTTTTAAAGATGATGGAAAAGATTTGCAAACACTATTTGGCATTTTTGTTGGTTTTTCTTGAGGAATTGGAGTATCTGGGAATTCATTTATTAATGTGCATAATCCTAAAAGCTCTGTCCAAAAGTGTTGACGGCTTAATCCATCCATTATTGCATGATGGAAACTTGCAACTAGACATGCACGATATTGATTATTGACACTTCCCAAACGTTTAAACCTAATACGCCATAATGGAGATTGTTTACTGAACAATTCATTTTGCTCCTTTAATAATAAATTTTCCCAGATAGGTTTCTCATCTAAGGAGTCAAGATATAGTTCTGTTGTAGCTGTAGTTTCAGGATCTTCTTCTATAACTACTTCGAAATCATCTACTAGATCTACAAAGTACCTCTTTATTGTATCTCTTCCCTCATCATTTTCTACTTTGGACTTAATCCTAACCCTCAAAGATTGATGCCTATATGCCATCTTCGTAGCTGCTTCTTTCAAAATTTCTTTTTTAATTGGAAATGAAGAACGAATTATTATTGGATTCATTATAATTACATTTCCTAGTTCGTAGAAAGTTTCCCAAAATGTTTCCACTACATCTAAAGCTCTTATTGGAATACACTGTGTCATTATAAGTTCAAGATCTCGAAAAAATATCAATAATTAGCTTGTAGACTTCTGATATCTTTACAATAAAAAGAATTTTATTTACTTTGAGCCTTAACTTGAAGATCGCAATTGGGTCTATGTTGACATGCATGCCCTATATAGCCGCTCACCATATCTTGATTTATTAATAATGAACAAATTTTAACCTTACTGTAAAATTTTGGATGTATTCTATGATATTTGTTTTTCATGACATCTACTAGTTATTCCATCTATTAAATAAATTCCTTCAATTTGAATGAGGTGCTATAATCAACAATCTACAGAAAATTTATCATGAGAATAAAAAAAGAAAATGTAGAAAAGCCTTAATATACATTCTTCTGTTAGACCAATAAATTAACACAATTTAACACTTTTTTTACTATATTTTTTTACAGAAAAAAAAATGACCGCCCTGCATGCAAATACCGGTACAGCCCCTCATATGTGCTATATAGCAATTATAACTAAATTCTTTTTTGAAAAAGAGAAGGCTTTAAATTTCAGAAATGGAACTTTTTTGAGGCTTTTATGAAATGGAAAGGGAATATGCTGATTTGATAGAACTCCCAAGTGAAGTTTTGAGATTCAAGGATAATGATCAACTGTATAAACCAAAATATTCCCATTTTTGGCTTGTAAATACCATTTTAAATACACTCATTTCTTCAAATACATCTATAGATATAGATTTGATTAGATCTGGATACTTTTCAAAATCTATTTTTGAAAAAATTAGAATAGAGTTGACAATTCTAAAAAATAACTTAGAACTTGTCTATGTGAGCAAGAAGGAAAATCATTTTAGAATTCATATGTGGGAACAACTGGGTAACTGTATAACAAGCTGTATTGTTGATTTACTTGAGAAGTGGGATACTCAAATCTGTGAACTACAACACCATAATATGCTTTGTTGTGAAGTAATTGTTGCAGAAGGTGTAGTAAGCAGACACTGTAATAATGAGATACCAAAAAAACTAAATTTAGACTCTTTTGGAATTGATCAATCAATTAATAAAGATTTCTGGGAAGATAAAGAACTATGTTGGCTAATTGAAAGCTGTTATCCATTTAAGGAAATTCCTTTTGGTCTGGAGACAGATCAAAAGGAGTGCATTTTAGCTACTCCTGTAACACTTGTATATTTAGTAACAGTTCTCAAAGAATATTTAGATATTTGGAGTAATATTCGCTCATTTTTTTGTGATTTGGTGACATTGGTTTTTGTTGATACTCATTTATTACCCTCGTATTGTGAAACTGACAAGGCTTTTGTAAACTTGGAAATATTAGACAGATTATTCAATCATTTGGAAAAATCTATTTTATGCCTAGACCAACCTATGATTAAAATTTGGAATTATATACTTGGGAAATGCCTCAAAGTTTTTTGGAATTCTGTACCACAATCCCAAATTCAAAGTGATACGAAATATTTGGCTGAATTTGAAAGTAATAGCAAAAGTAACCCATATTTGAAATACAAAGAGTGTCTTAAATTTCTTAATGATTTATCTAGTAGATCTAGTAGTGAAAATAGGGGTACAACTATGAACAAGACTATTGGTACGCTTGTGAATATATCTCCTGATGAAATTGGGAATTTTGTGAATAGTTTATACAATTCAGATTCAAATGCACTACTAGATAAAGAAGTTGATGTTATGAATATTGAACTATCCAAATCATTTAAGAATTATCCAACTCAACAGTTATTTTGTAGTGTAGGAGGTAAATTCAGTAATCAATTGATAAGATCATTTACAATGTACAACTGTATAAAGAAGTATATTGACAATTGGTATAGTTCTTTGAACTACTCTTACATATCATCATTTATATATAATGGGCTTTATTCTATAAACCATGCTCAAAATTCAAGTAATAGGATTATAGATAAAATTACTCAGAATTTTGATCATAATTGTATTAGGATAATTGATGTACTTATTTGCATTAGAAACATTGTACTCTTAGATGAATTTATAATAGAATCTCTTATTCCTACGATGAATCTCAAATCTCAAAAGAAATTTCCAAATGTAGATATTGATCCTACAGAATTAAATTTAACTCTTAAATTATTGGATTATAATAAAATAAAAGGAAAACCCCATTTTTATCGAAAAATTATTAACATAATATATTTAGAATTTGATATGTCAAATACTTCAGATTACGTTAGAGATACACTACCTACATATATATCTCTTAAAATTCGACTTAATATGGGTCATTCAAATTATGCATCGTCTTCTTCACTCTCTTCTTGTGGAATTCCATGCTATATTATATCTCAATTTTTGTCACATAAAACTCTCGAAATATATTCTTCAATATTCACCTTTCTTTTGGAAATCAAACGCTCATCAATATTTCTCAATAATATATTTCATATACTGACAACTTTGCATAGGAAACGTCAAGCTATCAAAATATGTGATGTGAAACAAAGTAAAGTTAAAAATTCAAAGCAAAAGATAAATTTATCTATTAATGAATATCTATATTTTGAAAGTAAACATATTTGTATAGGTGATTGTATGATATTATTAAATTGGATAGACATATTACTTAATATTTGTCATCATAATCGATTTTCATTACAACACATAATCAATGCTTACTATAGCTACTTTGAGTTAGTTGTACCTTCAACATGGAGTGACTTATGTTCAAAGTTTATTAGAACAACATCATTAGATATAATGGTAGCTACCCATGAGAAGTACGTAAGTGATTTACAGATGTTAATATTAGCTCCTAAAGTGAATATTTCAGAGAGTGAGTTGGACCAATCATATCAACAATTATCTATGAACTTTATACTTTTGGTGAAATTAACTCGTCAGCTAAGTATACTAACAAATAAAATGGTATATATATTTAAGAATATTCTTAATTCAAAATCTAAAAAATTATCCTGTGTCACTATAAGGCGTAATGTTCAAGATAATATTAAAGATTTAATTTTAAATTTTGAGTTACTCAACTCAAATTTCCAAGAGATTCAAAATGAATTTTTAGAATCTCTCAGAATATACTGTCAGAAAAATACTTCCAAAGAACTTAAAATACTTAAGTTTCAGTTAAATAATGGAATTCAGATACAAATATAAAGTGAAGATGTTAACTCGAAATTATATCAAGTATTAGAACCATTAATAGTTCTAATTAATAATAAAGATCTAAGAAAATTAATAATATAAAAGTTTATGGATTGCAATAATGCCACCAAAATAAGCTATAGCAATAAAAGGTTGATTTGCCATTTGAGGATAGAGAAAAGGGTCAATAGTAGATACGCAGTGAACATCCAAATAATCTAGAATATCAATGTTCATTTCTGTATTCCATAAAAACTTCACTCCATATTTAATTATATTTCTATATCTCTTACGAGTACTCTCAAGTATTAAATCATGCATCTTTAAATGTAAATTTGAGCTTGAATCTAAATTTTCACTACTAGAACTTGAATTTATTGAGATATATTGAGAACTTTCCAAAGTATTATTTTCAAGTTCAACAATAGGCTTTGGTATTATAGCTCTCAAAAGCATAGTTTCCCGAAAAGATTTGGTATCAAATTCAAAACATGGACCAATGATAGTTGAACCATCATTAAATCCAAAAATAGCATAGTGAATAAGAGAACAACAGGACCAAGATCTAGCACCTAGTATGGGGGTCTTATTTTTATTGTATGATGTACTTTTTTTTTTATAGAAGGCTTCAATTGCAAATTGAGTGTAGTCACCTCGTTCCAAAGAAATGACAATTGCTCCTATTCCATGAGATACATATATATTGTTAGTTAATCTACACCATACAATATTGGTAATAGGTCTACTAGACAAATCAAACTCTTTAACTAAGTGATTCATACAACGTCTGTAATCAATAATTGTAATTTTCCCATTAATATCACCTACACACAATAATGAGAAACTTCCAGGACACCATGATGCTGATAATATTGGTCGATTCTCTGTAACTGAAATTATTTGCTCAGAAGGATTAATAATTCCTTCTTTTATATCTTTAGATACAGAATTATATGATTGAAAAGTCCATATTAAAATATTTCCTTCTAAAGTTGTACCTGCAATTCGTAAAATACCTGATGGACTTGGTATACATATTGAGGCTGAGTAGATGCAATGTACACCTTTATATGACCACAGTATATACTCTTCAGCATCAATTCTACTTGAGTTTATCGGTATTAAATATATATAAGCGCAAAAGTCACCTAATATTGTAAACAACAAACCTACAACCCCTTTTTCCAAACAGTCACTGAAAGGAATCCATTCAACATATCTACAAATCTTTTTGTTATGGTAAACTTCACATTTCAAATATGGCTCTATTCTAGAGTTATCTACATTACATTTCTCTTGTTCATTATCACAAGTAAATGGTATATTCCATATTTGTATAACTCCTGGACCACTATATCTTTTAAATATTTCAGTTACTGGACAATTTTCAGGATGTAAACTTACTGCTAGAAATATACAAGAATTATTTATTGGTGCACTAAAAGCTAACTTCCATATATGTCCATCAACTTTTATTATGTAAGGCATGAAATTACATTCAGTACATGCTAGTCCTTTATTTTGACCAAGCATAAAATCTCGCTCATGTTTTTCACATACAAAGGAAATATTGATCATATCTTTAGAATCACATTTATTAAGTCCCTCATTGTTTATTAAATCTGAATCTCTATAAAAAACATCTTGAAAACAATTAATCTTATTGAAAGTACCTTGGAACCACTCTGGAAACAAGTCGAACATCCTTAAGGGAACTAAGAGACTACCAAAAACTTTACATTCACCCACTTTAGTCCTTTCTAAGGGATAAAAACTAAATCCAGGTACTTCTAATAGAGCAGAAATATAATCTTCAATTTTCTTTTTAGTTCCCCCCTTCTTGGGACGTCCCCTCCTTCCTAAACAAACATTTTTGGATTTATTCATGGAAATAAAACAATTCACACATCTACTATTTTGGAGATACCAATCAGTTCAAAAATTCTTCAATATACTTTTTTTCCTCTTTGGTATGTACTTCCTAAAGTTCTGGTGTAACCTTACTCTTATATAGAGTGGTACCGCATTCTTCACTTTAAGGCAAGAAGTAGTACATATTGTCTAGAGGGGGAATCTATCAAATAGCACTAATGGTCTAGTGGCATGATGAAACGTTGCCATCGTTTCGACCGGGGTTCGATTCCCCGTTAGTGCATCTTTTTAGATTCCTATTACAAATTGTAGTATATTCTTTGTTCTTAATAATTTATTCCCAAATTCTCCCTTATATATTTCAAGATGTATAGTTTTAACTCTAATTCTTCATATTTATTAGAGCTCAATGCCTTGACTTATACACAAGATTTTAAATTCTATCATCGCGCTGTTTCTGACATTTTGCTTAGTGTTGCAGTATATAGAATTGGGAAGCAACACCTTTCGATTTCGTAGGTACTTTATGGGGCGTTTTCCAGCTAGCACATACATTTACAGAAGTAGAAGTAGAAGTATATCTAACAGTTACAGTGGAAGTGATGATAGTAGAGGTTACAGACGTAATCAAAAATACGAATCGAAATTACACCATAAAAGACGTTATAATGAAACCTATGACCGTTATAGAGGATCTGATGAATCACAATTTAATTTATATCAACGGGAACGTACTGGATACCGTCAAAATCGTCATTTAAAAGTAAATTATGAGAGATCTTTTTCAAGTGAACGAGAACAATCTCGTGAAAGGGAAAGATGCAGAAGACGTTCTCAGGCAGAGTAAGTTTAACTCAAAATTCAGATTGTTAGAAAATTTAACAATTTTGAAGACAAATTTATTTAATTTGTTTTTTTATTTTAGGTGTATTAGACGAGCAGGAGGGTACCAAAAATTAGCTCAGAGTGAAGGGAAAGATCCTACACCTGTCTTTTATGATGGATTTCAGTGGGTAGCGAAGACTGGAAGTATTGCAAGCATGGATCCAGCTGAGATGAATAACACGAGAAAACTTAGACGTCTCTATTTTGGTAATCTACCTCTTCATTTAGGCTTGAATGAACATATATTCCAGGATATAGTTTGGAAAGAGATGATAACCAGAAATATGTGCAATAATCCAAAAGAAAATCCTATTCTATGTGTATGGTTTGCTCAGAAAAAAGGTACATATGGCTTTGTAGAGTTTAGAACTGTTGAAGAAACTGAGAGAGCCTTAAATCTAGATGGAATGAACTGTATGGGAGTTCAAATTAAGGTTTCAAGACCAAATGATTATTCTCAAGTGGTCATTCCCCAAAATCAAGCCATAGCTCTTCTTGGACAACAAAGTGTGAACATGTTGTTAAGTGAACAAAAAAGTAATATTGAATCTCCTAATATTAATTCTAGTATAATGCGACTCATACAAGTTGTGACTCCTTCTAATATAGAGGATATTTATGAATATGATGAGATTTTTGAGGATGTAAAGGAAGGATGTGAAAAATTTGGAAAAATACTTTCAGGAAGGATTTTGAAACCCGGAGAAACTGAAGAGTTGAATGAAGTTCAAAAAATACGTAACAATAATATTACACTGAATACTGCAGATGTATTTTTGGAATTTGAATCCTCTAATATTCTGCAATACTGTCTCACATCCATGTTAAATAGGTCATACGAAGGGAAACCTTTAAAAATGGAGATTTTTGATCAAAGTATTTACAGGCAGTATATAGTTAAAGTAGAATCTTAGTAATAAGAATTAGTTAACTTAATAACTACAAAAATAGATATACAAAAAATAAATAGGTTTTGTACATTTTAATTGATCAGATTTACTGATTCACTATGTAGTTGAAGTATCCAACATTTTTAATTAAACTATAGTGTTGCTTTATTTTTAAAGTTGTAACGTTATTTTGCAATGAAATAAAACCTAAATATTTCAGATTTATTATAATCTTAATTTCTCATTTAAGTATATAGAACTTGTATAAAGAATTAAATAGCTAATTAGGTGATAATATTATACACTTGCAAAAAAGCATATTAATTAACTCCCCTCAAACGTCTTTGTTTATGTTTCTGTGACTTCTTCTTGTTTAATAAACGACTTTTTAATCTCTTTGAGAATCTCCGTCTAGCCACTACTTCTGGTCTTTTAACCAAATCTAGCTTCAACTGAGTCTTTCTTTTATTCCTTAACGTAAGTATTTCTTGCCTAGCTTCAGATAAGTATTTATATAAAATTGTAGAATATCCCATAAGTGAAAATTGTCTGTCCCATTCTTCTAGTGCTCTCTGACTTAACCAACAGAAATTCCTTATAACCTCTTGAACAGATAAATGACCAATTCTTGTTATCCAACTAATATTTTTTGGATTATCTATTATAATAGAATCAAGAGGGGAATTCGGACTTGAATGAATAATTGTGGAGCATTGAAATAAAGCCTTTATTGAGTGTCTTAAGGTCTTATTTGAGTATTCATTGGAAATTAACTCTTCTGTATATTGTGGTAACCATTGAGAAAAATCATATAAGAATTTAAGATTTAGTAGTAGTCTAACTCTAAATTTTCCAGGTTCTGTAGTGTATAGACGACAGTGCCAAGCCACACGGTTTAAGATCCACCAAAATGGTTTAGAAACTTTGGATTCTTTTGGAATTACTTTTGGAATTATTTCAGATTTCTCTGACCTACAACATAGCCATTGATTATCATCACTTTCATTTAATGTATGAGTTTCCATTAAAGTCTTTTTTTTATTTTGTGTATCTTTAGGGATTTCAGGAATTTTACTAGATAAATAATTATTCACCTCATTATCAATATCATCATTTTCTATATTTAATTCATCTTCATATTCATCATTTTCTATTATTAACCAGTCAGACTCCGTTACTTCATTTTCCTCTAAAATATCAATCTTCTTATAAGTTTTTTTTTCTAAACTCTGGAATTCTTGTGTCTCAGAATCAGTACTAGATATTTTGTTTTTTCCATTCAAAGACTTCGAAGGAGGTTTCCATGATGAATCTAAATGTCCAGATAGTAGAGTACCATGCTGTACACATGATAAAATCATAGGACATAACCAAGAAGCACTTTCAACTACTGGATCAAACAAATGTACAATAATTTTATTAAATAATTTCCCAAATATCTGGCTATCTCCTAAACAAGCTCTAAAAATGATTGATACTTTAGAATGATCAAATTCACCGATATTTATACAATATTTAAAAGCCTTCAATGTAATCCTAATAGATGAAGCTCTTACCCATAAATGATAGCTTGATAGCCCAATGTTAGTAACATTCTCCCATATAACCTTCCACATGTCCGATATTTGTAGAATTTGATCTTCGGATATATTAGATTGACTTTTCTCTGATAACCAATTATCAAAAAATTCAGTTTCACTTACGGAATCCCCCAGTAAGTTTTCCAAAAGTAAGTATGATTCATACTGGAGCCTATAACTCTTACAAATTGATGTATTTTCTTGGTATTCAAAAGAATTTACACATCTATATAATTGAACAAATACAATTTCTAGGTATTGTTTTAACTCATGTTGTAACCTATTTTCCAACTTTTTATTTTGAAAGAAACCAAGAATCATTCTAAGTGTTGTGATAAGGCAACGCTTAATGCAAAGCTTTTCATAGAGTGGTTCCAGCGTATTGATAAGAAGAGTAATTAATTGAAATCTGCCACGTTTGTTTGTACCATAGAGATTTAAAATATCATTTATAATCAATTCAACCATTGAAACACACCTTGAATCGGTCTCATTTGATAAATATAATGTTAATCCACATGTTATCATTATACTGTATGACTCAATAATTAATTGAGCTGGTAGTCTAGTAACTAGGGTATATAGGGCAAATAATATTGCTTGTCTTCCTTCGGATGTTGAATAACTAGGAAGATTCTCCAATAATATTGATATTCTCTGTCTTTGAGCTTTATCACTCATTGGATAATATAAAAGAAATTCTGCATAGAGACAACTTCCAAGACGAACAAGCTTAGGTTCAACACTACTATATTGCACGAGTAAGGGTAATATAGAATCAACCAATGAGTATAAGGATCCTAGTGACTCACTTGAAGCTGAAATACTTGATTTACCATATAATATCACTTGGCGTATAAGCTGTAGAGAAACTAGCCTTAATCTACGATCATTTACACAAATATGTAACTGACGTAGTAAATTTATGTAAAATGGGCTTAGTTGTGGGGTTAAATTTTTATCTTTAATCCATATAATAGAATTAAACCATTCAGAAGAACTATGACGTAGTAATAATGCTACCAGAAGTTTTAGACAAGATGATGTCAAGTCTGTTATAGAATTCAAAGCATTGGATGAACTTACACTTGATCTTTCCATTATTGAAACAACATTCTTTGCAATAATTGGTCCACATTTATCAAGTAAAGAATACAAAGTAATTTCTATATCAAGTACTTTGGAGTTCATAATAGTATTCTCTTGTAAAGGTCCTACAAAACTTCTTGAGTTTTTGTTAAGTGACTCAAGAGTTATGAGGCGTAATAAACATCTAGAAGATATTGTAACTACTTCGTGAGAGCTACTTAAGAATGCTAAGGTAGCTAAAGGAATCAAATAACTCAAACTTGTATTTATTGAAGTAATAGAATCATAACTTTGTAAATCCTCATATAGTTTATTTATTCTAACTTCTTTTAGGATATAGTTTAAAATATAAAGAGCTGACTGACCTAATACAACCCCCTGAATCTTTTGTTCATATCCTCTTTTTGGTTTTATTATCTGATGTATCCCACGTCCAGACGCAGCTCCTGGTTGTATCATAAATATCTGATCCTTTTTCTGTATAACTTTTTGCAGACCACTATTTATAGAAGATAAACTCAAATCTTCACTCATTACTTTCATTTCATCTATTAAAATCTCGAAATTATCAAGATATTTGCTTGAGTAAAGTGGTTCTAATATGTTTATGATTTCATTTACTTTTTTATCACGTTTCATCTTAGGATCAAAATTTAAACTTAGGGCGAGCAATTTTACTGAAAAATCGAGTTTATTTAAAGTACATATGTTTCTATTTTTAATAAATCCTGCACAAGATTGAATAATCAATTGTTTAATCCAATGTAAATACTTCTGACTGTAAGCATCAGAAATTATGCTACCGTCACGATCTCCCCAAGTACCATTTAAGAGTCCATATAAAAACCTAAATATCTCATTTATTCCATCAATTGAAACATATTCACTAATTATTTTCATAATTTCTGGGCAACGAACAAACTTGCACTCATCTACTTTTGATGTTACTGGGGTATCTATGGTTTCTAATGCTGTGCGACGATCTGGATCTGCAATCCTGTTCAACTCACTAGATATAAGAGGTGCTAAATGTTGAATACAAGAATCTAAAATGAATTCTTCTGAGTTCCCACATATCTCATGTTCAGTGTTTTTTAGCCTGTTTTTATGATTACTTATTACTTCCTTAAGAATAGAGTGAATAGTAAAACTTAAAACAGAAAGTTGATAACCTTTAGTAAGTATTTCAGACATTTGAGAGAAAATCCATGGCAAATAATTTATTCCCAAAGTATCACAAACAGATTTTAAAGCAGCTCTAGTACGTCTCCTAGTTTCACGATCCTTAGATTTTAAGGCTATTATCAATTGGTTCACGAGTCTTGGAAGTTCTGAGTGAAATTGTTTATCGGGAAGGCATTTAAGTATTTTTAAAATAACTAAAACTATTTCTGGACGTATTAAACCATAATTTACTGTAGAAGATTTCTCAAATTTACTAATAGGATTATTTGTATGATTGTCATCATATGAACTTAAAATATTATTACTTTTATCTACCATGAGGAAACGTAACATTGGCAATAATTTCCTACGTAAACTGTTCTGCATTTCAGTTAACTCATCAACCACTTCTTCATCTATTGATTTATCTAGTGAAATATCCCCTTCAAATTCAATTTCAGATCCTTCCGATCTTAATAAAGTCTTCTCTATATTTGATTTTTCTAAAAATCTTAGTGCATGTTCACTAAGGAGACTCTCTTGAATATGGAAATCAAATGAATTTAATACAATGCAAATTGCTTTAATAATATAAGTTTTTCTTTGAGGTAAGACACGTAATAACTTTACTAAACTGCCTGTCAAAGATATACATTCCCTCCATGTCAAATAGGGTGTAAAGCATTCTAAAGCCCTTAAAGAATTATCTCCTAATCCCAAATGATATGATTCTTTGCTTGAACTTCTCTGTAATAGTGCATCAATACAAAGAGGAATTCCAATATTTTTCACTGTATAACTTGTTATTGAATTGTAAATTGGATATTGATCTAAAAAAAAACAAGGCCGTTTGTTTTCAAATGAATGTCTTGAATTATTGAGCTTTTCTTTATTATCCCTACACCATTTAGCAAATTTTCCAAGATAGTTTAATGCTCTAGCTCTTCTATGTTTTTGAATATGAACTATTTCTTCAAAAATATTTGCATAATTCTTTTCATTTGTTTCGCAATACTTTAAAATAGGATAAAATTCTAGATGAAATTCCTCCATTAAATTATATGCATTAGTATTTAAAATCTTAGCTACCTTAGGAAATTCTAGATGTCCAATTAGTTCAACCCTTGTACCTATAAGTTCTATAGCACATCTTTTAATTGATAAGTCATTGGAAAATTTGAGCATCTTATGTTCTTCAGTCACTATTATTTTTGTAACTAATTTATAGAACAAAAGCACAGACTTCCTACAATATAAAGTATTTGGATCTCCCAAATTTTGATATTTTTCCAATTCATAATTTATTCTATTAATCCAAGATTCCAGGAATTTTACAATTAATTTCATAGACATCTGTCTTACAGTAAAGTCACTATGTGAAGTACCTATAAAATTTATTAATTGACATATTAGAGGAAGTAATGATTGAATTGGGATATCGTTATCTGAACATGCAAATTTATTCTTTTGATTCTCACCAAATAGATATTCAGTAAATCTAATTAGTAATTGTATTTGAAGATTAATATCTGGTATTGGAATTACATTTCCATGTTGTTGGGTATTTAAACAAAACACTAAGTAAGAGATAAATACATACCACTTTTCATTAGAATCTTCTGTAAGTACTAGTTTAGATTTTTTACAACTGTCTTCAATATTAGTATTAGATTCTCGACTTGAAAACCAGATCTCCATATTTTCAGTTATTGGATCATCATCTATAAATTCTTTTTCGGAGTCAATTTGGTATTCTTTAACTACATTTTTAAATTTGATATATTCTGTCTGCAAATTATCTCCAAAACCCACTAATTGCATCTCAGCTAATAAAATAATTTCAGATAAAGACATTCTTATTAAAAGTTCACTATTTTTTAAAAGTAGCAAGCTTGAAATTCTTGATATTAATATCAAAGAATCTATAATGAAAATAGTAGGATTCATTTGAGACTCATCTGTTAATAGTAATTGTGTCAATTTATTCATATTTTCTTCTATGTCAAGAGTGAACTCAAGATCATTATGCTTTGATACTACTATATTATTGGCAAACTGCAATGATTCAAATAAATTGTGTTTTAAGAGCCCAGATAATGTTCTGAGTAATTGAATTAATTGATATGTAATTTTTATACTTTTTGAGGTCATTTTTGCTACTGAAGATGATAATAATAATAGTATCAGGCGAACTATAATTACACAATTTGAGTTATATTCCCCCGAGATATTTTTTGATAACAAAATTCTTGTTGAATTCTGTTCTATTTTATCATCTACATATTCAGGTATAACACCCAACTTTCCCTGGAAATTTATTTGAGCTATTGTCATTAATAGTAGTAATTCTTCATCAGAAATTAAACTCATACTTTTATTAATTTTATTACTTAGCTCGTAATTTACTTTATTTGTTTTATATCGAACTCCAATCAAGATTTCAAAGGATTTCAATAACTCAGGAATAAATTGGGATAATAATAAAAAGCCACTTTTGCATATCAAACCCTCTTTTCTAGTGTTTAAATGTTTACTCTGAATATCATTATTATAAGTATCAGATTCTATATCTGATAAAAAATCCTGATAACCCCCCAAATTTATATTTAAATTCATTTTCTTGTCATTCTCTTGTTTAAATATTTCAAATTTAGTTTTCCCACCATATAACATATATAAGAATGATTTGACTATTAATGATACAACAGGACCAGAAGGCTGAAATTTTTCAAAGCTATGATTTTTAGTATAGGTTATTACTGCTTTACTTGATATACTTGTACATAAAGTCCTTAGTGCATCTGGAAATATATTTGGAAGTAATTGATATAATAATGGATCCTCAAATATCTCTAATATAAAGCATATTATTGCAGATAATTGGAATGTCCCGGATCCATTAATGCTCTTGTTAAATATAGATTGCAAAATTTTAGCAATAGGTTTTAAAATATAGATCCATTCTTTATTAAGTTCAGGATATCTAAATATAATAGATCTTATTCTATTAAGTAATATACGTATTATTAATCTGAAACGTGAAGAACTTAACCTGGAGATTTCAGATGTATAGAGATTCTCAATTAAATCTATTTCATCTTCTCTAGATAAAGTCTGGAATTCATCTTTTGATTCTGATTTACTATAGTCATACTTCATTTCATCTTTACAAACTTGACAAAAAATATTCACCACTAATATTAAAATATTTGCTATGTACATTCTTAAATTATGTGCCATTTGATCTAAAATATCTTCTAATAAAACTAAAAATTTTATCGCAATCTTTAAGCTATTATTCATTATATCAATCTTAACTGAGTAAATTTTCACAAAAAATTCCTTATTGCTTATATCACTTTCCAAAATAGTTCCAGTGTACATAAAGCCTATACTATCACTCCATAACCACTTCGATACTGTATCTAAAGTACTAAAATTCTCATTTTGGTTTATTAAATTATATAAAATTAATTCTTTTATCTGGCCATATATTTTAATAAAATTATCTTGGTATATAGTAAGTAATGGGGAATCTAAACTGTTATTTTTAATTAGGGTTATATTATCAATCTTATTATATAATAAAGGATCTACCTTTAACTTTTTGTTTTCATATTTGTATTCTGAAAAATTTTCTGCTGGGTCATTTAAAATGCATACGGAGAGAATAGGTTCAAATAGAATAGATAATATTAAACCAATTTCATTATTAGGTAGCTGCGATAAGTATGAAAATAATAATTTACGTCCACTCTTTCTATTAATAGTTTTCACACCACCTCTATTCTTGTTTCCAACGCATTCTCTACTTTTGCTAAGTTTAGATAAAATTAATCTAATAACCAAAGGTATGACAACTAAACGATGCTCTTTGTGTATTGTATCTTTATCTAAATATAAAGGATACATTAATAAATTGCTTCTTAATGTGTTTTCATTACTGGAATCACTATTTACTAAAGATTTCAGCATGTTTGTATATGGAGAAATGTAATTTGAATAATTACCCCACTTAGAAATAATATTGATTATTTCAATCTGAAGCTCAGGGTAATTAATAGATAATAAATGAGATATCAAATTGTCACATAATATATTGAGTATAAAATCAAATGATTCTTGAATATGTTCACTACTTCTATCATTGGTATCATAATATGATGTATCAATGACTTCATTCTCTTCAATTTTAACTTTTTCAATAAATATTTCAAAGTTACTTAATATGTATCGAAGAGTTTTAAGAGAATTATTTAGTCTGGAAATCAAGCCCTTTTCTGTGCTTGGAAGTTTGCAACTTGGAATATAAAGCTTTAGTTTCATTTCTGGATTATTGTAACTATTTAAAAAATTCATATAATCAATATTTCCGGAAATTTCGCAGGACAGTTGAAATACCCAAAATAAAACAACGAATTCATATTGTTTAAGAGGTTCAATATTAATAGTATATAAATTTTGTAATACTTTCCATGCCATTTCATGAACTGTAAAGTGATCTGTATACAAACTTTCATAACAATCAATACCCATTTTTATTTTCGAAGTGTTAATATATATTAAAGATAATGAACACTCCCATACCAAACCAATCAATTCTTTGGAATTAATAGATGATTTCTTATTCCCAATAATAATTTTTGCAATTCTTGTAATATTGTCTATACATGGCTGCCACAATACATTGAATTTAACATAAAATTGAGACAGAATACATCTAATAGCTAATTCAAAGGGATATAGAAGATATTTTGAACTATTAATTGTAGTAATATTGGTATATATACTATCACAAATTTGTTGTATATATCGAATTTTAATACGCTCATTTTCTATCGTATTTGAAGTAGCTTCAAGATTATATAACAAATATACAATATTGAGCAGAAAAGATAAATTGGCTCTTAATTCTTCATTTTGAAAATCAAATGACTCCAGTATTTTTATGAATATTTGTAGAGTATCCAATCGAATCTTTTGTGATGGGTTTTGTATCCAGTATAAAGCTAATATTTTGAATTTTTCAAGCAATTTTGTGTCAGTTGATATGAAGTCCCTTTTTTTAAAAATATCACAAATTAGAAATATATCTAAGACTTCAATCAAATTTCCTGAGAGTTCAATTTCTAATGACGGTAATTTTGGATCATGCACAAGAATAGAAGGTTTCTCTAAATTATTTACATCTATATCCAGCCAAATTAGAACATTATATAGCAGATCGTCTAGTGTAAGGAGAGGAATATCCAATTCTATAAAAAGTCTTAAAAATAGTTTTAAGAGCGTAAGATATCCTACTTCTGATAAATTGGGATATTTATTGATTATATTTAAAGGAAATTTTAAGACAAAAGGTTGAGCTGTAAATTCAGATGGAATTATAAATACAGTTAAAATTTGAGAATAAGCTTTTTGTAACAAGTTGAAAAGTTCATTCTCTTTATTAGTAACATCATAAACTTTATTACATTGAAGTCTAGTAATTAATTCTAAAGTTACTAGTACTTCTTGTAATGTTTCTTTAAAGAATACATCATTATCTTTATTTATAATTGATTTATATTCAGTTCCAATTTGTGGTTCCTCAAATATTATAAATCCTCTCTTCAAAACATTAATGCTAATATCTATAAGCACTTTCACAAGATCATCATCATGTTTAGAAAAAAAATTTGTTGGAGACCTTAATATTCTAACTATTTTGGGATCTTTAGGAGTTCCAATGGATAGATACAAATTAATAATCTGGTAAAATTTTAACACTAATTTAATATTCATATCCTTATATTTACTTATTACAGATTTAACAAGTTGTTTTACTATTATAAATATTTTTTCATATTCTACAGGCTTACATTCCCAATCAAAATATTTCCCAATAGTGCTTAACAGGTCAAAAGATACTAATTCTAATGATTCAATATCATTACAACAGTTTAATAATAAGTGAAGCCATGTCCAAGATGAATTATTATCTGAGTCACTTAAAAAATCTTTTTGATTAAATTCAAATATTTTATTTAGTCTCCAAAAATTACTATTCAAACTTCTCAATTCACATGTAATTTCATATATCTCTTCTATTCCACGTAGTTTTATAGTTAATCGTTGTAAAAACTTTTCTTTACCATTCAGATTTTCTATAATTACTTTTTCAATAATTAGCTTCAAAGAAACTATTAGTAACTTTATATCCTTACTATTTTTAGTTAATATATTTAGCCATCCATTCTGTATTGGTAAAAGAATGATCGATATTATATTTATCTTTGTATTCTCACTTATAATTTGATTATATTCTCCATTTCCTGAATACCATTGAGCAATAGTACCGCATAATTTTGATATCTTTACGATATATAACTCAAATTGATCATCTTTATCTCGACCAGTTGTATTTTGATTATTTTGATCTATCTCATAAGTGCATGCCAAATAAAATAATTCTAAGTATACTGAAAGAAGCAAACAAGCTTGTTCTACAAAGACTAGCTCATTTCTACCTTGAAGAATATTAATTCTAAGTTTTCTATATAAGTTAGTAATAACACATTCAAAAAAATCATGGTATTTATGTTTATATGAGTAATATTCAAGCTTTGTTTCGAGATGAGCTGTTATCACATCTAAATCTTCATCAACTGAATTAAAGAAATCAGATAGAACTCCGAATGATTTGTTAATTTTCTCAATATTAATTATACTTGAATCATATGTGATACCAAAATAAATTTGTTTTAAGCAGTATTTAATTATTATATTACCTTTAGTAGTTACACCACCATTAATAGATTTTACACTTGTAAATAATACATCTGATACCCATTCTGATAAATCTTCCAATTTATTCTTTTCCCATTTAAAACTTTGTTTCAAAATATAAATGGATATAATATTAATAGCTTTCTTAACATCTTTAATATCTGCTTTCCTTAGTGCATAAGCTATAGATTCAGCAGTGAAAGCACGTACTAAGGATTTTGGATGGAAAATCCAATCTTCAAACATTATTATATATTTCTCTAGATCTACTAAAATATATTTGGATAAATAAAAGAAAATCGTTGATATAGATGAAAATATACCTTCTAAAACTTGCTCATTGAACTCTCCTACTCCTCCAAATCCAGTAACTGAACTATTCTTAAGTGGTTTATTTAATCTTTTTGATAGTGCCAAAAATATCTTTGGTAAATTTGGTACTAATTCTACTCGAGTATCCTTAGCTAAAACTCCAAATAGTCTAGATATTGCCTCAGCTGTTTCTGGATATTCACATTGTATTAAACCTTCAGCTAGAGTATCAATAATTATTGTTAGGTGGATGAGAATATGGGGTAATGAATGAATATAAGGACGTATTAATTTAATATATGATGTAAATTCATCATATCGTACACAAGATTCCCAGTAACGTACATTTTCACTAAATTGGGTCTCTTTTAATTCTTTTGTGCTATATTCATCTATAATTTCAACATAACTATCGGAACAATCATTATTAATTTTATCAGAATGTATGAAACTAGTCATATTGTCTATTTTAATATCAATATTCGATAACTTGTCAATGTAAGTTTGGAATCTAAATTTATTTTCACTTCTAGTTCCCACTTTCTCTTCATTACTCCTTTTCTGTATATTTACCCTTTTTTCTACCATTTCATAATTTATTCTAAAATTCTCCAATACCTTTTTTTTTTTTTTTTTAAAAGAGCTCCAGATTCTCATACGTGACTTATCTTATTTCTGCCTAAGACTACCATCTCCTGACTTTTACCTGTAAAACTAATATTAAAGTGGCGGTAATTCAGGCGGGAATTTGAATGTTTTCCTACTTTTTTTATTTTGGAAAAAGGAAGGGAATTATTAAATTTTACAATGTTTACTAGTTTAAAACAAATAGAAATATGGGTAAATACTTATCAGTTAGATATTTCTGTACTAGAAGTACTTCTGAACCTGCAGTCACTTCAAAATCTGAAATATCCCAAGGTAATAATTATATCCTCCTAACCATATTTAAAATCTAAATATTTTATTTATTCTTTTCCTATATTTATAGATTTTAATGAACAATTAACATGTATATTATCAGATAGATATATTGCACAGACAATGTCTAGAAGCAAAAGTACATCAGGTAATTTAATTAGTAGGGCTGCTTGGGATACTTTAAATAAAAGTGGGTCTCGTTGGTTATTAAGAAGTTTTATACGTTTTGGGAAATCCAGTTCTATAACTAGATTTATATTAAGTAGTATGGGATTATATGTTCAAGATGCATTATGGTGGTTTGATACTAAACTGCAAATGATGGCTCTTACAATAGATGATGTTCCAGGCATGGATCCATCTACAAATGACTTGATATTAGACTTATTAAAGGAATTTAATGTCAGGTGTACATTTTTTGTTACAGAAAAAAATGCTAGATATGTATCTAATTCAGATAAATTTCTTAAACGTTGTATTGAAGAAGGTCATGAATTGGGTAATCATTTAGCTGAAGATATACCATGTAATAAACTTTCATTAGCAACTTTTGCACAAAACTTACTTGAATGTGAACATTTAATTAGTCGTTTTGTACCGAATCATATATGTATTAATTCTATCTCATCTATGGATTCTGATTCAGATATAATTTCAACTAAATTTAAGTGGTTTAGACCACCCTTTGGTCGTCTTACACGTCAACAATATGATTTTGTTATATCTCGTGGTTATACAGTGGTAATGTGTGATGTATATCCAAATGATGTATCCCTACAAAGTTTTCCTCAATTTCTTGCTGAGTTTTGTACTAATCATGCTGCTCCAGGTTCTATTGTTTGTATTCATATGCCCTCCAATGATTTCCGAGCAGCTAATTTGGAGGTATTTAGACTTTTATTACCAAAAATTACAAGACGATTTGAATGTGTAACTCTTTCAAGACTTGCTCAAGAGGTTATAAAGGAAAATATTTCAAATTCTAAAGATATTTAAGTTACAATAACTATAACTAATAATAAATATATATAGAATTATCTACAAATCACTCAGCTGTTATTTTGAGTATTCTCATCTCTTGAAAATACTAAACTATTGGATCCAACGAAACATTTTTTGTGATGCAAAGTATCACATGCTACTTTATTTACCGAATAATCTATTTGAATTGTTGTATGATATATTCCATATTTCTTTTGGCATAATTCTGTAGCATATCTTAAAGTTTCCCTAGCACTTCCCTCCTTTATTACTACTAAATGACATGAAAGAGCTGGAACACCAACAGATAAAGACCACACATGAAGATCATGTACTTCATATACAGTATCTAAATTTAACATATCTTGTTGAATTGAAGTACAATCTATCCCTACTGGAGTTCCTTCCATAAGTACAGTTGCTACATCTTTTAAAATATTTAAAGTAGTTGCTAATACAAAAAATGAAAATAAAATTGTGCACAGAGGATCTGCAATAGACCAAGAGGGTTTGAACCATATACATAAACCTGCAATCATTAATCCAATATTTTGTAAAATATCTCCAATAACGTGAATATAAGCTGATTGCAGACTTATACTCTGTTTATTATCATCTATATTATTGTTACAATCATCATCAAAAAAATGAGTTGATTTTGTGATATCAGGTGAAACAGATACTTGGGAATTCTTAGTAAACTTAGTAAATTTACATATATGTTTTGTTTCATAATTATGATCCATACTACATGAATTACTTGTTAATGGAATTCCATGACTGTGAATGGATAAAACAAAAGTAATAAATATATTGGCAAATGTACCAAACATTGCAGTTATAAACATTGATATACCATCAACTGATATAGGTTTAAATATTCGTTGAATAGCTTCATAAACTAGTAATATAGTCATAATCCAAATGAGTAGTATACTCAGTAAAGCTCCTAATACCTCTGCACGGTGATATCCAAATGACATTGTCTTAGTTGCCTTCTGTTTCGCCATATATATACTAACAAGTGTTATAAAGTAACAACAAAGATCAGAAAGTAAGTGTGAAGCATCTGATATCAATGCCAAGGAATGAGAAAAAATCCCAACTATTACTTCTATAATAGTAAATAATGTGCATAATATTATAGCATAAACAACTCTCCTTTGGATATTATTATTTAATCTAAGGTTGTTTTTTTCTTTATGACCTAGTAATGGACTATTTAGCTGTTTTGCTGTCATCTTCCAATATAGATTTTACTATTTGGAAAAGAAATACTATTAGAATTATTGTCCAGAATACCCGCTATTGGCGTATCTAAATTTTGTTATTACTGTTTGCTACTGAAGATAATTTTGAGATACTTCTACAAGTTTCCTAAGTACAAATTCTCAATTATTTTAAGGTAAATATATCTTCAAAATTTAATTCAACTTTTTTTTTTCTCTATTTTGTAAATAATATAGATTAATGTAGACATGCACGCAATTTAATACTATTAATATTTCCAAATATTTCTTTAAATACTTAATAACTAAAGATATACAAATATATATAGTTGGGGATCATATAAATTCACTTGTTATTATTTAAGTATATTATAGGGGAAATATCTTTAGATAGTATATATTAGAAAAATTTTGGTAGTACTGAGGAGGCGCTTCTGTATAAACAGATTTGTGTTTATATTCAAGTATAATGGACATACTTTAAAGTTAGATCAATATATCATAAAATATTTGGGTTATTATATATTTAATTTTACTAAAATTTTAAAATAATGGCAAGACAACCTTTTGTGGGAGGTAACTTTAAGTGTAATGGTACTAAGGACTCTCTTAGATTATTATTGAAATCATTTAAAGATTCACAAATAACAACTAATACTCAAGTATATGTATTTCCCACATTTATACATATACCTTTAGCCTATGAAATTTTAGAAGATTCAGGAATTAATATAGGATCTCAGGATATATCGTCTACAGGGAATGGGGCATATACAGGTGAAGTATCTTGTGATATACTTAAGGACTACAATATACATTGTACATTAATAGGGCATTCAGAAAGACGTCAATATTATTCTGAGACAGATTCAGTTGTTAATGCAAAGGTATTACATGCTTTAAAGCATAATTTTACAGTGGTTTTATGTATTGGAGAATCTCTTCAAGAACGTGAATCAGGAAAAACTAATGATGTTATTAAACATCAATTAGAATTTGCCTTAAAGAAAGTTAGTGATTTATCTAATATTGTAATTGCATATGAACCTATTTGGGCAATTGGAACAGGGGTTGTAGCAACCCCTGAACAAGCACAAGAGGCTCATGAATTTATTCGTAAGTGTTTATTAAATATGTATAATAATAATGTATCTTCAAGCACTCGAATAATTTATGGGGGATCTGTAAATCCTGAAAATTGTAATGAACTAATAAATTGTGCTGATATTGATGGATTTCTAGTTGGTGGGGCTTCTCTTAAGCCATCATTTGTTGAGATAATAAATTGTACATTTCACTAATATATAGCATTAAATAATAGCTATATTGACTCATCATTTATATTTACAATTTTTGATAAGTAATCTTCAGCTTTTTGACAAGCAACTTCCAATTGTGTTAATATTTGATAATCATTTTGAATTCTACTAGATTTAGAATTTGCCAATTCTGTCTTGAAATGACTAAGTATTTTTTTCATTAATCTACAATGAAATAAATATATAAGATATTTTGAATATTATTAAAATTCCTAAGTATTTGTGAGTTGATATTTACTGAACACTTACTGGTCTATACTTTCAATATCATTTTCACGTTTACACTTTTCTTCATGTAAAATATCTTGTAGAGTATGGATTTCTATATAAAGCATATAAGAATAATTATAGAAGATGACTTAATATATAATTTGTAATAAAAAGATTATCTTACTGTTTTCTAAAGTAGTTTGGATATTGTCTTTAATTCCCTTCCTAATATATTTTATTTTTTGCAAATAAAATTAAGATGATTAGATTAAATAAATAAGAAGTATCCCTACCTTTTCTGACGTAATAATTCTACATTATTTGTCAATTCACTTAGAGAATTTGACATTTCATTAAATTGTTGTTCTCTTTTAATATCAACATCTAAATATAGTATTTAATATAAATATGTAGTACTTTAATATATATTAGATTTTATATTACATTTTAAACAAATATATACATACCTGATGAAAAATTTAAATGTTGATCTTCATTTCTGTCTAGATAATTTTTAATAGTATTCTCAGAATTTAATTTTATATCATGACGTGATTCACGTAGATTTGCTATATTTTGGGCAATTTGAAGTTCCAATTCATGAACACTCTTTTTAATTCCTTCTTTAATTCTATTTCTGCCTTCACATTTCCTTTGATATAATTTTGTCAATTCAATAGTTTTAGAATTTAAATCCTAGAAGTAAAAAAAAAGTAATTATATAATAAATTACAAATATACTTTTTTCTTAAAAATTAGTATAATTTATCCTTACATTTATCTTAGATATATGTTCTCGTTTAATATTAATAATTTTCTGATCCAATGATTTGATATGATGATTTAGTACTTCAGAGCTTGCCTTAATAAAAATATTAAAGTGATGTTAATAAACCAAAGCATTTCAAAGTATATTAACAAAAAGCTTACAATCAGTTTGTCTCTAGCTCCAGTAATATCTCCCATATTTATATTAAAATACACAGTTTATAATATAGCATTTATTATTCAATTAAGCTAATACATGTGGTTTTTGGTATATAAAGATGGTTATCCATAAACTTTTATCTTGTATACAGGCAATGAGACAGATGCACAATTTTTATTCTAGCGCGGCAGCATAACAGGTACCTAACTTGTAAAGTTTATAAAAGTGATTTTGTGAAAATTGAACAGTTTGAATTAGATAAATAAATTGTCTCTGATAATATAATAATCTACTGTTATAGAATTATTTATTTAAAATCAAATAAAAATACTTTAATTATTGACTTAATATTACTTCTATAAGCATGCATTATAAGCGCTTAAAATATGTCATAAATAATTATCTAATACTGTAAAAATACATCTTAATAGCTATAAATATAAAAAAATATTTATGTACAAATTAGATTATAAATATCTTGATATTATTAAATGTTTTTATTAGAAGGGTTTATAAGAGATAAGGTACTCTCTTTTTGTTAAGCAGTTTTATCAAGGAAGAAATAAAATATTCGAGTAATACTTTTGTTAAAGATATGTAAGAATGACTTCATTCAGTATTAGGAGTTTCTAATACCTAAGAATAGTATAATTGAACTATATACTTGCATTCTAATTGTTGTTGGAGATATGTATCAAGTTCGGTGTAGAAACTTGCATACCGATCTATTCTGAAATCTCCAATTTATATATATTCTAATTTATTTATTATTGCAATTATTTGTTTATATTTCATATTATCATTCCATTATCTAAACCTTAACCTTAATACCTAATTAAAGATTCCATAAATGAAAAAGACAACTGTATATCTATACATTTAGGAAATATTGATATTTATCTTTACTAATAATTCATATCTTCTAGTAGAATTATGAAAGAAAGGCGAGAATATAGTAAGACAGAACATGGTACATAAATAAAATATTGAGCAAATAAGATAACTTAATAAACCAATGAAGTAATTTACTAACCTATGATTTTTTTAAAAAAGATACCCTTAAATTACGAAAAAAGATAAGAATATATATTGCTAGTTTTCTATAAATAGTAGGAATATAATTTAGATACTATTGTATATGTAGCGCCAGGTTACTTTTCTTATTGTGTTGTTTATTGCATCACGAAAAAGTAGGGGGTGTATTTAATGAAACAAGATGAATCAGCATTCAATTCTAAGCATATGCTTTATTATGCTAAAAAACTAACAGGTACACCAAATTGTCTTGCTGTATGCCATTGGGCTCAGTGTCCTGAGCTATTGTCAGAGATACTTGATAATACTTTGAAAAATAATGAATCAAGTGGGACAAAAGAGCAGGATACACAATTTATGGATACGGAATTGAATCGAATTGCTGTAGCTGGACGTTCTCTTTTACATCTAGGTACTGTTGATGCAAGAGATGTAGCTGTATTTTACAATTTAACACGAGCAAATTTTGCAGCTATTGGATGGTCTAGAGGTTCGCATACATTTGCAGGTTTAGCAGTAGATGGTTCGGCTCATATTTATAAGATTAGAAAATCTCGCCATTGGTATTTATCATTAAGATTACAAACTCAGTATAGAGTTGGTTGTAGCTTAGAGTGGCTTGGAAATGCTCCTAATTTATTTGCTCTTGGATTTCAAGATGGTTCAATTCGTTTGTTTGATGAAGAAATAGGAAAAATGACTCTAAATAACAAATCAAATTCTAGTTCTGTGAAAGAGGATTATTATTCAGTATGGGGTACCTCTTTAGTTCCTGCACCAGTTAGAGATTTACATTCACGTTATTTGGCTCCAGATACCTGGAGTAGAAATGAAATGATTGTAGCATATGATAACGGGATAGTATCACTATTAGATTTTAGATCAAAATCATCTCACAGTATAAAAGTTCAACTATCATCACAAGGTTTAAGCTCTATACGGTGGAACCCACACGATAACAATATTTTTGCAGCTGGTTGCAGAAATGGAGTATACATATGGGACATAAGGATGATAGACAGTGTTTCGCCAATTTCAGTTTTCAAAACACAGTCCCCAATAGCTAAAGTACGTTGGAGACCTGGTTATCCTACTCAATTAGCTTATTGTTGTTCAGTTATAGATTCTTCTATACTTGTTTATGATGTATTATCCCCTATACGGCCAATTATAAGATTTTCACATCATACAGATGTTGTTCGTGATTTTGATTGGCTAGATGTTGATGTAGTAGCATCTTGTGGGATAGATCATAATTTCATTATATCATCTAGAAAAGATAATGAACAATTTAGTCAAAGATTTCCTGTCTCTGATGCAATATACACACCATATTGCATGCATAATTGCATGAATTCAGAGCTTATTTTGTCTCATACCTGTCCATTTATAATGACTGAATTAACAACTGAGAAAATAGACTTAAAAAGTTTACATTTAAAAGGAGATAGTAAAGAGTCGAAAAACTTGTCAATATTTGATTTTTGCATTGAAAATAATGGTTATATAGATTCATCATTATATTCAGCTTGTGGTTTTCTCCCAGATATCGGTTTGACTCCTTTTCCCGGAGATTTGGCCTCAATTATGGATTCAAAATATTCTAAAGTAAGATCTATAAGCTATCATTTAGTTGTAAACTCAGACTCTGAGTGGATAACCAGAATTCCAAAGTTAATGTATATTGGTATATCTCCATGTTGGAGAACCCTAATATCTCATTTTCCATATATAAAATTAGAGAAATGGTTAAAGAAATGGAAAGATAAATTCAGTAAGTTTGAAAAATGTGATATTAAAGGGGAATATTGCAATCACAATGAGAATATTAACAAAGTCACATGCAATTATTTCCTTACTAAAAGTTCAGATGAATCAAACATATATCTAGTTACTTCTGGCTGTGGTGAAGGCTTAACAGATTTCGTTTTTACTAAAAATTCAGCTATAAGACTTAGTAACATTGACTTTGTAAAGGGTATATGTGAATTATTTTGTTTAATATTTAATGATCAAAATGGTGATCCATGGTTTGAAATATTGCAACATATTGAAGCTAATCCAAAGAATTTATCAGAAATAATTGAAACAACTCTGGAAAATTGCTTAAATAAAAATGATGTTGTTTCTACTCTTATACTATTTTCAAATATTATTTTACTATTACAGCCTTCAACATGCAATGATATTTTTAAAACAATATCAAGGAACGATCAAATTAGATGGTTTATATCCTTAATACAGTTATTACGAAAATATAAAATGTATATTTTAGCTTGTCAAATTATTAAAGCTTGCCCTATGGCAGAAATAAGAAAATTAACTCAAGAAGGTCTTACGGAATCTAATTTTTATTGTGGTGGATTGAGAAGACAAAATTCTAAGCACAGCGGTGAATTCGAGAGTAGTGAGAGTAGTGACTCTGAAGGATTAGACTTAAATGAAACTAGACCTATTAAGAATATCCAAACTATAAATTGTAAAGATAAAGATATTAGTTATAGCAAATTAGTGGATTCAAATACAGATAATCACAATATATTTAATAAAGTAGGATCTTCAAAGATCTGTAAATTACAAATAAATCCTATATCATTCAATATTTACAACAAACCTCGAAACGACATTAATAAATGTATAGAATGTAATGAAAGCAGGAACATATGTTGTATTTGTTATATGCCTGTACTAGGACGCTGGGTCGGATGCCCCAATTGTAGGCATGGGGGACATCCTACGCACCTTAAGAATTGGTTCCTTAATCCATTAAATTATGGATTTTGTCCCTCAGGTTGTGGACATATATGTTGTTAGTATTTTAAATTAAGTTGATCAAATTTTAAAGTAGTATTAAAACTATCCAGTCATTAGCACAAGTTAGACAAGCTTACTAATACATATCATTGCATCTAAATAAGACAAATCTAATACACGTAGGATTTTACAAAGAGATCTTCAAAGGCTTCAGCTCCTCCTACACCTCCTCTATATTTCCCAAATTGAGCCTCAGAATTTGCCTTTGCTCTCTCTAATAGTACCTTTTGTGCTTCTGATACATTTTCTGATTTACCCCTCCAAACTCTTAGTACAGAGGCTTGTAAAGCTCTTCCATATGAGAATGACAGAAATAAATTATTATCCTTAATATTATTCATAGCGCAAAGATTAAGAGAGGCCTCTTCTTCAGATTGACCACCAGATAAAAACATTACGCCTGCCATTGCAGATGGAACTGTTCTTCTTAATGTACGGACTGTGTAAAGTGCAATTTCTTCACACGTTGCTTTCTTCTGGAAATCAGAACCTGGTGTAACCATATTAGGTTTTAGTAAAGCTCCCTCTAATAATACATGATGATCATGAAGAGCTTTTATAACAGAAGCTAAAACCTTCTCAGTTATTGATGCACATACTTCTATACTATGATTACCGTCAGTCAATATTTCAGGCTCTACAATAGGTACTAATCGTTGTTCCTGACAAATAGCTGCATAACGAGCTAATGTATGGGAGGTCTCTTGAATTGCCAAATTACTAGGTTTCTTATTAGCACAATCAATAGTCAATACAGCTCTCCACTTTGCAAATCTAGCACCTGCATCATAATATTTTTTGCAACGACTAGCTAAACCATCTAATCCCATAGTTGATGTCTCATTATGAGTTAGAGGAATAGTCGTTAACCCCATATCAACTTTAATACCTGGTAATATTCCTTGTTTATGTAATAGGTCCGTCATCTTCTCACCAGAGGCAGTCTTTTGGAAAATTGTCTCATCATAAAGTATTACTCCTGAGATATACTCATTCAAACCTTCAGTCTTAAATAATAATTCACGATAAGCAGCCCGATTTTCTTCTGTATTCTCTACTCCAACTTGATCAAAACGTTTCTTAATTGTCCCTGTAGATTCATCTGCAGCCAAAATACCTTTACCAGGTGATGCAATCCTCTTAGCATTCTCTACTAATTCTTTTGCTAACTCTTGACTAATCTTCATTTTCTAATATTTGCGATTTTATTTCAAAAATAAAGAATATATAGAAATATTTCAAAAATAATAATCGTAGCATGGATATCTCACAATAGAGCAAATAACCAAGCGGCAAAAAACCCGCCTCACATGTGAAAATCTCAACTTTTTATTCACACAAGAGTAGTTAATATAATTATAAAATTCAAATAAATATATCTCTAGATATTTATCACTTAGTAAATTCTATATTCTTGTAATTTTGAAAAAGGAAAATACACGAGAAACTTATTAGGTTTTAAATATCTTAGATCATAAGATATTAATTAGTCAATCCTAATAATTATGCAAAGGCCCATTGAACTCTTAAATTCTATATAACTCCTAGGATATGTGCAATATGACACCATTCGTCATAATAGTGCAAATATGAATACTATGTTAATTCAATTATAAAAAAGAATAGCTTACACATTCTCCATAAGAATAAATTGAACTGGTACACCTCTTGTTAGGCATCTAATATAGTGATATATAAAATCACCCATAAGTACAAGTTGTACAATCTGCATAACAATAACCCAGTACCCTACATGCCTCTTAAGTAACCTAGTTGGATCATTTAACTCTGAATAAGATGAAATCCAAAATATGAAGGCAAGAATTTTACTAACAGCTTGCATAGCTAAAAAGTGACTAGTAAATGGAACGACTTTGCGTTCTTTTTGGAACATAAATAACTGAGGTAATACAACTACACTCTCCAAATATAGGGCAAAGGTCCAAGAGATATCAGCTGGCATCCAAGAATTTAAGGAAGGATGGAAGATAAGGGCAAGAATTAGAGCTGGAATAATTAAAAATAGACTATTAAACTCATCAGTATTTGGATCATAAGTCTCTTTGTAGCGAGAACGACATAGATATACAACTGTTCCAGCGAGGCACATACAACCTGCTTCTAAAGTTTGATAGAGCCAATCTCCACTTCTATCATAAGGCAAATAGCCTTCAAATGGAATAATTGAACATAATCGTGCAAATATTAATATTACATAAGCTTCCATCATTCTAAGGGAAACTCCAGAACATGACTTTGTTAATTCAATCTTAAGACATACCATAGCAAAGCTAAATGCTGAAGTTAATGAAGATAATGTCAATAAAAATGAGAAATCCCCATCTGATAAAAAAAAGAATACGATTGTACAGAATATAGCTAAAGATATATAAGCTTTAACAGAAGACTTATGTTGGGAAACCCATGTTCTACATTTTTCTGGGTCACTAATAATAGTAACTGCTGAATTAACCACTTCCATGATGATGCACACCTAAACTTGTCCAATTTAAAGTCAAGTAATATACTGAAAGTTATGAGCAACGAATATACTCTGTAACTTTAATTAAAATTATTGTTTAACAGACGAGTGGTTAGATTCATTATGTGGGTGTAACATTTTTGGCGGTAACAACACGTTTAAAAAAAAGGTATACTCCTGTATCCACTTTTCAAAAAGAAAAAGAAAGAGTATACATAACAACTTTTAAGCCTTAATATTTTTAATATAAAGAAGGTACTCAAACTATTACATAGGAAATCTATTAAGATAGCACAATTATATTGAACACTTTAAACAGTTTGAACAACAATACTATATAATAAAGAAAAAGAGTCAGGTTAATAAACAAAGTTAATATTAATCTAATAGGAATTAGATGGAATAGATTAAGAATTATACAGTGACTAAAATCTCAAGGGTCTTCTTAAGAAGATCAAGTCTTTTGGTGCTTTACCTTTGTCTGACTGAATATTAATTAGTTTCTCATTGAAAAGAACATGTAAAGCTCTTAGTGCTTGTTTCTTTCCTTCAGCTTCTTGCATATCAAACCCTTGTATTAAAGTCTTGATATCAAACTCTGTTACGACATAACGAGTTGGCATTACATGGTTCATATTAATAGACTTCAAAAATGGTCTAATTGTCGTCTTCTTCTTCAATTTACTTTTTGATAACCTTTTATGAACCTTTAATGGTGCCCTCTCAACACCTGCTACTAAAATAAATGGGAATGATCTTTCTTTAGTGCCACTTTCAAATGTATTTACAATAACTGCCTTTTTTCCAGCATAACGACCACTCAATAAAACAACTACACGACCTGGTCTCATTAACTTTGCCATCTTTAAAAAAATTTATCGGATAGAAATTCTCTTAAACTTCTTATATAAGTGAAGTAAATTTCTGAATTTGCCTACAAAGGCTTAATTCTCTTTGTGATGATTACAATAATATTCTTATGCTCCTATGTCTCAATATATTGAGACAGAATGATATATAGCGCCTTAATGTTATATATATCCTTTATTTTATGATAATAGTGCTATTAATTAAGGGCGGTAAAAAGATTGTGTATTGTGAGAATATTAGTAATTTTAAATATAGAATTTAATGTCATATTTTAACAAGGATTTGATTAAAAAATATACACTGGGTAATTTATTACCTAATTATTCTATTTCTATGGCTTTGATTTGTGATGTTAAGAATACAAATGATATTGTTGATTGGATTCTTAATAAACACACGAAAGCAAGGAATACATTTAATGAACAGGATAAACTCTGTGTATTTGTAAATGCTAGGATGGTATGTTGCATATTTATATAGTTTAGATTAAGATGTTTATAAATTAATTTGTTATTATATATTTAATAGGTATATTCTGTAGAGCATATGTTGAATAGTATAATGTGTTCTATGTTAAGACAGAAATTAAGACATAAAACTAAAACTAAATCAATTGAAACAGATATACTTTATTATTTGTCTACCTCTACTAAAGTAAGTTATATATTGTTTCATGGATTTTTAGAATAACAGTCTTATTTTGAAATTATAGATTAAAAGTGCTCTCAATATATTTGGTATATCAGAATATGTGGATTCAATACTTGTTACTTGTATCAATATGAGTGAAACAGAGGTCAGTTAAATTCGGGAGATTTAGGGAGTGTACCATAATGGTTTTATTTATAGTAGATGTGTGACTGTATTTCTAATATAAAAGGTAATATTATTGATATTGATAAACTAAGTAAAGTGCATAATATAAAGGATATTTATAAGGTAAGGTTTATTTTTGTATAAATTTATGTTTAAACTTAAAATTTATGTATTATTTTAAAGATGATCAATTATTCAAATGTAAAACAGTCTAGTAAGCTAGACCCAATGGATATCTTTATTCAAAATATAGCTATTAAGGATATTTAAAAGAAATGGATTTAATAATTTAAATAATAATTCACTTAATTAAAAAAATGCACTTGTAAATAAATTTTTAGACCCTTGCTCCCATTTAGAAATATTATCATTGAGTATCTTAATCAGTTGTTCAGATTGGGGAGATAATGTCTCATTAGATTCCTTAACAGCTAATAATGCTCTATTTATAAAGGTTATAGCCCCCTCTGGATTATTCAAAAGATCACATTTTAAGATTGAATAGTTAAGAATAGTTCCAAGGTATAGGGGATCAATAGGATATTTCTCAGTACAACTTCTTGCTAATTGTAACGAATCTTCATAAAAAGCTACTGAGGCTTTGATATTTGAAGATCTTTCACTTCCAGTAGTTATTTCTGCACGATATCTCATTAGATCACCTTTAAGTTTGTTACAAAAGGCTTTGTCGTGGTCATTACAATACATTAAAATATTATCATCGATTAGTCTTATTACATCTTCACTTTCATCCATAATTAATTTGCTTAACTCTTCACATATTTCATTGATAACTGAAGTAAGGCCTTTAGATAAATCCGAAGGATCTAATTTTTCTTTACATGATTTTATTGTTCTTAAGGATGTCCTCAATGATGTAATACGGTTCCTTAATGATCCTACTAAAAGGAGTCTTAAAGAGCTATCATGAAAATCAGAAGACTCCGTTAATATTTGTATTACATCTTCATAATTACCTATAGAATCTGATAGTTTAGCTTTATAAGCTGCTTTTGAAATTGTCATCTTTAATTTATTAATTTAAAATAATTATTCAATAACCATACAACTTGAATTTTAAATAAAATAAGATCTAAATTACCCTAGCTTGTAATACTATATGTATTATATTATTAATAAAAAAATTTCAAATGTAATCAGACTTTCAGAAAAGAATTCCAAACCTTCAATATCATAAGTTTGTGAAAGAATTAAAAAAAAATATCATTACAACTTTGTAGTCTTTATTTAAATCTCAATAAGTTATTGTATTTCAATAATAGTATCATTCTTTTAAAATATAAAAAAAAATATTTTTAGTTTATCAAGTTCTATTTTTAGTCCAATATTATTTTGAATAATTCTTATAATTATAAAATATAAAATTGATTAGATCTGTAAACTTTTTAGAATGACTGATAAACTTATGAGAATAATCCCTTTATATACTGCATAGCAATAACTGCTACAATAATCCATAAAATATTACTATTAAATATAGAACCAAAAATACCCCAACTTTGTTGCTTTTTAATTTCTCTATTTTTTGCTGAAATCGCTATATTAAGAATTTTCTGTAGTTGCTGTTTCTGATCTTCATTCATTGTAGAAGTCAAACTCTTAAGGGATTCTTGCATTTGTCTTGCTACATTTACATTATCGTTCTCTAAATCACTATCTACCTCAATATAAGGTGTTGTAGATAAAGATATTCCATTATTTGTTACATTCCCTTTAGTATTCGAACTTGATTTTGCACTACCAAATCCGTGAGTTTGAATCTGAATAAGTAGTGATTGAGTTAAGTCAATAATCCTCTTATTAGTAATAAGATTACCACGTAACATATCAAGTAAAATATCATCATAGTTCTTGTAGTACATGGCTGAATACAAGAATGTCAATATTAAAATAGTTGGAAATATACTCCTTAAAACTAAAATCTTTTCAAATGGTAATAGTGAGCCTATAAATGGAATAGATCTCATTGGATTAGGATCTTCAGATAACCTTATATGTAATTCTGAGCAAAATATAGCCACATTATATACTATAAATAAGCCTCTTGATTTTTGAAATATATAAGGAATAGATAAAAAAAACCAATTAGACAACAAAAAACTTGGACTGATAAACTAAGAATAAAGCACATAATTATATTACGATCATCTATTATTCCATCTTTCCTATAATCACCATATTTATTATATATATTGCGCTTACTTTCTGAGTTTAGTACACTTTCTATACGTTGAATTTCATAAAATATATTAACAGATGAAGCTTTGTCATCTTCTAAATTCTTATCTGGATGATATTTCTTCTTAGCTATTCTAATTGCCTGAGTAATATCACTACGAGAAGCCCAACGACCAACGCCTATAACATCATAGTAGTTGTGAGGGATTAGTTGGACACTTATAATTAATAGTGTAAGGCTTAATATCAGTCCAATTAAAATACGATATTTATATAAAACTGATAAATAAGATGATGCATCTTTAGATTTTAATTGAAATAAACCATAAATAATAATTGTACCTAGTAAGCTTTGAATTAATATGCTATCCAGCATTATTTCTGTCACTTAGAAGTGAGATATCACAAAATATAAGTCTTAGATTTATATATTATATACCAAAAAAAGTTAATAATAAGTTTATTACTTTAAAACAAATATTGTTTACTTCTTTACCCACACTCAAGTCAAAAAGATGTTTTCTAAGTTTTAAAAATAATAAATACCAACAGTATCAATACCCGGTATTCCTGCACATTTTGGCGCCTTTATCTTGTATAACCTTTTTGCTTGCTAGGTTCTTTAAAAGCAGAAAATTATTAAACTTCAATGAAACAATGAAATCCACAGTAAATATATCTAGTATCCAAAATATAGACTATACAGACTCTACAAAGCATACACATGGAAGCTTAAGTTATAATTTAGTAAAGGGTATGAATAGTAATTCTAACATATTACAAGATTATGATGAGGCCACTATACCAGCAAATAGTTGGGATGAAGTACAAGAGGACTATAGGCCAGGTGGGTATCATCCAGTATATGTTGGAGAGATATATAATACGAAATATTTGATTGTTTCAAAATTGGGATGGGGTCACTTCTCTACTGTTTGGTTGGCTGTTAACTTATCTAGTAAACCACTACATTATGTTGCACTCAAATTTCAGAAAGGTGCCCCTGAATACAAAGAAGCAGCATATGATGAAATAAATATATTGACTGTAATTAGGAAAAATAAAGAAAATGAAGAGTGGAATAGTAATTTAGAAACAATTTATGAAATATATAAAGAGGAATATTTGAAACCTAAATCAAGTAATTTTACCGGTGTGGTTGATTATATAGACTCTTTTGAAGTTAGTGGCCCTAATGGACATCATGTTTGTATGGTATTTGAGGTAATGGGACCAAATATTTTACATTTGGTTAGTTTATATAAATACAAGGGAATACCAATAGATCTTGTTCGAAAGATTGCAGTACATATATTGATTGGATTAGACTATTTACATAGAATTTGTGGTGTTATACATACAGATATTAAGCCTGAAAATATAGTTGTATCAAGTGATTCACTTCCAATGATACCAATTAATGAAGTTAATAAAGAAGATCCTGAATTATACTTGGTAAATACAGAGAATAATAGACCTGGAGAACAATTTGAAATGAGTAGACCTATGAATGCAAAAGAAAGGAGAAAACTACGAAGAAAGAATCGTAGGAAACTCAAACAAATAATGAAGAATTCTAAAGATAACTGTTCTATAAATTGTCAAGGTAATGAGATATACTTTGCAGATTCTGGTGCAGATAAAACTGAGAATTTGAAGGGTCAATCAGTTTTATCTGAAGAAAGTAAGGAAATATCTGAAAAAGGTCTTCAAAATAAACTAGATTATAATAGACGACTTGCTACTCCTCCTTTTATTCGTCTCCACTTAAAACCAATGCCCTCAGATCCCACATGTATTAGTTACTATCAAATTAAATATAATGCTACAGTGGGTAGAAATTTTAATAATCAAGTATACTCTGATCAAATGGATATTTCTGATATTTTAACTTCAACAACTCAATTTCCTATGATACAACGTCCTTATCATTATCATTTATATGAAGCATATCATCCACATCAATATATTGGCGAAGATGAACAACGTTATACTCACTTACTACCTCTATCCCAATGGAATAAACAATATATAGAAACTGATAATGATTTTAATGGATATGGGAAAGAAAATATCTCAATAAATTCATGCAAGACTTTGGATCAGAAAACAATAAAATATAAAGGTTTTATGGAATATATTGGGAATTTAATACGTGAAAGTAGCAATAATCCGAATCTATTCTCTAGTAATACATCAGAATATCGGATAGTAGATTTAGGGAATTCATGTTGGATTAATAAGCATTTTAGTGATGATATACAAACTAGGCAATATCGAAGTCCAGAAGTTATTGTTGGATCTGGATATGACAATACTGCAGATATATGGAGTTTTGGATGCACAATATTTGAATTATTAACTGGTGATTTATTATTCACACCAAAATCTACAGCACACTTTTCTTGTGATGATGATCATTTAGCCCAAATGATCGAGCTTTTGGGTGATTTTCCAACTTCTCTAATAACAAAAGGTAAAAAATCTAAAAAGTTTTTTACGAAACATCATAAATTACAAAGGATAACAAAATTACAATTTTGGGATTTAGAGTCTGTTCTTGTAAATAAATATCGCATTCCAAAACCAGAAGCTCATAATTTTTCATTATTTTTACTTCCATTTTTATCTTTGGATCCATGTTCTAGACCTAAAGCTTATGATATGTTAAACCATCCATGGTTAAAATTAAGGGGTATGAGCACTGACTATTTGGAGAATATGTTGGCTAAAGTAGAAAGACCTTTACAGTTTACAATAGAGGATACAGTTATCAGAGATATTCAACAGTTGCATATTGGTGACAAAGAAGAGTTGACAAATAATAGACCTATATCTATACAACAGGAATTAGCTGATTGGTTCATATCCTTTAAACAAAATCTCAATAAAATATCCAATTAGTTACTTCAAAATATTGTATACTCCCTAGTTTTACTACTTTTAGAATTCAAAGAAAAAATATTTAGCTTTTCTAGTATTAAATAATATAATTTGTTTTGGCGGACCCTTCCTTGACACTTATTTTATATAACATTTAAAAGATGATTCCTCAAAAAGATGATATAAAATTATTCAAGGATCTTGATGAAATGTTTGATACAAATTCAGATACACAAGATATTGAAGATAAGTTTAAACACACTAGTATAGGTTTAGCTCCAGCAGAAGCTTTCAAAAAATCAGAATTATTAGGGCTCTTAAAACATAACATAGAAGATAAAACAAAATATCCAAAATTAAAAAAACCAAAGATCTATACTCTTTCATTTGAACATGAGATAACAAATGAAGATAATAAAATGAAAAATCAAGCAGATTATGATGTAAGTTTTGAACTCTTAGGGAAAGACAAAACTGTGGAAACTCAGTTTTTACCTGACCCAAAACGAGAAGCTGAAGAAGCTAGAAAAAGAGAAGAAGCGGAGAAAGAAGCTCTTAAAGAGGATGAAGAACTTAAGAAACAGATAATTGAAATTGTATTTTCATATTGGGATGGCCAAGGTCATCGTCGTAGTGTATGTATACCTCGTGGCAGTACTATTGGGGAATTCCTAGAAACTTGTAGACTTAAATTAAAGTCTGAATTCCGTGAGTTATCTAGGATATTAAGGTAAGCTAAATTTAAGATAATTGTATACATACATTTTAATATTTATAATTTTGGACATGTAAATTAATTTATACACTTATATAGTTCATCTTTGATGTACATAAAGGAAGATGTAATACTTCCTCATTATATTACGTTTCATGAGTTAATAAAGACAAGAGCTAGAGGAAAAACTGGTTAGTACTTCATACAAATACAATATATTAAGGGTGATTAATATTTTAATATATTCATGTTTAGGTCCTTTATTTCACTTCAATGTATTTGATGATGTTCGAATAATTAGTGATATTAGGAGAGAAACAACAGAGGTAAATTCATTCAAGTTTCTTGTTTATAACAAGGTTTTTAATTCCATGAAAGTCTCATGCAGGCAAGGTCGTTCAAAGGCAATGGTATGAAAAAAATAAAAATACATTCCCAGTTTATAGATGGGAAAGTTACTTACCAGGAAAATTTAATAAACCATATTAAACAAAAGATTTGCAGGATATTTAAGTATAAAATTACTGTTGTATCCATCTTTAGAGATTTCTTATGTTTAACATATCATTACAACTAATATAAAAATAACCTAATAATTGTATACTTCCCAATATATAATATCAATGTTTAAAGTAAATAAGGTAGATTTCACTTTTCCATTACGTTAATCTTCCCTATTATATTAATTAATAATTATCTTATTAAATAATGATATAGGATTTAGTGTAAGTTCATTTTCAACCCATAAGCCATATGCAAAGATTGCTGGAATAGCACCATAATGAACTATGAATCGGCCATAATTATACCAATAAGAGTTTAAGTGTTTGTAAATCTGGGAAATAGTACACAAAGTGTAATTTAAGAATCTCGAAGTAGTTAATACTTTTTATTTTGGATATAAAGATAAACATACCTTCTCAGTATATTCAGACATATTTTCTAGATATATTTGTGACATTTAAAGCTAATATAAAATATTTTATATAATTAATTGACTTGTTTTACTTAGTTCTAAATTTATTTATAAGAACACCTAAATGAAAAGTCCCTATTAGGCGGTACTAATAAGTAATAGTACCTTAATACCTCTTGCATTATTGCATGACACCGGTATGTTCTAAAAATAATAAACTTTTTAAAAACCCACAATTAAATGTTCATAAGTTTTCCTTTTTAAAATAACTATGAATAATGGCAAATGCATCAGCAATAAAGTTTTTTTGTGAAAGTAAGTTATATATCAAAAAATTAGACTTATATTTAAGATCTCTACTGAATAACTTACCTTGTCAGATGTTGGCTTAACAGGATTTGATACAGAAAATGCTCTTTTTATGACATGTAAAGTATGTTATAGTACCTATATGTTATAAATAATGATGCAATAATTGATACTATGTATATCTACAATCTTATAGGAACTATTTGATAACTCAATGGATGCATGTAGGAAGAGGGAGCATGGGCAATGGGGAAATTTAATGCCAAAGATTCAGGTTTCTGTTATGTATGATTATATTTTGGATAGAAATGATGTAAGTTTATATAAACTAATCAAAAGGAGTATCTAATTGATGTATTTATAGCCAAGGCTTTCAATTAGAGTACAGGATACAGGATGTGGTATCTCACTTGAATCTATTGATCTACTAGGAACCTTATTTGGAACGAGGTAAGAAATAAAAAATGAAAAGATTCATTTTTTTAAATATATAATTAAGCATCTTATTTAATCAAACTTCAGCAAAAAGGTAAAAACAAAACACTTTTATTCTGGACAATTTGGAGTTGGACTTAAGATGATTTTACTGTATGCAACTCAACATGGAAAAGGAATGGTTCAAGTCAAAATGAGAATGGGTGATTCAATATGGTTATTTAAATTATTATGCGATATTAATACTGGTACATTCTATGTAGGAGAAAGTGAAAAACTACAGGTGGTAAACTGGGAATGGGTGACAGAATTTACTGTCATACTTCATTTAAATTTAGATCCTGATAAATTTGGAGAAAAGTGTACATCAACTAAGGATCATTGTAAAAAAAGCATGGATAAACTAAAAAGTTATATGTCACTTAGTAGATTGTGGTATCAAGATATTGCTGTAAAATTAAATACAAACTTATATGATGTAGATATTATTTGGCCACCAAAAAATGTAATGACATTTCAAGAACTTTTAAATGATAAATGGGAATATATATATTCCGACAAACATTCAAAATATAAAGTACAAGCTGTTTTTGGGTTTTTGGATACCGAGACCTTTAAAATTTCAGAGGAAAATTTAATGGATCCTTATAAAAGTGGAAATTTATATGTGTATAGAAGTGCAAATGGCATGCCAATATTTTCAAAGGAAGTAGCAACATGTGATATACTAAGTGCTATAAAAACATTTTTAAAACGATATGGGGCTTCATTTGGAATAAAACCAAACCCTAAATTTACTGAATATCCAAAGCAGCCATATGATGTTATTGATAAGCTAAAAGGAAGCGAGACTCCCATATCAATAACTATTGCATCACATGCTCAATATGTTCACCGAGTCCTTTTTGTTAATGTTAGTGGATATGAGATCCAATATGGAACACTGGGTAAAACTAGTCTAAAGAGTAATAGTGGCCTTTCAGTATTAATCCAGCAAACTTTAAGAGTTCTATTAAAGAATTTGCAGGAACGTTTCCCAAAGGAATTAATGCATGTCAAGGATTTTACTATGAAACATGCAATTTCAACCTATTGCCCCATTATGGCACAGAATATTTCCTCTATGGTAAGTAAATATTACTGAGAAATTAAATACTTCTTTTTAATAAAGATAATATTTAATAAAAATTGACCGTTGAAATATTTTCGGGCATGAAAACAATTTCTTGATTTTTTCCTGTAGATTTTAAGGTCTAATTCTGTACTATTCAAGAAAGGCCTCCTTAGCATAATTTCAAAACATAGTCGTGAAGATTCAAAGAAACTTAATGATCTGATAAGTAAGTTCATTTATTAATATAGCTAACTCACAAAAGTATTTTTGTGAACTTAAATAAACAGATATTTTACTTTATTTCTAATTAGATTCACATAGTGACAACAAGGAACAAATACAAGCGATCTTAGAAAGATCTTTATCTGAGTGGTTATTAGCTAATTATGATGGAATTCAGATTCAAGAAAGGAATACCAATGCAGAAGATTTATCTGATAGTGAATTTGCCGTAACTAAGGATAACATTTTACAAGAAGACTCTCTTGATTAGATAGATTTAGTTCTGATAATATCATATAATATTTAGTCTTGAATTATAGATTTTTGAAATACGAATATTGTCAGACTTATAAATAATGTCCGGAAATAGATATTATTATGAGCTAAAGTTTAATATTTATTTAAGTAATTCCAAGATATTGAAGATATTAACTCTAGGATATATAAGAAAGTTATTCTAAAACTAAGATATCTCAAAAAAAAAAAGAAACAATTTGAGTGATAAAAGTTTTATATCTTTGGAAAATAAACCAAATTTCTTTAATATTTGTAATAACAAATAAGATATTACTAATAATAAGATTTCCTAAAATATATAAGGTATAGATATAAACAAATGGAATACAATAGTTTATAATAATAAAATCCAATTGGGTACCCTTTTAGTTTTCTTGAATAAGGAAGCGCACTATCAATAAAGTTGGTCAAATTTACTGGGATGTAGAGAATACTGCAATGGAAGCACCATTTGCAGTCTCTGCTCCACCATTAACTATTGAAACACTCTCTACATTGTACCCAAAGGCAACTAAAGCAAAGCATGAGACGGAACGCCTGTTAGAGCACTTTGAACTTGGTCTGGATCGATCTATTTCTTCTCAGCAAAGGTTATCTGCTGTATTAAATGATTTCTGCAGACAAAGCGCAGAACTCAAAAATATTTTAAATGAGTTAATAATACTTGAATGTTTGAATAAATCTCAACAGAGTATGTGGATTAGAAGAATTGATAATTTGGTTGCAGATTCGGAAAATTTAAGTGAAGCAATTACTAAACAATTGAACTACTTGTATAAAACAACGCATGAGGAAGAGTTAAAAGTTAATTATGTTCCTAATTCAAAAAAGCCAAGTGATAATATTAAGTTTTTAATTAAAGAAAGAGGAATTTTACAGGAAAGTCACAATGTATTGGATCATGCAATTGACCAAGCAAAAGGAATCGTATACAACATCAAAAATCAAAACAAAATACTTAAATCAGCAAGAAAAAAGGCTCTTGATCTAGCAAGCAGAATGGGTGTTAGTCACAGTTTACTTTCTGTAATTGAAAGACGTAGTGCAATTGACCAAATACTTGTTTATGGCTGTATAATATTTACTCTCATCATATTTTTTAGCTTATATACTCTTATCCATTTATATTATCGTACAAACTAAGTATCAGATATCATTTTACTTAGTACTAACTTAATTAGCTAAATTTAAAAGGGAATTGATAAAAAACAGTCAAAGCATTAAAATATTAATCACATTAAAGTCATTTTTAATCTCTATTTAATACTACTCTTAATAAGTAAAGTATCTAACTGCCTCATTTCTAAATACAAAAGCTCAATCTTATTTTTCTTCTGGCTAATACATTGATCTTATTGTAATTACTTTTGAAAAAGCTCTCAACACTTCATTAAACTTAAAAAAATACTGCATATATGAATATATAGCTGTTTAAATGCGTTTTTTTTTTCTAAAAGATTAAAATAAAATTGACTGAACTATATTAAACTATGTTGAGTATAAACTTTACATACTTTGCAAATATTTTAAATAATTAATTGATATTATATATCTAAATTATTTTAATTATATTTTACATATTCCAATATTCAAAAAAATCTAAATATTGAAATTCTAGCAAATATATTGGTATTTTAAATCTTTTAAACTATTTCAGATATGATTTTTGTAATTTTTTTATTTCTCACATAAATTTTGTCATCTTAAATGATCCCTATTTTCTTAATTCAAATATTGTAACCTTTAAGAAATTAGCTCCTTAACCACTTTGTTCTAAGATATTATTAAATAGATGAGGGTTTAGCCAATATTATAGTACAAAATATAAATATATAAATTCTTTACATATTAATTTTAAGAAGTTTTATATCACCTTATTGATGCTCACAATTAAAAATTATTTCTGAATGTTTTAAATAATGTACTTGATACTTCTAGCTCACATAAGAAAAATTAATGAGTGGGAACTGTTAAGAAATCTATTTCTAATTTCATAAGATCTCATATTTTTAGGTATATTCTAATTACTTAGGGTATTCTTGATTTTTCTCTTAAAAAGGTCATTACCAAATACTTGTTACAGTTCAATCTAAAAATTTTATAAGCGCCACGAATAGATGAGAAATATCGGTACCTGTATAAAATTAGTACCCGAAATAGGCGCTATGAAGTGGTTACTAATTTCTAAATAGAAGCCCTACAGAGAGGACAATAAAGTAACCACTTTAAAAAATACTAGAGATATATGAGAGATGCAGAAGTATATAAATTATAGAGTGAGAGTTACAGTACAAGATGATAGGATGCTTGTAGGAAATCTGATGGCATTTGATAAGCACATGAACGTAGTCTTGTCAGATTGCCAAGAATACCGTAGTATTAAGAAGAAGGGTGAAGATCTTAAAGAAGTCAAAAGATCACTGGGATTTATAGTACTTAGAGGAGAGAATATTGTAACTATAACAGCAGAAGCACCACCAAAATCACAATCCAAAAGGGTAACTGAGACACCATCAGTAGGAAATGTACAAGTAATAGGACGTGGTGCAGTTATACCAGCTGTTGGGACTATTCCAGGCACTATAATGACACCAGGGCACATTAATATACCTATACCAACATTAGGTAGTTTACCAATAATAACACCAGGTGTTGGAGTAGCTCCAATATCTCAGCATGTACAACAGCCTATGAGCACAAACAAAAAACTTCCGCAGTAGATTTATGTAGTTTATAATAAATACAATCTAAATTGATTACCTGTCCAACTAAATTAATATATATTAATTTATATTTAAATCTGTGAATAATATACGAAAGAAACTAATAACTTGATCATCCTCTAGAGAAAAGTCATCTGGACTTAGTTCTGATAATTGTGGTATTTTATCAGTAAATATAGTGGGGACTCTACAATTAGAAACTTGAATTATCTTAAGGGGTTCTTGATATTTGTTGGATATTGCAATAGCTAAAGCTCTAGAGCAGCTTATAAATAATGAAATTTGTCTAGGAGGATCTTCTAAAAATCCTTTACTAGTTGTAGGAGCTATTTTTAATAGAGTTTCACATAAAAATATCCATAATTTCTCTGGAACAAATGTGTCTAAATTTCTACAAGTTAAAATTAACGCAACACAAACTAAAGCTTCAATTATAGCCGAATATTTCTCACACTTTAATGTACCAGGACATGAAAACCACGAAGATATAATCCTATTGCAACCATCATATTTAGCAAATTCTCTGAGAAGAACATCAATAAACTCTAACTTTAATAATTCGTCAAATATTTTGTAAGCTATTGAATGAGTTTCACTGATACCAGGTACATTAGATAAAATTTGTGCTGGTATAGAATCTCTGGGTAATGGTATAATATCCCTATATTGTTTTACTTCAAGTTTTATAATATTGTCAGATTTAGAATTTCTAACATAGTTAGGGTCATTATCTTGTAACTTGATATATAACCTTGGTATCTCGCGTATTATTGATTTATTCCTGTCAATTTCTAAAGTTGTATAGACATCAATACTAGGAGACCACCATGCACTTGCACTTAAAATAGATGCTTGGTAAAGACCACTAAATAAGCCAGTAAGAGTCTCATCATTATTTGTTGTACTAATTAGAGATATAAATGATAATATTAAGTGAGTGAGGGCTTCTAAAGTATGAGGAACACAACCCCAATCACTTATTGGTATATACTCCAAAGTAGGTAGTATTACTGCAAAATGCATTGAATTTAAATACCTTGAAATAAATGGTAAAATCTTAAGAATTTGATATTTATCTACATCTGGCTCTAAAACAAACCATTTAGATAAGATAGAACAACATAACTGAACACACCAATATATAGGTGGAAGTTCGTTATTATCTAGAGTGTAATTTGAATCTGGTAGTATAGTTAAGTTTATTCTATCTTCATTATTGTTGGTTAATTTTTCCATTTTCTCAATATTTTCTATAAACTCAATACAAAATGAGTTTAAGCTACGCATAATATCAAATAACTTGTTTATTTCTATTCCAGAAATATTGTCATATTCCAAATAAGTGATATTTTCTTCATTACTAAAGTCCTTGATAAAAGCTTCAAAGATATGATAGCATACGGTTAATATAGAAAATTGAGTACCATCTATATTCATTACCTGGGAATCTAAGCTTAATTTGAGTTCTAAAGCTGCTAGTTCAAGGCCATGAATATAATGAGAAATTGCACCACGCTTATTTATAATTGTTAGACCTACTCTATACCACTCTTTAATACTAACTCGTTCTATCAAAAAACAAAAAAGCTTTAGACGGTTATGACTAAGCATAGAAGATACATTAGAAAGTTCTAAAAGCATACAACATAGGCTCAAAAGTTTCTCAAGTTCTACTTGGGATGGTTCAATATTGTTAAGTTCAATCTTCTCCACAATCAAATTCACATATTCTTCAAGATTACCTTTAAAACCAGCATCTTTAGCCATACTCAATGTTGAGTTGAATTCATCCTTAACCATTTAATAACTATTTATAAACTCGAATATATATGAAATTTCCCAATAGTAACTCCATTTGACAAGGGTCTAAGAAGTCTTTGAGCGGGATAAATTAGCCCGTGTTAACAAACAAATATTGCACTTTAGCATTAGGGTTTATAGATATTCTTACTATAAAAAATTGATTTATACAGTAATCTAAAGAGCTAAAATTTTGATATTTAAAACTAGTCCATCTGTATATTAGTTGCAAATTTCAGAAAGCAAGATATATCTTGCAAGTAGTTTTGTAGTTTCGCCCAATCTGCGGAAGTTGACTTATTCAAGCTTTCAATGATTCTTCCAAGTCTATCATGGTGTTCGATATTCTCAAGTATAACATCTGAGTGATTTTCTAAGAATATGTGTAGATATGCTTGTAATAAATCGGCATCTGTTTTAAGTGAAATGGCATATTCAAAATAACAAGCCATATTCACAATTTCCTCAATATCTCCTCCACTAAGAGGTCCTAATTGCTTTATTAAGAGATGAACACCTGAAGGAGATTTGGATTTCAGAAGCTTTGTGATCTTACTAATAATGTCTTCACTTTCATCTTTATTTGATTCAATATATGCAATACTAGATAATAAAATTTGCAGCTCAGATTTAAATCCTGATTCTAAGACTGGCTTATTATTATTTGTTTCCTTACTATAATTGATTTTACTTTGAGATTTTTTATGTTCTATTTCATCTACGTTACCATAATCATCAAATTTCGAATCTGTCATACTAGGCAAAAAGAAAGGAGCATCTTCGGGTTTTTTAGGAGGTTCTACAGGCTTATTTCTCTCATTGATAACATCTAAATATAAAAGGCTTTGTATTGTTGCAATTGGAAGTCCTGATAATTCAATTAACTCTGATTTTAATTTTTTTTCTGCTATATCTACTTTTTCGTTACCTGTATTATGAATTAGAGATGTAGTAGGATCTGTCTGCATGCAATCTGGGATACCACTCTCATTATCTTGTGAAGGTCTTTCATTAGCTTCTATATCGGAAATAAAGTTATTAGGTGGATCCTCAATAAGTATTGGTTTAGTGGGTTGCTTGGGTAGCCCATCTGATGAAGTATTAAGAGTCAAAGCGAGTTTGTTGGCCCAAATAGATAATGATCCATTAGAGTGAGAGTGAGATGTAACTAGAAATGTATTTGAATCATCAAATATGCAACGAATTACAGGTGATTTAAATTTAATCCAATCTAGTAAAGATGATGAAATTATATCAAAAATAAACATTTCACTGTTTGTAGATGAAATCACAAGCCAACGGCCATCTGTTGACATCGTCAAGTCAGTAATACTACTTTCAGTACATTTAAATTCACGTGATATAATTTGTGACTGGTAATCATAAAGTATAACTCTACCATTACTAAAACCAAATCCTATGAAAACTCCCCATAGACGAGATACAAAAGGTTCGCTATGACTATTATTCTTTAATTCCCCAATAGTAGATGTATTTAGGTGCTTGATTGGTTTTATAGACCAAATTGAGAGATAATAATTAAATTCATCGTGTTCTACACTTAATAAAAGTGTAGATTTAGATATATGAATTGCTAAAATTGATCTAGGTGTTTCATTTTTATTAACAAATTCTCCGGAATGTAGTCCAGATTGTAAATTAAATCTATGAATTGTTCCATCAGAATATCCAACAACTGCATAATTGCCACATTCAGTTACCCCTACAGCCTTAGCTATTGGTAAGAGGCGTTTAGAAGTTGTAACGGCATGAGATGTTATAGAAGAGTTTAGTAAATGACTTTTCTCATTCTTATTTCTACTTTTCAGATATTTCTCTAAAGTAAGATATCTTGGAATTAAGACTGAGCTATGTCCACTCCATACAAATACTTGATGCATCTTTTCATGTACAGAGACGATATTAGCCCAATCATAGTGTCTAGAAGCTGCAGATGCAACATCAACAATAGGTGGAAGACGTTTAAAGGGTAGGAAACATGATTCATTAAATTTCTTCTTAAGAGCATTTTGTGAAAATATCCTATTTTGATGTTGTTGAATTCTTGAAATCTTGCCTAGGTACCCACATGTATGTGAATTGCTAGCACAAAGAATATCCCTTCCCTTCTCTGGTAAGGCATTATAAAAAGACATCCAAGTTATAGGATTAGAATGACCTCTTCTAGATCGAAGCTCCCTCGGGGTTAAATTTACACCATCTAATATATATTGCACTAGTGAATTATCATGACCAGATGTTATAAATATTGGCATGCCTGGAACAAAAGATACATGTGCAACTTGAGATTCATGTACTGATTCTATTATATGTACTACCTTTGTTTTCTCTAAATCCCATAAAACAACATCTCCATTCTCACAACCTGAAACAAGATACGGTTTATCAGTCTGAAAACTGAGAGTTGTTACACTTCCCTGTTCTGGACTATGCTGAAATTGAGATAGTACAATGTCATTTACAAGATCCAAAACCAATATTCTGCCACACTTAGTTCCTATTCCTATAATATCTGGATGATTGCTACATGTTGCAGTTGAAAAGTTAATTGAAAGATTGTGAATAGTAGAGTTTCGTAGTACACTAGAGCTGGAATTAAGTATTGCTGAGTCTAATGAAGCAAAAATATGAATTCTTTTGTTAGTACGGATATTCCATAATTCACAACCTTTAGAATGTACGATCAAAATTTTGTTAAGATAAGAAATTGGGTGTAGCACTGTAACTATATTAGAAGATATATCAATATCTATCTGTATTTCAGTGATTGTGCATTTATTCTTTATATCAGTTACTACCACAATAGATTTATCCCAAGATATAAGATAATCTCCCAATATAAACATTCCAACTATATTTGTCTTATGTAAATTAGGTAAATCAATGACCTTTTGAAATCTATGGTAACCCTGAATACTTCTTCCCATTGAAATATACACAACTTCATAATGGACTGTCATATTTTCAATAGGCTCCGGCATTCTTACAGATATATACTTAATTCTGAGATGGTCAAGGTCATATACTTGATAGTAATAGCCTATAGAAACTATAACAAAGTATTCGGTACCTAACTTCTCTATTATAAATGGCACCTTATCTATAATATAACCAATACTATGTACTGGAGATAATATATTACTTGAAGTATTATTCTCCATTACCTTCCTAACCTTCTTCAATTCCCTGTAGAATCTAGTAGAGAATTCTAATTTAATCGAAATGTCAGATCCTAACAATAACCACCAATACATCAACAGTCCGCTCAAGCGGGAATATCATGTTTACAGAGAGACATAATCTACAAATTACAAAGAGTTAAGACCTAGAGTAAATCTAAAACTTGAATTGCGAGCTATATGCTAATTGTCCTCAATATACCTAAAAGTGGACTATGAAGCAATACTAAATCTCTTAGTAACACTTAAAAATAATCCAATATATTAGTAGAAAGATCATCTCTGAAAATAAGGATATCAAGTTATGAAACTTTCAACATCACCTGTTATATAAATTCACATTCAAATAATATATAAATTTGAAGACAATAACTTCAACACTTCAAAGCCCACTTCACCTTAATAAATTACGCAATATTCTACTGAAGTAAAAATGGAACCCCAAATATAATACTTCTATACTAAATATAAATCTGATATCATTAGTCCAAAAGCAAAGAGACAGGAAAGATTACTATAACAATTCAGTCTTACTACTTCAGAAATTCATAATAGTGAATATATGTGAAGTTCCATGAAAAACCATCATCTCTACATTTACACATCCTACATTCAGACAATATGAAACTCATAATCATTCACCATTATCTGGGAGTTCAGAAATTTGCAGTGACTCAATAAATGTTAACAGGGATCTGTGGAACCTCCTAAAATAAACTGGTGTGATGACCTCCTATCTTGTGTTCATTAAGGAAGATCTTGGTAATAGTAATAATAATCCATGTATATATTACCTATATAATACCAAGTTACTAGTGTAGGCTCCTATACCAGTGAATTATCAAATTCCTATATTATAGTAAAACACATACACATCTGGATAAAACAAACATAGTTCCAACTTCTTAAATACAAAATCAATCATGACCAACAAAATAGAAACACATAACTTCTAAGTTTCAAATCTTTAAGAGAATAGCCAGAGAGAATTACCAGTGTAGTTATTCCCAATTAAGTAATATCAAGCAATTATGTTCAATAAATCTTCAGTGCAAATTATCAGTTCATTTTCACAAAATATACAAAACTAAACTAAAGTACTGGATATAAATATCCTAAAGTAAAATGTAGACAAGACGTGGGTGTAAGTACGCGAGAGGTTACGTGTGTATATTACGTGTGAAAAAATCAATACTAAAAGAAATAAAAGGGATAAACAAAGGTAGTTGAAATAATTAAGATGAAGATAAAGCAAATTACTATTTATAAAGTTCCAATGAAAATCTTACAACTCATCTTTAGGTGATAACTCTAAGTCATCAGGATACTGTGACCATAGGATGCTGCCCTGATTCGGTAAAAAGCGACTTTGATTAATATCCCACTTTGAGAAGAAAAGTGAAAAGTAAGGATTATTAATAATCTCACTTGTATTCTTAATAAGATCCTCTTTTATTTCAAGGAGATCTAAGCCTATTTGAGGGATATATGCAAATAAGAATCTTGGTGTATTATTCGAAATTGATACAAAGTCCTTAGATGATATTGAATGATCTTGATGAACTAGCATTAAGTAGTGTGGTGTTAGCTTATCATTAGTTGAATATTTTTGATATACTTTATTAATCCATTGTGTAGGTGCTTGGACACTCCAGTCCCATCCAATAATTACACCATGATAATTCCACCAACGATGCTTAACTAATTGACCAATATAGTATAAAGGTTTGTCTTTATAATTACTATCTTTTCTAATTCTTGACTTTAGACTAGTAGAGAAGTAAGATTGAGTTGTATCTTGTTGATTTAAAAATGAAGTAATATATATACTAGGAACAGCTTCTAAATCGCTGGATTGATTAATTGTTACAATACCTTTGACATCTTCAATGTGGGTATTATTATTAATAATAGGTATTCCATTTTCATCAGAATAATCTTTTTTATTATATGTTTGAGATCTCTTATAATCATATTTAGGTATAGATATATTTTGACTATTATTGGATGTAAATAGTATATCTTGTCCATTAAATTTTAAATTATCTTTATTCTTCTTCTGGGGATAACAATAGGTAATTCTACTCGAATTCATAATTGGTACAGGTGTAAGTAAAGGATGGGAACATATTACAGGAGTTTGAATTAGAATTTCGTATACACAAGTTGGATTTTCAATAATGTTTACAATTCGAAAGTAACCAGCTGTATACTGATGAAATTCATCAGGGCATTCATATATTAAACGAGTATACCTTTGGTGATTTGTTTTAAAACAAGGACTTCCATTTTTTAATTCTACAACTAATACATACTTTGATGGGATGTCTTCTTTATTAGAATAATCATGGACATTATAAGGTTCCAATTTTACGGTCATATTTGGATAAATTGATGGTGAATTTGGACTTAGAGTTTTTATCTTTCCATATCTTAATTCTTTAGGAAAATCTGCTGATATCTCTATATCACTTGTTCCTGTAAAATACATTGGATGTATAATATCACTTCCATTCTTTCTATATTGAATTACACTTTCAAAATTACATACTTCATAACTTAATAGGTTGGAATCTGTAAAGTTTTGACAATGGCCTTGTAAAGGCAGTAATAAGTTCGAAAGTTTGAATATATTGCTATCTTCAATTGAATAATCAAATAAAGTGTTATTTCTCCTATATATATCTGCATGTAATCTCCAATCACAAAAAGATGGTGCCCCAAATACTACTGTAGTTTCTATTAAAAGTGAATTAGCCTTGCCATATTTATGGATTGGTATATTATCTTCATATACTGACAAAATTCCAGGACTAAATTCTGAACATACAAACTGAATTCGTCCTTTACGAATTATATTTAAAGAAGATGGTATGTTCTTTGGATAGTAAAATTGGATTAGAGTTCCATTAACTCCTAATATATCATAATTAGGTACATAATCACCAATAAACTGAATTTTTGTATCAATAAAGTTCACATTATTAACTTTACTACTATTTATTCTCTTTAATTGTATACTTTGTCCTATGCATATCTCATATATATCTGTCTGTGTTATATTTTTATCATCATGTACTTTATCAGTAAAGCTATAACATCTATTCATCAACCATTTAACTTTAGCCATTTTAATGTAATATTTTGTATCTTCATCTAAATTTTCCCAATCTTCACTATATGGTATTTTCTTCCAGTTCTCTAAAGGTATATATATAGAGCTATTTATAGGACCTTTCACATTATTTAATTTAGTCTTAGATACTCCTGTAGAATTATTCTCCGGTAATATACACAAAAACCCAATACTACTAATCGTTATGTACATAAATCTCGTGTCATTCTTTTCATTTATAGTTCGATTTCTTATTATTGTATTATATACATATTCTGCTGACTGTGAAAAATCCAATTTTATTACATTTTCATTTTGTTTTAATAAGGTAGTGTATTGATGAAGGTTTGTTCTATATTTCACACTACATTCTATATATGTATAGTATATTAGAAATACAAGCAAAAGTAAAAGACATATAATTCGCATTAAAGGACATAAAGTAAATACTAATAATTATACCCGCTCATTTGTAATGTAATATTTACCAGGCGCCAAAAACGTTTTTTTTTCTGTATCTCACTTATTTTGTTCCTAAAATAACTGAAACAAATTTATTAAAGATGTGAATTAGCTAAATTTTAAATATTAAAGTTATCATAGCTCTTTCAAAGGGTTATTATCTTATTATTTTCCAAATAATACATTGTAATTGTGATGTGACTTGCCTTAATCCCTACTCTAATTATCCTAATATCTTATATATGATCTCTTTTCTTAAATGCACTATAGATAGTGACAACACCGAATGTCATATCAGCAAAAGTTACACTCTCGAAATCAGCATCAGATATCATATCTCCAAAAATATGTTTACTAGGAAATTTTTGGATACTTTCAACCTACAGATAAAGCATTGAATATAAGTCATTTTGTAGACTTCACTACATTATATAGAACTTACTAAATATTGATATGGTTGATGATCTCCAACAACTATTTTGCCAAGACATGGTATAATGTTAAATGAATATAATTTATAAAAATAAGATAAGATGGGATTATTAACATTACTAAACTCAAGACAAAGAAATCTCCCTCCAGGTTTTAATACTCTATTAAATGATTTAAGAGCTTTAGAAATATTCGTGAAATTTCTTATTCCAAAGGAAATAATTAAAATATCAATGGAATTATCTGGGATTTTACTTAATGTTTCACCATCATCGCATAACCACATCACATTACTATAACCTTCTTTTAAAGCTCTCTCTTGACCTTTTTTAATCATTTTATCATTTGAATCAAGTACTGTTAGTATTGGTAACTCATTTATTTGAAAATGTCGAGTTTTTCTAAGTACATCTGTAATTTTGAAGGCAATATCTCCAGTACCACCTGCTACATCTAATATAGAGTAACATTGAGATTTATAACAATTATCATTTGATTGCAACTTTTCATTTTCAAGGTAATAAGGCATTACACTTTTTATTTGGAGCCTGGAAAATGATTCCGGTTCTAATATGGTATTAACGAAAATATCCTTCCAGTATCTATGAATCCCAAAACTCATTAAATCATTCATTAGATCATACTTATCTGAGACATATGAGAATACATTATGTACAAGTTTTCTTTTAACTTGTTCTGTTACTTTTTGAAATCCAAAGTCTACATTAAGATTTTCATTTGTTTGAGAATCTGAATATGATGAGAAGTAACATGAGGAGTAAATTCTTAAAGGGACTCTCTTAATTTTATTTATTTGTCCTAGAAGATGTTTCTGAAAATTACATATTAACTTCTGATTATACATTTAATTTATTTGTTCTTTTTTTTTCTTCTTCTTATCAATTTTAATTAGAAAATTTACGCTCGCCTTTAATACGTTCAACGTAAATCTTGGTTTATTTTATCTTATTAAATTTGTAGATTCAATACACACTTAATATAAAATATTTACTATTTTACTTATATAAAGGTAACAATTAAGAGTATTAATAATTTTAAAAGAGACTCGAGATATATTTAGGACTTCAATGAAGATTTATTAATTTATAGGGCAATCTTATTTTTTAAGTAATAATATTATAAAAAGTGTTCAGTTGAATAACTACAATATTATGAATTAGTTATCCAAATTTGTTTTTAAATAAGTAATTTAGTTTTATCTATTATATTAACAGTTGGTAATATTATTAATCAAGGATCCAATTATTTATGTTAAATATAAATTAACTCTAGATAATGTAAGTGAACCTTTTTATTAGATTAAAGATCACACTTTGATATATTTGAACAAATTAATTGATAGAATTGTTAGTATAACGAAGATATAGTAATTAGTTGGGTCATTGATAAATTGCAGCACTCTTAAAAGTGCAGTAATGTATCCCTATAGTATATCCAGTTCGAATATAATTCAATATCTAATTCCAATTCTAAACTTAAAATTCAGTCCTATATTTATGAAATAGCTTATTTTATTATCTTAAAGCTATTCAAAGTATTATTGTAAGTTCACGAAATATTAATATCTACAATTACCTTATAAAATTCTACTTAGGCTATAAATTACGCACAAAATTATATCTATTTATATTTCAGAATATAAATATTTAAAGTATATTAGAGATACAGCCAATTGTAGGACCTAAAAGCAGAAGTTTTATATTGTAAACTTCATAATGCCACGTATTATTTGGCCGCTAAAATCAGGTCTCCTTTAATCTTATAGGGGCTAGTAGTACAAGCTATGGTGGTTAATGAATCGGATATAACCTAAAGTAATAATTTAGAAATTCTCAAAATAGATTATTAATCAGGGTTTTAATACGGTAATCAAGTTAATACTAGAAATGATGCATATATAATGTTAAATTTTCAGTATTTGTAATTTCATTACCTTAGGTTCTTGATAATTAAGGGAGTATATTAGAATCGGATGATACAAACAATAGGGATCAAGATTACTATTAAAGACAATATTATATATATGAACTGTTAAAGTTACCGGAAATATTTGAAGTTCTCCAGTAATTAACAAGAAGAGAGGAGTAGATATTTATATTTGATATATATCGTAATTATCTAGTTAAGATATACTATTGAAAATTTTATTGTAATTTGACAAACTAGAGCCATATTAGTTTCTGAAATATTATCTATTAGTATAGATTATCACTTTATAGATGGTTTAAGTATTGCCACATATTACATTACAGTGAATGGCTCACGATCTTAATAAATTACAACCCATCCTAATAGAAGAAATCCAGAGTCAAAATGTGGCCTTGTAAAAGTGGAGTATAAGTATATAAGTAATTTATTAAGGAGTTTATCCTAGAAATCACAATAAAAAGGCCAATTAAGATATGAATAGTGTGGCATCATATTGTCGACAATGACATCCCATCTGCGATATTGAATATTAGATGGAAGGAAACAAAGAATGAATACTATCTTAGATATTATGCAATAAGAAGTAGAAATGGATTTAATTTCCCTTTTCTCTCTTTTTTTAATAGGTAAATTCACTGTTAAAACGTGAATGATACTGTCCACTTCTCGATAATGTATCACGCCACAACCCACACAACGTCTCCTGTCTTCTTGTCATGTTTTTTTTTTTTTTTTTTGGTGCTTTCAATAGTTAGGACGCTTTCACCATTAGTGATATCATACCTAATGAATGATACAAGTAATAATATGAACTCTGAACTTGGTGAATCTAGAGGGGGTTATTATACTGCAAGAAGAGGAGACGTCAAGAAATTGACTCAGGTTTTAGGAAACGAGAAAGCTGCACAAGCAGTAATTTGGAAGAAGAATACAAGCTCTGCATACTGTAATGAGAATATGAAATCTAATGGGGAGATGCAGGTAAAAAGTCAGAAATCAGATCATGAGGGGGCATTTACATTGAAAACTATAGCTAATAATTTTATGTCATTTTTTGGATATGGCTCTGAGCAGGAAAGTGGGAAAAGTAATCCATCTGATATCAAGATACAAGTTAGAAGGCAACAACAAAAGAAGTCTACTTTAACTAGTAGAAGTTTGGTAAGCGTTGCAGTAGCAACAGATGTAGAAGATAACGGGTGTAAGGATTATAGAGATAATAATAGAAGAAAGATTAAGGATAACTTATATTGTAAATCTTCGCGAGATAATATATCATCACAAACAAATTTCAATGATCTTTATATTGACATAGATAAACATGTAGAGGTTGTAAATGATAGATTAGATGAATTGTCAAATTTAAAGACAATTCAACATTTTGGTAGTAATGTTAATTATAAAAAGGTTTCATCTAATAAGCCAATAGTGGCTCATATTAGTGGGAAACCAGTACATGCAAAATATATCATTAATAAAGATAATTTATCAATGGCTAGAGTTAGTAATGCTCCATTATTTACTCCATCTCCAACATTACAATACAGGAATATTGCCCCAACTCCAATTGTATATAATACCCCATTAATAACTCATAGAGTTGTTCCTCATATTTTACCTGAAACTTCGAATTCTAAAAAAGGTCATGTAAGGCAAAAAACAATTTATTCACATGAAAATCTACCAGTTCAAAAAAATGTGTTTATTCCAAGTATACATCAAAGTCAATATATACAATCTCAAACACCTCTTGTTACTTATAGGGGGTTTAATTACGATAAACAGTCTTGTTCTATGGAGGCATTACCTGTGATGAATCATTCAAAGACAGAATATAGTATACCATATATCGAAACAAATTCTGATGGAGATTTGACTATAACACAGGGTGAATTATCATCTTTGGGAAATTCTAATAATACATTAAAATTAGACAAAAATCCTGATGAGAATTTGAATTATCCCGAGGTTATGAAATATAAAGTTTGTAATTCCTCAGAGAATAAGATTAATCATGAAAATTTAAATAAAACAATAAATAATACAATACTAACAGCTGGTAATAATAAAACTGTTAATAATATTAAGGATGTAAAGATAGATAAGAATAATAAGATAATAAGAGATGGGAAGATAACATGTAATGACTCTGGTGAGATGGGGATAGTTCATTTTGATGCAAGTGGAAATTTTAGGATTACTTCTAATGCCAAAAAAGCTGTATCTTTAGAAGAGTTTAGTCATGTTCAGAATGTAAGAACAAGTAGCTCATCTATTAAAGCAGGAAATACCCAAGAGAATGGGGACTTATCCAGTTATAAAAATTGCATAAAAACTACAATTGATGATTTAACATATAGAAGTGATGTTTCAGAGAAAAAGAAAGATGGTAGTAAGGTAACAAATATGTTTATACCTCAAGCTAGTCCTATTATAAATTGTAGGTCTACACTAGATTATTTAGTTACTCCTATGGTAAGGTACCGTGATATAAATAATAGTTCAAAAGTATATACAATCCCTCCCCAATTACAACGTAGTAATGAAGCTGTAAATTTGAATGAGGTTGGTAATAGTTTAAATAATACAAAATATATTAATAATTCTAGTCATTATAATACCTTGAATTCTGATGTTAATTCAAGTATATATCAATTTACTAATCAGCATTATTTTATGAATCCTAATGAATGTTACGAGGTTGTATACACTCCAGTAGCTCCTTTATTGATAATACCCCATTCTGGAAATAATAATCTTTTTTCTTGTGAAAATAGTAACCCATGTCAAGTGATGGGCGATTTAACTGGTAATCACTTAATGAATTCTGGAGTAGGATTTGTACCAGATGATCTTAGTTTGCAAAATGAACTTAATAAATTAGGTAGCTCAGTAGAAGTAACAAATCAAGTATCTTGTGGGATTTCTAATAATGTTAATAATGGGCCTCAATCAAATAGTAAGACTACAACTTGTACTTCTACAGGTTCAAACAATGTCCCCAATTCTTCACTGAATAATCAACAAATACCTGCCATCATATTAACGACAAATAATACTTCTCAAAAGGTAGTTGGATGTATGAAACCTGAAGGTGTTGTATATCGTAATTTAAATTGTGTAGTTAATGGCATTAATTCTAAAGCAGCCAATGTAGGGAAGAAGTCTACTAAAGATTATCAAACAAATATTGAATTAGGAACAGGGGGTCATCAAAATCGTCAAAAAGTCTATGTTAGAAGGATGCATCAATATTTAGCAGATCCAAGAAATTTTCCAGTTTTACCAAAAGAATTGTCAATAAATGATATAAGATTTTTAACAAAAATTTCTAATAATAATCAAAATGTTAAAAATATTAATAGAAGTTCTATAGATGAAACAAATGTAACTAAAATAAAAGGGTCAGAGCTAAGACCAGGGATGGAATGGGATAACATTAATCGTGGTACTTTTTGTACTGTATATAAGGCTGAATATAATAAAGAGATAGTGGCAGTGAAATGTCCACAACGTAAACTTCATAATGCAGATCCTTTGATGTCTCGATATCGTTGTTATATAGAATGGAAATTATTAGATCGTTGTAATTGTCATCCAAATATATTAAATTTAATTGGTGGTATTCGATTAGATGAATATGAAATATGGCTTGTAACTGAATATGTAAAAACTGGTGATCTATTTAAATTAATCCATGGTAGTAATCAAAGATCTAAAATACTAATGGAAAACAGTGAATATAAATTTAAGGTGATTTATCAATTGGCTGATGCAATTAGGTTCTTACATTCATTATCACCCAAAATAGTTCACAAGGATTTGAAATCAAATAATATTTTGGTTGATGAAGATTTTAATATTAGAATATGTGATTTTGGCGATGCAGAAGAACTACATTATAATACTATTACTTGCTGTACTGCTGTTACATGGCAATATGCTCCTCCTGAAATTGTTGGGTGTAGTGATCCTGCAAGACCTAATACAAATGCTAATGAAAAGGTTGATGTATGGAGTATGGGGTGTATATTTTTGGAAATACTTTGTAAAAGAACTCCACTTCAACATATACTAGATAATATACTTGATACAAGTAAACATCATTCTGCATTATATAGAATTATACATTCTAATAAAATTGAACAAGAATTAAAAATACCTCCATTACCAGATATTTTATATAATTTAATAACAATGTGTTTAAGGTCAAATCCTAATATAAGGGCATCATCACAAGAAGTATTTGATTATCTTGTAAATAACAAAGACAAGATTAAGAAACAACTTAATTATTTGAGTCAATATAAACTATATAACTCAGGAAATAGTCTTAAGAGTAATCAAAATGTTTTGATTAAGAATATCGACAATATCCATATAACAAAGAGGTCATCTCGTAGAGACTATGGCGTTATTTAGATATTAAATCTAAATATTATGACATCATTTTTATTATTTATATTGTATATAGAACTTGGAAATAGTGAAATAAACTTTTATTATAATATTATTTTAGAATTTGATGTATCATATTTTAGTAGTTATATATATATAGATAATTCTAACTTTATTATAAGATAATAGTAAGATCTCATAAGTTTAGGTTTTTTGTTGGCGGCTGGTGCAGGGGGATAAAGTTTTGTATGAGGGTGTTAAACTTCCGAAATTGAAACTAGGTGATATTATTAAGATAAGTACTTTCTAAATAATTTACTACCATAAATAAAATAATTAAAACTGGAAACTACATTGATTTCAAGATTAATTTATGTATATTAACTAAATATAATATTAGTGGAATCTCAAGCGTGATTTATTTGGTGTATACATCAATATTATAAAATAAGATTAAATATTTTGAAGAGACAATGATATATATTAAAGATGTCTCAGTATAATTATGTGGTTACAGTATATGATTCTAATTCTATTACAGGAGCAATATATGCTGATCTATTCGGTGATGGTATAGATAGACTTATATTGGTAAAACCAAAGAGTTTACTTATTTATGATATAAATAAAGGAGATTTAATAATTCCTAACAATCTGGAAAGTAATGAAGTATCAGATATCCCTATATTAAGATTAGTTGGTGAAATATCAACATACAAGAATATAATTCAAATAGCTCCTTGGAGACCTAAAGGCCAAGAATTTGATGATATCTTGATATATACAGAACAATATGAACTGATATTGATAAGAGCATATAAATTGCAAAATATTGAAGATAATAGTACAGATTCTTCTGTATTATATTTGAATGTAATACAAAGTAAAGATTTATTTCGTCCAAACTTACGCAAATCTAATAATATAAAGATGATTATAGATTCTTATATACAACGTATTATATTATTGATTTATGAAGGTTGCCTACAAGTAGTTGATTGTTATACAGATTTATCTCTTAAAATGTCTGTGTTTACTCCTCCTATTATGCTGAGACTTTCAGAATTGAACATTTTGGATTTATGTCTAATAAATTCAAGTTCCAATAAGTGTTTACTTGGTATACTTTATGATTCAGGATATTCAGAAGACCCAAGATTACTCAAACTGATAGATTTACCATCAGATTTAAAAAGTTGGACTTATAATATGAGAATAGGTATGAAAATTCCGAGTAATATAATGAAAATTGTTAATTATGAAGACTTTAATAATGACCCCTTATCAAATGGTCTTCTTTTATTTGGAGATGGATCTGTCTTTTATTTAACAATAGGAGAAATCCTATATAATAATAATGAGAATCTCATCTCACAGCCCTTATTTATTCAATGCAATTTTCCATCTAATTATCTAGAAAAAGTGGAAAGTGGTCTGACACTTCCTAATATAGTAGATGCTATACCTATAGATGGTAAACTAAAACGTTGGCTAGTTTTAGATAATACTGGTGGTTTATTCATAATGGTTGTTTATAAAGATCAAAATTTGAAAATTGAAAATATCAAAGTTGATATTTTGGGACAATACTCACCATTTTCTGTATTATTATCTCTTAAAAATGATATTTATTTTATAGGCTCCAAGATATGTGATTCTCTTGTGTTATACATCTATCATAACAAACCTTTAATTATGCAAATTATACATAATATTGGTCCTATTCGTGACCTGCTCTTCATAAGAGATAATGAATATCGAGAAGATATAGTTAATGAAAATCCATTATCAAACACTCAAATATCTAAAAACTTATCACTTCCTCTAGTTGCAGCATGTGGATTTGGAAACAGTGGTTCTTTTAAAATAATCTGCAATGGAATAGGACTTAATCAATATTTAATTCTTCAGGATTTAATTATTCCATACACAACTCGTTTGTACCATATTCGACTACGCAATACTAAATTTGATATGGGTTCATATTCTAAGATTTATATTATTCAATCTGGACATAATTTTACAAAGTTTTTTACTTATAATATGAAACAAGAAGATTTTAATGATACTTATTACTTAAATATAAGGAAGGAAGTCGATACAGACTATCAAAATAATACAAATTTCACTATGTCAAATAATATTCATCCAAGATCTTTTAGTAGCAATTCACTTTTGAGTATGAAAGAGGTTGAACTTTCAGGTTTAATAAGTAATGAAGAAACTCTACAAATATGTTTTTGTTCTAATGGATATTTTGTACAAGTGACACCTAGAGGTATTTTTACACATGGTATAGGAAAAGATAATAAGCTTAATGCTTGGATTTTTCAAGATTTCCTGAAATCTGATACTTGTGAACTGAAGGAATTTTTTAATAAATTTAATCACTCTGAATTAAATATTGAGAAAGCTCATATAGATGAGAAGAATAGTTTTATAGTTTTATGTTTAACATTTGGAGTAATACTTGTTGGGAGAGTTGAAGAATTAGGATTTAGAGTTGTAACATCCAAAATTGTTAGTCAGATTCTTGAGGAATTAAATAAGGTAGATATTGATACTAACTTTGACAACTTTAATTTTGTAGACGAAATATCTAGTTGTGGAGTATTTTTCAGAACAGATCAAATTTTAATTTTTATTAGTACATGGCAACAACCTGATATCCTGTGCTTTGAGTTTAATTCTGATTTGCAATCTACTGGAGATCAAACAATTAATTTAATTTGTAGATTTCATACAGGATTTCAGAATCATGAGCTATTGATCACCTGTATTTATGTTAGCATATTATCTCAAGAAGATGGGCATAAAAAAAATCATAAATCTATTGACTACCCATTATATGTTCTAATAGGAACTAGTCAAGGTCATTTGCAACTTTATTATGACTCTAGTTTAAGTAGTAAAGCTCTGGAAAATAACTTTGAAACTATGAATACAAATTTAGACAAAAGTAAATCAAATATATTATTTTATTCTTGTGATAATACAAGATCAAAAGAATTTGAGCTATTTAGTACCTGGAAAGTATCTAACACATATATATCTAATATATATCCTTTAAATATGCATAATAATGATATAAATCTACTTATTTGCTGTGAGCAGCCGAAAATACTTCACTGGAAGCCATCTTATAAAGAAAATTCCATTGGATTATGGACATTTTATAATATACATTCACCTTGGATAAGTCAAGCTATTCAATTGGATTCTTGTGATACTAAACTTACAAGTACTAGTAAATCTCATGAAACATTTATACTGTACCTTTGTCATCATATTGATCAAAATTTGAATGCTTCTTGTAAATTAGCTAATACTCAACCTCAAGAAGAACTTAATATAAGAAGTAATATAGAAAAGCCAAATATAATTAAACTGACGCATTCACTAAGAGCCAGTTCAATTGATATTCTTCAACAATATCATTGCAGAAGCTTACAATTGAATTTTACTCCAGAACGGATATGCTATATTTCAAATCTTAATGTATATGTTGTTGTTGGTATATGGGAAAAAGGTTTAATGAAGAATTCTAAGTCTGAGAACAAATTTCTTATTCAAAATAATTCAACATTAAAAAGTTCTTTATCATTTGTTCAAGCTCTAATGTGTGTTATCTCTGCAAATAATTTAGAAATTCTACATTTCAAAACTTTAGAGTCTAGTGTATATCCTACATGCCTTGAGTATATTGAGTTAAATATAAATCAAACCCCAGAAAATATATCTGAGTCATTTATAGTTTTGGGAACAAACAAAGTAGGTCATATTAATGATTACAGTAATAAATCGCCAAATATTGACTTACCTATAGGTAAACTAACTTTGTTTAGTATCAGAAAACTTCATAGTAAGTTCATAGTGGATGAGGAAACCAGTATAAATGCTGAAGGTTGTCCGTATGCAATTACACGTTTTCAATTGGGAACTATACTTGTTGCAGTTGAAAATAGTGTCGTTACATATGAAATAATACAATACTCTACATCTAGCAATTACTTAAAAGATACCTCAATTTTACCATCTTCTTCATCATCTTCTTCATCTTGTTTGTTGTTAGATACTTTACCTGAAAATGAGAAAACTCCCAAGTTCAAGTTTAATAAAATAAACTCTTATAGTACTCATACTATGATAGTTTTCTTAAAGTTATGGAAAGATGAATATTTGTTAGTAGGTGATTTAATGCGTTCAGTAGGTTTATGGAAGTATGATAAGGTGGCAAAACAATTTGAAGAGATTTGTCGTGATCCATCTTTAGCTTGGGTAATGGATGGGATTTTTATTAACAAAAATTTGTATATGGTCTCAGATGAAAATAAGAATGTAAGGATATTAACTAAACCAGAAAATCCTATAAATGATGAGATGGATACTGTTCTTCAAAGTATAGCTCATTTTCATTCCGGTGAAATTGTATCTACTTTTCAGAAAGGGAAGCTCATGATGCCATATCCACGTTGTCTGCAAGAAATAAACAATATTGGACTAGATTTTTGTCATAGTTTATATAGTGAACAAATAGTCTTTGGAACGGCTCAGGGAAGTATGAGTGTAATATTTAGTTTAAATGCAGACTATAAAATGTTTCTTCAATTGATTATGTTTGAAGAAGCTATAATAGCAGCTATTAAAAAAAGTTTACGGACTATATATAAAGATTGTAAAGTTTGTAATCTTTCTATTAAACAGATAAAACAACTTTATATTAAAGAATCATCTTCTTCTTTCAGTGGGGTAATTGGGACTATAGGGGGAGAAGATGTAACTCCATTTCAGTGGAATCTCTCTAAAAATTATCAAGATTACAACTATGAATATGAATGTTCAGGAGCATCAAGGGGCTTTATTTCTGGTGATATTATTGAATTATTTTTGAAGTTTTCAAATGAACTACAAGAAATGGTTATCCAAGAGTTGAAAGCAATTCAGATAGATAATATCACTATTCCAGAAACAAGCAAGCAACTTGAACACATAATACAACAACTTCGAAATATACACTAATATATCTGTGATTTATCCTATTACAATTAACTATATTTTTAGTGAACAGTAATAATTTTAAACAGAAAAATTTCAAATTATTGTGAATACAAATTTTGAAGTTAATTGTATACAAATATATTCTATTACAAATAAGAACCTTATAAAACAAATTACTTTGTATTATAAAATAAGAATATTGTACTAAATAAAAATATACTAATCAATTTACAGACAAATAGTGTAGTCCAATAAAACTTGGCACTATAAAATAAGAAGTCCATAAATTTTGAATGTACTTCATATATATTATGTTAGAAATATAACAAAAAATATTATGAATGCAATAATCATAGCAAATAGTTTGATGATGAGACCTCGATTTGATTTCACATATTGATGATATTTCAAAAGTTCATTGTGTCCATGCTCTACATTAGAAAATGTATTGGTAATATCTTCATCTATTCTCTGTATCATTTCTTCTTGTTGAGTAACCATCCCAGCAACTTTCTGAAAAATTTGAGCTAATTCTCCAATCATTCTTTGAACATTTTCAACAGCTTCAGCTCTGGAGTGTGCATATGAAAATGATTGGTTTTGTTCTTGCATAGCCATCATCTGCTCTCCTTCTAATCCACTTTCGATATCAAAAGGAACTTTGTTGTATTTATTATTTCCAGGTATATTTCCAGAAATCTTAGAACTCATAGCTGAAGATATTTGTTGTAAACCGGAGTTATTTGAAGTATATGTATATAAATTTCTCCTCCAGTCCTGTTGTTGCATTGTCTCGGTCCTCTTCTGTAATGCATCCCTAAATCCTTTTGTTATATCCAACATTCTTGTCTTTAGGGTTTCTACCATTGCAGAATAGTGCTGATTGCTTTGATAATAGCCTCCAGAAGAAGGAAAACCTTGCTCTGCATGTTTTTGAAGGATTTCTAGTTTTGAATTTAAGTCTGTAACACTCTGTTTAATTTCTTCGGTTAGATCTTGAATATGACTACTTCTATCTCTAAATAAACCTTTATATTTAACTAAACGGTTTAATTCTTGAAGTTTTATAGAAGTAGAGTTCATCTCCTGACTTATTTCAGAGGCTAATAAGTTGAATTGGCTTCCTTTAATTGAATTTGAGTAGCTCTGATTTGAAGCAGCTAATATATAGCTATTTGTCTCATTTCTATCACTCTCATCAATTATATCAAAGAATTCACGCGTTCTATCACTACTTAACATTCAAAATATCTATAGATTCTTTAAAATATACACGTGGAATTATAGCCTATGAGGATTCTACATGTTATCGCGCTATAGCACAATAGGGGTATCGAAAACACTAAAAAATTGTAAAAATATCAGTTGAATTTAGAAAATCAAATAGTAAATAACAATATCTAAATAAATAATTAGATTTTTTTAATACAAATCCCCATACAAATTATTTTTAGTATTCTTCAGATATATATTTCAAAATATAAATAATCACTTATAGTTTTAAAAAAAGGAAATTTATGAAACTATAAATTAATGAAAAGTATTAGAGCAAATTCTCTGTAGTCATAAATATAAAGAATAAAAATGACCAAAGTCATCTTTATTTTGGAAATGGAACTATAGGATTTTACTAATATTTACAATATGAATTCTTGGTTTATATCATTAAAAGGAGCAGATAAGGATACAGGATTGTATTCTTTGGCAAGTGATAATAAATATTGAGAATTCAAATAGTCTTCAAGTTTATTATAAAAAAGTTGTTGTTTCTCCATATATCGCCTTTTTGATTGTATAGCTAAATTCTCAGTATCGAACAAGGTTACATGTATAAATCGATATCCATAAAAGCCTACTCCATAAAATATAATACCTGATAAAAATCCAAATAATACTGAATGGAATATTGATGGTCCTCTTATTACATTTATCCAAGGGCGTTTAATTTTATTTATAAATTTACTTGCCTTTAGAGACATCTGTCTATCCTGCATGCATGCAACTGAAAGAAATTTAGCTAACAGAGTGAAAAGTTGTAATTTAAATCCTTTATCTGTAAATTTTTAGTTTGCGAATCCCTTAATAAAAATTGTCAATACAAGATTCACAATTAATAGGCGCTTGTAGTAATTAAGCCAAAGTGTTAACTACATCAAATACTGACCAATATTAAAGGTGCAGAAGTTTATGGAAATTAAAGAAATAAGGAAATGCAACTTTTATTTAAACTCTAAATCCCGTAGTTGTAAATTTCCGATATTTGGTGATTCTATTTACTGTATATTCCACTTACGAATAATAGATAATATACAAGTCATTCAAGATAAAAACTCCCATAATAAGAATATTAAAGATAAGCTTATACTTTGTCCAATAGATCATAAACACTATATTTCAATTACTAATATATTATCTCATATTCGGAAGTGCTCTAAAGTAAGAGATATTGCATATGAATTATCTCAACCGTTTTGTATACAAACAAGTGAGCCTCCTCTAACTCTTCAGAATAAATTTCAAGCATTACTAGATATACAAAATTTTATTAAATCTACTAATATAGACAAGATTTGTGAAGAAAGTCTAAATAGTAGAAGAAATGATTTGATAACAAACCTTGAGTCAAAATTAGAATTTTTGGATTTGTTATATAGGGAATGTCTTCATCATCTACCCTATAACCCTCATGAAGTTGAAAAAATAGATAATAAGCTTGAAGAAACTATAAATAATCAGATTCCACGAAATAAACATGATATACAAGCTTTTGATATCTTTAATACATGCCTTAAAGATGGATTTATTCAAAATAAAGAGAATAGATTTGATTATAATACTTCAAAGTGTATGTTTGTAGAATTTGGAGCTGGTAATGCATTACTAACTCATTGGTTTATTAAACTTATAATAGAGAATATACAAAAGAATTCAGGAAGTACACAGATCAGTGATTTACGTGCCATATTAATTGATAAGGAATCTAGAAGAAAACAGCTTGAAAAACATAGTAAATTTATCAAAAGCTTAAGATTAAGATTAGATATTGAAACATTTGATTTTAAATCTTTAATTGAAGCCTGTGAAACAGGTAATAGTGATTTGATGTATCTTTCATTTTTTAATGGACATATTCCCTGGTTACTGGAATATTTAGTTAAAGCGGATATATGGATTCCTAATATTCCAAAAGATGTAAATCCTTTAGAATATTTAAGGAAGATAGAGCCAAATAAATTAAAAGATATTTTAACTCTTTTATCTCGTGGAGGAGGTCCCAATATTAAGAAGTAAGTTTATGTAACTGTTTATGAATGAAATGTAATATTTACTATTTATCAATTTATGTTTTACTGTATATATAGGATTGAAGATAATATCAAAGATAATATCATTAATCGCCCAATTAATCATCTTTTTATTCTTGCAAAACATCTCTGTGGATGTGGTTTCGATTTAGCACTAACATCATCCATTGACGCAATACAAAAACTTAATAGTGGTTCTACTGTATATATTACTATGGCAGGATGTTGCCATCACCGCTGTAATTTCAAGCAGCATCTTGGAGCTGAATTAATTACATCATCTAAATGGAAAAGTTATTTCAGTTCAGATGAAGATTGTTTTAATTTCATTACTTTTATTTCATCATGGGCTACAGGAGCCACTGATTGGCGTCAAAATGAAGGCTACAAAGCCAAATTTATACTTGATACATGTCGGTAAGTCTAGAAAATATTTTAATTAAAGAAAGAGAGATAATGGAATATAAATAAACTTTTTTGGTTTATCAGGATACAATGGCTTAGGTCTAAAGGGTTTATGAATGTCAAACTAATCAATTACACAAATAAACATGTAACACCAGAAAATGTATTATTAATTGCATCCAAACAAATATAACCGCTATATTTTGGCGGTATAAAGGGTACCAAACTTTAAAAAGTAACAATATAAAACTTAAAGGTTTAATTTTTCAGTATTAAGATAAACATGTCTGAAACAAATAAATGTCAAGAAGTTGTCTCGGCATTCCCTCCTCCTCCTCCATACTATAAATTATATAACTCAGAAGAGACAGCATTGGAATCTCCACCATGTATAATTGGTCCATTTATGTGTTTTGGGTCAATACTATCCTCAGAAATAAATATCCCCCCATTAGATAGCGATACAAGTCTATATAACCAAGAAAATTCAGATTTAATTCAAGAACTGCGTTGTTTAAATAGCTTATTTCAAGAGAATATCCTTAATTTGTTCAAAAAAAGTGGTCAAGGAAGTATAGAGGTATCGGCAATTAAACACATAGTTAAGATACATTCAAATATGAACCATATATTGGAGAAGTTAAGGTTAATACAAGCATATTATCTTATTATGAAACAATTAGAATTACAAATTCAAGAAAAAAAAGAGCTTATAGAACAAATGAGACAACTTTTAACAAAATGTAATGAAAATACTATATCTAGTGATATTATTTAACTGAAATTCTTTAAATACAAAATACTATATATATTGAATATTAAGTAATTCCTTATATTTAATATCTATTAAATCCTACACGGTCACGTGGAATAAGTTGTAAATCGCCCCCATGTTTAAGAAATACTTGACTAGCTGTATTATTAGGATTTACTCCTACTCCCTCCATTGTTATTATTGCACTTGTAGTTGCAGATACCTTAAACTACACACACATACCAATTTATTTAAGTAATTTAAAAAATTCAAAATATAATTAATTACTTACTTGTTCTGCTGCAAATTTTACTACTGCTGTGAATGGTGTATCCTCAGGTACAGACAAACTATTGTTTACAGATCATACATAAGTTTAATCAATTTTATCTTCAACATTGTAACTTACATCTTATATGGGTTTTTTCTATCAGATGCCAATGTAATCTTAAATGTTACTTTTGTATTTGAGCTATTAGTAAGCAAAGACATTATTCTAAATGTATACGCAAACTATTACTATAACGCGAACCTTCTACTCCTGCGGGTTGAAAATTACTACATTGTGTAATCTTAAGTATATTTATTACACAAATATCTTTAATACAATTAAAATGCTTATTTCTTTTAAATTTATCACATATATTATATGGTAAGTATTACTCAGAGTAAACATCATTCTTCGACCTATTCATATAATTAATATTCAATATATCATTCATATTTATATATTTCAATAATATTCTTTAGCCTAATACTATATAAAAGTGTTACAAATGCTTCAAAGCTTACAGGAGCTAGAATTATTGGACTTATTCAGGCTTCTTCAGAGACATTCTTGACTACCCGTGTCTTTATTAGTGGATACTTTGATTCTGTACAGCCTAATTCTAAAGGACACTTTGTATTGTAAGTTCACTCTTTTTTTAATACTTATTATATAAGTAAATAAATTCTTTCAATTATCTTAAATACTTCTCCCTAATAACTTCTTTTAGTGACAATATACCTCCAGGGAAGTATATTCTAAAAATTACAAGTTCAGAAAATAGATACCCAATATATGAAATTTTAGTAAATGAGATACAATTACAAGAAGGAAGTATATTTAAAGTATCGGCTAGTTTATATAATATAGAAAGTAGAATAGCTGAAGAAAAGATACTCCATCCTATTATTGTAACTCCAACGTATTCAGTATACAATAATGAGGAACAGGAAAATATATTCACTACTATAATGGGTTTACTGAAAAATCCTCTGGCAATTATTTCTATTATTTCTCTATTTGTTGCATTTATATTACCTAAACTACAAGAAGGATTAGATGCAGAAACAATGGAAGAATTAACAGGAAATATAATTGGCGGTAAGTAAATGCTGTAATTACACGTCATGTTAACGCTAATATAATTTCTTATTTTTTTATATTAGGTGATTATCGCTCTAAATTCTTATCTAATATTTCAACGTAATTAAAAATAGAAAACGAAATTTAAAAATCAAATTTCATTTTGGGAAGCTATACATTTTGTATATACTATAGTCTAGAAGTATTAAAACCATAGATATTATCTTTAAGTACTTTGTAAATACAGTCTTTACACTTATAGTAAATTTATTACACCTTAAATAAAATATTATAGTACAAAAACTCAAGTGGTTCATTTTTCATTAATTAATTGGGATAATCTTGAAGATCACATATATATACAGTTATAGTCCTCGTAATATTATTTGGAATCCTGTCAATTAAAACTAAAACATAAAACTTAAAATGACCTTTGAGAGTATTTTGCATAAATAATAAAATTCCTAAACTATATATTTTAAAGTAACTATTTGATATTTATCTTATCTTTATTTTGGAAATAAAGAAGTAATAATTACAATTATTTGAAAAAATTACATCTATTTATTTTAAGTATATATTATTTTTGATGTATCAAGTTTTGTATATCAAGTTTTATTCCTATTTTATTTAAGTATATTTGTAATCTTTTATTTATTAAATATATGTTCTGATATTATATAATTATTATATATAATGATAAATGTCTTAAATTCATATAACTTCTAAGGATTTAAATATTACAAGATATATAACCAAATAAACTAAATAATAAAGAAATAAACTATAGAAGAGTTATACAAATTATTTGTATAATAAATGAGTTCCTGATTAATAGATACAAGTTTCAAATGATTGGGAGATCTTCAGAATTAATAATTGCAATAAACTATAAATAAGTAATTTCAGCCTAAAATTTCTAAATACAGATTTGAAACTAATTATATAATCTTATTTATAAAAAAATAAAATATTGATATTAAATTAAATAATCTTAGGATAAAGATTCAATTAAAGTTTCAGATTAAATATTTGGTTCATTAAGTTCTTTAAATATTAATATAAATTTATTAACTTATGACTAAATCAGGAGTAATCTAGTCAATATTTATAGAATTAAGATTTTTAGTAATAATTGGATAAATGAAAAAAGGACACTAATTAATATTTTAAATGATAAATGAGAGATATATAATAAATATTATAAATACTTTGAAACATAAATTCAAATTTTGAAAATATTACTAATTAAAATGATAATTTATTCGTATATTTATCAAAATCTTAAAAAACTTTTTCCATTTAGTGTATATCTATATGGAATAATTGGATTATCATCAGATGAATAACTTTCATTGTATTTCAATAATTGTTCCGCAGATTGAAGTTCCCAACCACTTCCTCCAACAGAGTATATGCAATATAATGAATATACAATTTTTAACAAACAATAACCTAAGGCAATATTAAATAACATGAAATTCAAGTGTAATGTAACAGTAATTGACAATTGAATAATTTCCTTATTTAAAGTAAATTTATCTATACATAATTCAATGAATTTAGAGAGTTTATTGTTATGTAAAGAAACATCTTCAATGACTTTAGGGCAATATTTTATATTTTCTACATAAATTAAACCACATTTTTGAATCCAAATATCAATATCTCCAATGTTCGGATACCACAAAGTATATTCATTAGTCTTAAGTAAAAAATTATCTGATATATTAAAAATACAATAATTAAGATAGGAGTCATCATTATTAAGTAAATTAATTAAGATTCCAATTGCTACAATAACACATATTAAGTGTATTTTTATTAATAATAAACAAAATATCGCAAGTTTTCTTGATCTAATAAGAAGCATTCCTATTATGGTTATAGAATATAAGCAAGTAATAAGATTATATATACTAAATAGCATGGGATATTTAGTATAAAATAAGGAAGTAATTGTTTTACCTTGGTATAATACTAATAGTTGAAAGATAATTATAAAATTAAAAGATAAAGTAGACCAAATTGTTAGGAAATATCCCAAAGATATGTTACAAAATCCATTATATGTTGACCAAAGAAAAGGTTTAAACTTTGAGTTATCTCTAAAGACCATATTTCGAATTTCTGCATCAGTAAATATTTGATTTTAAAAAATATGAATTAAAGTATATAAATTCCTGAATTACCCAACAATAAAAATTATTGGTAAAAAACTAGGTGGTATTTCACTATTTTGAATATTCCAATACCCCTTAGTAATTCAAGAACTTTTCATTTCTGGGTATGTTTATTGCAGCTGACAAATATAAGTCAGCGCCTAAGAAGTGTTATAGGACGACAGTCGGTATCTGCCATTTTGTATGGCAAATTAAGGAGTCAAAATTTGGTTGGTTATTTATGGATTTTGAGTATCGAGAGAGATTATTAGAAGCTGTATGGCCTCATATAGAGTCTTTTAATTGTTTCTTATTGACAGGATTAAGTAATATTGTAATAAATTTGCCATCTATTTATATAGATTCCGATTATGTTATAGATGACTGCGAGTTAAATGTTGGATATATCCCTAGAGAATATTTAAGAATTAAAGTAACTTGTATAAAAGTTGGTAAACCAATTTTTGGATCTACAGAGTCTTCTAATACGAAGATGTACCCATGCAGTGCTAGAAATGGTCACCTGAGTTATAGTGCACCCTTATGGATTGAATTTGAATGCTATAATTCGTCTTCAAAAAGTTCAGTCAGGCATAATTTATTTGCAGGTTCTATACCAATTATGGTTCGGAGCTTAGCATGCCACCTTTATAGTTTGAGTCCTAATGAATTGGTTGCAAATGGAGAAGATCCCAATGAAGTTGGTGGTTACTTTATAATTAATGGAAATGAGAGAGTTATTAGATATGTTATTCAACAAAGGTGTAATTATCCAGTTGGATTAAAAAGATCCAGATTTACAAGTAGGGATATTTTTGGAACAGAATATGCTATATTATTACGTTCATTAAGAAATGATGGGACATCTACTGCAAATTATTTGTATGGTACAACTGATAATCAGTGTGTATATCGTATATTATTAAATAGACAAGAATGGTTATTGCCATTTTGGAATGTTTTACTTGCTGTTGGTTCTATTTATGATGCAAAAACGTTGAGAAACAAGATTTTACAGTATTGCTGCAATACTCGGGATGAATATGACCCTCTTTATGGTGTCATAAATATGTTGACTATAGAATGGGGACTTGATAATTCAAGTGGTGTAGAAAATAGTGTAATACCACCATCTTATGATGGTGCATTTGGTGATATTGAAATTATTGAGAACAGGCATCTTCATAATTTAGGAAAGTTAGTTTGGGAAGGTGTAGTATTTTATTTACCTCCTGGGAGCTTATACCAGGATGCAGGAAGATTTATAATTGATAATCACATATTAGTTCATTTACCAGAGTGGAATGCAAAGCTTGAGTGTTTAATATTAATGTTTATAAAACTACTAAAGCTTCAATATGGACAAATTCGTGAAGAGTCTATAGATTCATTTGCATATCAAGAAATTCTATCTTCTGGTAATTTATATGCTTCTGTTCTTAAGGATGCAATTTTCAGTTTTCTTCAAAAGATTAGGATGATTTATATTACTGAAATAAGGAATAGGAATTCTTCAAAAAGTGAAAAAGAAGCAAGTGATGAGTTACCATTACCATATTCTTCTGCTGCTTTGGATCTTTTAAGGGATGATAGTTTTTTCAAGACTAGTTTGATTCGCAATATTTCTATGATACCTAAACGTATACAATACTTTATGGCAACTGGAAATATTAAGACAACTCAATTAGATCTTCAACAACTCTCTGGATGGACTGTTGTTGCAGATAGACTCAATTTTAATAGATTCTTATCTCACTTCAGAGCTGTTCATAGAGGTCAGTTTTTTACAACTATGAAGACAACAGATGTAAGGAAATTAATGGGAGAGACCTGGGGATTCTTATGTCCAGTACATACTCCTGATGGTGAACCTTGTGGTTTATTATTACATTTATCACAAGATACCATTCCAGTGACACAATTTGAGATTCAGAGTACACTTAAAAATTTGAGAGATTATTTAGTTGGGCAGAATATACCTTGTGATGATGGATTAGGAACTTTATCAATTCAATGGGGGAGTCTAAATTTAGATGATATATATGTTCCTGATTTGTCGAAATCAGTACCTGTTATGTTGGATGGGAGGGTTATGTTTCATATTCCAAAATTAAAATTTACATTCTGGCAGGAGAAGTTGAGGAATTTGAAGTGGAGTAAAACTCCTTCTATATTACCAGTACATACTGAAATAGCCTGTATACCACCTGATTGTGGAGTATTTAGTGGAATATTCATGTTTACAGCTCCTGGAAGGTTAGTAAGGCCAGTTTTACATTTAAAATCTAATAAAATTGATTGGATTGGACCTCTTGCTCAACCCTGGATGGATATAGGCGTAACCGAAGAAGAGACTCAAAAATCCATTAAACTATACAATCTACAAATGAAGCTTTTTGGATTATACAGAAATGACAATATCACATCTGATATAGAGACCACAGATAATATGGATAAAAATCAGATTGAAGAAATGATTAAAAAGGATTATACTCTTGGGTGTAATCCAGTAATGTATACTCACCAAGAACTTCATCCAAGCACTATTTTATCAATTACAGCGAGTTTAATCCCCTATGCTCATCATAATCAAAGTCCAAGAAATATGTATCAATGTCAAATGTTAAAACAAACTATGGGTACTCCATGTTATAGTTACCCGTATAGAACTGATAACAGGATGTATAGAATAATTACCCCTCAAAACCCTTTAGTTATAACTAAAGGATATGCTTCTTATGGATTTTCAGAATATCCAACAGGTACAAATGCTATTGTAGCTGTTATATCACATTCAGGCTACGATATGGAAGATGCTATGGTTTTGAATAAAGCATCTTATGAAAGAGGAATTTTTCATGCTTGTGTCTACAAAACAAAAATCTTGTTTGCAGCTCCTAATTCTGTCATAAAGAAGAGTGATGCTGAATCTTATAGATTTCATAATATTGGACCAGATGGGAAGTTAGTTATTAAGGAATTAGGGGCTGATGGATTACCTATGATTGGCCAAAAATTAGTTAAAGGATCTCCAATGTGTAGAGTTGAAAAATTGGGATCTGGAGGGGTCATCTCTAATGCTATAGTTCAAACTTACCATGATGATGAGGAAGCTTATGTTGAGAAGATAAATAGAGTTGGAAGTGGTTTGTCTACTGAATCACATTCAGATTCTACTTTAGGGGGATCTGGAGGACCTGGAGGATCTGAATATAGTTCTGGATATGGCGAAAAGATATCTTTAAAGCTTAGAATTGTAAGAAATCCAATGGTTGGGGACAAATTTGCTTCTAGGCATGGACAAAAAGGTATCTTATCAATGTTATGGCCTCATGAAAATATGCCTTTTGGTGAATCTGGAATAGTTCCTGATATTCTTTTTAATCCACATGGGTTTCCGTCTCGTATGACGGTTGGAATGTTGATTGAATGTATGGCTGGAAAAGCTGCATGTTTACATGGTGCATCTGCTTTAGATGCCACTCCCTTCCATCGAAATATAACGGACAAACAAACTATACTAGAGGATAAAGAAATGGGAATTGATTTATCTAAACAATCTACTGTAGATTACTTTGGAAAAGCCTTATTGAAAACTGGATTTCAGTACTTTGGTTGTGAACCTTTATTCAATGGAATGACTGGGACTGAAATGCCTTGTCATATATTTATGGGAGTTATATATTATCAGAGATTACGTCACATGGTTGCTGATAAGGCCCAAGTCCGTTCTACAGGTCCTATTGATGCATTAACTAGACAACCAGTTAAAGGACGCAAACGTCATGGTGGTATTCGATTTGGTGAGATGGAAAGAGACTCACTAATATCTTATGGAGTGAGTTCTATTATTGCAGATAGACTCCTAAAATGCTCGGATGAACATAAAGCTTATGTCTGCCCATATTGTGGATTAATTTTTTCTGCTATATTACCTAGAAAAACAACAAATTTCCAAAACAGATTGGCCACTACACTACCTCATGTTGCTATTTGTAAAGTTTGCAAAACTCCCTGTAGATTAATTACTTTACCTTATGTGTTTAGGTATTTATGTAATGAGCTAGCTACAATGAATATTGTTATTCGCCTTGAGTTAGAACAAGAAGATGTCCCAATTTCAATAAGAAGTATAAAAGATAAAAGTAGTTAAATTTCCTACTTTTCATAATATAATAGCTATAAATTTTCTATATTAATACTTACTAATCCAAAATTAATTTTATTATTTGAATAGAAGTAGATCATATTAGAAATAAATTAATGTATAATCTAGTTTCATAACTTTAGTGTCTTCCCAAACTTAAGGAATATATAAGGGTGTATCTTACTACCTGAATGTTGTCTCACTTCTTTGGAGACAAATATTAACAGATAAAATTCAGTTTATATCTGAAATTATAAGTATAAAACTTCACCCTTTATTGCACTAATTTAGACAAGATATTGATTTATGGCGCCAATTGTCTCCACTGTAGTACTAGTTGAAAATAACAAGAGGCTTTTAAGATTCCAAGTAGTAAAAGTTATATTAGTAGTTGATATTAACTCAAATAAATAAACTTTTTTATATAATGCCACCCAAAAAACAGACTCAAGAGGTCAAGATCTTGTTGGGACGTCCTAAAGGTAATCTAAAAATGGGTTTAGTAGGACTTCCTAATGTAGGCAAATCTACAACTTTCAATCTCCTATGCAAGCAAGCTGTACCAGCAGAGAATTTCCCTTTCTGTACAATTGAACCTCATGAAGCACGGATGAATGTACCTGATGAACGTTTTCGTACTTTATGCAGATATTTCAAGCCTAAGAGCGAAGTTCCAGCAACATTGACAATATTTGATATTGCAGGTCTGGTACCAGGAGCTCACAAAGGTGAAGGATTAGGAAATGCATTTCTATCTAATATACAAGCAGTAGATGGGATCTATCATGTTGTTCGAGCATTTGAGGGCGATGAAATTGTCCACACAGAAGGAGAAGTTAATCCAGTTAAAGATATTGAAACTATTAGTAATGAATTAAGAATGAAAGATTTAGAAAGAGTTGAAAAACTTATTGTTGAATTAGTTAGAATTACTAAGGATGGTACAGATAGGACTAAGAAGGAACAGTGTAACTCTCTGCAGATACTAAAGAACGTGTTAACATATCTAGAAGCAGGAAACTGGATCAGCAATAAGAGTGACTGGAAATCTAATGAAATTGAAGTACTGAATGAACACCAATTCCTTACTGCTAAGCCTGTTGTATATCTTGTAAATTTATCAGAAAAGGACTATATCCGACAAAGGAATAAATTTTTACCTAAAATAGCTGAATGGGTTAAAAATAATATTGATGGTTGCATCATTCCATATAGTGCTGAATTTGAGTCAAAACTTGTCGAGTTCACAACTGATAAAGAGAAAACTCAATATATCAAAGATGTGGGAGCATCTAAAAGTATGATAGATAAAATTATTAATACTGGTTACTCAGCTTTAAATCTTCTACACTACTTTACTGCTGGTGAGGATGAGGTGAAGTGTTGGACAATTAGGAATGGTACAAAGGCTCCTCAGGCTGCAGGAATTATTCATTCAGATTTTGAGAGAGGTTTTATTTGTGCCGAGGTGTACAAATATAATGACTTAATTGAACTTGGTTCAGAAGCAGCCATAAAGGCAGCTGGGAAATATATGCAGAAAGGAAAAGATTACATAGTTGAGGATGGAGACATTATATTTTTTAAATTTAATGTAACAAACACATCTAAGAAATGAATATAAGTATATAAGCATTAGTAATATAATTTTGTCTATTTATTACAAAATCCTAGCTATAGTGAATTTTAAGTTAGATATTTATTTGTTAAAATTTGCTGTGTAAAGTATTCAAAGTCCGAGACACTTATCGGTGATGTATTATTAGGCCCTTTAATTGTGCAGTTAGTAACCTCTTCAATGATCTCTTCATGTGCATAGATAACTTCAAATTCCTTTGAATTTGTTAACATTTGTGATAACTCTTCAACACTTGGGTATAACATCAAACTTTGCCTTTTAATCCTATCTATTAGCCATCTAGGTAATTGTTTGGGATTCAATTTTGTTGTGAAAATAATCATCAATCCATTCAATTTTGGAATTATTTCTTTATTCTGATTGTTATCTATAGATAAACTCTTACTTTCTAATTGTATCTCTTCTATTTTCAATACTGAATCCAGTATATATATAAGGGTAGAAGTAAGTTCTTGATGGATCTTAGCCCTAATATTATCATCGCTCCTAAATTCTATGACAGAGGAATCCCCAAGAATATCCTCAATGTCATCAAATACTAGTATACAAGGTCTCGTTAGGTATGCCTTTTCAAACAAACTACGTAAATTTCTTGTCGTTATTCCATGCAAAGAGTTAATAAGTTCAGTCATCTTACCAAGTATTAAATTAACCTTTGGATGGATAGAGGTGAGGCTTCTAACAAGGGTACTTTTACCACATCCAGGAGGACCCCAAAGTAACCAAGTAATTGGATAGGTTATCTTAGAATTTTCAGTTGAGAATTGGTCGACCATTAAATAAATTACTTGTTTCATATATTGTCGAAGTTCACATAATCCTATAAAATCTTTATCTATTGATATTTTACTCGAAATTAACATATCTAAAGATGAGCTGGCTTTCTTAGTAAGTCTTGATCTATTCAAGTGTTCAATATATTCTTTGATATCTTCAAATGTTATTTTTACCTTGTTTTGAGTTTGAAATATTTCAGAACAAATTAAACCTTTTAATATTGGCTGACCAATTTTTTTTCTTTTAACGTATGTTACAAGTTGTTGTGTTATTTCATAAACGTTTGACAAATTACAGTTCATCCCAAGTACGCTAGTAATAGCATTTAGTGCTTCACCTTCAATTTCAGTATCAAGTATTTCTTGAATAAATAGCCTCACATTAGAAATACTAGTATCCCAAGTCATTGGAATAACAATATCTAGGAGACCACTAAATATAAAGTCTGGTGGCTTAGAGAAAGGGAAAATCAATATTAAATAAACTTTTGGCCTGCTATACTGAATATTCCACCTTTCTATAAATCTCACTAGAATTCTTTCAATAGCTTCTTCCGTGTTATCAGATGGACCTTTAAAAGTACCTTTATTCAGTTGATCATCTGGATTCTTGTAGTTATTACCCCTCGATCTTGCTGATAGTTTAAAATGAATTCCGTCATATACTTCAAAAACAATAAATATAATGTCAAAAGCTTCACTTTCTTCAATTAAAGTGTGGATTTCATCCTGCAATCTCTCTTCTAAAGTTAATATCAGCCCACTAGGAACCATGAGACATTTCTTAGTTAAAGAAATCAAGGACAATTCTTCAATTCTACATTTCAATGGGCTATTGGAGATATATAATTTGTCGATTTCATCTTTAATTACATCTAGTATCAGCGGTTTGATAATATTTGATAATAAATCCTCAGTTTCTTTATATATACAAATCGAATTACAATCAAAAATAGATAAAGAAGAAATTTCAAAAGTACATTTAAGAAATCCACGCAATAACTTTAGTGTATAAGAGTTTAGTAAAGCTTTTGGCTCAGCCATTAAGTTTTTTACTTCTTAGTGATATCTTTTTATTAGTATATTGGAAGTAGTTGCAAAGAGACAGAAGACAGTGCATCACCGCATGACTTGATAATAAAGTTTTTGTAATATAGAACAAAATTTATAAAGTAATTTTGATCTAACTATATAATATTCTAATATGAATCGTGCCAGTATAAAGTCTCAATATTTAAATTTCATAAATTGTCAATATTATTTATATCTCACTATATCTTTTATTATTAGAACAAGTTAATCACTGGACATGATAAGATAATATATTTCATCAACATCACATGATAAAAAGGGATTAAGTGTAAGGACTCCCCTTATTTCTACAGGTTGAAAATACTTCTTTAATTTGTCTTTGTGTTGCACTACACTTGCAATATCTGCATCCAGAGTATTTCTAATGGCTGTAAAGGGATCCCAGTAGCTAACAAAAGATTCTAAACTAGGAGCATTTGAATAAGTGAGCCTCGCCACATTATTCATACTTGGTGAGACTAAATCCTGAGCTTTAGGAATATGAAATGTAAATAACCGTTGAATTTGGTTTGCAATATTATTCAATAATAATGCCAAAGCAGATGCATCATCGGGTGTCATTGACTCAGCTCGTGCAGAGACTGCCACCTGTAAGATTTGTTTAAGGATAACTTGGATTGTTTTATCTACAAGATATCCAAAGCACTTTAAATAAATATTCATTGCTAATGTACTAGAAAAAGTAGAAGCTAATTGTTTAAGACGTTGAATAGCAGAAATGGAGCTTGTTTCAGCCTCAATATATACATCGTCATATGACATTTGCCGAATATTTTCAACAGAGAGTCCTTTATCAATAAGGGATATTTCTATACACTTTACTTCAGCCTCAATTAAATTTGAAAATGCAGTCTCTTGTAATTTTCTTAAAGTTAAGATCATATCAACAAATGATCCTATTTGACCAAGTGGAGTAGGTAGTTTATTTCCATAAGTAAAAGGGAAAAGCACTAGATGATGAATAATATACGAGCAGTCTGTATAAAATGTTGCTGCAAATAGAGGATCACTCAGAAGCTTTGAGCTATGGAATGCAGGTCTTAGCATAATAAAAAGCATAACTAATTCACGGACCAAATAATATCCTTGCTTTGCAGCACCTGTACAATGCTTTTGATTATTCTGAATAGCTTCATCAAGTATTTGATGTAACTTTTGAACGAATAAATATGTAGAAGTAGTAATTCCACAAGATGGAAGTGACAAAAAACTCTCATTTGTTTCTTGGATTGAAGTTACAGCATTATCCATACATAGTCCACTTCCAACTATTGACATCTTACTTAGTAAGTCATTAGATTTATCTATAGGTTTACCACTTTGAACTCCACATTGTTTCAATAGATTTGTAAGTGATCCAATTTCTGTAGAATCATCTACTAAAACTATTGATATATCGTCCTTCATAATCCACTCTCTAGCTAGTGATAGAGCTTCAATTTTCTTTTCCTCGTACCTTGTAGTCTCTAATTGACCTACATAAGATGTAATAGTATTTTCATTAAGAGGAATTAACTGAAGAGAACGTGCATGAATTTCTAAATCTCTCAAAAGTTGTCCATCTCTAGAATTTGGGGTTACTAAACCATATAATAGACGACGACTAAGCCAGCTCCAGAGAGACTTTCCAAAAGAAGAGAGAATATGAATATTACCAGCTAGACAGTATTCTACTAAAAAGCTTAATATTGATGATATAACTGGTATCACATAATCATATACTGTTAAACTAGATGAAAGTTTGGTTTCACCTTTTTCCTGTGATGATACTTTATAGCTCCACTTATTCTCTGATACTTCTCTAGTTATCTCTGGAATAAGACAGTATTTACATTCGGAATCATTCGAAATCTTAATACATTTCTCAATAAGAGGATCCAAAATCTTATTTATACATAATCTACAGATGTGATCAATATGCTCATCTAATATTCCAACAGAAGATAAGGCATACCATATATCTTGAAGTTTCACACAAAACATTTCACCCTCTTTGTAGTAAAATGAATCTTCTGAATCTTGACAGCTATCTAAAGTTATATTTTGATTTAAACAATTACTTGGAAATGTAATTCTTACTGTAATTTCGTTATCTTTTACCACAAATATCTTCTTAAAAAGTTTTTCCACAGTACTAACTAATTTCCCACGTCGAAACAAGTACTCCATCATAATATCTTCAAATACATTGTCAAAAGAAGCTATATCTGTAAAATGTGTATTATTTTCCCCTACAATATTATTTTCATCAAGTGATATATCCTTAAGTTTATTATACGCATTGCAAAGAGTGTCTGCAGCCATATCAAATTCATTTTGAGCAAGATATATGTCAAATTCCGCAAATATTGATTGTAGCCAACTCATTACTTCAAAAACTGAACAAGCTGAATCCAGAGTATCTATTTCACTCTTTATCTTGCATATTTTAGCTTTCTCATCTACTTCTTGTGCGGAGTCTGTAGACTCCATCAAATTCTCTAATCTCAATTTTATATCCTTCAAGGTCCTAGTTGTACCACATATTTGATTATGTATATTATCAAGTTGTTGTGCTGATTTCACATAGTTAACATTCCTAATCTCGATACTGGATAAAATATTAGATTGAATTTCTTTTAATTCGCTTTTAATAATTTCCAAAGCACCTTCTAAATATTCTGATGTCACCGAATCCCCACCATATTCCAAATATGTCTTCAAGTTACTTTTAAGACGTTCCAATGTGCTCATTAGGACACCTCTCTTACTCTTGAAGATGAAAGGGTCCCTCCAGTTGCAGTACACCACCACCACCACCTATTTAACCTTGTATAGTGGGGTTTAAAATTGGCGCCACCTTGTCTGTTAGTTAAATCTAGTGACAAATTGACCGCCATTTATTATTTTTTTTTTCGTCTACTGCATCTTGGAAAATAAAAGTTAAATTTGTACGCTTTAAAATATTCGAGGCTTTTTTCTTACTGAAGAAACTGCTGGATTATTCTTGCATAAATGTTAGATGATGATGTTACGGAAAAAAATTCAATTAATGGATCTGAACAATTGAATGTCTATAATAGCTCAACTAGTAATAACTCAGATGAATCACCCAAGAAAAAAGAAGATAGCAATTCGGCGAATGAAGAGGAGACAGAAAATAGTGGAGTAGATAATGGGCGTGTAGATATCTCAAAAGGTGAGAAGATTGAATCTCCTAAGGAGATTTATCATATCCCTCGAAGGAGATCAAGAAGCCCCAGCACTGACAATAATGACAAGGAGGAGTCAAATACAGGTAGATCTATATCTCCACTTAGATCAGATGACTCCAGTAGAAAAAAGAGGAGACGAGGGTCTTCTGGTTGGGATGCTCCATTTAATCCTGATGTAAGCCAACTAATGCCCAATATGAAACAAGCAAATGTAGGCCAGATGATGGGGTCAAGTAATATTGCACCTAGACAAGTAACTCAAGGAGCTCGTATATATGTTGGTTCACTAGATTATTCGTTAAGCGAAGCAGATTTGAGACAAGTATTTGGTTCTTTTGGAACTATTGTTAATATTGACATGCCCCGTGAGGGAAATCGTTCAAAGGGATTTTGTTTTATTGAATATACAACTCAAGAATCTGCTGAGATGGCCTTAGCAACAATGAATAGATTTGTATTAAAGGGCAGACCAATAAAGGTTGGTAGACCAACGAATGCTATTGTATCAAATAATCAAAACAATAATAATTCAATGGGCAACCATACTGGTATGGTGGGAATGCCAGTATTACCTCCTGAAAATACAAATGCAAATATTCCACCACATCAAATTCCTCAAAATCCCCCTCAAAACCGTATATATATAGGTTCTGTACCTTATTCTTTTACTCCTGATGATCTTAGACATATCTTTAAGGCTTTTGGAGTAATTCTGAGTTGTCAATTAATACCCTCTGTAGAGAAACCTGGAACTCATCGTGGATATGGTTTTATTGAATTCGGAACACCAGATCAAGCCAAATTAGCTATTGAAACAATGAATGGCTTTGAAGTTGGAGGTAAACAGTTAAAGGTTAATGTTGCTACAGCATTGAAACCTTCAAATTCTATATCATCAAATCAGATCCCAATTGTTTCTCCAACATTACAAAATGTAATGTCTCAACAAATCCCACCCACATTAGCAATACCACCTACTATGGCAATACCCCCAGTACTATCTATGCCAAATGTCACTCCATTACCACCCAACTTATATCAACCACCCAATATCCCAGTACCTTATCCTGCAAATTCTTACCCAATTATTCCGAACTCAACATCAAACTCAAATGTGATTTTATTAACAAATATGATTGGACCTGAAGAAGTTGACGATGAATTAAAAGAGGAAGTGAAGATTGAATGTAGTAAATATGGGAAGGTTTATGATGTTCGTATACACATTTCAGATCATGTTTCTAAACCAAGTGATAGAGTAAGGATATTTGTAGTTTTTGAAACTAACACTATGGCTCAAATAGCTGTGCCGGCTCTTAATAATCGGTGGTTTGGTGGAAATCAAGTTTATTGTCGGTTATATAATACTGAAAGATTCTACTCATCATTTTATGATGATTAAATGTGTATATGATCCCTGTTAACAGTATCAGAACTGTTACTTAATTTCTTTTATAGGTGAAATATAACTTAGTTCTTTTATATTGTAAATTAAAAGTATTCTTTTATAAAGGAAATAAATGGAGGATATCTTATATAATGCAATATATATCCTAAAAAGTAGGACATAGAATATATACTTTATACTTTATGAATAAGGTAAAATCCTCTGTTAATGTATCAAGCTATATCATATTCACAATTACATTATATTATTGGAAGATTAAATTAATATGCTAAACTTAGTATGATATCTTTAATTAAATTCTTAACTAGTTTACTTTTAAGTACTTTTTCCTGAAGCATGAATACAAGAAAAGTCATTCATACATGTTATTTCAGGAACTATACTTTGTACTTGGTATATTTTCACTTTAGCATGTTATGCATGGTTTTAACTTTTCATGCTGATATTTATGTTGTATGGCCAATGTATTATAATATATTTACTTTGTTATTTAAGAAGTTAGGATATTTGAATATCAGTGAGTATTAAACTTACTTTATATAATGATCAGAGTTTATTCAAATATAGGAAATGGTTGTAAAATTTAAATTCATGCAGTTTGGTATTACGGTAAATTACAGAAAAGTATAGAGTTTATTATTCCATAGATACAGCTGGATCATAAAGATAATCGGTGAAGTATAATGAGATCTCAAAGATATATACTACTTTGTTCTGTTGTAATATTTAATTAAGTTATAAAACAGGTTTTTTCTAAATAAAATATTATACTTTATAAAATTCCGTCTCGTCTCATACAAAAAAACCGGTACTGACAGTATCGGATAGGGCAAGCCAGTGGGGAAAATACATACACTAAAAATTGAGGAAACAGACAGATAATAGTGCACACTTGAGTGTGGAAGAGTTTATTTTATCTTTACTTAAGAAACTGGGACACTTAGAGCATGAGCAAATAGTTTATTTTAATGCCCTTAAGTCTTATTGTAAGTAGGAGGGACACTCTTCAAATATCTGCATATTTTTAAAGCTGTGAGAAAGATAACTGCAAAATATAACAAATGGAGTTAGAAAACCCCTTTAATGTGGAAGAAAATATGAAGAAGAGAGTTACTAAAGTAGACTCTAATATTATACCTAGAAAGAGATCATACTTAAGTGAAACAGGATGGACTATTTTTGTTTTGAGCGATTTACTCAATACTAATGAAGTTTACTATGTGTCTTTTGCAGCAGGAAACCAATTTAAATATTTTAGGTCTTTAAATAGAAGACTTTATAATGGTTCTGATGTGTTTTGTAGTGAAAATACAATCAATAATAGTCTCCATTTATCATACATTACAGTTTCAACAGCCAGAGTTATATTTCAAAGTGAAATCCACAATTTGTATCGCCATTTAAACTCTGATAATTTGATACATGTCTTACAATCATTGGATTACTTGGGATATTTACCAATGATTGGAATTGATAAGACGGACTTGCAATACTTAGAAGATGATACTATTCAAGAAGAGTATGATGTAGACCAATTTTGGTCCTTACTAGCTAGAAAGTTAAGCTGTAGTGATTGGTTTAATTGTGAGACATCTAGCAATAGTAAACAGTTGCGTTTGGAACTCTTAAGGCTTTGTCCAAGAATTCAGAATGGTTACAAGATACTGTTTGAATTAGCTCAATATAAGCTGATGGAAGATGTTATTTTAACTAAGGAAGGAGGATATATCTTGCGAGAATTATTTCAACATCATAGTGAATTGTATAGTATTAAGATTGCAAATACAATATGTGAATATATAGGGACACAGTGGTCTCCTTCAGAAGCTAGAATTGAAGATTTCATTATGGGAGTAACTGGTGAAAATAATATCTTTGATTCTTTAGCAAATATATGGCAACCCACATTATGGCACATAAATGAAAGAAAAGTTATTCATCAATTCGCTCAAGATTCTCCACATACAATTAGTGGAGAAACTAACTCATACCCAATAGATGTTGAATTATATGCTGATCAAGATAGTGAAGGCTCTACTACTACTGTAAACTTCACAATGGAAACAGCTCCACCTAGTCCAGATGCTCCTCTAGTTAGTATAACATCTTTAGGTATTTTTGCATATCCAAAGATTCGTTGCACAGGATTATTTTGTTGTTTTGCTGCTAGAGCTAAATTTTATTATCAAAATGTATTTTTAGGAGAAGCTACTTTTGATCTGTCATCTGATGGAATTAAGGCCTTTTGTCCAGTGATGTCTGGGGGTCCAAATAAGACTGGATTATTAGTTACATGTAGAATTGATGAATATATAAATAAGAACCGCGATCAGCTTAAAGTGTTGCTTAATCAAGAGCATTTGGATGGATCAAATTCCAGTGAAACTTTAAGAGTATTGCAATCCTCTTTATTTTACCATTCTAGTATAGATCATATATCGGTTAATGATCTGCAAGTAGATGTAAAAATTCGTTTTTTTCCTTTAAGAACACTTAGTTTGTATCTTCTATACAAACGGAGTCTGGCAAATGACATTCAATTTGTAACAAGTTTTGCCTTCTCATTACAGCAAGATGTTGCAGAATGGCTTGGTACATATCTCACAAATCTATGGATTCAAATATCAAAACAAAAAGATCGTCTATTTTTGGAAAGTAGAAGTGAAGTTGTGGATTGTAAAAATCTCTCCAATTTTCAATATAAGAATCCTCAACACTCTTCAGCTTCGTGCTCTTCTACAACTATTTCTTCATCTCATTCAGGATCTATTGATATACTTTCTTATGGTACTAATTTAAGGAATCATCAGGATTTCTCTCCAGAAATGAGGAATGCTTTACTGAGAGAAGTGAAAAATTCTCCTAAGAGGCTTTATTCTGCTTCTATAAATGATGAAAATGGTACTAATACATGCTTTATAGATCCAATAGTAACTGGAATTTCACCATTTCCACTAATCTCTGCATGGTTCAAAGGGGTAGGTCGTCCTAGTGACACTTGGTGTATCCACAACATTCTTTCTGAACTCTTATGTGACGAACTTATAGCAAAACATTTTACCGATATACTGAGCTTAATTCAAACTTGTGACAATTGGATTGACGCTGAATCACTTGCAAATCTGAGAGATAGATTTATCCAGTTTATTAATAATAACAAACTACAGTCAATTGGAGGTCTTTTATTTGATTGGATTCGTCACATCCCAAAAAAATAAACTTGAGGATTACTTATAGATTAAAATATTAAATAAAAGTTTTTCTTAGTTAACAGATGAATATCTAAAAAAAAGTATTGGCTTGAACCTGAACATAAAAAAGTTACTAATCAATACTAAAATAGGATTTATGAGAATTAGGACACTAATTATAAATGCTTAAATACTCTTGATCTTTTTGAAATATCGAAATTCATTGATAATAAATTACTTACCAAACAATTTCTATAAAATTACACAATAAGACTTTAAGCAATATAACTTGAGAATAAAGTTATCAACTGAAGTATATAAATCCTTAATACCAGAAATTCAGTATGATTACAAGAAATAAGCTCAAATTACTAGATATAAAAGTAAGCTAAGTTTGAATATTTATAGGATTCATAGGTCAATTAGAAACTTAAATTATTTAATACCTAGTACTGAATACGACTAATTATTATTTCATTGTATTATATTACAATATAACGAAAATAAATGCTTATAAATATTTGTAAATTGATATTTCTTCTATGAAGAGAGATTATATCTCTAAGTATTTTAGCTCAAGATAAATCTAATACTAAATCCATTGCTCGGTCATCCGCTGTTATATTAATCATGCCATTACCATTAGTATCAGCTCCACTTTGGGCTGTTTCAGCTCTTGCAACACTTCGGCCTAGATTTTGTAACTTTTCTTGTAATATTTCAAGAGCCATTTCAATTATTTGCTCTGCTGGCATAGCTCCAGTTGATTCAACTACAAAGTGGAATTTATCAGGTTTTGTATCGACACGAATTAATGGTGGATTTATATAGCCTAAGTTTCTACAAGTATTTACACATTCATTACAAAATATACAATCTGAAGAGTTTAGAACTTCAATATCTGGGATATTTGTAGATTTTTCTACAGGCTTATCAAACATTCCAAATTCACTTTTAGATGCAGATAATCCAAATACATTCTTAGGACAAGAGTTAACAATTTCTCGACGGTGCTTTAAAGAAACATTGGTCATAGATGATTGATTAATACGAATATCAGCCTCATTTGTAAAAGTTGCAGTTGCAACAGGAATCCACTTCGCATGGAATTTACCAATACCTTTGGTTGCAGTCATTCGAGCTGTTAAACTTTGTCCTGGACCTAATTTAGCTATCAAAATACCTTCATTGTTTGGATCTGTAACATCTTCTTTTCTAGGTACTGGTAGTGGAATATTTGGTACTGGAAGTGTAGAGTATATATCTAAATGTGTTACATTCCTCACTGTAGGTCCTTCGCACTTCAAATCCAGTGTATAGTCAACACTACATTTATTACATCTTTCTTGACATCCACAGCGATCTTTAAAGTTGAAATCCCTAATCTGTCTACTGTCTATTGGAAGTAGACCTAGTCGATGCACTATAAATTCATCATGCAAAACTGAAGTATTATCTATAATTGTAACTAAGTCTATTGCAAGAGTTGGGATTTCAGCTAACATAATCCTTCGCAGAGCATTGGCCATACTAACATCCGTATTTGATAATATGAATTTTATTACTGAAGGTGAGAACTCAGTAATCTCTATATGAGGAGTACGAACTCCCTTCCCTATCATCTTAAGTATTCAGAAAAATCTTTCAATATGAACTTAATATACAGATATTTATAATAATAATAACCAACTTAGGATAGTCAACAAAGGTTCTCTTTCCTAGTTGTATACTTAATTAAAAATGACACCCTTACGATACCTCTAGGCGGCAAATATACGTGAACACAGACAACAGATCTAGAAATTAAGGAAAGCTAATTTGGGTGAGCTAAGTAATCTTTTTGTAAGAACTTCAACACCTGTATCAGTAATTAGTAGTGTATGCTCAAATTGAGCTGATCTTTTGCCATCTATAGTGACAGCAGTCCAGTTATCTGGCCAAGTAATATCTTCACAACGCCCTAGATTAATCATTGGTTCTATGGTAAATACATGGCCTGCTTTCATCACACCAATTGCTTTATTGTTCTTGTAATGTGGTACATTAGGATTACAATGAAACAGTGTACCAATTCCATGTCCACAATAGGTACGTACTACTGACATATTGTTTTTATCAGTTATCCTATTTATCACTCTCCCTATATCCCTGTACAATGTTCCTGGTTTACATATTTTAATTGCTTCATCAAGACATTTGTATGCTGTTCTCAGTAAATTAATTGAACTTTCATCAATCTTACCAACTGGGAAAGTTTCATTCAAATCTCCATGGACACCTTCATAGTATACCGTAATATCAACATTTACAATATCACCTTCCTCTAAAGGGCGATAATCGGGAATACCATGGCATATAACCTCATTAACAGATGTACAGCATGATTTAGGAAAGTTCCAATAGTTAAGTGGTGATGGATATCCACCTTTAGATATAATAAAGTTATGAATAGCTTCATCAATACTGTCAGTAGTAACTCCAGGTTTTATCATAGTTGCTGCAAGATCTAAAGCTTCTCTACCAATTAAACAGCATTTTCTTAGTGCATTAATCTGCTCTGGTGTTACTATGTCAATTTTAACATCTCTTTTCTTCTTTATCTCGCTGAAGGGACGACCTTGAATATCATCTGCATAATCAGGCTTCACAATATAATTAGGTACTTTTCTAAGTGGACTCAATGGATATGGACGCAGATCTCCAGTAAATCCTACATAATTTGCAAATTTCTTAATATGAGGACAGTAAATCCAAGTTCTTGGATCTTTTGGATTTATTGATTGATTGAGTAAGTTGTCATCTACCCCAATATTAGTATTAACTACTTCTCTATTGGTGACAACTTTATCAGTATCTACAGGTTTTATAGCATGCTTTAATTTATGTATGGGCCAATTCTGCCTAAAACAAGCTTGAGAACAAAAATATGATGGTTTTAAGTCTAATTTAATACATTGCGGGCATGCTAAAGAAGTTAGTAGATTTCTATTACAACCTTCACAAACATGGGACTTCTGTCCATTTGTCATATTTTTAGCTTTATAAATATGAATATATAGTTAATTAGCCTCTTTAGTAGAGTACTTATCAGATTTTCTTAAACTACTACAGTTGACAACAAATCATTACTATTTAAGTCTAAACTCCAATTAGACCGCCTTGTAGAAGCATCAAAAAAGTGTGCGGTATTTTCTTTCTATTACTAAATACAATAAACTAAAAAGTTTAAAGTTACTAGATATGTCTGGGGTAAGTTCAATTATCAGATAATTTTATCATAAGATCTTTTGAATTACTTTTTTTATTTACTACTTATCCTTTAGTTAGTGGCTGTTAATCCTAAACCCTTTCTTACAGGCCTAATTGAAAAGACAGTTATTGTTAGACTCAAATGGGGGAATATAGAATATAAGGGTACCTTAGAATCTTATGATGACTATATGAACTTTCTACTAAGAGATTGTGAGGAGTGGATTGATGGTACTGTGAAAGGGGCTCTAGGAACAGTATTTATACGCTGCAACAACATCTTATATATAAGAGAGAAAGATCCTCTAAAAGTAGAGAATAATGAAGTAAAGATGGCAGATTAATCAGATATAATCTGAAATTAATATCTAGTAATAGAAAAAGTACTAGCTATAACAATGTATAGTCTAATGATCTATAGGCTATTATAAAATGAATTAAAATCCATTTGCTCGCTTCCTTCCTGTATATTTTGAATCTGGCCTTACATTATGACCTTTTAATCTTTGTACTTTTTTCTTCTCAAGTATCCATTCTTTTGATTTCACCCTTACATTATCTTTCCCTCTACGACCTTTATTCTTTAAAATTCCTCTTGACCTAGGTTCATGTCTAATAGTATTGTACTGTTTTTCATCCTCATTAGTTAAGTTTGGTTTTAAATCTTGAATGTTTGGATTAAATCCAGCCCATAAACACAAGAAGTACTTTTTTGCCTTTGTTGAGTTGGGAAAATCAACTAGTAGCCCACCTCCAAAACCACACTTTAGAGCAGCAGAAGTTATCATCTCTACTTGTGATGATGAATCAGGATAAAATTGAAAGATAGCTCTTGAACCTCTATTTAGTGATATAAAAAGCCATTGAAAAAAGATAAGTAATCTCTGGTAGGGTTCGTGTTCTTTGGAGTCTGCATTACAAAGCCATTGAATAGCTGATATACTTATTGCTCCATCAAATACCCCCGGTCTAAATCTAATATCCTCACCCATATCAGCTAATAGGGCATCTCCAGAGGATTCAGAGTCAGGTTCATATATATCTAGCATATTAAGCATATTTCTACTAATGTCAATACCAATCCAATAATGTCCATACTCTTCCAATACTGAACCACTGATTCCAGTACCACATCCTATATCTAAAATCATACAAGGTTTTTGAGGTAATAATAGTAATTCAATTGCCCTTTCAGACATTCTAGTTTGTATTTCAAGAATTCTACTGCAACTAGCATATTTTTTAGCTTCTCTATCATTATAAAACTGAAGATATAAATAGTTAAAGATTATACACATGTTAATTCAGAAACATAACTTACCACATCAGGAGGTGCCTGTATCTCAGGTCTAACCATTTATATGTCAATACTTTATATTAAAAATTATTGTAAACTAGTGGAGAATACTTACAGCTAACTTCTAAGTTACTTTTTGACCCGTATAACATGGCGCTAATAATTTATAACCTATTTTATTGTACTAACCAAGCTGACCACTAAATTCCTAGATAAAAGAGGTAATTATTTGATATTTATTATTTGTTTACTGTGTATAGCTGGTACTAGAATCTGTTAATATTATACTTTAAATGTGTAAGGTAGAAAGTAAATCCAATTTAGGTGAAGCTTACAACAATATTGCCAGACTATTTGAGACAGTTTCCAAAGAATCAACCACTGAAGCTATTAATTGCATACATTCAATAATTAAAGATCCATGTGATAAATTATCCCTTGAATATCACTTATTAGAATATAGAGATGGAAATGGAAGGAATGTTTGTCATTTTGTGTGTTCTGCAAGTAGAAGTGATACTCTTAGAGCTCTATTAAAATTAGCACCGAAGTTGGTTAATTCGCTTGATGGAAGTGAAGAAAGTCCACTTTTCCTTTCAGTAAGGGCTGAAGATATTGAATGTATTAATATTTTATTAGAAAATGGAGCTGATGTCTCACTTTTAAATAATAAAAATTGCAATGTTCTTCATTATGCTTGTGAAACCTCAAATTATGAAGTTCTTGGTATACTTTTATCGAGTTATAATATACAGCAGTATTCATGTGTTGATTTAATAAATCAATGTAGTCCTGAATTTGGTACACCACTCCAATGGGCATGTATGAGGAATAATTTAAAGATAGCAAAATTCCTTCTGTTACTAGGAGCAAATCCAAATATATACCCAGTTGGCCGAAGTATACCTCCATGCTTAATACTCGCTAGTAGTTTAGGAAATATTGATATGGTTGAAACTCTTATTAATTCAGGTGCATTAGTCAAGCTGGCTATTGATTCTGAGGGATATACAGCTTTATACTGTGCTGTAGAAGCAAATAACTTTGATTTAATTAAATTATTAGTTCATTATTCAAAAGAACAACAATTTGATATATTTTCTGTGTCAGTAAATGGGAAAGATATATATATATATGCTCAAGAACAAAATTGTTCATATGAAATTCTTGAATACTTGGAAAATTTTGTATCTAACAATGAAAATGTAACTTCAGCCACACAATGTTTGTTAAATACTAGCCAAGAGATGATCTCTGATAAAGTGGCTTCAAATAAGTCAGATGACGAGAATCTAGAAGAACATAATATATTGGAAAGCAATATAGATGAAGACAACTTAGATTCAGATATTGTATATGATGAAGAAGAAGCTAAAAAAATAAAAAGTGAGGGTAATTTGGCATTTTCATTGTGTGACTATAATTCTGCTATTCAAGCTTATACAGATGCTCTAAACTTACTTAAAAGAAAAGTCGAGTTATTATCAAAAGAAGGAATAGATCTTAAGTCCAGTTTACTCTCAAATCGTTGTTGGGCGTATATCCAAGTTAAAGAATATAACAAAGCTTTATTAGATGCAAAGAGTTGTATCAAAGTTAAACCAGACTGGAGTAAAGGATACTTTAGATTATCTCAAGCTTATCAGCACCTTAATGACATTGAAAATCAAGCATATAGTTTGTGGGATGCTGTTATTCATGAAGTTGATTCCCTTGAGACTAAACAACAATACTTAACCATTTTGAAGAGTTTAATTGACAAGAGAAAAAATATATTTGCTATTTATCCTAGGGAACAAATATAGTTATTATTGCAACTTTGCTAACTTTATATAGTTGTTATATTATTTGAGTAGTTATATTTAGGATATTTTTAAATAATTTTAAGTTAATGTCTGCCTACAAAACACCGAATTTTTGCATACCGGTATTTACATGTGAACTTCCTGACTTAAAAAGAAATTACGTGGGGTGTCCTACATTTAACTTATAGATTTTAACTAAAATTTTACTGATGGATAGAATTATAGTATAATAAGTAGATATTTGCTATTTTAAGTTTTCAATATGAGGAGTTTGAACAGTTTAAATGATATGAATACCCTGTTGTAATATGGACTTCAAAAAGGGAAAAATAAAAAAAAAGTTCTTAACGTAAAGATACCTGTAAACACATTTACTTTATATTAAATGGAAAAGCTGAAACAATAGAAGTTTGATTAAAAACTCCTTTTGTTGTATATTCAAGATTTAACGTAGGAAAATTTAGTATTTACTTTCCAGAACAAGATATTAAAATATTATTTTCTGGAGATAGAATATTAAAGGTATATTTAACTTAATTATTAAGGTAATAAATATTCAATTTAAAACTAATTGTAACTGAAAAATATACTGGAAGAAATAAAATTTCAAAGAATATAGATAGAAATCAATTAGGGCTTACTAAAAAAGACAACTTTTAATGATGAAAAATTAAAAGAATCCTCTACCAATAATAAAACAAAAACATCTCCTAGAAAATCTAATTTATGTAATTTTTTAAGCTTGATTTCACTAAGATCAATTTATGTTAATAAATTTGAAATAATTTGTACGAAAAAAGTTTAAAATATACGGAAACTCCAAAAGTGAGTCCACCAATTAAGCGATATAATGATAGAATTAGTGCAAAATACAAGAATAAATATACAAGTGAAATTTTAGATTGCTAAATGGACTTAGAGAAAAAGAAAAAAATATTTGAATATATACCTAAACATGCATAAAAAAGAATTTGACCAATATAGATATAAAATTAAATAATCAACAGATAAAGGCAATTAATATGGTAAGATCTGGTAAAGATATTTTTGTAACAGGTGGAGCTGGAACTGAGAAATCATTTCTTTTACAATATATTGTACCATTACAGGATAAGGAAAAGATGGCACTTACAGCTCAACTGGATTAGCAGCTAGCCTGATAAATGGAATAACTATCCATAATTTTGCAGGTATTAAGTTGAACACAAGTTATGAAAATTATGGAGATTATAACTACTTTAAGGATATTATTAAGAAATCTATTAAAGATTTGGATGTTTTAAAACTGGTGGAATAAAATACGAATATTATTCATTAATGAAATATCAATGATAGATGCATATACTTTTGATATAACTAATGTAATTACCAAGGGTTATAGAGAGTATAGTAAATCATTTGGAGAAATACAGGTAGTTTTATTCGGTGATTTTTTGCAATTGTCCCAGTTAGAACCAATAAGTATTTGAATAAAAACCCTGTTAGCTCAGCAATAGACCCATTTTATGTATTTGAATATCTAATTTGGAAAAGAACAATCGATAAGATGATAGAGTTAACTGAAGTGTACCATAGAAAAAAACTGAAAGTAGCTATTTTGAAGTCTTGAATAATATCATGTTTAGGATTATTTCTGAAAAAAAAGTAAAAATATACTTTCTCAGAGTATAATAATGAGTGGGGAAACTAAAAAGTAATACTAGTAGTTTTAATTTAGAATACAATATCTTAAGTTCAAATAATTGTGATACATTCATACTAATGCTACTTTGTTGTGATGTAGGTTCTATTAATGAAGATAAATCGAATTAACTTCCTGGAGAATCTGTTGAATTTAAAGCAAAGGATAAAATTTATAATTCTAATGGAAGATTATTTACAGAAATAATATCAATTATATCAAATGAAATATCTCACTTGACATACTCTACAAAAAAAAAAAGAAAAAATTATTACTTAAAAAAGGAGCAAGAATTATGCTTATTAAAATAATTGATATGTCAAGTCAATTAGTTAATGAACTTTGTATAACAATAGAATCACTTAACTCTTTATTAAAGTATCCAAAAATAAGATTTGCTAATGGCACTATTAAAATTATAACTCCAACTAAGTTTACTATAACTTTAAAAAAATATTAGCAACAAGAATGCAACTACCTCTAACATTAGTATGAACAATATCGATATATAAATCATAGAATTGATCACTAGATTATGTTCAAGTTTTTGTTGGATAAAATGTTTGAAGAGAAACAGATATATGCAGCATTAAGCCATGGAAAATCAATTGATTACTATTAGTGAAATTACTAATACTGATGACATTTGCAACTACCTTAAAGTTAGTAAAAAGTGTCTTGAATATTATAAATATATTACAAAAATAGATCAATCAAAAATTTATAAACAAAATAAATAATAAGATTATTAATATAGACACAATAATTTAATTTGCAATATATATCAATCTTCACTTTTTTTCAGATATAATTTATGTTAGCTTTTTAATTGCTTCAAATCTATGACTATACCATTCTTTTCCTATATTTGGAAATGGGTCTAGTATATTATTCATCAAATCTTTTATACTTAATGTAGTTGAATCGTACATAGCTTCAGGTTTGAACAGCCATAAATCTGGAGTAGTGTACATCTTATCTGGTGTATAAAATAATTGCTTTCTTCCTTGTGGTTTAGATGTGAATTGTCTTTGTTTAAATAATATATGGAAGTGCTTTATATCTGTTCCTAATCCATCCAATAAATTATTAATCCGCCTCTCACTTGCTTGAACTCTTTGGAAAATAATAGATGACTTAACTACAGTATTCTACAGTAATCAAGTATTATTTCATTTATTTCAAAAATTCCATTTTATTGTACTTGGTTTAATATAAAGTAGTCAACTTTAATATTCTTACCTGGTTAGATTGGGCATGTATTTCTGGTCTTGCAACAAAAGATTTCTTTTCTTTAAGTACAACTTTTGAGTCTTCATCACTATCTAATCCAGTCTCATAGTTCCAGATATCATTATCACTGAAAATTTGTTTTCAATAGAATTCCCAGATAAATTAGATGAATAGTCCCCTTGTAAATCTCAATACTAATTTAAATCTATTCTAACTTACTCTATCCTGTCTACTGTACAGGTAATACTATTTTGCAGCATTTATAGTGTATATTTCATTCATTCAACTTACTTAAAACAGCTCACTGTGTAAACTCTCCATTACTTCCCAATGTCTTACATGATACAGCACACGGTCTCCATGTCTAGTCTTTACTGCTATTATGACATTTTGTATATCAAGTAAAAATAAGGAAAACTATTAATGATGTACAAACAATAAACTATAAAGATACTCTGCAATAACTATAAAATTTGATATTATACTATTAAGATAACTGTGTGCATCCGTAATAATACTGTTAGATTTTCAGTCATAACTTTTACTACTAAGAACTAGGCTTCCAGACTTCCTTAGATTCAACAACACTAGATAGATCTTTATCCCACATTAAAATTGGTTTTCTCATGTCATAACCATCTTCATCAGTATAATAGTTGGTAACTTGTTTATGAATAATATAACCAAGTTTTCTATAAAAACTTACAGCAGCTGTATTTGAAGGACGAACATAAAGATCTACAAAGTTACATCCCAAATACGTACTCACTTCTTCTAAGTAATTCATCAATTTTCTAGCAATTCCATATCGACGATATTCAGGAGCAACTGAAAGTGCAGTGACATGTCCATGCCATTGTTTGTCTTCACCTTCTACTTTAGCTATAAGGTACCCAACAATCGATTGATCAGGAGCTTCACATATTACACAGAGTTCTGGCCAGATAGATAAGTAGTCACCATAATAGCTGACATTGTAAGTCTCAGTAAAATGATCAAGATTAACTCGATTAAATTTGAAGATGTCAGTAATCTTCATGGGACGATAAGTTAGTTTAGTCTCATCCATTATATAGAATGGGAATAAGTACCATCCAAGTGATATACAGTGCTTATATAGGGAAGTAACTGTGTAGTCTCAATTATTCAATAATTTGTACCTCTAAGTTTTACAAATAAGGCGGTTTTGCAAGTTTAGAAGTAAGAATTAAACTTTTCATAGTATTTTATTGTCAATGCTACAGTCATAAATCACAAATAAGTTAAATATTATCTTAAAATTATAGTAGTGCTCTTTTTATATGCATGAAACTAAATTATGGATACTTTAGCTAATTAAGGAGCGACATTTATTTACTTTTACTTGCTAGTATCTCACCTGGAGTATAGTAGTGTGGAGCAACCTCAAATAGCCACTCTGCCTTAATTTCAGTAATATTTCGCATATATTCTTTTGTAGTATGAACTAATTCTGTATAGACTACAGTTTGAGGTCTAGATTCAAATAAGCTAGAAGAAGGGTGAATATCGACGATATGGCAGTTTCTTAGTGTTGAATAGTTGCCACCCTTATTAATTCTAGCGGTTTGAAAGAAGAAACCCGCAGCAATAGATTTTCGTATTCCATCAACTTCGTTGGGATTACTTGTAATTTCAATATCCAGTGTCTCCATTAATTCACTCAGTTGTATTCTAATATCTCTAGCCCTCTTCATACTCTTTCCATGTATGAAATTTTCAAAACACCATAAATTTGATTCTCCACTATTTTCCCATTGCTTGTAAACATTTAATAGTGTTAAATGGTCTCCTCCAGATCTAAAGAAAGATTTCCTGATATTATCAGCTTGTGTAGATTTGTCTCTTGGTCGAATAAATACGGTATTTCCTAGAGATAACATGGAAACAATAATTATACTCTCGTCAACAACTTTGTATCTCTGAGATGCCAGAACTACTTTACTATACATGGGATCCAATGGTAATTCAGCCATTTTTCTACCTATATTTGTCAGATCACCTTTATCATCTAATGCATTTAACCCATACAGGAGCTCCAAAGCCTTTACAAGTGTTTCTGGAGGAGGGGGGTCCATAAAATCAAAATGGAGTAGATCATCTATACCGAGTGATTTAAGCATTAAAACAACATTTCCTAGGTTACATCTTTGAATTTCTGGAGTATTAGAAGGTTCCATCTCCATATAAAAGCTTGTCTTTGTATATAAACGGAAACATTTACCTGGTCGTACACGCCCTGCTCTTCCTGCCCTTTGATTGGCAGCAGCTCTGCTGCAGGGGATTGTAACTAAACTATCAAGACCTGTCTTTGGATTATAAGAATTTTGTTTACAAAAACCACAGTCTATAACAAAGCCAATGTTATCAATAGTTAAGGCTGTTTCGGCAATATTAGTAGCAAGTACAACTTTTCGTGCTCCTTGAGGAGTTGATATGAAGATTTGAGCTTGTTGTTCACTAGGAAGAGATGCATAAATGGGTAATACTATTAATTCAGGAACTTCTTTGCCTTTCCCAAGCATCTTCTTGTTCAGCATTTCCATACATTCTTCTATCTCTTGTTGACCTGGTAAAAAACACAAAATGTCGCCTCCAGTTGGAATTATTCGTGTTCTAGAGAAATTCATACCAATATTGTCCAACGACTTAATAGTGCTATTATTATCTATAATCCCCTCAGTTTTGTTAGATTTCTTTAACTGAGATAAATGAATTTGAAGTACTGTAACAACCGTTGCGTCAATAAAATTTGCTTCTGGGGCCTTTGTATAATATATATCTACAGGATATCTGCGGCCTGGTATATAAATTATAGGTGAATTATCAAAATATTTGCCAAATTTTTCTGCTTCCAGCGTTGCAGAAGATATAATAAGTTTAAATGGCTCTGTAGAGTCCTCACAATCAGATTTGGTACTTAAGTTATCATCTTTGAAATTCCTAAACTTTGATACATCCTTTACTAACCCAAACAAGACATCTGTATGCAAACTTCTTTCATGAGCTTCATCTATTAAAAGGCATGAGTAACCACTCAAATCTGGATTTGATAAAAATTCTCTTAATAGTATGCCATCTGTCATATATTTAATTTTCGTATCCTCATTTGTACAATCCTCAAAACGAATTGTATATCCAACTTTACTGCCCAGTCGGCAATTCATCTCTTTAGATACTCTATTTGCTACACTCATTGCTGCTACCCTCCTTGGTTGAGTACAGGCAATAGTTCCTTTTTCAGCATAGCCAGCTTCATAAAGATATTGAGGAATTTGAGTAGTTTTCCCTGAACCTGTTTCACCTACAACAATTAATATTGGATATTTTTCTAAAGATGACAAAATCTCTTCGCGATATTTTATTACTGGAAGTGAAGAACGAATTTCATCTATATATTGCCGTTCATTTATAAAATTTCTACACTTCAATTCTGTTGTACTATATATGTTACCTTCTTCTAGTGTAGTTTCTAATAATTCAAAGTCTATTTGAGAACCGTCAGGTAAAATTAAAGTAGATTCTTTGAGTACTTTATTTGGATCTAAACTATCAACTTTATTACTACTACTTCTGTTAGTTTGAATTGCTGCACTTGTTTGTGCCCTTTCCCAAATTTCCTGATCTGTCAATATATTGTGAGATTTCCTATTAGATATATCACGTGGATGTATAATTGCAGCATCTAATTTCTTCTGTAGATCCTCATCATAACTTTCAGGCATTACATAGGCATCGATAAAGCTCCCATCTATATCACGATCTTCTACAATTTTCCTGGCAGTTTTCACCAGATTACGTTCTATCTCAAGTCTCCTCTTCTCTTTTTTAGTAATTCTATCATTTATAGTTTCGTACAGTAATTCCTTATCTTTTAAAACACGTTCAGCTAACTCAAGTTGCCGACGCTCTCTGTCAGCTAAGTACTGCCTTCTACGTAGTTCCCTTTCACTTTCTAAGTTACTCATTTAATTTAAAACCCTATATATAACTTCCAATAAATGAGGGCAGTATCTAAAACTAAAATCATCTTAGGTCTATCTCCGGAAAGAACTAGAGAACACTAAAAAACTAATATTACTAAAACTTATTTTGTAGCGCCTGTTATGCGGCGCCTGAATATTAGTTTACACTTGCAAGCATTATTCAGAGATTGTGCAATATTATACCTGGCAAAAATTAGCCTTTATAATATGGGTAGAGTTAAGATAAAGAAGATGTGGATGATTGGATATTGGAATTGGCTATGTGGAGATGATATGTGCAGTATATGTAGTGAGTCATTTGAAATGACATGCCCACAGTGTTCAAGACCTGGAGATGCTTGTCCACCAGCTTTTGGAGAGTGCGGACATGCATTTCACCTCCACTGTATTCATGAATGGCTTGCTAGAGCTCGAAATGATTCTGGAATGTGTCCAATGTGTAGACGAGAGTTCAGATTTCAGGTAACTTCTAGTTCATTATCTTCACAGTCCCTAAAAGTTTAATTAATTTACCTGTAAAAAAAGATAATATTGAGGTATATTTATATATCAATTTTATATATACCTTATTAGTACCTAATGTGAATAAAAAAAGTTTTTAATGCTACTGTTCAAGTATATGGAGCTAGACAATACCAGTGTATATAAGCTATTCTGTACTTAATTTTATTAATTTCGGTTATAAAAAAAACCCATAGAGCCAGGAGAGGAATAGTCTAGTGGTTATGACGCTCGCTTCACACGCGAGAGGTCACGGGTTCGATCCCCGTTTCTTCTACTTTTACCCTGAAATTTTTGGAAAGTGGCAAGAAAGTAACTAGAATACTTTAAGTAGAAGATCATTTTTCTACTAAATCAGCATTATTTATTTAAATCACTTGTACTATCATTTTTTAATTTTATATGATGTATAAACTCTTCCTCCCATGTATCTCTAGGACCTTCATATATCCTGCGCTGTATATCGTAATTAAGCCTTTTTAAGCTTAATTTTGTATTAATTGACAAATTTAAGTTGTCAATATATTCATCAGAGAACTGGCCCTTGTAGCTTTCTGTCATTTTTAGCAAACAGAGCTCTGTTAAACTTAATAATTGTGTTGAACTTATAAACTCTTTGTGTATTTCTTGAAAGTTTATATCTTTAAAATATTCGTGTTGTTTGATCGCATTGATAGTAGGTCTCTCATATGGATCTTTTTTTAAAATAGATAATACTAAGTCTTTGGCTAATTTAGGAAAATCTGGTGGAAAATTAAGCTTGAGATCTAAAACCCTACAACAGACCAAAAATTCACTAGGTGCATTAAATGGTGGAAATCCACTTAAAACCTGAAATACTGTACATCCATAACTCCAAATATCAGCAGAAAAAGTTACGGGTTGGTTTTTTATGCTTTCTGGAGCCATAAATTGAGGAGTTCCAACATAATACTTGAATTGTCTCCTACCACGTACCATGTTAAAACGACATGGGCATGATAATTTACAGTTCTTTGATGTACATTTTGTAGAGCTTAATGCTAGTGCAGTGCCAAAGTCTCCTAATTTCAATGTTTTGTCAGATGATAAAAAACAGTTCTCAGCTTTAATATCACGATGTACAATATTTTTACTGTGTATATATTCTACTGCTAATAATAATTGAGCCAGGTATAGTTTAGCTGTCCTTTCAGGTTTAAAGCCAAATGGCATTATATATTGCCATAATTCACCATATTGACAATATTCATATGAAATATAAACATTTTCTTTATCAACAAATGTTTCTAATAATCTTAACACATTGGAATGTCCTGGATTATTCAATTGTAGTCCAATATTCTTCTCATTTAAAATATCCTCTTCTTTGCGATATGCTCTTAATTTAGTTTTATTAGCCACTTTAACAGCAACACAATTCCCACTAATTGTATTATATGCTAAATAAACTTCTGTAAGATTGCCTGTGCCTATTATTTTATCTAGTTTATAATTTTTAATAATGGACTGAGTGTACACACAAAATTTTAGCTAATGCTACTGAGGAATTTTAACAATACTTACCTTTTCGGTGGCATCAGAATTATCGTCCCTTTTATTTCCATCATTTATATTTAATAAAAACCCACGTTTCATTCGTATCGATGAAATTATCACCATACTCCCAGATGATTGGGTGTCACAAGCATGCTAAATTCCACCGCCTATTACAATAGTAGAAGTTTTAAATGTTCAAATATACTTGTATAAACGTTATTTCCTGAGTTAATAATATTATATTACAGTATTCAATCAAACTAAAGCTTAACAACCTACTTTTGACACTTTTCTAATAAAAGATTTTCTATATTAAAAATTTGCCTATAATTTACTAATACTAAAAAAAAATATCTGAAGGTAAAATTTAAGCATTATATCTTTGCAAGTAAAATCAAAACTTCGTCTCCCACATATAACAAATATTTTGAAGTAATAAAATATTGATTTTATAAAATCCCTTATATTTAACTTTTTTTCATTCAAGACGTCTCCATCCCGGTACCGCCGTGTACATATTAAGCGCTTTTATATGTATGCATTTATTCTGCAGCTTATCCACTATTAAAATCTTCTTTGAGAGGAATTTCCATCGTTCATCTTTAATTAAAGAAATAGTTATATTGAATTGAGTTCATAAGTAGAAATCATATTTGCTGAGAAGTTTAATAGGGTAGTCTTACTTAGAAAGTAATACAGGCGACTGGATGCCTAAAGAACTCATTAAGAACTTAGTTAATAGCAGATAAACTACCTTATGGATTTGGATATATCCACTACTCGTACCAAAAATATTATAACACGATTATCTTATTATTAGGAATATATAATCTATGAAATATGGTGCTTCAACGTATGAGGGCAACATCCTACCTTCGGCGTACAGTATCAGATCCTTTCTCACGCCGTCGTACAACTATGCCATATACACTAGGTTTAAGCAGTCAACCTAAAGACTTATATAAGAAGTTAATAATGACAGGAAATTCTCTGAGTATTATTGAGGATGAACCTATTCCAGTTTTTACTTTCCAATCTGATATATTTGCAATATTTGAAATATTAACATCCCAATTTAATATATTACTTATATTTGCACCTTTTGGTATGTTAAGTTATTATTTAAATTGGGGTCCTTTGGCAACTTTTTGGCTAAATTTTATTGCTTTAATACCTTTAGCTAATCTATTAGGTATTCTTACCGAGGAACTAGCTCTACATACAGGTGAAGTTATAGGAGGTCTTTTAAATGCTACTTTTGGTAATGCTGTTGAAATGATTTTAACAGTTCAGGGTATTCGAGCAGGACTGTTTACTGTTGTGCAAGGTACTCTATTAGGTTCTATATTATCCAATCTCCTCCTTATACTTGGAATGGCTTTTTTTGCAGGAGGTCTATTCCATCATGTGCAAAAATTCAATGAAAAGGGAGCATCATTTTCTACATCGCTACTTATGCTCTCTTGTATGGCAATAACAATTCCAACTATTGTAGCTCAAGTTCATCAGTCACAATATAGTACTTTGATGATATCTAGACTTACAGCTCTTTTACTATCATTTACATATGTTTTGTTTTTGTTTTTTCAACTCTATACTCATATAAACTTATTTCGAGAAGAAGACTTGTCAGTTCTTGATGGGAATAACTTTTATGGAAGACGTATAGAATGCCCATCTATATCATGGCAAATTGGAGTTATATTGATTTTAATATCTACTACCTTAATTTCTCTATTAAGTGAATATTTAGTAGAATCTATAAGTGGATTTGTCTGTGAATGGGGATTTTCCGAAAATTTTATTGGTGTTATTCTATTACCTTTGGTCGGAAATGCTGCTGAACATATGACTGCAGTTTCTGTTGCAATAAAAAATAAAGTAGATCTCACAATGGGAGTTGCAGTAGGAAGCTCTACTCAGATTGCCCTATTTGTTGTCCCTTTTAGTGTGCTGGCTGGGTGGGTTTTAGGACAACCAATGACATTGTCATTTACACCTGTTTCAGCTATGATCCTCATGTTAGCAAATCTAATCGTTATTGGAATAGTTCAAGATGGTGAATCTAATTGGTTTGAAGGTAGCCTTCTTATTATAAGTTATTGTATAGTTGCTGTTGTATATTGGTATGTTTGAAAATAGGTTAAACCTAGGGGACTTCTATGAAGATTAAAGGCTGAATATGATATCTAGAATGTCTTCTAAACTATATAGTGATAAGTACAACTTTATATTTAGGAATATTAAGGTCATCTCTATATCCTGATATTTATAATTACAGATCTAACACAAAAAAGTATCTTAAAGTGTTTAAAGTACATAAAATAAAATCTATAGAGAATAAACTAGTTAAAATTAGTTAAAATATAATTTGTTAATATTTTAAAGATAATTTGAAGTTATCACTGAAACTCAAGTTCCTCTTCCCACAAGTCATTAATTTTTGGTTTTTCTAATGGGAGTTCTGCTCTTTCTATATCAGAGAATTTATTTGCTGAGTATATTATATTTTTGATAGTAGAAATTATAGCTGATATAGGAGTACATATCCATAATAAAGAAGAGTTTGTTAAATCTCCATGTATGAAGATATTTTTAAATTGCTTCAATCCCTTTATTAAATTACTTCCAAAATTTCTTATACGTTCAAAGGGTTTAACTACAGGAATATCCAAGGCAAATATTATTTGGTAAGATTGCAATAATAGTTGATGTATAAAGTAATTTTGTGTATGATTCCAAGCTTCTCTTGGAGCTAATAGTAAGGAATGTAATTCCAGTGATTTCCATTTTAGTCTTGCATTATTCATAGACAAAACCCTCATTAAAGACTTAACAGTTACTTTAGTTTCACCAATTCCAATATATAAAGTATCAAACCATAAGTTAAATTCAGACTTGGTTGACATATTGAAATTCGTTATTTCATTAAAAATGAATCGTGATATATTAGAAGTTTGTGCCATGGTATCCTCTAAATTCTTGATCTTATATTTCCTAGCTCTAAAATTTAAATGTCTACTTATCTCATCCAAATTTTTTTCAATGTGATTGGTATCAAGTATAACACTAATAGATGGTATTATGATCATTAGGCGATGTATAATTATTTGAAATAGAGATTTTGAACATATTCTAGTGTTATATTGATATTCCTGAGTATAATTGTTTGATAATTCAAGATCCAAAAGAATATGAAAACAATTACTTGAACTTGATAGCTTAGTCCAGTTACTAAAATAACTAGTGGCTAAATCAGATAAACCTGAATTTTTAAGTTGATTATTCCATTGTTTAACTAGCTTGAGAGTAACCTGCTGCAGTGAACTATGATGAGATGAAGTAGAGAATTCAGAGGAGCATTTAGAAGATTTATATGAGATGGTGCTATTCTGGAGTAGTGAGCTGCTTAAAAAACCTAACTTCCTACAGTACCTTGGGCAGTTTAAAGAAGTGTTTTGATCAGAAAGTCTAGTAGACAACATTCCAATTTGAACAAATTTCATATCTTCACTTAAACGATTTAATAGATGTACTTCAATATATTCTGCAGTTATATGAATTCTAAGTATCCTTTTATTTAACGATTTCGAATGTAAATGCGGATACAGGGTCAAATATTTAGATTTCAAAAAAGGTTTCAATATATATTTGTTATATTTTTTTCTTTTAATTTGAATAGGAGTGGAAAGTTGAAATTTCACTGGTCCCAAAAAAATATTAATTACAGGTAAAGAGCTTTTGTAAGGTGTACTATAGTTTGGAATTTTGCAAACGCTAAATATATCCCCAAATGTAATATTTGTTGAGTCCAAAGAAATACGCATATTAAAACATGAAATATGATGCTCTGATACAGTTTCAAGTGTGGATTCATAGTCTCTTATATTTCGACTTTGTAAAGTAGTATTTGAGTTAGGCCACACAAATATACTATAGCTTATACTATCAATTGTAACAAATTCATCCAAGCTAATAAATATAGTGGGATATCTATATACATTAAATATTCCAGAAAAAGTTTTATAAGCACTTTTTACTTTTATCTCGGATACTCTAAATCTAGCGATGCACCAATAAGGATGTAAAATATCTCTACCTTTACAGAATATTGGGAGTACTAATAGCGAAAGATTATTCTTAATAGAGAGATTATTAGGATTCAAAGAAATAGATGCAATAACTCTAAGTGAACAAGGCTTTTCATAAAAGGAAATATGACTTGAGTTTGTCCAAAAATAGCTCTGAAGTTTAGGTTCATTGGTTTGATTGTATATATCCTGTAGAATCAAAATTTTTACTTCATTAGATAAGGGAATCTCAGTATCTTTTGCCCAAATATAAGGACCTGAATTTGATGGTATAAGTATTATAGGTCTTGTACTAGATTGAATATTGGTACTGGACTCTAAAATATACTTTTCTGAATGATTGAATGACTTTCTAGAATCTATTCCCAATTCCGTAGTATTTTGAGATATAGTTTTAGAATTTATATTTTGTTCACGAATTGATCTATAATTACTTGTATTCAACCAATATAAATCTAAAGGAAGATTATTCGAAGAATTCTCTTTAATCTTTGATATTAGGGATATTTCCTTTGAAAAGCATTCAAGTTGAGAATCCAAATCATCTTTAAATTTAAGAGTTGAATTACCAAAATCCTTAATGCATGAATTTGTAAATCTTGGTTTTTGTAACTTATCAATAGTCTCTGAAATAATTAGGGAGTTTTGAGAGTCTCCAGTAATCAGCGATGAGATTTCTGAATCGGAAGTATAAGGCAATTGCTGCTGAAAATACAAATTAAATGGAAGACGATTTTCAATGACAAAAGGAACCTGATTCACACCCTTAATAGAACTATTGTAGCAACATGTGATTCTTTTTAAAGGAAAGTCTTTATATAAATTATCAATATCATTATTTATCGGTGTAATAGTGATAATAAAAGTTCCAAATTTATGTAAAATGTTGACTCTGATCACACTCCAGTTAGAATATATTTGTTGATAACTAGATAAAGGATATTTACTATAATATAGATTACAAATATATTGTTTGGAACTCTCTTTAGTATTTGAAAAATTCAAGGCAAATGGATTTGTCCAACTTGATGAAAAGACACCATCTGAATGAGAAGAGAATTTCATATCTACTCTTTGGAAATTTATGTACCCATAAGAATAACCACTTAAAGAAGAGTAAAAACACATTTTCCCACAAATAGAACGTTTAGATAATTTTCCTATATCATTCAGATCAATTCCACCTTGCACTATTTTAGGAAATGTGTCAAATTCACAAAATAGGGGAATATGGTATAAAATTGAGTTTTCCAAATCTAAATCATTTTTCAGAGAATATACTTGTCTACTTAGAGACCACATCATATTTAGGGGATAAGAACATAAGTTTAATAAGACCCAAGACGGTCGAAATATCAGGATCTTACAAGTTGAAAGCCTCTCAGATACTTCTTCAGGTAAATTTCTGGATTTATAAGATGGATAAAAACCTGAAAGAGTAACAGCTACAACTTTTGAAATTTTTGAAAATTCAATTATAAGCCAAGAAGAAGATAATTTTGTGAGGGACAGGTCTGAGGAGTAGTAATCCATATCCTGAACTTGATCGTCTAAATATAGAGGAATCAAATAACTAACCTCTTCGTTATCTTGTAGAATTATGTCCTTATCTTGTTCAATTTCCTGTTTACTATATTCATTTGAAAGTAAGTATAAAGAATATTGATTTGATTCTAAAACACCACAAAATGAAGACAGCTCATTCTCTGGTAAGAAAGACTCCCAATTAGAATTTATGCTCTCCCAATTCTCACTACTAAGAGCTGATTTAGAATTTGAAGAAGGATCTAGAATTACTGAATTGCAAATACCGAAGTTGTTATCTCTTGGTTGTTTATCTGTAGAATGACACTCATCAAATGACTTGGACAAAAATTTAAGACGATGTTCTGTATGATTAACAATAGTTAAAGAGCACCATATAAATATGTTTACATGATTTCTTTCATTTGAAACAATTATAGAAATATTTGATACATTAATACCATGTATATACTCAAGATTATACTCTAAAATATTCCCTGCACGTGAGTTAATAACTATAGCTTTTGAAGATGACCACGAGTCACAAGCATCTGAGTATAGTATTGCTCTAACTTGTAGCATTAAAGATTTAGCTGAATCAAACATAGTGACTTGATCTGTTATAAAAGGTTTAAGTTTTTTTGTATAAGTGCATTGATTCTCATTGGTATTTCTTAGGCTGTGGTTACCCTTATAATCTGATAACCTAAACTCAATAGGGAAAATTAAACTATTTGTTATTTGTATTGGAGAAAAAATCCTATATTTAATAACTTGTTTTGAGTCTATATAACATTCAATTCCAAAAAATATACCTCCAAAATCTGATATACAAGATGAAGATGTGGTAAATGAGTGTAAATTTTTAGATCTTACTGCTTCCTGATATAGTATACGTAAATTACACGAACAAGACCAAATTTTACTGAATAAAGGATAATTGAAAATTGTATCTTCATTAGGTTTAGTAACTTTAATATTTGGATGTAACTTTGATTTGATAATCATATAAGGACAAGAAGAAGCAACTGATATCGGTAATTCTAGTACTTTGTTCGATTTCAAATCGTACTTAAAAAAATCATCATTTATTTCAGATATAAACACTATTTCAATATCAAAAGATAGATCTGAGTTTATTTCAACTAGTGACTTTATAAGAATACACGGAAAATATTGATATTGATAATTAAAAGATGCTTGAATACTGTCTTTATATAGAGCTTTTGATTTATTCAATATTGTTTGGTTTTGTATAGTTATACTAAGAAACTTGTAGTTGCCAAACATTGCATTAAAAGTATTATACTGGTATTTTTCAATCAAATATTTTTCTGTAGAAAGAGCTGTTAGTGAGCTGTTGCTATTCCTTGTCTCTTTGTAATTGAGACTAAATCTGGATATAAGAAAAATGTCTTTTATCCCAACTAAATATATTGATTTTGGATATATCTTTATCTTAAAATTATTTACAGGTAGTTCTAAGTTTAAAGGATCCCCAGTTTTATTATCATAAAAAATGCAAACAATTGGAATTATAACATTTTGACATTTTTTAGAATTTGCATCTCTAATTAGTAAATCAAGAGTACTTTCCATTATACTTAAATAATATGGGCATTGCCTTAGATCATTTATCTCAGTAGATTTTATATTTCCTGCATCCAATCTAAGTATATTATAATAGTATTCAACCTCTATCGAATTAAATTCTTGGCTATTATTTACTGATATCTTGTTAAAAAACTCAAAAAGTCTGTCAGTAAAAACAATATTTCCTAAATTAATTTTGAGTATTAAACATATTTTTGAATTGTAATTATAAGTTGTAAATATTGAAAAAGGTACAAATATTGATATTAATGAAGCATTTAAATATTTAGGTACAGTATTAATGGACAAATTCAAAGAAATTTCAGCTGGTCCCAATATTGAATAGTTATGGCAAGTTTTATTTGGAATGTCTAACACATAATTAATACCATTATTGAATATTTCCAGCTTTTGCATGGTATCTTTTTTTACTGCAGAATATGTTACTCCTAATATATCAAATTTGCTAATACCTATCGTTAGGCTAGTATTAAATATATTTCCACTTCCAGTGTTATTGCTATTTATAATAAGTTCTTTAAATCTTAAAATCAAGGCCTCTGTAGATATTAAAAAATCTTCTATGCAGTATCCTAAATAAAAGCTCGGTAGTCTCAAAGATAATCTTTGTATTGTATGAATAACAGTAAAGTATGATGTATCCATACGGTAAATAGATTTAGTGATTCTACATGAAGTTTTCGAATTGGAAAATCCCGATAAAACACTTTTAATTAAAGTCCAATCACGGGAATTTAAGATCATATAAAATGGCAAACATAGTTCTGGATCTATTGTACTAGCATGAGGAACAAAAACTATATCAATATTTGTAAAATCTAATTTTTGTTTTACAGAAATACCATCAGTAGGGGAATTTATATGTAGATCACAAAAAATTGTAACATTAAAACCATGTTCCCATCTTGACACAGAATGTATTGATAAATCATGAAAATATGCTATTTTCGTTTGCTCAATTAATTTTGAATATTCAACAATATAAGATTTCCGATAAACAAGCTCATAACAAACATTATCTTCTTTGAAGTCTTTGTATGTATTTTTGATCTCAAAATACTTCAATTTGTGAACTAAAGGTAGCACGAAAGTTACAATATCTAAGTTAGTAATATTTAACTGTATATTGTTTTGCAAATATCCAACTAAAAAATTTAGTTTCTGATTGAGAATTTCTAATTTAAAAGTAACTTTTTTCCTCTCATTAAACTGAAATTCCAAAAATATGTGGTATTTACCAGTTAATAATGCTGTAGCAAGATATCTGAAATCTATAAAACTATCGTCATTTATTAAGTATATACAATAAGACAGTACATTTATACTGAATGATAGAATTGTCAAATTACTTAATTTTTTGAAATTTTCCAAATTAAAGATATATTTCACTTTTCTGTTGTAAAAGGTATTTAAAAAGACTTCAGAGTTTATTCCATTATATGGAAATATTCTAGTATATGATATAATAATAGATATTGCATGAATTATACACTCTACAATATATGGTGATAATAAGAAATAAAAAGATGAAAGTTCCATACAAACTATTGTCTCTAACTTATTATTTATACAATTTTGCATCCACTTTACAAATACTCCGCAAGAAAAGTCCTGACCAAAGTTTAATATGGATAATATAGATTTTATACTACAGATGTCTTTATAAATACTGATATTGGGCAAGTATATAGAGAGTTCACCTAAAGAATTAAGTCTATTATTTGAAAAAGAAATGCCATTAACTTGAAGAAATATAATTGGATCTTCAATATAATCTCTACCATAAAAATTTACATGTATTTTGCCAGAAGTAATTTGTAATATCCCTGGATATAAAGGCAAAGAGTTTATAGATTTATTTTCATTATTATAAATTAACTGAGGCAACTCAGTAATAAAACTAATTAGAAAAATATCATGTATAACTTTTTCACTGATATTAAATTCAATATACTCCAAACTATTATTTTGAGGATATATATCATCATTTCTATTATTATTTGAATCATCTTCCAAAAGACTAATTAAAATAGAAATGTGATTTGTAGAATCTGAAGGTAAAAACTTGTATGAATAATCTTCAATAACTTTGTAGAATAGTTTAGGATCAACTTTAGGTTCATTATCAACTACTATATGAATAATTCCAGCTTTAAAAATAGTCATAACTCTCTGTTTATCCAATGTATAATGTAGGAATTTTAAATTGTTTATTTTCAACTTGTATCTGAATAATTTATTATTTGAATATTCAGACATTTGCAATGATATACGTAGTAACTTGTAAGAGAGTATATATTGAGAGTTACCAAGTATTTTGAGTTCTTCTGAAAAACATTCTAATTCAGGCTGAAAATTGTTCCTCCCATTAAATGAATTATCACTGAGTTTGATAGTTATTTGATCTGAGGTAACTACGACCTTATTTCTTAAGATATTCGTAAATCGAGAAATGATAGAGCCTCTATGTATGGAATCTAATATGTTATCTTGTTTATTATATTTTCTAGGTATATTACTTAGCAAGATAGAAAAAAACACTTCAAACTCAAAAAGTCCCAACTTAATAGATAAAAAGTCTATATATATCCATCTATATAATTGGATATCTAAAATTGCTGCTGTTCCCTTTTTTATGCTTTGTAATATGTATGCTTTGTCATATTGATAAAATATTTGTTCAAATAGTAACCTTACTTTGAAGTTTCCACTCATAACTGAGACTATGGAGTCATCTATTAGTAATTTTAAATCTCCATATGTATGCCTTGTGTAACAAGCTGATTTTATAGAGTCTATAAGTACATTCTGAACATCATGGTTTAAACGGAGTTCTCCATCCATTATCTTCAAACATGTTTTACAATCTTGCACTGATATATTTATTTCTGAGCTAATTATATCTAGAAAAGGTAAATTAACAATTATCAACAAAGATAAACTTGACATAAATTTAGTTAAGGTTTGTTGTCCCATATGAGATTGATTCAAGCAATCTTGAATACAGTCTATAAAAATATTATAAATATCATAAAGTATGTAGTAAGACTCAAACAAATAAAATAAAGGCTTTCTTTCTCTACATTTGTAAAATGTACTCTCTTCGTTGCGATATATTGATTTCATATAAATAATTGGGCTGCTTATATTAATATCAATGTATATTTTAGACAATAGATTTGATCCATCCAAAAATTCTGCAATTATATTATTTTTTATATTTTCATTAAATAAAAGCTTCCCTTCTATCTTTGGAATATTCATTACATAATTAATATTTTGTGTGTTTGAACTATTATATATCAAATCTCCTGAATTCAATTCCATAAAAAAGCTTGAGTCTACATGAGAAAGTTCAATATGAAACAAATTACATGTATATTTAATAAAGGAACATTCAAAATTATTAAATTCTTTTACATATGAATATATTGGAGTATTTAACAAAATATCATTTACTGAAAATGAAAACGAGCATACAGAACACTTCTTTATTGTAGAGTTTAATTTTAAATTTTCAAGAGACAAAATAATAGTACTAAAATATTCATCAGTTGTATTAATCACCACCTTCTCAATATTAATAGAAATATCAATTATTATACCAATTAGATATCTAAAAGTAATATCCTTTCCATTCAAATTCTCACTTTTGAATATATCCAAATCCCTTGTAAAAAGAGTAATGAGTTTTCTAAATTCAGAACTCAAAATAACTTCATTACTAAAAGTTAAATCTATATTATATTTTAATAGTATAAATTTGGAAACTACTATATCGATAGTATTTAATTCATTAAATTTATCTATTTCCATATTTTCGAAGGACTCTTGTATTGCAAGCTCAATGCTATTTTCAATAGAGAAAATTGACCTTAAATCGTTATTAATTTTATAAAAGAGAGCCATTAAAAATGGATCTTTGATATTGACCTCTTCACTATTAAAAGCTCTCATTGCATTATCAAAACCTATTATTCTGCTATATTCTAGTGATAATCTACTTGAATATATAATTAACTTATGAGAGTCAAGTAATGACAAAAATTTTATACTACCAATAGAAAGATACAAAACAATCGGAATTTCATATTTAGTACTTTCATAGCCCAAATTAAGTGGAATTTGATAAATTATTTGTATATTTGAACCTGTGATATTTATGTAATTTAATAATATCAAGATTTGTTTGATAGTTTTGATATTTTGACTATTTTGATTGCTCATAATAATTCCAAAGAAAAATATATTAATACCCCGAAAATGAATATCTACTGCACGTGAAAAGTATCTAATTATACTTAAAATGCAACTCAAATAGCTATTTGATACTCCCCAATAGAGGTGCAGCAGTACAAAATCCAAAGTCATGAAAATAAAAAAAAACCAATTTAATACCTTGATATCGATCTCCTTGAGTATTATATAAGAGTTTGAACATAATTTAGACTTCCTCAAAGAATTTATATCACTCCATTTTTTAGTATAGTCCCAAGCTAATGGCACAACTATATCTTTTAATATAAAATGTCTAAGTCCTTTGATTTCATAGTGCTTTCCTTTTAGAAAACCCATCTATATTAACCAATAGTCGTATAATAATATATCAAGTTTCTTCAAATTAAGTATGTGTATACATTATCACACTTCGGACGAAAAAAAAAGTTGAGCTTAAAGTATAAATTTACAAGCAGTTGTACCGCTAAAAAATGAAACTACAACTTCCCTATTTAACTAGAATTCTCTTCCTATTTAAGTAGAAAAAGTAGATAGTACATTATTTGAATATTACACTTAAAATTAAGCTTTTCTTTTATTATTTATATACTGAGATATTATATTCTAAAGTGTTAGCCTAAATTTAAACCCAGAAATAGTTTTAGTAGTTAAATTGACCCGCCATGTTAAAAAAGATCAACTTTAATTAAAAGATTCTGCATGTTCTAATGTGAATAATAGCAACATATCTCGTCTTATATACTTATATAGATTCTGAGACAGAATATATATTACAGAAGTAAAAGAAAACCTAGTATTTTAAATATATTATGTGCATTTCTAAAATAGGAAGCCTGGCCACTAGTTAGTATTATAGATTCAAGGTCTTCTAATATAAAAAAAGAAAAAAAAAGTACAAAAACACTGATAATAATTTTATTTAATAATGATACCTTTTAATATTCCTATTTTCTAGCTGTATTCTTTACTTACATTCATAATAGTAGGAATATGTAAGAAGTAAGAATTTATCTTGAGGTACAAATAATAAGTGCTGAAGTTTAATTAAAGATATAAATAACTTATAGGATCTATTGATATGTGATTAATTACCAAATGAAGCTGAAAAATAAATTTTCTCTTGAGTATTTAAAACTATTTGAATCTCTCAAAAAGCCCTGTACTATCTGAAACATAAATTAAGATCAATTTAATAATATATTACAAAGTATATACTAAAAATAATTCGAAATGATATATTCGAGTCATAGTTGTCTAAATATAAAGGAATATGAGTAAAATTATTGCGTATATAAATAAATGCATGAATTTGTAAGTATCTTCCTAAATTACCTATCAAAGTTTAGGATTTTTATTTGCTTTGTTAAACACATAAATACTTGATAATTCAATATATTTCCATAAAATTAACAATATAATAGTTAAATTATTTGAATTAGGCAAAGTGAATTTATAGTTGAGTTACTTTAATAATAAATCAAATTTTATAAAGGTTCAGAAGAAATGGCTGAAATTGTCAAAATATTAGTTTGAAGGAACTTAACACTCTTTATATATGAAGATCGTAATTTATAAATGTTTAAAACCTGAGAATCCATACCCTTTGTATCCCACAGTCCAATAACTCCATCACTAGTCCCAGCTACTAAAAGTTTACTCCCATAAGAAAAGTCTAAAGATTTTACATAAGATAAACTATCTAAATTTAACTCACATAACTTACTTGATGGTTCATTTGAGTTTATCTTCCTAATATCATGTATTGAAATTTTTGTGCTAACATTACTTTTGGTTAGCGCTAAAGAATCCAAATCAAATGAAGAAAAAGCAATAAATTGGCCATTAGGACTGAATTTAAGGCAGTTTACACTACCATTAATATCTACTGATTTGTTAATAATACCAACTTTTGAACTAGATCTTACATCCCAAATACAGACAGTACCATCATTACTGCCTGTTCCTATGATACAGTTATTAGGATGTATACAACAAGTATATACATCTCCTAAATGCCCAGAAAATATCCTAAGTGGAAATGTTCTCCCAGTACACCAATATCTAGCTGTTCTGTCTCCACCAGAAGAAACAAAGGATATTCCAAATTTGTCCCACTGTATATCCCATATACAGGATCCATTACTATGACCCTTGTAGCTAGCTAAGCACGTTAATTTTTCATTTTTATCAAGAATCATTGAGAGTTTTACAGTACTATCAATTCCACAAGATAAAAGTAGTGTTGAATTCCATGGATTAAATCTAGTTGCTTGTACTCTGCCTTTATGTAACCAACAAGTTAAGTTATTTTTTAAATTTAAAGGATTTGAATCACTAGCTTCTTGATCTATAACATCAACACTTTCCGTAGTTCTGTTAAAATGTTTCTTTGTAAGATTTGCATCTGAATTTTTATTCAGACACATTTGCTTTATATTGTATGCTTGCACACATCCTTCTTCTGTACAATAAACTCCAATTTCCATATTATGCGATACATCCATATCAGTGATATATTCACTATGAGGATGCCTTATTGTATTGCAGATAATACTGGGTAGATTCTGATTATCTAATTCTACTCTATTAGCTATTTGGATCAATAAATCCCGTTTGTATTCATTCAAATAAATACTATTAGCACCAGGAATAATCAAATTCTTGAACTCCATTGGATCTCTGAGCTCTTCTGTAACTTCACCATCTAAACGAGAATTATCTAACTTCTTAGTTGCTAGACCTGCTTCTTTGACTTGCCCTTCATTATAGGACTCAGGAAATAATCCCCAAATTATTATATTATTATTTATTCCAATAGATTTCCCAAACATATCTTCATTATTTGAGTTGTCTAGAGTAGGTATTTCATTATCTATCTCCTTAGTATGTGTATTTATTTGTATATCCATTTCTAACATATCTTGAGTATATAGTTCACCTACTTTGACCGTACCAATAGTTTTAATATAATTAATCTTACCAATTGAGTTGCGTTCTAAATTGCAGGATTTTTTGGTGGGACTTCCATTATTATTATGTGTACCAAGAGATTCTTTACTGAAATGGATAATTAATCTACTTTGTAAAATACTCAAGATTAATATATCCTTAGAGGATATTAGAAATGACTCCAATAGTGAAACAACAAGAGGCCTTAATATTATATGGAATTTGGATTTTCTATAAGGTCTAGTTATTTCTGAATATTCTAATTGATCTATACTTGTTAAATTTCTCATTTCAGTTAATACAGATCGATATCTAGTTAACATGAAATCATCACTAAATGTATTAAAAAACTCTTTACTTTTTTCTAAGTTAGACTTCAATAATCCTAAGTATATATATACAAATACAATATAGCATACTTCAAATAATTCTTCTCTAGTATTATCCAGTGAATTCATAACCCAATCTTTAAATCTGGAATAATTATAATAAACTTTATTATATTCTAAAGGTTTTGAGTGAATGAAAGTATTAGTTTCACTATTAGTCTGGCATTTATTATGACCTGTTTGATCCTCTAACTCTTTCATAAATATGCTTAACGTCTCATCGCATCCCTGCTTCTTCAGTAGCTCTAGTAGCATTGAAAACTGCTCATTATTCAAAGCTTGCTGTTGCATTCTCGAAATTTAGTTATACCTTATATAAAATCTCCCTATGCATCATATCAGTATTGCAATTTTTTCACGCTTCAAACTTAGCGCCTACAACCTCAATTTCTTAAGTACAGAACTCAGTTAAAATTTGAAGTGAAATTTAAGTTATTTGAGTTCGTTAAATCCCTAGTAACTTAAGGTAAAATAAATCATATATGAAATTTTGAGATTAGACGTGATATTAGAAATTATAACCTAGCATACATAAGGAAGATTGAATACTGTGATTTATTGTGGAAAGCAATAAAGGTATAAACAACTTTAACAAGAACTTTTCTGCAGTGTAGAAAAATTAAATCCCTGAGATCAAACAAACCTTAACATAAACCTCCGAATATATGCCAATCAACTATATTTGAGAGTTTTCTATTCAAAGTAAAATGTCGGGATGTAACCATTACAAACGATTATGTAAAATTGTAGCTCCTTGTTGTAACAAAGTTTATTGGTGTAGACATTGTCATAATGAAGATCCACTAAATGACCATGGAGATCTAGATCGTCATAAGATTAGCGAGATAGTTTGTGCTATTTGTAACACACACCAACGAGTAAGCAATACTTGTATAAACTATCACGAATACAATGGTAATTTAAGTGAGAATTCTAATAGAGAAGATTTTAATAATTATCACGACACAAATTCCGACGGAATTAATAGAATATATTGTCCAAAGGAATTTGCAAGCTATTTTTGTTCTAAATGCAATTTATGGGATGACTTAGGGATACAAAAAAAGATATTTCATTGTGATGAATGTGGAATATGCAGAGTTGGAAGTAAAACTTCTTATTTCCATTGCAAAGTTTGTTGCATGTGTTATCCAACAAGCATTAAAGATACTCACATTTGTATTGAGAAGTCTTGCCATCAAGCATGTCCATTATGTCTCGAGAACTTATTTCACTCTATCCGCACTGTATCTATACTTAATTGTGGTCATACAATCCACGAAAGTTGTCTAAATGAATTGGAAGCAGCTAAAGGTATAATTGGACTCAGATGTCCTGTTTGTGGTAAATCAATTACTGATAATTCAGTTATTTGGGAAGCTATTGACAAATTGATTGCAGATTCACCTGTACCACAATCATCCAAAAAGCTTGTGAATATATTTTGTAATGACTGCACTAAAAAGTGTATTACAGAATTACATCCATATGGTATTAAATGTATTGCCTGTGGTAGTTACAATACTCGAGTTGATTAATTTATAAAGTAGTATTATTACAATCAGCGCTACGGAGATGTTAAACTTTTTTTTCCTTTAATATTCCTTTACCTAAATATCAATGATTTTGTCAAGTTTGCTATCCCCATTATAGTTTTGTATGTTAGTAGACAATAACAACAAGTTTGGTGTTGCCATATAGCATTACTTATCCATTCAAGAGCTTCAACGCAGCCAATTCCACTATAAGAGGATATCCCAACCACTGCATATTCTTTTATACTGTTCCCATATAATCGCACCATATCAGAAACTTGAAGCTCAGCTGCTAATTGATCAGGTGTAATAGCATCAACAACATCCTGTTTTGTAGCCAGAATTAGGATTGCAACGCTTGAGCTAGGGGAATCAACTATAAGTCGTGATAATAATTTTTTTGCAAGAGGTATTCTACCAATATCACTTGAGTCTACACAGAATAATATACCATGAAAGTCATATTTATTATATTCTCTATAAATATTCCAATATCTACTTTTATTCATATCATCTATCATCTGACTATGCCCAAAATGTAGATGTTTAGAATGAGTTCTATTCATCAAGTTCCTATTTGAATCATCAGTAAGTGCAGACACTTCCACATCATCCCATAATATAAGATTGCAGTCCCTTATATTTACTTTACAAAGTGACTGATTTATGCAAGTCAGTGGATCTATGTATTTACCTTTAAGTAGTCTCATAATGAGTGCTGTTTTCCCAGATGAAGCTGGACCCGTTACTATAATATTAAATTCATGTCTTTTACATTCACCAAAAAAGTCCCCAATAGTGCTTAACATCCTATATTGCAATTTTGCCAACTCTTCAATTTTAATAACTAGTATTTTCCATGTACTTTTTTTTCTTAAATCTCTCCTCTAATTTACCTTGCCATTCATCAAAATCAAAATTCCCTTTTAAATTTATAAACAAATAAATTAAAAGATTCTTTTTAAAAGCTACTTCTTAAATTTTAATATCCTTAATGGAGAAAGTGAAATACTTCTCGATTTTCTCGTTGTTATCTCTGATAGTGGGATTTGGAATGTATTTTCATGGATACCCTTGTCAGCGCCTATATTATTTTCTGCAGTTGAGTAATTGTGAATCCGTAAAATTCGCGTATCTTTCGGGAATTTTGGCTCCTTAGATTCCCTAATCTGGCTACTATTTAAATCTATTAGAGAAGATGATGAGTATATAATAACTTTCTGTTTATCTTCCTCATCATCATTAATATTTTGCTTTTGAATAGATTCAATTGTAGATGAACATGATGGAGGAATTAAATCACTTCTAAAGGGTAGTAATTTATCCGTAGCTTGTACATTAGTTTCAAGGTATTCAGTTGCTGGGTTAGCTATATTTATATTATTATCATTGTCGATCTTATAATAAACAATTTGATCACATACACCTTGTTCTAGTATCTCCATTGATATTGACAATATACTTTCTAAAATATACAAATATTTATTTTCAGAGAGTGAGGTATGCGAACATGCTGAGTTAAATCCTAAATAGTTACTTTTCTTATCGAGTTTATTATTTTCATACCAGTTTAATAGAGGAATATCAGCATAATTTGGATTTTCAATTGCACGACGTGTTATACTTATAATTAAAAGTAAACACTGAATAGGATATACCTTCGAACATAATTGAAAAACTTCAGAGATATTTGGGTTTGATACCTCTGATATATTTGAAGGTTTCATTAATAGGCCACCGTGGTATAAGCAACAGTGCGCAAAGTGCCATAATAGTTGAAATATATATTCAGATTCATGATCTAATCTTAAAAATGGATACTTCTCATATAGCCAGCGGTGTAAAATAGTGTAATTTGAAGGTGCCATGCCCATATATATCTTGTCATGATAACTCATTTTATTTATTATCATTAAGGGATTTTTTGAATTTAATAGTACGGATTCCCACGTTAGTGGTAACTCATCTGATTTCCCCTTATTTACTATATACTTTACATTTTCATCTTCTATACCTTTACTTTTACTAGAATTATAGTTAATTTGGCTGTTGTCCTGATTAGAACTATCTGTAATGTTATCACAAATATTTATGTTCGTTTCGCTCCCACATTTGCTACTATTAATATTATCATCGCAACTTTTCATTATGATCTTACCATGAAATGATCTAGTATCTTGTTGTTCTGGTGACTCAATTTCATCATAATAAACTGGAGTTTCAAGGTTTTGAGATCCATCAGTTTCACACATATAGGTTATTTTATCTTGGATTTCAGTAAGCTTTATTACATTATATATATTCATCTCTGTTTCCGAAGTATCATAGACTTTAAAATTATTTTCACTAATATACCTTTTCCAATACCTATTGTTACTTGTTAATTTTCCTCTAAAACTTTGACTTATTCCTGGCAGTGGTAATTTTACCTGACAATAATTTATTTTATTCATAAATTCTGCAAATGTCTCCATACTTTCTAAAATATGACTCCAATTTGCTTGTTTCCCATTTTTAGTATTAACAAAGTAGTATTCTTCCTTATCTGTATGTTTGTTTTCTTCTATTGATTCATTTAAAGATTTAGGATTTACTTCTTTATAGGTAAATTGCTGTGTATAATTTTTATTTGTATCTTCATAAGCATTTGATTCATTTGATATACCAAATGGGAGCAATAAGGCCATCTTTATAATCAAAATTAAAGTATTGAACACGTTTTGGCATACTTCAGGAGAAAAAGATTTAAGTGGATCTATTGCCTTTTCTCTTGAAACCAATATTTCCACTTCATTCATTGCTGCACTTTTTTCACTTGTATTTGAACAATTAGATGAACTTAAAGATGCTTTTTTAATACTCTCTATCCACTCACTCCTAGTTTTTATTTTGGTCTTCAAAATCCCGAAAAGTATCTCTAAAGAAGCTGATTCGGGTAAATGATGTGGAATTAAAAGTTTTAAAAAAGAACTTTGGTCATAATTAATTGAACGCATTAAATTGTCATCAGTATATATATTTCCAAAGCTTAAATTCATCTTATGTATATAAAATGAACTGTTAATTTCGAATAATTTAATAAAAAATTCATCCCATCCGAAGGGAAACCAATTTCCCATTCCAGTTATTAAGCATAGTTTCTCTAATTTAGGTCTTTTTCTACATAATAAAAAGTTATTTAAAACTGAATATGTTAGTTCCTCCAATAAACAAGTAGTCTCTAAACTGTTTAAAGTAGAAAAGCTACTTAAATTACTTTTGCTCTTGATCTTAGAATTTTTACTAATACCGGTTTTTACATTCATTGTATGTAAATGATACATGTATCTTACTATCCACTCTGCAATAGGTTGGAAGTATGGCTTAGGTGGCATATACAAAGGGACTATAAGATAAAATGGAGGTGGGAAATTTCTGCTTATTGGAGATTTTTCCAGTAAATTAACTACCATTCTACCCTTAATACCATTTATAGATTGTAACTGAACATAAATATTGCCAATAGTAACACCATCTAATACCCATTGGTCTACAGCAGCTTGATATGCATAAATTGTATTCATAAATAAAGAAGGAGTATAAAGATAATACATCCTTCTTACCCAACATATTATAGACATAAATGTATCTTTACTATTGGTAATAAATGAAAAATTTTGTAATTCAATTTGTTCTAAAATTATTTGGAAGAATACTTTAAATTGATTGTATAAGTATCGATAAAGATTTTGAATTGGCCAGAAATTCAAGAGAAGCTCATTTGAATTTGTGAAGGGTTTTATTCCTAATTTTTCAAACATTTGCCGACATTCATGTCTAAAATAAGTTGGGTCACCCAGCAAAGTATAGCCTGTTTGCAAGGGAACTTGTTTATATCTATTTAACCTCCTACCTATATATCTAAAGGAAGTTTTTCCCACATTAATTTGACTTAAAGGATAGTTTAGATGAATTCCATTATCATCATCATCATCTAATTCACTTTCATCTGATGAAATTAGATAGCTAGATGAAGCTGTTAAATTTTCAGTTGAGTATTTACCATCATTGTTTGATGTATATTCACCTGATTCACCATTTAACCAAATATATTTGACAGGAAATTCACCATCTAAATAAGCTGATGATGAAAATGGTTCAGTAGTATCGTGATTACCACTCCAGAAAAATAATGCTGTTTTAAAATCCTTAGGACCAATAATTCTCATACTTAATGTTGGATTAAGTGCCATTGAAGAATTAGAAGATATTCCTGAAGAATTGTTTGAAGTTTTGATATTAATATTTCTTGTTAAATAGGTATCTAATACTGTTGGTCTAAATGAGTTAAGAGTACTTTGACTAATTCTTCCACGTAAATTCTTCATTTTTTCTCCATTATTTTTAAAATTACAAATCTTTTTTGTATTTTCAAGTATGAATTTACGTATAAAATTATCAACCGGCTTTATTATGTCCTGTTCCATATCAAAGAAATGATGAGTTGCATCATCAGGAAAATGACAGCTTCTTTTATTTGTATGATAATTATTATACATCTCATAACTACCAAACCAAGAGAACATACTATCCTTCTTACCGTGTATCCATAAAACAGGACAAGAGCACTCTGCAACTTCCGCTTGAACATTCCATCTTTGAGTTATCAAAAGTCTTCCAATCTTTCCAGCAAAAGATTCTGCTGCATGTTTAATACTTTTAAATGGGCATTGTAATATCAACCCACCCAAATTCTGTTTATTTTGGTTTAATATTTTTGCATAGCGAGTTGTAGGTCCTGATCCAATTGAACATCCCCAAAGAATAATATTTTCAAGTGGCCATTGTAATTGTTGTGTTATGAATCCCATTACAATATTCATACACATATCAACAGTACTTTCATCAGATCTTCCACCATGCTTTCCATAACCAGGATAGTCGAATGCAAAAAAGTGAACTTTCAGTCTATCACCCATGTATTTAAATCTGGCATGAAGTTCTCCTATATCAACACCATTCCCATGAGCATAAACTATTAAAATATGTGAAGTTTTTCTTGCAGTAAACAGGAGGCATGGCATCTTAGTATTTACATCAATTGGACTAGGTAATAGTATTATTTCAGGATATGAAGTCACCTCATAAGATGAATAAGTCCCTGGAAACATCGCAGCATCTGCAAATCTTTGAATAAGCATTGGTAAATAATTCCACTTCAAATTCACCAGAATATTGGGATATTTCAATTATTTAGATAACTTTTGCATAAAATTATTAGGGAAAAGTAGTAATTTATAAAAAGTTAAATAAGTTGGAAAATATCAGCGTCTAATAATATAGACAAGTTTCATAACACAATGCTCCAAATTTTATATTATGAATTCACCTTTTCTTAATTAATTAAATTAAAATTCTTACTTGGGAAATACTTAATTACAAATAAGAATTGTTTATCTTTGAACGACTTCGTTATTGGGATTTATTACTTGTGTCACAGTCTTTACATTCAAAGTTATTTATATTACAGTATCACTACAAAATACTTTCTTATTAGAACCATGACACTGGATTCAGTAAAGTTGAAAATAAGAGGTAGAAAGATAGGGAACTGCTTCACAAGCTTTGTGTGCGACATATTTCCCGCCTAAAACAAATGAGGTAAAAAGACAAATATGACATGACTTGTAAAAAAGAACCAAAGTCGTATTAGAATAATACATGCATCAGCTAAGTGTTCTATTACAGATAAATTCCCAAATAAATTATTAAATCACTACAAATTATCACTTCATTAATATATATCTCTATAAATTAGTTCATTACGTAACTAAAAAATTATATATATCAGTCAAATTTAGCTCTTTTGACATTTGGATCTATTTTTTTCTTCAATGGATCGACAACTTTTATCTAAAAATTTATTTATATAAATCAAAGTTAGTGTAAGATCTCAAAACTTTGTTGTTGCTAAACTTACTGTTTCGTTAGTCCATTCATAAATATCATAAGCTCTGTTCGAGTCAATACCAAAATTTAATCCATCCTTGTTAAACCAAGAATTATCTATTGATAAATTGGAAAGCCTACTTCTAAATTTCTCTAATTTTTTTAGGACATCAATTTCACGGTGAACTAATGAAGATGATCGTTTTTTTCTTATCACTCCATCATATATGTCCTCGTGAGCCTCAGATAAATTTCTATTTCTCTTGAATAATCTGATTCGCTCTTTCAACTTAATTCCTTGATCTTGCACCGAATGTAATTCATTTAGAGAGTTGTCATTTTGAAAAGTACTGGAATTATTACTATTGTTGGTATCATATAAAGAACCTTCAGTATTACTTATATTTAGTTGTCCTGAATCATCACTTGTTGCCTTTTTAAAATGAAATAAATTCTCTTCACTGTTATCATCAAATTTATCATCACCAAATGATAGTAATTGGAGATTTTCAACAATAATATTAGAATTTTTACTATTCTGGTTTTTAGATACTTTTATGCCATCCTTCCCATTTTCATCTTTTTTTTTATTTTGCAAATTTCTAGGGATTATATTATCAAAAGGATTAATTAAGACATAAGATTTAATAATTTTTATTGGTAAAATTGGGCAGTCTGAACTATCAACATCAACTCCACCCATTTCAATTACATTGTAAATTGTTTTCCCAACTACTTTTCCAAATAAAGTATATTTATTATCTAATTGGTGTAATTTCGATAAAGTTATGAAGAATTGACTGTTATTTACAGGTTTTGATCCAGTATCTTGATTTGCCATGCCAACTAAACCTCTATAACGAAATTTAAGTCTTGGATGTATCTCATTATCAAAAGATTTACCATATATACTCTCACCACCACTCCCAGTACCTGTTGGATCACCTCCTTGAATAATAAAGTCCCTAATTACTCTATGAAATATAGTTCCTTCATAATAACCTTCCATACACAATTGTATAAAATTTCTACATGTAACTGGACACTCTTTACACCAAAGTTCAATGTCAATTTCCCCTAAAGTAGTTTCAAAGAGTACCTTCCCACTTGTTATAGGTTCATTTATATATGTTTCAGACATTATCTAATAATATTTACATTATAAACTATACTCATTTAATTAAAAATAATAATTATATATTTGAATTTACTTATCAAAGGTACCAATCATTCAATATATATAAATAAGACCTAGCTCAAAAAATATAGATTCTGCTATATAATGGCTTAAATAATAGTTATTATTGCAACTAGTCAACAATAATTTTAAACTATTATTGTCAATTAAAATATTGAATTTTACCAGTCCTCAATTACTTTAAATATAAAGTTCAATATACCCAACCACAGCAGCGGTAACTCTGGTAATAAAACAAAATTTAAATATCTAACTATATTATATCTAACTTACACTACAATTAATTAATCTATATGAATATCATTGAATTAGTCTTTGATATAACTTTAGCAATATAAAATTCTTGCTCTAAATCTTGATAATACTTGAGGAATTTGGTACTGAATATTAGTAATAAACATTCCTGAAAAACAAAATATTTTAAGTAATATATAAATACTAAATAATGGAAAATTCCAAATTATCTTTTATTATAAGGATCTACATCAAATTTTTATATAAGAAGGAATTCTATCTGAAAGACTGAAGTGCCAACAATCCTAACAGTGAAAATATACTCAGAAAGACACTACCAATTAAAAGATATCCAGATTTTAACTAAATTCCCAACATATTCACATAAAGATTCAAGGGAGAAAGATTGAAGTTCAATATCAAAAATAATAGGAGATAATCAAAATTTTTAAGCTTTAACTGTGAAGAGATGTGAACTATTTTGTTACCAAAATTCGTCATTTTGCTCCAATATAATGAACACAAAAATTGTAACAATGAAAAGCCAAAGTTGACCTTTCACCTCCATTATTACAATGATAAACTATAATACTTATGCCTTTTAATTATTGTTAATAGCATATTCATAATAATAGTGCTACTAACATTTAAACTTGCACCAAATATTCCTGTTCTAAATCTATGATACAAGGAACAAACTCTAGAATCCTAAAAATATCACTACTAAAGTCATCCGAACTATTATCTTCACCAATTATATCACCTAATATTCGAGATATTTCGTAATATTTTAGCAATTAAAACAAATAGCAATTAGAATATACAACATAACCATATGTAATCATAACTTTTAGATAATATTCCAATATTGAAGAGGCGAGATAACATATTACTCAGAAATATTTAATGTTTAATATTACAATGACCAGATATAATATTGATTTTAGAAATCAATCAATCTTGCTGAATATTCTGTAATTATATTTATTTCCATCTAAAAAAAAAAAAAAAAAAAGAAAAAAAAAAAAACTATCTAGTCATTTGAAATATATTAAAGATGTAATGAAAACTGGGAATTGATTTATTTTCTACATGATCCATCACCTTAAATGCTACATTAAATAGTAATTTAAATTTGAGGAACTTTCAATACTTGTCAAGAATTTAAACAAAACAAAGTACAATAATATACCTAAGATTCAAATAAATCTTTATATTTCGAGAATTTTCACGCGTTGTATTATTCAATATTTTGAGTAATAACAAAAAAACTCATAAAAGAAGCCATATTCATAGATTATAAAGTATTCTTTCCATCACAATTCTTATAGTTCAATTCTAAAGCAACCTAATGCTACCTCGGAATATTTCGTATTACACAAAGTATTAGATAACAACTTATTACCACTGAAAAATTTCCAGATATATTTAAGAGAAAAATATACCGATACTACTCAGTAATATTGGTATATTAAAATTTATATTATTTATATTACCAAAATTAATATTTTATTTAAATATTAAATCTGCCTATAATTTCAGCAAATGAGTGAATTTTTGCAGCCAATAAGTACATACAAAGAGTATATTATAAACTAATCAATATATTATTCACATTAAACTGCTTTAATCTACTCAATCTACAATAATTACCCAATACATAATATTAAATCCATGTACCCATTGTTGCAATATAAATTGAAAGAACTAAAACTTTTGAAGCTATAACTTATTACAAAATCTAGGAGAAATCAGAAATTAGCTGTATTTTAAAGTGCCCTATCCATAGTGTCGATAGTATAAACTCAATTTAATAATTAGAAAAATCCCAGTATAGTTGTTAATAGCTTTAATTATTATTATATTATAAATATCCAAAGAATTATTTAATAACAAAAGTAGCCATTCCAATCATTCTGTACAGTGACAAAAAAGTTATACAAAAATCCTAACAATGAAGTTCTGCATTATTTATAGTGGGGAGTTAATTTTTGGATATTAATAGAACAAAATTGCAATACTGAAACCTTCATCCTAATTTGGTGCTCTGATATATAGGAATAATATCAAAAAACGAGATCTAAAATAGATCGCGCTTTAGATAATCTAAATAATGCAGTATTGTATACAGCTCTTAGGTGCAGCTAGAGTTTTATTTAATATACATGTGGTACCCAACTCAAATCTGATTTATTGGCTAAATATATATGTAATTATAATTTTTTATACTATCTAGAATACTAAGGTAATGGCATTGTAAAATGAATACATCTACAGGAAACTTTATATATTAAAAATTTAGTAAAGAGTTACTTATATATTATTATTAATATTGAAATACTTCACAAATATATTAGAAACATCACACTCAATTTAGCTTTATTAGATTTATTTAATAATTAGATCTAGCTTCTATCATTATTTGCAAAAATATAACTTTTAACAAGCCTAATATAATATTTGTTGTAAAAAAGAATATATCCAAAACATTTCATTGTTTTTTTATATTGAAATATAATTAAATAAATAAATAGCAAAATTTTGTAATATAACAAATATTAATGTAGCCATTTTAATAGCTAATAAAATAAAATGATGATAGCTAAAATATACTGAATGTAGTACTATATTATTTTAAGTAAAATACTTTACATACTTCTCAAATAAGTATATAATTAAACACATAATGGAATAAAAATTGAAATTATTATTTAATTAGCAAATGAAATTTTAGAAAAGAATAGTAGATATAATTAGCGTTTACCTAATTTAAGATTTGCTAAAATATCCAATTAATAAACTAGTAGCAGTCTATTTTAATTATTATAGATTGATATAAAACCTTAATTCTTATTGAATTGAATGAGATAAACTAATAAGTAAAAATAACTTAAGTTAAGAATTTTCTTCAAAGTCCTGAAAACTTCATTGTAATTTATATCTTGTCCTATTAAATATATTATGATTTTGAGTTATCAGCATTACCTAATGAATATACATCTTGTCCTTGTTCCTGTGGCATAAATTGCATCATAAAACCAAATCTATAGTCACTTTTTAAGTAATCAATCATACCTGATATACCAAAACCTTGTACATCTTGACATTGCATAGATAACCTTCCTCCTGTATCAATCATACCCTGAATTCTAGCTGTTTTAAATAGATACTCATATCCAAGTTTTAGTGATGATTCATAATTTGGCCATGTACACTCTAACTCTGTTGCAAGAGATAAACGATCACTGACTTTTCTACAAAATGATGACTTTATTGAGTGACTATTAGATAACATGCCTTGAAGTGTAGAGAAATCAGGCTGTCTCGAGATCTGAGTAAAAATGGTATTTTTACCAATACGATAACGAGATCCTATTGCCATTATTGATGTACAATTTGCTGATATCCATGTTAGTTCCCCACCTAATTGTAATTTTGGTGTAATTACTTGAGAGTATGATCCATTTAATAATCCTGTACCATTATAGGCTGCTTTAATACATGCACTCCAATCAAATCCATTATATTCTAATGATAACTCACTCATATTTCTTTCCTCATGATTAATTGATGAACTTGACGAAAATTTGCAATCAATATTATTACCAAATCGTCGAGATAGACGAGTATTTACCATACCATCAGTTCCAATTCTTGATAGTACCATGGTTTTTCCATCTGCACTTTGGTAAGAAGGGCCAAACTGGTACATGTAGCCCTTATCTCTTATTGTACCTAGTAAAATGGTGTGAGAAGATTGTAAATTTCTTGTTACATTCTTCGCTATTTCAGCTCTAAAACCATCAAAGTTATCTTGTTGCAATACATTATGTACTTCCTTAGAAAAATGTTCATACTGAATACTTTGTTCAGGTAGTACCTCCACTTTTCCCATTATAGATTACTCAGCTAATTATTTCAAGTTTGAGACAAAAGAAAACCTCTTTAGAAAACTAGCAGACAACTTCAATCCTGTCTATAACTTTTAATTAGAACTCACTATAAGAATATGTTATAAAATTATCACTCTACACTTAAATGGTTGTGTATTCCTAATTTTAAAAGGTTAATTATTATAAGGCGCCACAGGTTCCATGATGTGTCTAGCGGGGTCTAACATTGATCAGCTCGATTCTATTATTGGACTAAAATTCTAGAAATCTATCTAGGTACAGTACATTTAATATTTTCCTTATCTATTGTAACTCTCATAGATAAATCTAATATCTAACTTTAACTCTCTTAGATAACCCTGATATCTAAAGTTATTACTAACATCACTACTATACTCTAAAATATTATTTTAAAGATTTAACTGAAAAATCTCTCATTTCTCTTATTAACAAATACATAAATCTCCATTACATTGTAAATTACGTAATTTATCACTAAGTAGTCCATGTCCAATAGACAAACCAATTAGTACAGATAAAAATAATCCGAAATTAAATGTCATTGCTATTAGCATTAATATATAGTGGAAGAAATAAGAAATAAAAGCCATAAATACTCTTAGTATATAAATCCTCTTACCTAAGCATCTTTGTCTAGACTCAATTTCCTCTTTAACCACAGAAACATAGACTGCTAAGAATCCAATTAGAATTATTACTAGGCACGATAGCAAGTATGTAGCTAAATTGTATGTTTTCCATTGATCAAATAATATTAATGCATTGTAATTTTGGTAAAAAGTCATGTGCATCATTGTGGATTCCTCAGTACAACAATTTGTCATAAGTTAACTTTTACTGTATTTATTAATTCAATCTTGTCAGCAATAATAGGGATAACAATAGTAATGAATATTTTAATTTTCTAATTAAATTAAATTAATATTAAATTAAATCAATATTAAATTAAACCAAATTATATTTTTGAACTTTAAGTGATTATTTTAATAACTCGAAAGACAGTAACTGAGTACTTCATTCCTACTTTATTTGCAGGCTGTTATATATATATATATTAAATATTATATTATCTATATAATAACCAATCTAATATTTACTATTTTCTTTTTATATATTTGAAGCTATATATTATTAATCTTATTTAATATAATCAGCTGATTTGCTACCTAAACACTTTGTTTCTATTATAAACTTGTGTAAATCACTAACATTAGAATATTTGTTTTTCGGAATTTCATTCATCTCTGCCAACTCATTCAAAAATTCCCATGGAATACAATCTTTATTTTTTCTGTCTATAGTATAATGTAAATTTTTCCATTTTATATTATCATTTTGAATGTTTTCTGGAATATCAATTGTCATATATTCAGATTTTTTTTCAGGTCTTGGTGGAATATCTTCTAATTGCTTCATTTTACTTATAAATACTTTATCACGATATTTTCTGTTATTATCAAGATATTTATCCCATGTATCACTAATTACTTTGAAATCCTCATTGGTCTTTGCATTACTGTGTAGATTGACTATAAAATCTTTATCCCACATTAAATTCGATAAAAGTTTTGGATTGTCTTCAAGATCATCATTATAATCAATATTATTATTTGAAGGCTGATGAGTTTTAATATCACCAAAACCTTTAATGGAGATTGATGATGGATTAGGTGGATATTTAACCCATGGACTCTCTTCAACTTGATTAAGCCATTCAGATGGTAACATTGGATCTCGAGGTGGTGGTGATGATGGTGATAATGATGTACTACATAATTTATTATTATTAAAAGTATTTAATTTGGTTAACTTTGTCTTATTCTTTATATTAGTACTTTGTGTTGGTGGCACTAAAGTAGAGTATGTCACTGAAACGCTTGAAGGACAGCTGATCCAGCTATTTTCATCAATTAAATTAGGTTTTTCTTCTCTATTATTATCTTTTGTTTTATTTAAATAAGATCCTTCTGCAAACCAAAATGCTGGTGAAGATGGATCTGATGGTATTAAGCATGAATAATTACTATACCTTCTTTTTATGCAAAATCTACCCTCTATATTTGATGATTGATTGAATGATTGATCACTATCACTTTTAGTTGATTGTTCCCTTTCTTGGCTATTTGATAAATAAATTTTACTATTCTTGAGATTCTTATCAATAGATTTTTTACTTTCAAGACCTTCATAAACATGTAAAGACTCACTTCGAAGATTTTTATATAAATCTTGCCTTCTAATTTGCTTTTTTACAAGTTGTAAATATTTTTTTTCCAATTCATTTAATATTTTATAGTAGCTCTTTTGAGCTGATTTTATAGATTTTTGTCTATTTACAAGAGTATCATGCAAAGATTTTGTATATTCCTGCCTCTCCTGTTCAAATACACAAGTTCTACTTTTAATTTGATTAAACTTTTCACTTAGAGTATTGTGAATTCTTTTATAAAACACTCTATCTTTTTTTTGACGTAATCTTATTTGCTCTGGATCTTCAATTTCAAATGACACTGGCAAACTATCAATACCACCTTGTTGTAGACATGAATATGTTGCAAACATCTTTTGTTGATAATCAGTTATCTCTTTTAATTCTGCTTCAAGTTTCAACTCATCAACTTTTAATTTTTCATAATAATCCTTACCTGAACTACAATGTAATCTTAAGGATTCTGATAATTCATCAAGTATTTCTTGATGATATGTTAATTTCATTGCTGCATTCTTTAAAGTATTGTATTTGTAATTCTCTAATTCACTTTTCAAAAGTGTATCATTAATTATTATACTATCATCAATATTTCCATAATCTAATCTATTCAATATATTTTTTAATTCATTCACATTATAATATGGTGGAAATGGCATTAAATTTGGTATATTTGTTTTAAAATCAATCCCAGTTTTTTTCATTTCAGCTAAACGTTTTAACAACAAAGCGAGCGTATATGTTGGTTTGACATCTATTGAACGATGATCAAATGGTAATAATGAAAAAAGATAAGATTTTTTGCATTTATCTTCTTTAATATCATCTATCTCAGAGCTTTCCTCTACTTTTTTTTTTGGGTGAAATATTGGAGTTTTGATATCTCTACCATTTAGCTTTACTCTTATTTCCTTAAAATCCTCTAAATTGCATATAGGAACAGAATAATATACTTTATAAGTACCATTTCTAAGATCAATTATTTGTTGGATCTTTATTCCACCTATTCCTTTAATATCAAATTTATCACCACCATGTTTAACAGGGTTCCCCATTCTATCCACAGCATGTATCTCAAATAAATTAAGTGTTCCATCTGTTGAATAATATTCAAGCCCTTCTCCACTAGCCCAACTTGTCTCCGCACATGTTTCACCTGGTGACACTTCAACTATATAAGGTGAACCTCCTATTGGGTCTTTCCCATTTCTTGCTAATATATCAATTCTATGTGGAACAGCTTTCTTACATATAAATGATGTTATATATGACCCATCCTTATTATCTATAATATTCCCATAGAAAGATTCACTACTATCCTCTAATTCTAGTGATATAATTGGGTAAGCATGATTATCATCAATTTCTCTCTGTTTATATGGAGTTATTATTACTTTGAATAAATGTCCACCAAAAAGAATTCTTTTTGCAATTCTTAGTAAATGAATTTATTGATATCTGAGTTATTTCTCCAGCAGTAGCTTTATATAATCCAATTCCCATTGCTCTACAGTTTAATGCAAATTCTACTGTTGTTGCTCCTGTTGCTTGTCTCAAAACATCTTGAATATTCATATCATATTTATTTGATGCAAGTTTACTAGTATTCAAATCTATATTATACTGATTCATATGACTATAACTATATGGAATATACATTAAATCATTACCTTTATCTAATATCACTTCTAGATCCACTTTTTCTAATAAAGGTATACTATTTTTTTGGCTAACTTTGTCCTGCTTATCATCACTTTTAACTTGATGAGTTATTTCTGGTGAAGATATTCCCGTCTTATCTGAATTTAATAATAAATATGTCGGTAAAATCTCCATATTTAAGGTTTTGGGTTTTAATTCCTCAATTTGTCCAGAGGATCTTATCTCATTATTTCCTTTATATATCCCCAGTGGAAGGGGTGAATTAATCTCATTCATAACATTTAAATTTAATGGGACAAACTTATAAGGGTTCAATTCTAATTGGGAATTCCCATTATGAGATTTTCTAGGTGAACCTATCATTATTTAACTTTTATTGCATTATAGTTGTTTACTCCTCTTAGTCATTTCTGAACTCCATTATCCACATAAGACTCAGACTGCACTGAGTGGACAATTAAGTTCAATTCAGATTAGAATAAGAGATTTTATATTAACCAATTACAATTTTTCATATTTATAAGCAACTAATCTTATATTGAAGAGACAGTACGAGTCAATGTAATGTAATTAGGTCCAAATTTAGATCTGAGATGTGACTATCTTTATTCATATATTTAAAGTATACTCCATATATATGCACTAATACATACTTTAATTACCTAAAATTTAGGGATATAATGGCTTTAAAAAGGGAAAATTATAGGTTTGGGTACCTCTAAAAACTACAGGCTGAAGCTCTGGAGGTATTTGAATATTGGGCATATTTGGAGCAAAGCAGCACCAAGTAACCTGTCTTTTATTATTAAGTATATGTTTATATGTCCCTTCTAATTTTTCTGGTTGATTAAAATTTCCAGAAGGATTCATATATATCGTGTCATTTTCGATATACTCAATTTGATCTTTGCATGGGTTCTTAGATTCTTGTTTATAGGTATTGTATACTGTAGAATTATTTAAGAAATGATCCTTATCTCGATTAATAATCTGATTAAATTGATCCACTTGATTTGAAATATCTTTTTCTATTATCTCCAAATCTTTTTTACTATCTTCACTATTATAATGTGATCTCATATTACTAGTTAACTTGTTCTGTTGTCTGTTAGATACATCTGAGCTACTTGAATATTTTAAGTTATTTGGATTGCAAAAAGGACTATTGTGATTATTTATATAAGATTTATCAGTTGTATTATCAGAAATTCTTGTTTTTAGGTTCTTATTGAACGATTTAAGACTTTTTCTGGGTAAATCAAAAATTATATCCCAACTACGACCATTTAATTTGATTTTTTCATTAGAACCTGCTCCTGACTCATATATTTGCAACAAAGATTTATCAGTATTGACAGCTGTTTCAGATATACCATTAAAATTAACTGCAGCATCACGGTAGTGACATCTACACATAGTTCTAGATAGATACTGACAACAAGGACAGCTTTCTGGTTCACAAATTGCAAGACCTGACTTTGATACATCACAATGATTGGAATTAGGTGTATGAGGTTCATATTCACTAATATCATCTGAATCTGGTATATCTAATACTTTTGATTTAGGTTCTTGAAATACATTATAATTTATATCTGAATCAAATGAAGGAGCATATATATCAATTTGAGGAAATCCACCAGATGCAGGAATAAAGTCATGAATAAAACTATGGCTCTTTTTCTTTAAGCTACTTGTTCTATCAATTTTAGTTTCTGATTTATCCACTAAATTAATTGACTTGTTTGATATAAGTCGATTTGGTTGAACAACTTCAGAAAATTTAGATTTTCTCACCTTACTTTTTCCTATTAACCCTGAATTCGTTAAAGAAAGTATATCCTTTAACTTATCTGACTTATCAAATTCTTTACTTGAATTAAAGCTTTTTAATGATCTATTTGATTGACCAAAATTATATAAATTATTTTTCTGATTCCCTTCAGTATCCAACAGCTCTTTGTTTTGATCACAATCTTCTAGAGAATTGCTTGCGAAAGAGGTATTTTGATTTGTAACTTCAGATTTATTACTTTTGATGCTAGTCATTTTCAATGGTATACTATTTATATATTGATCTTGTTCTATTGTATTTTCGAAGTTTACAGTTCTATTATTAACAGCTTCATCAGGCAAACTATTAGTTTCTATGATCTTTTTACTAACTTGCCTGTTTTGTAACATATTATTCTCACTTGATAATGTATTACTGAGATTCTTTTCTGGTGTACTAGATAATTTTGTCCACTGTTGATTTTCTTTCTTATTATTATTGCCAGTAAAGACTGGAACTGAACTGACAGAATTATCTGGATCAAAATTGTTTTTTGTGTTAAAATAGATACTTTTAAGGCTACTACCTGTTTTCATTTTACTCAAACTTCGATTATTATTTTCATAAAGGCTTATATTTGTTGTATTATTTTGGTTATTTCTTAAATCTGATGACAAATCATAAAGTAATAAACCTTCATTATTTGTCGGGTCTTCAATATTTTGATTGATAAACCATTTATTTTCAGATCTATTTTCATCCAATAATTTAATTGATTCTGAGCTCATCAAGTGTTCATTGTATAATCTCAAAATATCGAAATCATTCCCACTTATAAGTATCCTTAATAGTCCAGATCCTGATATTGTTTTATTCATATAAGCTAGTTGACGTATAATTTTTGTATTTCTACCACTACTTTCACTTATCCATAGTCCTTTTCCAGCTGCAATAATCATTTTTTCATTTGATTGTTTTGGTGAAAATTTGCTAATCTTCCTTCTATAAATCTCAACAATCTGCGATTCATTTATTGGCTTCTTATAAGTCTCTTTTTGAGGATATAGTGGAAATTTCATAACATTCCCTATAATGTCAATAAACTGAATTATATCAAAGATAGAATGTGGAGAAACTGTTGAATTTGCATCATATTGTGCCATTGTTCTTCTGATACAACATTTTTGATCCTTTGGAGTAGGTGATAATGTTCCAAACACAAATAAACGAGAATTTAGTAGACATGAAGCCAAGTACTTACTGATATTGGTAACCTCAATATGATTACTTTTTTCATTTGTATAAAAGAATTTTGACATCTCTGAGGCAAGATCAATTAGTCCATGTAATGGAACATTTAATGTTGAAGTGATACTCCTACATGCAGGAATCTCAAAGAATCTTATTGATCCACAGTAAACATTTAAAAAACCTGTTAACTGCTCATTATCTTTCAAACTTTGTTCAAGTTCACTCTTTTCTACAGATTCAACTGTTAAACTTATAACCAGACCAGAAAGATTTAAATCTTTTACCCATACTTTTCCGTAATTACTGAAGAGATTTTCTAGTGCCTCTTTCTTTATAGTAATATCTCGGTTATTTATTTCACTATTCTGTTGATATCTAATTGCATTCATCACTTTTTTTTTTGAAACTGCCTCCAAAATTGCTCCTACCAATTTTTCTTCACTCTCAAACAAGTGGTCAGGATTACCCTTTATAGTATACCCTAAATTACCATTAGTACATCTTGTTAACTGTAGTGGATTTTCTGGTTCAATTAAATCTCTAACTATCCCAACACTTACTCCAGTATCTTCACTAATTTCTAGTACAGAAGCCTTTACTACAAATAATTTTTGATAACTTCCTTCAATATTTACTTTCTCAACTTCAGAGTTTATTTTAATTCCATTAATATAGCATCTAATACCCGAAAATATATCATAAACAGCCTGCAAAACTATCCCAATACTTCTTTGCGTTCCAACTAACAAATGAGTCTTTCCAGTTTTGTGTGGTCCACACACTATTACATTTGTAGAAATTCCCTCTAGAGTTCTTAAAACAGATTGTTGAATCCCACTTTTCATATATATATCTGTGTTACAAGTAGATTCCTTATATATAGCCCCACTTACTGTACAAGTACGACCTCTAAATGTCTCTTTTTTAACAACACGCAATGTCTTCATGTTTGGCTGAATCATAAAATCCCATAATCTTTCACTTTTATCCTTTTTCCCTGGGCAAAAGCGAATAAATGTCCTAGGATTAAATTCTCCTATCATATTTTCATTGCTTTGAGGAAGTATTTTTTAGAGATTCTATTCCTTCATATGTACTCCTTATCAGCTACTTTTCTAAACTATCTATGCAAGACGCGACGTCAGGTATTGCAATAAACAGCATAAGATTATCTCACACATAATTCATTAAGTCTAACACTAAGCTCATTTGTAGTCACCCTTTCAAATTATTTTTTATATGACTAACTATATCCACTAGGTTAATTTAATTGTTATACCTCTTCTATAGACCAATTTCTTTCATGTTTACAAAAATATCAAATATTTTTCTTAGATATAAAAAAAAAATTATATAATAATTTGTATATCTTAATAAATACTATATAACAGCTATAATATTTTGTTTTTAGGAAAATCAAAATAAAGGAATAAATCCCCTACTTTATATATTACCTCACAATTGATTGCATGTAATAATGCATGTAAATGCCGGTATAGAAGAAATTAACTGTGATATACATGTAACTTTTTCATTCACGCTTATTCTAGCAAATAGATATAGAAGTAAAGTAAAATTTAAGATGAAATACTTAACTTCTGTAGACATTCAGCAAAAAGTCAACGAAACAGGATTTGATTGGAGAACTGTAAGTTCTATTTTTTCTAAAGTAAATTAATGTAATGCTAATCCATTATAATATCCAGGGTGTTGAAGTTATTGAAACTCTAGTTGGAGCTATAAAGTATAGTATTAATAAAATCAGAGTATTACAAGATGATTCAGAAAGGAAATTTATACTTGAAGGTTCTGCAAAAGATAATGACTCTGGAATAGTTATAATTCCAAACTCAGAAGAAACTATACAAAATAGTGACTCTAAAGTAATTTTAGAGTATACTGAAAATATAAAAGAGGTTTATAAAGATAATGATATTGTTATTTTTGAAGATATCTATAAAACTCTAAACGAGAGCAACTATATTAATGAAACTCCAGTTCAGACACCTCTTCCATCACCAATGTAAGTAACAAAGTTTATAATAAAGGAAATATTAATATGTAAGTAATTACTATAGACTATGTGATAAAATTGGAAATATTATATGTTTATCACAGAAATCTGTGAGTGTAAATACATCATCAAGTGCTACATATTTAAGTAAAAGTCTTGCCTTAAAAAAGCGAAAGTTAATTGTTCCACCTGTAGCTCGTGCAAGAAGATGTAAGAACAGCATATTAAGCAAACATGAAGGCCTAAAATCATTTGATCTTGTTTCTCCGAAAAGGAAGCTAAAGCTTAGGGATGGAGATGTATCTCGAGAATATCCTGTTTTTCGAGATGAAGACCTTGGTAAGGTTCTATATTTTTTCAAATTTAAGGAAATAAATCTAGTTTTTCTTTATTAAATAGGTGTTTCAGATAATACTGATGAGATATTGGCAGTATCAGAAAATATTCATAAACAGGATGATGATAGACAGACTACTAGCGAAATTCAAGAGTGGGCAATCGGGCTTGTCCGCCGATACTTGGGTGAAACTACAAAATTAGTTAAAGAAGAGGTATGTCTACAGATATTAGTAAAATATATGTATTATATCCATAATATTAACAATTGTGTTAGATCTCGTCAAAATCAAATAGCAAATTACAACGTGTTAGAGCTCTTCGTCAAAGATTTGGTTTCTCAACAAAGACAAAATAGTGGGTATAAAAGTTACATGCTCAAATTAATCTAAATATAAAATATAATATAATTAAAGTCCAGAATTACTATATTGTAATAATTATATTTAATAATCTACAAAAATTTACTTTTTATTCAGCTGTTGATAGTATAAATTTGAATGAATCTAACATTTTTTTTTTGGCGCAACTGACGGTTTTCCAAATTTTTACACTAATAAGGAAATATAAAGATACTATAATAATTCACACAAGATGAATATAATAAAACGAATATGGAAAGTACTTAGAACTCCTGGACCAACTTTGTATGATGTCTTACCGTTAATTATTTTAGCAGTGTATACAGATCCATTAGCTATATTTTGTCAGAGTAAAAAAGATATAGAAAAGAAAAAACTCCCAAGGATTTCAATTTTTATATATAATTTGTCTTTATGGATACTAGTCTTATTAGTTTTTATATTAATTCTATTTGTTGGTGGAATAGCTATTGGTCAAATAACCATTCCACCTATTTATATTGGTGAGTTGTATGGAATGCCACTAATAACACAATTTTTTACAATATCACCTGATGGTACCTTTTTAGCATCTATGAAAGTATTTATTAATAATAAAAGTTCATTTAATGGAAGGCTAATTATTCAAAATATTAATATCAGTCCAGTTTTACAAAATTTTTTCTGTACTCCTGCATCAGCTAATAACGACTTCATGCTATCTTTACCATATGTCAAATCTCATCCAAATTTTGGTGGTTTTGTATTCCCTTCAAATCTACATTATAAACCCATAAATGACACGACAATTAAAGTGTCATCAATATTATTAAAATCTCATAATGTAAATTTTCAACGTGTTAAAATTGAACTTGGCAAATATGGAGTTGCAGAAGAATTACAAGGTATATGGTTACCTTCAGGAGTAACACAGTATAATTTACTATTAAAAGGTTCAACCAATTTATTAAGTAATAGTAGCTTTAAAGATGAAATTGGATCTCGTGGCTGCTTACAAAGTAACACTTCAAATTTAATCACCCATATTAGTCTAGATTATTCGGTGAGATATTTCCTTGGCTCAAGAACAGTTATAAAACAAGATATAGGTTACATTGCATTTCCAGCATGCTATTTATAAAAAAAAGAGAAAACCAGAATACAAAATAAAGTAATTAAAATACTATCAACTATATTTCGTTAAATATTCACAAATCATGGACTGAATGTAAAAGACATTAATTTCTCTTAAAAATTCCAAATCCAGAAGTAGCCTTTGAAATCATTCTATTTACTATTCCCTCTTTTTTGTACCTTGAAGATAAGTTAGGTGGGGTAATATAGTCTGCAGCAATATCAAACATTATTGGCTTAACAGGGATTGGAATATAAGAAGGTCTTAATATATCATACTTTAGATCCTCAGTATTACTATAAATTTGACTTGAATCTTTATTTTGATATTTTACTATATAGGCACGGTAAACACTACAGTTTACTGGAATCATTTGACTTATAACATCATGTAAATGCTTGTATAAACTTATAACTCTCGAAATATATCCATCATGATCCCACTCAATAACTTCTAATTTAAAAATTGTGCTGTCAGAACGAGATTTTACTAAGTCAGATAGTAAGTATGCTTCATGAAATTTCCCTAATAAGCCATAAATATGTGATAACAATAGGCAACGACAATTATCTACAATATGATTTAACTTCTCAACTAACATAGTTACTTCCTTTCTCTTAAACAATTCTTCTCCAACTGACTTTATTTCAGAAATAGTCATTTTTAGAAAATCACATAGTCTAATACCTTCCTCTGGGTATCTAATTTCTGTATCCTTATTTGAATTCAAAGCCTTTGGTATTATCCCTTGATTAATTATATTAATTAGTAAAAAGTCTGGACTATTAAAGTAGGATAATAATCGGTATAAAAGTACTAAATCACGTTCAGTTGTTATAAATATCTGAAAAGTGCGTATATATCCTTCTAAAGCACTCCACTCTTCAGAATTCAAACTATTTAGGGGAGAAACACCATTCTTTACAGTTAAATTAGTTATTTCTTCATGTATCATAGAATTAATTGTTGAGACATCCATCAAAACATCTGAATAAGCTTCAATGATTGAATTAGTTGAAATGCTAAGTAAAGTATCCTCTTCAGTTGATAAAATCTTCTTAGTTTGATTGTAACATTCATGCAGTTCCATAATATACATCTCAGCCCGTGGAAAAATTAATGGATATTCAGATCCATTGAAAAATATCTTCATCCCCATATTATTAGTCAAATGACTCTCTATCTCTATTTTAGGGTTATCATCCAAATTCTCCATACTCTCAATATCTATACCTAGACGATTACAATGATATAAACATAATCTAATAAGTGGTTCAAGTTCTTCAATATGATCATCATATATCTTTAAATAATCATTCTTTGACATAGAATCAATATTATATAAAGGTAATATTTTATTCATATCTATGGAAGATGCATTTAAATCCAACTTCAGTTGTTGGTATAACTTTTTACAATTAATCAAGGATACAGCTCCTTTTACCCAATCTGAACACTGTATGTAATAATTACCCATTAAATTATTTCTATATGCTTGAACCTCAACTATACTTCTTGCTGTACACTTCTCTTCACTTACTTTCAATAATAAATCGCTGTATTTACATGATTTCCTCAATCTCCTAATAATATGATATCTACTTCTAATCTCATTAGAAGAGAGATTATTTCTATCTTTATGTGATGTACTAATTTCATTACTAATTCCATTACTAATTTCATTACTATAGCTCCAATTTCTCTCAATTAAACTTATAAGTATCAATAAGTGTCTTGGATTCTTCACATCATCTATTTCAATAGGTCTACTTTGAAATTTATTACGTCCACAAGTCATTCTTAAGCATGACCTCAAATGATGCAAACGACGAGTACAATAACGGCGATATCTACTATAATCTTTATGGCGTAATCCATTTTGCTTTCTAAGAGTTTTCACAATAATTAAGAGGGGTAAATCAAAGGGAACCACTTCATAGGTTATATTATTTAGGTTATTATCAATATTAACATCTCCATGGATTGTATCTTCAATTTCCATATCTTCTAATAATACTCAATTATTAATAAAATAATCTTAACAATTTTAAGTATCCTAATATCTCAAAGAAAGCTGTCTTGCAGTTATAAAAGCTCTATACCGGGTATCTTATTGCCGGTATAACAAAACCACGTAATAGCGCAAGGTTATTTTAAGTGTCTTTATAAAACTCATTTAAAAATTAAATATTCCCAATATATTCAAGTACTGTAGATTATTATCACTTCCAAAATACTTATAATTAATTGTACAAATGATCTTAAAGTATATATTCACTTAGAGAAATATATGAAAACCATAAGCTACACAATAAAGGACTTATTTTTAAATTGTACTATTAAATGAATTTCTAGATCTTCTATTTTTTTCCTAGTCAGTTATTAAAGTATCTAACTTTATATTTGTTTAAATATACATCTAATCTTGTCTAAGGGGAAAACTACTTATTGATATTCCTGAAGCATCAATTACTACTACTTGTGCAGAATCGCCAGTGTATACATCTCTCTCACTAGCACTTGTAATTGCATCCTTCAATAAATCAATCATATCTACCTTATTAGTTAGAATCTTTGGATATAATTGATTATTACCAGATATCTGATTATCTAATATTGAACTTATTAAATGAGATCCGGTTCCATTTGCAAAATATTTGCCTGATTGAAAGCTTCCAACAGCATCATATCCATAAGCAACACCATTACCATATTCATCTAGTCCAGCTATAGCACAATAACAATAATAAGGGAAAAATCTTTTAGAATATAATACTGTTGATAATAATTGAGCAACAGCACCAATAGAAGGACTCTTCTTATGTTCAAACTCGTATATCTTTACTCTTGCCTAAATAAATAAGATATTCAGAAGTAGTTATTAATATATATCAGGTATTTGAACTTACACGTATGAGTTTCTGTAGAGCAGTTATATCTGCAAACATTCCACTACAACTTAAAACACATTTAGCAGTTCTGATACAATAAAAATATATATCAATGTGATAAGATTATAAAAATAAAAATTAGATTTACAAAACATTCTTTATTAGATCTCTAATAATAATATAAAATATCACAAATAGTAAAACTCACATTTCAAATACTCGTGTTACACTTCTAGATGCAATTCGATAACCTTGAGATAATCTAGTATCCGAAACAATAACTGCAAAATCACTTCCAGCTAGTGCTATACAACTTCCACCATTATCCGTATATGGATTAAATTCTCCAAATGACTTCGGATTTACAGTACACTTATTGTTAGGTTGATCATTATAAAAGCCATTCACATCAATTCCATTATGAATAGTGTTCATACCCTCCATTAGTATTATCTTGATATCTGTGTATTATAATATTAAATATTTTTTCAGTTATTCCTATATTTATCCTATAAATTTTTGTGCTTTAAAGGTTCCTTTTTCTTATTAGTGGGGGGGGGGGGGTATAGATCCCTAGCTAATTTTATTTTTTCTAATTCGGCGCTCTCATTTGTCACTCAACTATAAAATTACACTTTTTTTAGCTAGAAAAGAGCTAAAAGTTATAGGGAAAATATAATATTCAGATATAGAAGTCATTACAAGAGGAATATATACTTAGAATACAAATCCTTCTACTTATTAATTTCTATAACAAAACTTGCTTATGGGCATCTCTTCAATGTTATTGAAGAACCAAATTCCTGATAATCCTAATAAAATAGAAAAAAAGAGAATATAAAATTACAATAAATACACAATTAACATTAATAATATCTGGTGACTTACCTTTCTACTAATTGCTAATTGAGGAAATGTACCAAGTGAAGAAAGGATTGAGGCTCCAATCCATGCAGCTGATTGTCTTTCTATAGATCTAGGAGAGGCAATGATCTTAGGAAGTAATCCATCCTAAATAATTAAAAACAATTGTAAACATTTATATAAATTTATTGAATATTTACTACTAACCTCCTGTATAAATGCTGTATATTTATGATCTGCAAGTGCTTGAAAAAGCTTTGAATCAAAACCATTCAATAAACTGGTACCGCCTGTTAAAATTAGAGAACTTGTTACATTACTAGTATCTTTTGTATTTTGTACTAAATCAGAAATAGAATTTGCAATCATCTGAACAATTCCAGGATAACCATAATTAGAATTATTTGGTTTAAATATTATATTAGGGATACTTGTTCTAATAGATGATATGTCAATTATATTGCCATCAGGTAAAGTAAAAGTAGATGTATTACTATCACTCAAATTAAAACAACAGCTTGTATGTTTAATTTCTCTAATAGCATATGAAATACTCCAATCTAGATAACTTTCATCAATATTTAATAAAGGTATCAAATATGGCTTATCTTCTTTATCCCTAATTACACCATATTCAGGTATAATATAATTTGATTTATGTAATTTCTTCAGGATTTCACTATCTAAAAAATCACCTGCTATTGGATACTCTTGTATAGTTGATGGAAAACAGTAACCATCTTGAACACAACAAACATTACTATTTGAAGCTCCAATATCTACACAAATACCTGATGTCTTACCACATGCATAACATGACAAGACAGGTCTTTTACAAGTAAAGAACATACTACTTTCTAATTGTTCAAATGCTATTTCAGTCATTTTAGTTAAAAATGAATTCTCACTATTTGAAGGAACTGGTAAAATTAGTGGATTATTTGTTATTTTATCATCTAAAGTTCCATATTGAAAGACTGAGCATGCACTATAAGAACTTTTATTAGAATTACTAATAGGTTTGCAGGGAAAAAAAGCCTCCTGTATCATTTTAATAAGATAATCCTCATTCATTTTAATGTTTCTATTTTCTGGATCATACTCATAAGGGCTTAAAATTTCAATGTTATCACGTTTTTCCCATGGTCTTAAAGGAAATAAAATATTGTTCATTCTATCTAAATCTATATTCTCTGATTTTTGACTAGGTATACCAATTTTACAAGGAAGGATACTTCTAGGTAAATCTTCACCACCATACCCAATTTTAATTAAATATGTTCCAATATCAAGAACTACACATGATATAGAATTAGTAGTTGTAGGATTAGCTGTAACTGGAATATTTGCAGTATTTTCTAAGAAAAAAATTAATCATTAGTCATTTTATATTTAAAATATATTTATATTGTACATTTCTTATAGGATCTATTACATATACTTAGATACAAGTTACAATTCAAAAGTATTATATTAGGCCCTATTTATAAGTATCGAAATATTTATGTCCATATATTAGCTGCAAACTTACCAGAATTCATTTGAATACATAAATAAAGGTTATTTTAAAAATTATTCAGCTCAAATTAATAATATAGTATTAGATTATAGACAAAAAAAGTTATACATTATAAGCTACATAAAGAAAAAAAAATTAGCGCTAATAATGGAGTCTATTTAGCCTTATTTTTTTAAGGTACCATGTTATACTAATATTAAAAACTGACAAATGCAAACATCAGAGTCTATAGTGAGGTGTGAAAAACGTATTTTAACAACTCAAGATTTAGAATTCTTCTTGAGAAGCAGGATATATGCAGAAATTGTGAAGTTTATTGAAGACCTTAGTAAAAGTATTGTAGGTAAGGAGCTTGTAAACTACAAAGATGTCCGAGACAAGGATAAAAATCACAACAAAGTTATTTATGGTATTTTAGACCTATTGGATTTTTGTGAAATATTAATTGATGAAACTCCTCCTATTCAACAACCTATGAGGTTTGGCAATAAGGCATTTCAAATGTGGTACGACAAATTTAAGCAAGAATGTCCTAAATACTTAGAAAGTAAAGTTGTCCCAGAAAAATATCATAATTTAGTCTGTGAAGTATCCATCTATATTACTGAATCATTTGGAAATCGTACAAGAGTAGATTATGGCACAGGACATGAATTAAATTTTATATTATTCTTATATTCTCTAGTTAAACTTGAGATTATTCAAACAGATGATTATTCAGATCTAGTATTAGTAGTATTTTATCGCTATTTATTAATTATGAGGAGATTACAGATGGTATATTTACTAGAACCGGCTGGTTCTAGAGGAGTATGGGGACTTGATGATTATCATTTCCTACCTTTTTTATTTGGATCTGCACAGTTAATGAACCCTTTAAACAAAGAAAAAGAATGTAGTGATAATAAAAGTATAAATAAAGATTTTATATTACCTGGTATGGTCCTTGATAGTGCTATTATATCCCCATACAGTGATAAATATCTGTATTTAAATGCAATACAATATATCCTCCAAATGAAATCCAATGTACATTTTGGTGAATGTTCACCAGTTTTATATAGTCTAACATCTATACCAACATGGAATAAAATATATATTGGCATGTTAAAGATGTATAAAGCCGAAATTCTTAACAAATTACCTGTAGTCCAACATATTGTATTTAGTAATATCATTAAATTTTCCTAATAGGATCAGATTTAATACATTTCATTTAGTTTGTGTTTATATAAATTGTGTTGTATAAATTATTTAAAGAGAAAAAAGATCTACTTATTATAAAAAAAAAAAGTTATATATAAGTACAATTGTAATATATAATCAACCACACCACAAATATTAGTAGTAGTCTAGATAGCCAAGGATTAACAGTAACACAAACACATGACTTTATATATATATATATGTCAAGATCCGATTATATCTTGATTTAAGCTCATATATCTGGATCTTGTAAGATTTTGGCATAGATAGTAGCAGCATAGAAAGTGATGTACTGAAAAGTAGTCCCCCCTCCATTATATCTAAAATAGCCAATCAATTATAATACTATTCTTACTCTCATTATCATTTATCATCCTTCTGTTGGAAAGCCACATGGCATAGGTATATTTTCTGGATTTGGAGACCTCATATACATTGGAAGAGCAAAATTTGTAGGATTGCCTGCAGCCAAAGGTTTACTTGAATTCTTATCAAATGTATTATAGCTATTCATATTATATGTAGCTTTCCCTTTCCTCAATGGAGTCGTAAAGCATGAAAAATTATTAGAATTCCCTCCACCTATTACCTTTATATCACATGTAAGACAATTATCTGCTAGTTCACTTTGTTTGTTTCGAATTTGCGATTTAGCATTACTAACAATTTCGTTCTTCTTACCATTATGAAGGAGTTTTAGTAAAAATGCCCCCGCATCTTCTGTAGATAAAGTGCCATTTTTCTTCATTTTATTCATAGACATACATGAAGAGTCTGATGAAGAGTTTTCATAATTACTTACTGATGTTTTAGAAGCCATTACGTGTTCCAATCTTAATATCAATAGTATATTACTTGATTCTTTGACCAAAAATTGACTTAAAGTGTACAATATTATCTCTCTATAGTATAAAGATATCTAAGATTTTATTAACTAGTAAGCTTTCCGAATAAAAATAAAAAATAAAAAAAAAAGAACACACACAAAAAATGAATTTCAGTTTTCTCGCCTTGGATTCTGAACTTAATTCTTTAGAGTAAAATCTCTCCTATTATATATTTCCCTTTGCCAAATATTATTGCCTTTGAGCTTCTTCTTTCTTATGGCATACTTTAAATTTACCATAAAAATATTCAAGTAGAATTCTCCTAACAACAAAAACAGAGGAATAAACTTCCAGGATGAGAACTTTTTATCCGTCTATAGGCGGGCTTTTGCCATTGGACCAAAATATAATAAATAGGCATTTATGAGTGTTACAAAATATATTCAATTTTAAAGGAATCACAAAGGAAATATAGGCAGGTAGTCAGAACACTTTATTTTATGCAATATTCAATGTCTATTATTCTTAATTGACTTAGGGATGTGAAGGGGATTAATGTGGGCAAAATGACATGATATATAGAATGGTGGGAAAACGAGCATATACAATGTCCACATTAGAAAGTAATTTTTAATAGATGACTAGGAGTGATATGTATAGATATTATCTTCTTCTAAATTTCGTATTAAAACTTTTTTTCTCATAATATAGATCTCTGATAATATTATTCATTTAATATATAATGGTGGTGGTAGGGAGGGAAGTATTTCAATATATAGAATTCTTTAATTGGTACTAAAAAAATTTTCAAATTGCACTAAAGTTTAACATCGTAGGAAGATGAATATTTTCCAAAATTAGTTTATTATATCCATTGATATTTTAACAATAGGATAGTGTGGCGCCCTTATTGGGATTAACCTTAGACAAGGTAGTAATACTAATGGTGTTGATATGATGCAGAAAACAGGAGAGAAGAACGAGGCTAAGAAGCAATTGAGCACTAACAATCCTTTAGGAAAAACTGAGAGAGGGCTGGGGTTATCTTTAGAGGAAATAACCAATTTAATCCCAGCACTACGTAGTGATTTTCCAGTAAATGTAGGTGAAATTAAAGCACTAAAAGCAGAAGATTTAGATAATATTAATAGAAGAAGACATCTAGAGAGCTATTGTCGAAGTTTTGCAGAATGGACTAATTATGAGAAGAAGCAGATGATTAATCAGAATTGTTTAGGTAATGATGCTTTAAGCTTATTTGTTAAGGATTTAATTTTGTTGTCCCCAAAGGATAAAGTTGAGTATAATAATGTAATAAATATTTTAAGGCGTAAATATAAAATAGCACCTTCTAAGTCTCAAATAATTCATATTTATGAACAAATTTCAAAACAGGATAATAGCTTTGATGAATTATGTACAAACCTATTAGAAGATGATGAATTAACTAAGCAGAATATAGATAATTATGATTATATGATAGACGATATAAATAACAATTTATCTAATTTAGGTATTGAGAAGAGTATTTTGTCAAAAAAGGCAGTTCGTAGTCAATCTGGTGTAGTTGTAATAACTATATTGACATCACCAGGTGCTTTTTCATGTAAGCATGACTGTCACTATTGTCCGAATGAACCTGGGCAACCTAGAAGTTATTTATCAACAGAACCTGCAGTATTAAGAGCAAATCAAAATTCATTTGATGCAATTAAACAATTTAGAGATCGTTCAATAACATTAAAGAATAATGGTCATATCATTGATAAAATTGAGATTTTGGTTTTGGGTGGTACATGGAGTGGTTATCCTAGGGATTATCAGAGGAATTTCATCAGGGATATATATTATGCTGCAAATACATTTACAAATGGATTTCTTTATAATGATTCTGGTTTTAAATTTGATTTTAAAGATCGTGAGATTTTATCTTTACAAAAGGAGATTGAATTAAATGAAAATGCAGAATGTAGAATTATTGGTCTAACTTTAGAAACACGTCCAGATTATATTACAGTGGATGAAATTTCTCATTTAAGAGAGCTTGGGTGTACTAGAGTACAGCTAGGAATCCAACATACAGACAATATGGTTTTGAAATTAATTAATAGAGGATGCTATATGAAACAAGTAATAAAAGCTATTAGACTTCTTAAAGATACTGCTTATAAAGTTGATATTCATTTAATGCCTGATTTACCTAATCCTTATGATCATAAAAATATCAAAGATATGACTATTGAAGATAAGAAATATATTGATAATAAAAGAAATATACTTTTAGACTTGCAAATTGATATAGGGCAGAAATATGCACCAAGTTTAGGTGTTGTGAATGATTATATAATGTTATCAAATGTTTTAAGTAGTCCAATGCTTCAATGTGATCAATGGAAATTATACCCTTGTGAAGTTGTTCCATTTTCAAAGATAGAGGAATGGTATGAATCTAATATGTACATACCATATACAGAAATATATCCAGAATCTCTTTGCTATCTTTTATTAAGCTGCAAAGTTGGATTACATCCCTGGATTCGTATAAATCGTGTTATTAGAGATATTCCAAATCAAAGTATCATTGCTGGTAATAACTGTACAAATTTAAGACAGATATTAAGCGAGAAAATGAAAATGATGAGTTTAGTTTGTAGGTGTTTAAGGTGTAGAGAAATTAAGGATAAACATTTATATCAACAGGTGGAAAATATTAAAAGTGACAAGAGTTGGGAAGATTCTAGTAAAAATTCTCAAACTAAAAAGAAACTTAAAAAAAAGAAGGGTGGGAATAATAGACTGCAAAGTAACAATAACAACTTTTGTAATAATTTAAAAGCTAGAGATCTTAGTATTGTATTAAGGATTCGTCAGTATTCAGGCTTTGGAGGTAGAGAATTTTTTATATCTGTTGAAACAAGAGATGAATTGGATCTCTATGGCTTTATTAGATTACGCTTAAGGTTAACTGATAGTCAAGTTGCAAAAGAAGAAAACAAGAATTTTGTTACTGGAGAGCCAAAAGCTGAACAATATTTAAATTATTCTATTAACGAATATATACAAGATAGCAAGGATATTTTTAAAAAGTTCCCAATACTTAAAAATTGTGGATTGATAAGAGAATTACATATTTATGGTTTAGTTTTAACTCATAATAATTCAAGTAGATATAATCAAGAAATACCTATTCAACATAAAGGATATGGGAAAACTCTTTTAAAAGTAGCTGAATATATTTCTTACCTTTATGGTTTTAGGAAAACAGCAATTATATCAGGCATTGGAGTAAGAGAATACTATGGAAATAATGGATATAAACTAGAAGATACTTACATGATTAAAGATATTGGAAATGATACAGAAATAAACATGCCTAGCAATTATGAAATAGATATTCAGATTTGGGATCTTGAGACGGATTTATTAAAGGTATTAAATTCTATCAATAAAATAGATGAAAGTTCAAGGAAAGAAGGTGGCTTAGAAATACAAGGTATACATATCATTGATGGACTTGCTAAATTCCATAGACTTAAAAATATGGAAGAATATATATCAAAGATAAAAGAAGATAGAAGTACAGAGTCTGAATATATTGATTATATTAAACAAGAAAATATGGAATATTCATTAAATAGTTCGCGTGATAGTTCGCATGATAAAAGCCTTACTGAAAATAAGTCAGAAAGTAAAGTTGATACAGAAAGTAATATAGATATTGATAATAAGTATATAAATGAGACTAATTTTGATCAATTTACAATGAGAAGGAAAGTAGGCATATTATCATCTATAATTAATTCGAAATATACATGGATATACAGTATTGGATTTATTGCTATATCTATGTTTAGTGCATCTCTATTAAGGAAAAAAGGGAAACTTTAATATTTATTATTTGCAGAACGAATTCCTAATCCTAATTAAATTATATTTAAAGTATTTAAGTTGGCAAAAAACTTAAACTTATTTAATTTTTAGTTTGCAAGTTCAGTTACAATTATATTTAGGTATTTAGAATTTTGAATGTAATTGGGAGTTACTTTATCTAAATAAGTTTTTTATTTTTTAATTTATATATTCCAAGAAGATTCCAAATTTCTTGAAAATACTTAGTAATTATTTGAGGATACTACATATAATTAAATGAATATAAATATATCTTGTAGAATTTAAATGAAATTACCAAATATCTTCTTTCAACTATCAAATTATATAAACTATTCAAAATTAAATTTACTAATAGGTGTTACTGGGAGTCTATCAGTATGTTCTCTGCATACTAATTCAGAGTATTTCATATATTTTTTTGCCTCATACTCACTATTACTACAGAAATATTCGGTAGAAGAATCTAGACTTTTGCCATTAACAATTCGTTGCCATCTTATTGAAGAAGTGAATCGGGATTCCTTAGTTCCCACAAAATAATTACTTTGTAAAATAATATATTGATGAATTGCTGCAATTAATCCATCTTCTTTATGAGTTAAATTCGGGATATCCCCGAGAAAGTGAAGATTTATATCGACAATTGACCCCAAAATAGTTTTCATCTTTTTCAAATCATTATTTTCAGCGTCTGTGGAAATAACAACTTTCGATATATTTAATTCTTTCATTAATTCACTAATTCTCAAACTAATATTTCTAAAGGATGGAATTTCATCTTTATGGAAATATACGAAATCTCCCCGTCTTATGTGAATACCAATAAACTTTTGAGAATCCAAACTATGCAATTTCATGTATTCCATTGCCTTGTTTTCTATATATGTACTAAACTCTAAACTATTAAGAAGATTATATTTAGATAATTCATAAGACCATGGAACCAATATTTTATCTGCAAATTTAATTATGACTGAATGTAAGGAAACTTTCCACTTATTTTCAATTATAGGATTATGAAACAAGTTTTTCAAAGCTATAGAAAGAGTTTCGGAAGTTAAAATCTTGGTAAAATGAATGCAATAAACCTCTTCTAAAAGAAGATAATTACAATTTCCTGAATAATTTGTATTCCTTACATTATATTGCTTTTTTAAAGATGACATATCGCACTTAATATATTTCTGAGTAGAATTCTCATCAGATATATTCAATGAAACTCTTTCTATATTGTAATCTCTTTTTGTTTGTTTATCATTCCAGTCAAAACTTAAGTAGATTGCTGTAATTGAGGAATCTTTAATATTCAGATCGTCTGTATATACAGGTTGATGTAAACTTGAAAATATATCATATTCAATGGTTGGGGATTCCCACTGTTGAATATTAAAGAAGAGTGACCATTTCAGTCGTCTCTTTGTCCTATAACTCCAGTGAGCAATATTGCAGAATGGTGGTAACACTAGTACATGGGTTTGATTATTCTGTTTATATTGTTTAGTTTGTTTCATATTATTTAAGTGAGCAACTACTAAGGCCATTCTATAAAATACATCTTTTTGCATATAAAACCCTTCTCCATACTTTACATCATACAAAATCCACACTATTTCCTGCATCCAACTAGGACATACCCTACTCATATATGCAGACCAAGTCTCGTATATATTTGTACATTGTTCTTGGGTGGCGAGATTTCCAGTAGTGAGATAAAGTAGAACATTAAATATCAGACATAAAGATATCAGTAGACTTGATGCTCCAAATCTAAACCACATATATCATGGTAAATAATTATGTTGGGAAGATTCAATAGGAAGCTACAAGTTTAACTTTGTAAAAAAGTTGCAGTAGAAAAAAAGAAGCGGGACCTAAGTTTGTGTATAATTGTTGCATCATCCCCTAACTGCAGTAGATCCAAATTCTTCATACTAAGATAAGAGAAAGTACAAATATTATAAAAGTACCTAAAAAATAATGTCAGACTCTTTATATATGAAAACATACCTGAGACTTAAAAATAAAATTATTCTGAACAAATTCTGAATTATTAGCTATATGTGAGCCACCAATCCATGGAGAGTTTAAAGCTAACCCAAAATTTTCAGATGTTTCATATTGATAAGCAGAAAAAACATTAACTTCATTCAATGGTATATCATTTTCTTTTAAACAGATCTAAAAATATCAAAAACAGGTCGGAGGTGTGGATATGAGACATTGCATAATAGTTGCCTAATGAGTACCGCATTTACCGCCATATTAAGAGTGGCAATACTTACTTTTAGAGAGTTTCTAAGAAATTTAGATAAGTATTGATTAATTGAATGACCACCTATAATAAGTACATTTTGTATCAGTTGTTTTGTATAATCTACGGGACAACTTTTGGCCACTCTAATGACATTTTCAGATAGTTTGGGAGCTATTAATTTTGCGATATATTCGTCAAAAATATTGTAACTTTTAATTTGGTCCATTTGAAAATTAGCAATTATATTGGGTATAAAGTAGTGACTAAAATCTTCTATTAAGTACTTTGTAATAAATGAGCCACCTAGATTACAAGTACTTATGTTTTCAGTCAGTAGATATCCTGATGCAACAGGGAGAATTCTTGTGTTTGTATGTCCAATATGCAGAACAGTTCCAACTAATCCTTTAGCATCATGATAGAATATATTAGGCATATTTGTTTGTATTGAATATATAGCTAGTATTTCCTGAGATAGACATTGAATAGAGGGTACCATTAGAGATTCAAAGAAAAACTCCATAGCATGATCCTGAAAGTCAAATGGAGCATTATGAGGTTCAGTTAGCAAGACTGGATGATTAAATACATCATAATAAATCTCTCTAGTTAATATATCTGTCCAAAATGATTCTAATAAATTCCAATCAATCCTTTCATGGTATTGATATGGGTATTTTACCTCTTCATAATTAGATATAGTAATCGGTTCTTTATAATAATCCAAGTTATAAGACAAATGTTTTAAGTTTAACTCTGATAAATTCTCGCTTGTTTTTGATGAATTCAAGAATTTAGAACCAATTTTTATTTCTAAAGGTGTTATATTATCATATAGTAAGGTATTTGTGATAAATTGAGGATATCTATTACAAGAAAACCCAACTCTAGTATGAAATTGGCCTGTATCGATTACTAAAGGTAAACTCATCTTACTTATTTAAATATATAAGGCTAAGTTTTTCTCAAATGTGGGAAACTTAACTTACAGTAAATATCCTTAACTTTTTCATGCGGGGAACCACTATTTGACTTGCAAAATATATTAGTGAGAATTCGATATTATAAACCCTTAATAAACTTACATTATACCTTGAATAGCTATAAAATAAAAAGGGTATAGTTTGAATCTTTTATTATTTTTTATAATAAAGAAGAACAATTAGAAAGACCCAAACTAAAGGATCATGTATCATGGATTTAAGAGTGGCATCTAATACAGGTTTACAATATTTTACATCTACTACAATTATGGAAGCAATATACAAAGAATACTTGTTAAACTTACAAGCTATGGTATGAATGCTTAAGATATATTAATAGTAGTGATCAGTAAATCTTATTTTAATTTAACCAAGATTACAATTTAACTTTATACTTTCAAGGAATGTTATGAAGCTTATTAAAAACAATAAAGTGAAAACTTTATAATACTTATTGGAGCGTAAACATTAAATTGATAAAATATTACATATTTTTATGATGTATATAAGATCACTTGAAGCATATATTTAAAAAAAAGAAAAGTCCATTTATATATCTAAATGTGTTAATATATTTAACATTAATATTTTATCAATTCAGAAATAAAGTGAATCTCACTTTCCCCTAAATAGATTCTGCAAATTTATTTGGCTTGACGTCTTTATTTATAACTTAAATAAGCTGAATTAAGTTTATTTTATGATCTAACAATAGAAATATATTAGAGAATCTTAAAAGATGATATATGAACAATTTAGAAAATACTTTCTAAGAAAGCAAATAACAAGTGTAAAAAAAGTATAAATTCAAGAGATTAATTTATAAATTAAATGATATTTAGACTTTTTTTAATATCAATTTTAAAGATTGCTTTTTATTAAGAAAAGAAATAAAAAAAAATTATCACATTACAAAATATACAAAAGATACTTTTGAACTTTAAAATAACTTTGATATTGATTAACTGTTACAAAAAAATTACTGTAATTATGTATTAATACTCATAAAATATATTCTGAGTAATAACTTTATTTTGAACCTTGGATATTTCGATATATACATATATTCCATTTGAAGCTCTGTATAATCTATCCCATAAAGCTGACGAAATATCATCTTGTGGTTTAAATCCCATTAAAAAGATTTTGACCTTATTAGGATCTGGAAATTTACTAAGAGCCATATCTTCAGCCTTATGTAGTGAATTAAAAAGATTACGACAAGCTTGCTTAAAATCATCCTCATATTCACTTAATGACATGTATACTCCTACTTCAGAAGTGAGAAATTCTAGTTTATGGCCAATATCAATTATAATAATATTTTGGATATTTGTATTAATAGGTTTAGCTGAGCTCAATAGATTGTCAGTTACTTTGATAAGGAATGTGGAAACTATTGGGGAATAATGTTTTATATCCATGCCTGGACTTGGTAAGTCTAAATCTCTATTTTCTCTACTAAAATAACGGATATTTATATCTTTTATCCAGCTTTGAGATTTAATAAACTGATTATCTTTAGTCAAACAATTGAGAATATCACATTTTGATATTGCCCCAGGTCTATATATAATAATCTCATTTGTATCTTCAACATACTCGATAACTGTGGATTCAACTCCAATATTACAACAATCTCGATCATATAATATCCATATATTTACACCAATTTCTCTCATATATTGCTCTGTGAATTCCTTGATAATATGTTGAGGATTAGTTGGACTTATATGTCCAGAACGATTAGCAGATGGAGCTGCTATTGGAACATTTGCCATTTTAATAAACTTTAAAGTAAGTCCATTATTTGGACAACGAACTGCTACTTTACCACTTAAAGCTACATCTTCTATTATCTCACTTTTTTTCTTACCTATAAGTGACAAAGGACCAGGCCAGAATTTGAAGGCTAATTGTTTATAAACCACATTGACCTTGTGTGTAAGCTCAAATACTTGTAACTCTGCTTGTTCAAAACTGTATACATGACATATAAGTGGGTTATTTTTGGGTCTGCCTTTAATTTTATATATATCTAATATAGATTTTTGATTAAAAGCATTCCCTCCTAATCCATAAACCGTTTCGGTTGGAATAGCTACTAAATCCCCATCTAGTAAATACTTTACATACTCTTCAACACAGATATCGTCTCCTATATCCGAAATTTTCATTTAGTATGTCTATATTCTTTTTAATTCCTGAAAATATAGATAATACCTCAGTCAAATAAACAGAAATTCAGCATACATAAATTGGCGGTAAGTTCCGTTTTGACTTCGGATATTCTTGTGTATAATTTCTTGTTCTGAATATTATTTAAATATCACTCTACTCTGTTATTAATAAGAAGATATTTTACGTTAATTATTTATACTTTATAAGGCAGATAGATTGTATATTCTGATATTTTCACTTCATCTTAATAATTTAAAATCCTCTGATATCAACTTGTCTAATAGTAGAATAACCATCGTCGTCTTTAACGATTTTATAAAAATGATTGCAATGTTGCGCATGTGCCATAATACGAACAAATTCCTCGTCATGAGTGATTAGAATAAGCTAAGAAGTTATAATATAATATGAAGTTTTATTATAATTAAGTAAATGTAGACTTACCTGGAAATTTTGTTGAGATTTACGATACTTTATTAAATAAGATAATGCATTAGCTAAACCTTCAATATTATCTCTATCAAGATTTGTAGTAGGTTCATCTAAAGCCAAAATACCACAATTTACACAAAATGACTCTGCAAGAGCTAATCGAATAAGTATGCATGCTAGTACTCTTTGACCAGCAGAACAACGACCTAAAGTAAGACAGATAATTATTTTTTTCAATGCAAACTATTATTGTTACTTGAGATATTTTATATATTAAAAGAGGGAGAAAAGAAGTATTTTAATGAGATTTTTTTTATTATACCTCATAAGTTCAGTATTTGACGCACCTTTCATGTCAAGTTCAACTCCTTTTTGAACCATTACAACCCTATAATTAAATGATTTTGTACTAGAAACACTTTTACTGCTTACAGATAACTTTGCATCATCCTCTTGATCATTATCAACATCGCTTCGTATAGCAATATAGTCAATATCTCGCCCTTTATATGTAACTTTCCACAATTCTTTAATTGTCCTATTTATCTCCTTCATTTTAGTTGCATGGAACTTCATAAGAGCCTTTTGAAGAGCCCACTGATATTTTTCCAGATCATCTACGATTATAGATATAACATTAAGTTTAAAGATATTTTGCTTATATTCATATGATAGTTTTTCCAAAGGTGAGTACCTTATCATATCCTCTTTACATTTCTCCAACCAGTCCATATTTACTTTTTTTTCTCCATCTAACTTAGACAAATTACACTTGTATTTTTCTAAGTTTCTCTGTAAATTGCTTAAATTTTCTCTTTCTTTTTCTAATAAAACTTCAATTTTCTTCATATAGTCTGCAATATATAATTGAGAATCTGATTCTTGGGGTAGTAATGTCAAATCAAATGGGCCCTCATTATTTAGTTCCTTATAGATTTCATTAATAATTTCAGCCATACTAGTCTCCATTATACTTACACTTTCCTGCTTATGCTTTAATTGGATGCATTTATTAAGTGTCTCTATTTCTTTTTTACAATCAATCATTTTTTGATATCTCATTTTTTCAGTATTTCCCAAGTATTCGACTTTTTTCATAATCTCCTCTTCATTTAAAACTTCACAAGTTGAACTCAGCTTATCACTAAAAATAGTATTAAATATAGTTTTAAAATTCATATCAATAATAGTTGCTATAAATGATTAAAATGAGAACAAAATCTCTTAAAACTTACCGATTTGAGTATAAATATTTGCATTTTTCTTGAATATCTAATAATTGATTCTTTAATACACTTATTAAATTTTTTCTTTCAATTTCAACTGAGTTTTTTCTTAAATTTAAGGACTGAGCAAGTTCATTCAGAGATTTTTCATTAATTTCTTCTTGAGACAGTTCAGTTTTTATATCCATAATCTTAGTATTCTTTAGATATTCAAGTTTTGAGTTTATCAAGTCTCTTTTTTCAATCATATCACTAGGAAAAGTTTCGAGTTTGTTTTTTAAAATATTATATTCTGCTTCAAGTTGAGCTTTTCTGCTAGTAAATAGACTATTTCTAGTTTTAGATTCCCATTTGTAATCCAGCTCTTTCCAAAAAGATATTGTTGATCTTTTTTTTTCATTATAAATATTTTGTTTATAATTTATTACCTTATCTATAGTATCAAATGATCCTAATTTGCTTAATAAGATAGCTTCAATATCTTCATTTTCCGCTTTTAGCAAAGCAAGGTTTGCTAGTATTCCAATCTCACCATCTAAAGTCCCTAATTCAAATGTACTATTAAATATATCACTAAATATTTCCGGGACTTCATCAGATAGCTTAACTTCCTGTTTATTAGTCAAAGAACGAAAATTATCTAGAATATTCTCTTTGTATTCACTCATCTCAGATTCTATTTTGTCAATTTCATCATTTATGTTACTATAATCCTTGATATAATGATTAAGTTGATCCAAATTTCGTTCATAATCTCTTTCCATTACACGCAGGTCTTCAAGACAACTTATTATATGTTGCTTATGTTCATTATTTGTCTTCAGTTTTTCATTGCAAATTGCAATCTCTATATTAATAGCTTCTAAATCATCCATTTGTAAACCCTCTACCCAAGTTAAAGCTGAGTCCCAATCAAATATTCCATCCCCGTTACAAATATTTTCAATTTGATATTGTAAATCTCTTAGAAAATATAATAATTCTTCATGTTCAGATATTATTGGTGAATCGCACATTCCACTAATTAATACTAAAACTTGATTATAAGTCTTAGTGTAACTATTCTTATCTTCCTTATCAGTTTTTATGTTCTTTATATTGTATTCTAATTCTTCAGTTTCTTTCTTAATATCCTTTAGTTCAATAGATAGTTTATCATGCTCTTGGGTTTTTGATATTTTCTGACATTCTAATTTGTCTAATGGGGTACTTAACATATCCTCACATATATCATTAAAATTATTATCAGAATGTCTTATATTCTTAATATCATTATAGTAAGTATCTGAAATACTCTTCTTTATCTTTAAGTCATTATATAAAAATTCTATCCGTTTAATCTTCTCACTATTTTTGTATCCTACTTCAGATAATCCTGTTAATTCTCTGAATAATATATCATATTGTTCTGTAATATCACTTATCCTCTTTGAAAATTCTTCACGTTTTCTCTCAGTATCCTCTAATAGTGTTACTTTCTGCTTTAATAGCTCATTTTCTAATGCCATCTCCTTCTTTTTTTTTTTGTACTCATTCTTTAACTTAGTAAAAGTATCTAGTGACTTACTAAATCTTGTTGCCCCAAATAAATCATCAAATTTCTTTTTTATCTTAGCTGTATCTTGTAAAGGCCAATTTGAATCTTCTTGATGACAGAAAATTACATTTTCAATAATGGCAGGTGAAATACCAAATAACTTTGGTACTTGGTTATTAATATCGACACATTTATGACTTATGCTAGCTATTTCTCCAGTTTCATCATCTTTTGTTTGTAAAACACTTTCTAGAACTCTAAACTGAGTTTTAATAGGATCTGATTGATTTATACCTAATTTCTTATTCTTAATATAAGATAATTGAAATGACCTCACAATTTGAATTTTCTTATTCTTAATTGAGTCACGGAATATCAATCTAACTTGCCCTTTTGTATCTGGAGAATCCCGTAGCTTTGGATCATGCACAAAATTCTGCCCACTCTTTACATTTGGAGGTAAATCCCCTGTTACTGATACTTTTAAACATTCAATTATTGTCGTTTTACCTGATCCATTTGGGCCCACTATTAAAGTTATTGGATGATCAAATTGTATTGCTTCTCTTCTATCTGGAGTAAAACTACGTATACCACTTATTATCAATTTTTCTAAACTACTCATTTCCCATTTGTATTATATATATAACTTTAAATTATTTAAAATAAACTTTTTAGAGATCCAGAGTATATATATATTTTTATATAAAATACTTGTGTGAAAAGTAACCCGCCAAAAATGCCGGTATACTAATACAATAATTTCTTAAAAAAAGTTGTTATTCCCTTCAAAAAAGTACATAATTACACTGATAAACTCTACTTCAATCATCTAAGTATCTTTATCAGTATTTCTAAGTGATCTTCCTATGTATTTACTATCATCATATGCTTGCTGTAAACTCTCTTGTTCTCTATAAACCCTAATGACATCTTGTGCTCGTTTGAACTTTCTTTCATCACTTTCCAATATTGTCAATATATTTTTTACATTTACACAATTATCATCAGTTTCTGAAATTGGAATATGTGCAGCTGCAGTCATCTGAAAAAGTAATATTGGGGGCAAATTACAGTATTAATAGTCACAAATCAGATTATCAACGACTTAACATACCAATTTATCTATATAACTGCAAGTTAATTTTGTCATTGCTGTAACAGTATCATTCGATATATGAATATTAGAAGTACCCCAATATGCTTGCATAATAACACGGACTAAGATCAACAGATAAAGAGAGACAGACAATTGAAATTAGTTATATATATATATATATATTAAAGAGATATCTCTCAAAAATGACATCTAATACTTTGAAATTATAATACTGCAAAAATAACTTACCATCACACGTTAGCTGATTCTTTATATTATTATCACTTTTTTCTAAGGTATCTTGTGGATATTCAAGAAGTTTATTTAAGAGCCCCACTTTATCAAGTCCCTCTTCATCTCTATTATCCTCCATATAAATACTCATATCTTAAATATATATATATAAGTCTTTATATTACATTATTAGGTACTTTCGTTACTTCTTTCTATAAACTTAAAGTCGTACACATGGCGCACATATGTATTCTAACCGCCTAATACAGGTCTACTATATTTATTGCAAAAATATAAAAATCTAAGTAATCAGAATTAAAACTTAGTAATGTATAGTGTAAAATTTGATATACCTATTATATAAAACTAAGAAGTATAAACTCAGGCAATATGGTACAAATATTCACTTTAATAATTAACCATATTAATTAGCTATAATATAATACACCTCATTTGTATTATCTGCATTAGTAGTTATAGTTTCATAACTTGGGGCTTGGTCAGATTTATAATAATACTTTGGTAGAGATTGATATCCAGCAGATAAAGGGGTTTGTCTATTTTGAGGATAATATAGTTGTGAATTACTTGCACCTTGAAGTGGGAAATTTACAAATTGTTCAGTAAATGGAGATAGTAACATTGGAACAGATAAATCTCCACTTTCTTGTGATACTTGGGAATATTGCCAAAAATTTGTCAAATCTTCAGGTATATCTGACACAGCCATAACCATACACATAAATTGACGTCTCCATCTTCTATTCCACCAATTCCTTTCTCTCCTTTGGTTACGATAACTTGTTGGAACCCATATAAAATATGGACGTAACTGAGGAGGAAAAGAATCTGACCCTGGACAATGTATTTTATAATTTGCTCTAATAAAAGTTCTAACAGTTGTTTTACAACGTGAACAAGGTGTAAATATGGACATTGGAACACAGAATCCTGGATTTTCCCGATAAAACTTGCAGTCAATCATATTATTAAAATTAATAGGATAATCAGTCAATTGCATGATATTATTCACATTTCCTGGATATATTGAAGGAGAAACAGGAGATCTCAAGATTACTGGAGATTGTTGAGGATATAATTGTACAATATCATAAGAGTATTTAGGCTCATTATCTGTCTCATTTGTATCAACATATTCTATGTTAGGAGTTTGACTTGCTACAAAATATTCTATATTAGGAGTTTGACTTGCTACAACATATTCTATATTAGGAGCTTGACTTGCTACAACATATTCCTCTGCATTTAAATTATCTAACGAAACTACCTTTTCATCTTTAATAAATCCTCTAGGTATTAAATATATAACATTTTCCTGTTTAGGTACTACTTTATGTGGTTCAGTCACAGCATAGGTTGGTTGGTCTAAAGAAGATGCTGTTATAGCCAAAACTGAATCTTCAGAACTGGAAGATAATACCTCAGATCCAAGAGCAAGTAAAATACATAGAATCAAAGATAAAATAAATTCTTGAGTTCCTAAAGTTATTCTCATTAATTTATTTGTTCTTAGACTTCTTCCACAACTTTTACTTCCTTCAGGTATCTAAAGTATATCGGGGTAGATAGCTAACACAAAATTAGCGCTAAATCTTATCCTGTAGTATTCTTAATTTGAGCTAATATTTTACTATTATCTTTCTAGTATAGCATTATTTTACAAGATGTTGATAAGTTTAATATTTGAATTGCCTATCAAATATTATTAGAAGATTTTTTTATTTTCTAGAATAGTTATTTTACAAAATAAAAGTGCGTGTAAATTAAGGTTATTGAGGTTTTACTAAAATATATTATAAAGTATTATAATATCTTAAGATAAGTAAACTCCTAGACCACAGAGAAATAATAATATTACAACTATTACTATTGCAATGATCATTATATTGTCTTGACTTGTTTGGGTTAAAGATTGAGTAGGATGATTCTGGACCTCCTGAGGGAGTGTTAGTGCAACATCTGAAGAGGTCATAACAGGCGCTGAAGATGTTAGAGAGGCAAATTTTGCACTTGGATTAGGTTCCACTGCACATAAATATTGTTTCCCAAAATGCTTTTTTATGTTATAAGGTTTTAAAATCCACATATAAAGCGGAGCTAAACTAGGAGGAAATGAATGGTCTCCTGGGCATTTTGCAGATGATACTGTATAGACGACTTCAGTTCTGCAATAGTGACAGGGATTGATGACTGTTCCAGATGGATTACAAGTATATGCTTGAGTTTCATAAAAAGTGCAAGAAGGAATTTGTGACATATCACCAACATCAAGAGCATGTTCAATTCCAACATGTCTCCCACCAATCATCATTCCTGTATAAAGAGGCCCATCTTGAATATCATTCATTTTATTTTGTAAGTCTCGTATTCTCAAAAATGAAACATGTATATTAATTTTTATATTGTAGTGATTATATAATGTAAGATGGGACCATATGATAATTGGGTATATAATAGCTGTAATATTCATATTTGAAGCACATGCTACTTTATTGAAAAAAAAAAAAAAAAAAAAAAATCACTTATTAGATGGGTATTAAACTATTAAAATACAAAATATTTCTTTGTTAACACTTTGTAATTAGAAATATTATAGTTAAAAAAAGTTAAGGTGTGAGTGTGTGTGTGTAGTATATTTGGAATATTTGTTGAGGGTATACTCTCCTAATATTTATTGAATACCATCATATTGTAATAAAACTGTACAGAACATTTAAATAATAACTTATTAACTATTCCATTTTTCATTTAATACTTTGTTTATACTTATATACATCTTTGGGACGTTTAAAGTTGCATAAGTTTTCATTGAGGATTTCCTTTAAAAGCCACTGCTCAATATCAGTGGAGTACAAATTAGATACTTCATTTTCTTGAGAAACAATAGTTAAAAAGTTAAATTCATTAATAAATTTTGAATAAATTTCATTATCTTGACTTATATCTAAGTCAGTATGCTGAATTTCAGTGGATGCAAAGCTACTCAAATATAGGATCTGAGGAAAGAAGCCTTTAGTAAATAAATTGGATATAATCTGTGTATGTTTAGCTAAAAATAGATCTACTAAGTGCTGTATAAATTTATTGGATGTTAGATAAGATATTTGTAACATTTGAGATTGAATAGAATTTCGTTTAGTAAATGAGTGTAGTCGTGAGAGTTGAATATCGTAAAGGTATCCACTTTTATAACTAGAAATATAATTGATTTCAATAGGTTTTTTTTTTGCAAACCAGTCATGAGATATAAATAGGACATGGGAATCTGTAAGTAATAATGGTTTATTATCATGATCCTCATAATACGGTGCTGAAACTGAAACTGTAACTAGCATAGTAGAATTACGTGCACGCGAAAAGAACATATCAACAAATTTCCCTTTTGAGTATCCCTGAAGAGAAATAATTCTTCTAAATGATGGTATAGACCATATAGATAAGCTAGATGTAGAATTTGATTCTTTTTTTAAGTTACAAGAGCTATTTGCAGAATTTAATACTGAACCTGAGGTTCTTTTATTTATACCAAGCATAAAATATCCACAAGGTGTAAATTTAGGACTCAAAATTCTATAGTTAAATTCAGCAATCAATTGACCATTTTTAATAGAATATAATCTTGTATATGGTGGGTTTTCATTAATAGAATCTACACACACAACAAAGCGACCAAAAGGTTCAATAATACAAGCTTGTATATCACTACAAAGAGAAATCTTTTGAACAAAGCTTCCAACTTGTAAATTTCCTTTTTTTTTCAAATTAAATATCCTAACTTGCCTAACAATTCCATTATAAATTGCTACAGCAAGTTTACATTTTCTACAACAATGAATGAATTGCAAGGGAGCTGTCCAATCATCTGAATATTCTATCCAAATTTTTTGGGTATATGAATGCTCATAATTTATTATATGCTTTAATGAGATATTTAATGGATTTATTTGCAAAGTTTTTAAATTTTTCGAATTTTCAATATTTATATTAGAACTAATATCAGATTTAAATTGTTTATTTTTAGTAATTTCCCAAAATTCCAAATGGCCATCAGCTAATCCAACTACTAAACTGTCTCCTGACAAATCATAACAGATAACCTGTGAGGCTAGATCAAATTTTGCTGTAGAACTTTTACTATCCTTGAGTACATAGCTAATAGTTGGATTCTTTATATCATACACATAAATTCCATAATTTACTGTTATAAATATAATTAGTTTATTATCATAAAACATCCAGCGTATTACTTTACTTGGTAAGTAAGATTTATCATCCTTTCTATATCCTAAATGATAATCTTTTGCTTTTAAAATATCTGTTCTATATATTTCTAAATTTAGTTGAAAACTTGTTTCATTAATATACAAATGATCCTTATAAGGTATTTTACTTCTTAGTTTGAGGGATGTCATAGGTTCAAGACTATGTTGACCATTTTGAAATTCTAAAGTGCTCTTCTTGTCATTATCAATTAACTCATATATATTCAAAAATTTATCAGTACAAGTAGCTATTAAAGGTGAATATATAGCTACTACTTTGCTATTTACTAATGTATCAGGTATAAAATCTGTTTCTTCTTTTGTTGTGCCTCTTGTTAAATCACTCTTGACTCTCCTCTGAATTAATATAGGAGCTACATCTTGAAATAAACAAAGTAAATGCCTATAACTTAAATATTGAAGTCTTCTATTCATTAAATTTCGCCATAATAAGTGGAAATATTCGGTGTTTAGCAACTTTATTTGCAGATTAAATATACTATGTAGAATAAGATTCATGCACCCTGAAGTAAGCTTATTATCACTATTTATGAATTTACCTTCATTTTTAAGTATCTCAGACTTTTTATTATCTTCATCTATTTTATAAAGTAAACCCAGGGAACGTAGATCATACATTTCATCCCATAGTTCTTTATATATCATAGCAGTAAAAGATCTCCTTTTTCCTATCAAAAGTTCCCAAAATTCATAGTTTTTCCATAATAATGAAAAATCTCGATTTAATTCTAGTAAAGAAAGTAAATCTACATCATATAAATACTGACATACATTTGCAAAAAGAGTTATGGGTAACTTATCCATATCTATTCATATTTATTCTATTAAGTACATTTGAGAGCGGTGTAGTAATTTAAAGAAAAAAACTAATTAGCAAACATCACTCTTGCAAGACTGAATAGTATTAAATCAGACAAAAATAAGTTAATTTAATTTTAGATTTATAGTTTGAAAGTTATTTCTACATATTTTACTGTTTTATAATGCAAAGTTTCAAGATGACTAAGATCATCAAGAATATGGAGAATATTTTAGGATTCTCCTTTAAAGTATCAGAAATATTAGTATAATTATTTGGGTTATATTTAAATAAAATATCTACAGAACTTTGTGACTAATTATTCTTGCTAAAATATAAAATATAATCTAAAATAAAGAATCTTAAATATATAGGCGCTAAATATGTACTTAAATTAAAGTGTCTAAACTATCCCTCATAATTGGGATCAGCAAAGAAAAGGACAAAACAAAGCATTTAGCGAAGATCCTCTATATAGGGATTATTTTAATGTATTGTTATATAGTGCCATTTGTTAATTTATATCTAAACACAAGATAATGATTTTTTTCTTGATCTACTAAGGATCTATAAAGAGAAGTACTAATACAAAGTGCATTATATATAATTGGATGGTAAATAATGATGAAACAAAATATTTTAGTTACATCATCGGCCTCTTTTATTTCTGCAATCATTACTTCATTAATTTTGCATCCTTTAGATGTAGTTAAGACTAGACAACAGGTAACGGCAATTTCAGGTGGTGCCGTAGTTGCATATCCTTCAATGATATCATCAATTAAATATATCGTTTCAAAAGAGGGTTTAAAAGGATTATATAAGGGTGTACAAGGTCAACTGATAGCATCAGGCGTATCTTGGTTCGTATTTCGCTATTGGTTTGATAAAATACGATATAAAATAAATATGAATAACAGCTTATTAGACTCCAACATAGTTAATAATAAAGTAAAATCAACACCATATTTACTTTTGAACACTACATCTGCTAATAGTCTACCCTTTAATATATCGCCATTTTCTAATGCTATTGCAACATTAATAGCAGGAAGTTTATCGACTAGCTTAGTTCATCCTCTGTGGCTACTGAAAACTAGATTAGAAATGCAAAGCCTAGATAGCAAAACTAAAGGATGGACACAATATTCTTCAGGAATAAAGGGTTGGTATAAATGTTTAACTGATGTATATATGAAGAATGGAATTAGAGGTTTATATTCTGGTTATTTTCCTGCGTTAATGCTTGTACCACATTCTTTAATTCAACTTGTTATATATGATGAACTTAGGTATTACTGGAAATGTAATTTTGATAATCAAAGTTTTCTACTAGATAATTTATCTCCATTTATTTGGGGTTTTATTGCTAAATTTATTGCAGCAATAATAACATACCCTTTACAAGTAATTAGGGCTAGGAAGCAGATGATACAGACCACAGGGACAGAATCTAAAATTTTTTGTCAATCAAATAATGGGAAATGCAAATATTCAGTATCTTATAGATTTTATATATTATTCTCTCAACATTTATATGCTGGAATAACGACTCATATTCCAAAGGTGTGCTTGCATAGTGGAATAATGTTCTTAATATATGAGACACTACTAGGGATTTCTTTTCAAATATTATAAATTATTTCACTCAAAATAAATAGTTTTAAATTATAAAAGCTTCTTTATAAAAAAAAAAAAAAGTTTATATTAATAAGAAAAAGTCTACAAGAGACTTTAAATAAAGTAGTCTGGAGCAGGTCTCTTAGCAGGGATTCCTCTTTGTTCGGCAGGTGCAGCTTCAAATGTCTTAAAGTGATAGTTCAATTGCTCATCTAATTCCATAATAGTAGCAATGTTTCCGCATCTATAACAGTAATTTGGAGCACTCCAAACTGTAACAAGGTTCTGATCAAACCACCATTTATATCCGTCCATAGCTAATTGGTGAGCTCTAGTAATAAGTTCAATGTCATTGCAGTGATTAAAGTTCTTTACAACATCTGAACCAAAAATATATCCAGCTCCTCTCGGACTTATACCCCAACCATTTATATCTTCAGGATCAGACCAAAGTAAATCACACATTGAACCGTCATGAGGAACCTCTTGTTTTCTATCTAAACTCCTTATTTCATCTATATTTGTTATACTCGGTGATAATCCGCCATGTACACATAAAATACGATCTTCTATTAGTGCTGCTAAGGATAGATAATCAAAAATTTCGGTACAATAACGCCAAACATTAACACTACCATATTTCCGTAGACATTCATCATAGAATCCATAAACTTGAGTTATTTGGCGTGTCTCGTGATTTCCTCTAATAAGCATTATACGATCAGGATATCTAACTTTCAAGGCAATTAGTAATAGGAATGTTTCAACGCTATAATATCCACGGTCTACAAAGTCACCTAAGAATAAGTAATTCGTATCTGGTAATTCGCCCCCCACCTTAAATAGCTCCATTAGATCAAAAAACTGACCATGTATATCTCCACATATTGTCACTGGAGTATCTACTCTCTGTACATTTGCTTCTTCTACTAATATTTCCCGTGCTTTCATACATAATAGCTTCACTTCTGATTCCTTTATTGGCTCACATCTGCGAAGCTGTTCTATTTGTCTGTCTAAATCACTCATTCACAAAGCCAAATTGTACCAAACCTATTTTGCAAAGAAAAGTACAAAATATTACTAAGTAACTAATCAGAGATTCCCATAATAAAACTATAACAGGTCTATTTATAGGCTTTGCTTCTTATATATACCAATATGGTATTAGCGGGATAATGTTATAGACGTGTACCAGAAACCGGTACCATATAAGGAGTTTAAAGTTTAAGTGCTAGTGTACTAGGCTTTAATATTTAATATTTACCTCTGCACAATTATAGAGAGATTTACGTAATATATTCTTCAAAAAAACAGGTATATATTGGTAAAACTAGGTAGCATCTATTTTATGAATGATTTTATTAAGTTACACACCAGTGCTGGGAGGTTAAATGTAACTTTACGTAGCTTTGCAAAATCTAAATGGGTAAATATTTTTGATAAGGAATTTAGTAAACTGTTTCTGGAACATCTATATGTAGATAGAGTATGTTTTGTAAAACCAAAAGATAGTTCTTATTCTGGCATAGAATACGATGAGAGCGGTAACCTTGTAAATATGTATGAGAAACAAGATCCATTGATAGATATATTAAAGAACATACAACCGGAATTTTACAAGTTTGAAAATGTATACCCGAATAGTTTAATATCTATACCATTCGTAGAATATGCGGTTATCAACAATAATGGTGTTTTTTTGTCGAATCCACTCCACCCAGTAGCAAACTTATCCCTTGCATTATTTGTTAAGTCAAAATTTAAAGAATCAAACTTACCAGAAATCTTGGCTGTAATTAGAAGTCCTCATAATTTATATCATACTGTTATAAATTTAGATAAACTATTAAAGATTCACCCACGTGTGAAGAAGCTTAGCAATATGAGATTTTTTAAAATTGAGTTGAGTGATAAGTCATATTGGAATGATAAAGAGGACACTGAGAGTGATGAAGTTTTTAATGCAACTCTAGATAATTGTGATAAAAATAGTTCGTTCTTTAATTTATATACTAATCCACTATTAAGTGATATAAATAGTCAAAATACTTGCATTACAAGTATGGATGAAGCTAATGAGAATATGAATGATGGAGTAACTTATATTGAGAATATGAGAAAACAGGTTTTTTTTGATGGAAATAATGATTACATTTGTGGTTTCTGTCTAAATAGCCATAATATAAGTCATAGAAGCTCAGAATGCTATTGTAAAGAATTAAGAAGCTGCATATATGCGCCAAGAATTCCATGTTATAGAGATCTATCCTTTAAAATGAAGGGGAGTGGTAAAAATCCGTTTTATAGAAATATACAAAGGCAATGGAGCAAAGAATATATGTCAGATACAACTTTTCTAGGATATTTTGATAATAGGAAAGATTCAACTTTATCTAAAGATACTCTTGAGATTATATTACACTTATATGGATCACCTAATGCTCGAGCAAAAATTTGCAATGTTGACATAGAGAGAAGACAACTTATATTTGAAAATATGAATGAAGTAATTGAAAAGAAAAAGGACTGCTCTTTAATATTTATTGATGACAGACAAGAAGTAATAGAGGATATTCATAGTATTGAACACATGATCAATTTCGAGATTTTGGAATCCCTATTTACAAGTTCAAGTATAAAGTCGTCAATTGTAAACTCCTCAATATGTGAGCAAATTATCGAATACTGTGATATCTTAATATGCTTGGGTATTAATATTGAATGCGATAGATCAATAGATATTTTATCGAAATGGGATGAAAGATATGGTAACTCCAGTGATGAAGATATCTCAGTATTAATTGAGAAAAATAAATCCAATAAATTATTGGTACCTAAAGAAGTCATTGAAATAAATGGTTTTTTAAGTGGAAGAAGTGTTTATCAATATATTTGGTACTTCATTCATCAAATTGCCTGTGAGAAACTTAATTGGTGTTTAGTACATATAAAAGGTATTTCTTCAAGCCCTATCTCATTTGAATATAAACCACATATAAATGATGGTGATAGTGGTATTCACGATGTTTATATTTTGATTTTTTTAAGTAATAATAAAATATATACTTTAACGATGACTATTATTAACGAGAATGATGCAAGTCTATAAATAACAGATTAATAATGTAGGGTATAGATGATCCTAACTTCTTGTAGAGATCAGTCTTTTGTCACTTTATTAAGGTTTACAATTTAAAGACAAATTAATTGTATTTATTACTACTTTTAAAGTATATTTTTGACATAAATAAATTTGCAATATATATTCTGGAATAGATTAGCTTAAAGAACATGTTTGTGTGATTAAGTTTAAATACTTTGGTTATAGTAAAGGTTATACTAGATTAGATTCTAATTGACTTATAATAAATGTATATAATTAAGGTTATATTTAAGTAAAACTAGCAGATCCGTTAATTTTATTAACTGGCAAAATCAACACTTCAGTATTGTAGTAGTTTATATATTTTAACGAGGCATCCGCGTTTACACTCTGGACTTCCTTAGTTGGATGTATATCTTGTTTTATTATCATTTGTATTGCTAATAGACCTTCTTTATTTATTTTAATTCTAAGGGTAGAACAAACTGCCAAGGCACGTTCAATTTGAAACAAAGATTTAATCATATATGTGTGGTTGTGGTACTGGTCAATTCTATACCCAGGGAAGACATTGTGATTATCAAAGAGTTCCCAACAACACTCTTCACCATCTAGCTTACATGAAAAAGACATTACACAATGTTTTGGTGAAGTATTAATATTAAGTGGGAATAGTTCTAAAGTCATCTGATTATAGATCATATTTATATAAAAAACCTGGTATACATTTTTTTGCATATATTCACAACTTACCTTACTATCGTTTTTAGCAATATCACATAGATCTTTCAATAGATCTCTTAGAACATGAGGAAAGATCATAATATAGTCCGTATTGGTACTACTACCATTGCTCCTATAGCCGTCATTAGTATTCATAAATCTCTGAATTTCGCATATATCTTCGGAAGTATGATAAGTGCATAGTACACAATCTGTCATTGCACCTTCATCTTCAGTAATACTAAGATGTAGATTTGCATTATCATAACGTAGAATTGCCATCTTTGCATCCAGTCCAAATACTTGGATACAATTAATCAACGTATTTAGACATATATCGAAGTGACTGTTTTCTAATTCATTTAAGCATTCAAATTTTTTAAAGATTTCCTTCTTCAACCAACAGCAGCAGAAGACATCCTTTCCAGTTGTGTGATTACTAAGTTTAATACCTGAAGTTGATATACTACAAGTTAGAAATTGACCATCTCCATCTTTCCTGATTGCTCTACTAAGTTGTAGACTTTGTATAGCTTTAATAAAAGTAGGGACATCTGCCAAATATGCTTCCATCAAAGCAAATAATTCTTGTTATAAATTCTTTATATCTAAGTAGTATTAAGGCTCACAATAAAAGCGCTATAATATACAAAGCGCGCCATGTGCTTGTGTAAAAAGTAATTTTTACACTCAGAAGAAATGCTTAAATTTGAAAATTTTCACTATCCTTCCCTTTCAGATACATGTAATATATAATATATAGTGATATTCATATGTATTATGACATAATATAATTAGATAGCTGCCTATTCTCTTTCCATGCTTTATAACGAGAAGTCCTTTTCCATACTTGGTAATAGAAATCAACAATTTCTTTAGTAGTCTTAGTTTTTATAATTCTCTGAATTTTGTCAAATTCTTTACCATATTTACATACTCCACATTCAAAAAGGGCCACCTCTTTTGGACCCCATAAGTCAATAGTACATTTAGCACGTAAAGGATGAGTCAGTAGATCCATAGGTGTTATAATATTCTCTGCATTAGTTTGATTAATATTACTCAAATTGCTATTATTAGAGCTAGGATTTTTACATAATTGTTTTCCATGTCCTTTAGATGAGCTATTTGCAATAGGAAAATCTTCGGAGGAATAATTTGGGGGAGTACTACTATCCATATTGTGAGCAATAAGTAGTGATTGAACGAGATCTGAAGGTGATTTATCGCTGATATTACCAAAATAAAACATTTCACAGAGGTTAAGATATGATTCTAGTTTGGAAATTTTACGTTGAGCTATAGACTTGCGATTGTGAGTATTTGGGATTGGTAAATGGCAATATGAAGGCCCCTGGAAGGATCCAATGTACAAAGAAGGGTCTTCAATTTCTGATTTAATAGTGGGGTCAATATTTAAATCTGTACCTTTTTCGCTTATAATTTTTTGGTTTAAATCATTTATCTTTGAAGTTTGAAGTGTTTGTACCCTTGGTGATTGAGACGGGTTATTGTCTGATTCATTGGAACTTGGTGTACTCTGTTGTGTATTCCCACGTGCTATTCCACTTTTATTACGGCAAGATGCTCCAGAATTTGATGGACCTCTTTTTCCACCACTACGACGCATTATTTACACTTCAAATTGAGTCACTGTATTATTCTAGAGTACTACTTCTATTAGATTATTCATACCGCCGCTGTCATCTCTTTTCTTAAAATATCAGTACAACAATGAGTGTAACTTCCATCTTAAACTTAAGAATAGTACCACATTTATTATAATACAATGTACACATAAGATTGGTGCAGTGGGAGTGATTTACCTTTAATCTAATCATATTCAATACATTCAAATATGATATTAAATGCACCTAAATTGAAATATCTATAGACAAACAATCAAATACTAACTAGATAACTTGGTGACTCTGTAAATTATCTGAGTTAATAATTAAAATAAGTCAATATTATTAAAAAGAGAAGTCTTCTTGAACTTGTCACAGTAGCAATAGAAATTGAACAGGGAAACTATTCCCCTCAAAAAACTAAGTAGTACATAACTGAACATAATACAGCTCAAAAGATATACTGAGACAAAGTATTTATGTAAATGACATAAGTATATGGCTTAGTTAAGATAAAAAATTGAAACTTGAAAACTAAAAAATTGGCCTTACCCGCATCAGATAAGCGCCTATAGGCGCTATATTTTAGTGGAAAACTTATTGTTTTCTTTGTAAAATTCTCTGTGAGCTGAAATTAGGAAACAAGACTGGAAAAATCACAATATGTATCATAACTACTAAAATGGAATATTAAGTCAATTCTCTTAGTTTTTAATATTTTTTTGTCTCCTAAGCATGTTACTTATATTTTGATATATACAGTACTAGTGGGGGCATGCGTCCTGTCGTGGTATAAATATTAGGTAAATATATTTTTCCACGTCTGTCCGTAATGACGTCTGTTTGCATGCGTGTGTGTCTGTAATATGTGTGGTTTGTGACACGTCTGTCCGCATGGGGTTAATAAAGTTATACATCATATAGTTTACATACAGTAATCATAGTGGCTAAACAGATAATAAAGCCGAAATTATAAATTAATACTATTAGAAAAAGAAAAAAAAAAAAGAGTTGAAAAAGAGATATGGGAAATGCCTGAGTATTGATACCTTGCATTTGAGAAGAAGATAATTAGGAGAAATTTGAGTAGATATTAAAGAGGCTGCAGGTAAAGGTGTAGTTTTGAATAGTTGTAAATTGTGTATATTAGAGATTAAACTGGACGAAGATAGATAAGTAATAAATTAGTGCAAAGTACGATACATAAACAAACGAAATTATTGAATTGGTATATTATTAAATTGGACTACACATTTTATTAGAATTAGATATTAGATAAGAGAAATATCATGAGGTCTGAGAGGATTAACAAGCTATTGCTTAATGGGGCTCACAATAGCGTGATTAATAGTAATAATACAATGGCATATAATGAAAATAGTAAAAAGCTCATTAATACTAATAATATAAATAGTAACCAGAGTAATATGCAAGGTAACATAAAAAATTCAGGTATTGTGAGTAAACCTATGACTAGAAGTATGTCAGCAAGTAGTATGAAGATATCAACCAAATTGGCAGTCAGTAATGAGAATACATCTAAGGTGGGTAATCAAGTAAATCAAATTAATAATAAGGATTATAACTTTGCTGAGAGACAGATAATAAACATTGGTAAACAGGAGTATTACAAAACATTACATAAGGTTCTATCTGTTGATATGTTAAATTCAGATCCATCATACTTTTCAGAATATGCAGAAGTAATATATCAAACTTCTCGTGATAAAGAATTAAATCAGGAATCATTATGGTTTACGGCGTCACAGGTTATTGCAGCTCAGCCTAGTGTAGGTAAACAAATACTGGACTGGAAGAAGAGTGGAGTTAATTTATTGTTTGGATTGCAAATAGCCTTTAATGTACCGGATGAGGTGACTGTAATGGCAAATTCAATGTTAGACCGTATTTTAGGCTTAAAACATTTTCAGAGAGCTTCAGAAATGACTTTAGTAAGTGCAACTTGTTTTTGGGTTGCATTAAAATATGAAGCAGCTTATGTTCAAGGTGAAAATCCAAAAATTCCCCCATTACCAGCACTAAGTGATGTGGCTGAAAAGTGTGGATTAAATGTAGCAGCCATTCTATTCTGTGAAGGGGTAGTACTAGAGGCATTGGATTGGTGTATTGAATTTCCAAAACCTTGTGATTATATTAAGAGATTTTGCTTAGTTTTTAAAGATCAGTATACTGGTAATAAATCTAGTCGTGTAGAAAGTCTATCAATATATTTGTCACATCTGGCTATTCATGAGCCAGCAATGATGGGTGTATCACCTTCCAAGCTTGCTTGTGCTTGCTTAATGTTAGCTCATAAAATAGAAGGAGTTGAAGAAAGCTGGGCCCAAAGTATTGAGTATTATTCTGGATATAATCGTGAATCTCTTAAAGAACTAACTAGATATATGATAAGTAATCTGAGAACAATTCGTAATACAGAAAATGGTGAGAGTCATGCATCACCCAGCCACTATCAAAATGTTCGAAGAAAATGGTGGAACTCCTGGGGTTCTAATGAATGGGGTTAAATTATTTTTATAATTATAATTAACATCTTCATTATATGAACAATAGAAATTTATCATGATTATCATACAAGCTAATGTTTATTTTCTAAATCATTGGTATGCTTTTCAATGATAAAACAAAGTAACAAAAGTTTGTTTTTATATAATAAATGAAGGTTATTTGTATATTATTATATCTACATACTAAACAAGAGATATCAAGTAAAAGATTAATAAATGAGTTCTAATATCTAGAATTAGCTACTTGTATAGATTTCAGTGTAAATATATGGTAGCGATATATGATAAATACAAGTTATATGGTTGTAAAGTAATTATATTGCAAATTTGAGGAGATTTTCAAATTATCTTTGCTAATTTTTTTTAATATTTACTTTCATATATAAATAAATATTAAGGAATTATGGCAAATAGAAAATGTTCATATTATCATACTAAGTAAATAATACGTTTTTGGATACTAAGTATTTACATAAATGTGGATAATTTGTCTGTATATGATACTCATTTCTGATTACTTGTTTGAGTAGGTTACTGTATATAAATAATAAAAAGTGAGTTTATTGTTTTTATCAAGTCCGTAGACTCAAAAGTCAGTAAATTATTAAACTTGTATAAAAATAAAAGATATTCAAGGTAATGATATTTAGTTGATCACATGTATATAATGACACTAAGGATAATATTACTAAGATAATATATACATAATCTAGTTTAGAATAGTATCCTAAAGTTTAGCTCATCTTAGAAGTTTGAATAAAGTGAAGTGTTAAAGTTATTTGCATGTATTTAATATTACCAAATTTATACCTTTTTGTGGATACAAGGATTTATTAGACTCTTGTCTTTCTTTTTCTCTTGGCCTTGTAGCTCTCCTTCTTTAATATCCACTTAGACCATGGTAATATTTTAAGTCTGGAATGTGGAAATCGCTTTTTGAAACTATCTAATACAATTTTCGCTTCATCAACAGTCTCCATTTCGACAAATCCATAATTTCTGTAATGTGAGTAATTAATATTCATGAGAAGAATTGTTATGGCATGTGCAGAATTTTAATTAGCCTACCTCCTAGTATGGGACTTGTTAATTTTCGGTAACCTGACAATAGCAACATTTCCAAAACATTCGAAAATCTCTCGAATAGTTTTGTGATACCAATTGATAGGTACTCTTTTTATAAAAAGAATTTTATTATATGGAATCTGAGAATCGACATTAAAGTCGAAAGGGACTTTCCTACATATAGTTTGGCTTTCTACATTTACTTGTAATGATTTCGAGTTTTTTAAAGCTTCAATTATATCATTAGAGTTAGCCTATCGAAGATTTTAATAGAGAATTCAAAATAGATATTTCATTTAAAAAGTAATAGTTCATACCTTTAAGCTTATAATCTTATTGAAAGACAAAATTTTAGATATTGGAATATTACCTTGTTCACTAGTTTGTAATATATTTAGCATATACTTATCATGCCTAAGATTTGCATCACTAAAATACAATTCAATTTGCTTTTGAATATTTTGCAAATTTTGGTTCTTTAGTGACATTACTCAGATATTTCAGATGCAAGAATTGAATATTGTATGCTTTAGGATTTTTGTGTCTTGTATAATAAATACGCCGCCATGCATTTCTTTTTGAGTAATTTAAACATTTACACAATATATTCTCAGAACAATAAATATATAGCTATTTTTCCCAAATATATGCAGGATTCTAGTTGATTTACTTTCAAAGTTTAAAGCTTGTAAAAAATAAATAACACTACTTTGATTCAACAATACATAATATAGAAAGATGTCTAATATATAAGAATCAACAAGATTACTCTTTATAAAAGACAATTGTAGTTTTAGTTATAAGAAATATATTATTTATTACTCTAATTTAAGCTATATATAATTATCAAGATGAAAATAAGACATTGTATTATATCGAGTTGAGTTTAATAATTACAATAGAAATAATTTGTTGACTATTTACCTAAGAACATTAAAGTTAAAAATCTTACAATATTATCGATCTCTTGATATTATATTGATTAATATATCCTATAAATAATATTAATATATAATCTAATACTCACCATTTCTTATTTAGTGCTATGAATTTAAGTATAATAGTGATCTAATACATATACTAATCTGAATCAAGTATTAACTACCTAACCAATTTATACCTATATAAGTGTCTGCTTGAAGTGATTAAATATATCAATATTGTTAGTTTAATTAAAAGTAACAGATCCAATAAATGATATGATACCTCGATTAAGTAGTATAACACTTTTATCTCAACGATATATGATGCTATCATAAAATTCATCCCGGGACACTTCTATTTATTAAAAGAAATAAATATATTGTAGAAATACATAAAAGTGAGTTTGATAAAGCTAAAGAAATAATATAGAAGCAGAATATAGTGAAGAAAGAATTTAGGAGTATAGCTTTGTAAATAAAGTTATAGATGTAATATTTCATGTATATAATTTTGTCTATATAAATAACTGGTATTAACTAAATTAAATATTAAACAATTATATATTGAAAAGCTTATCGAATTTCTAAAGTTATTTAAACAAAGTATAGCTAAACTTTTATAATATTTAAAGTTGCGAATATGTACTACTGATACATAAGAGCGGGTCAATAACAAAAAAAAAGAGCTACAGGTACCTACTTTACATTTTTGCATGTTATAGCCGCCATGAAAAGAAAGTTAAAATCTAATATAAAAACAGAATAGATATACTCTTGTACTTAGAGAATTAAAAATAATAACTACAGAAATAGTAACTACAGATGTATTTTATTACTACTATATTTTTGTATTTATTAGCTATATAAACTTTTAAAAATTAGGTTTTGATATAAAGGAAAATATAAATTTTAAATAAACAAGTAACTTAAGAGATCTCATAATAACCTAGTAAATAGCAAATAGAAATAACCTTTGCTATATAAGTTTTATATAAATATTATGTGCAATGCTTGGAATATTGGGAGGGACATCTTAAAAAATATATCTTGAGGTCAAGAATAAATAAGGAAATACAAATTTAAGAAACTAAACTAAAAATATGTACTAAATACTCAAAAGAACAGTATTACCATATATTCATATTTTATATAGTAAAAAAATTTATGTATTAGAGAAATGTTGTAAAGTAATGAGTTAGTATTAGTATCAACTTACAATATATAAGTGATTTAAAGCCAAAAGTTAAACCTTTTTACTCAGTATTGAAGTTTCAGAAAATAGAGATGGAGACAACAAAATATTACTAAAAAATTCAATGCTATTTAGAATTATTTTAATATTATATTATAATTAGTTGGTATGAGATAGTATTTCATGTAGGTTATCTAGTAGTTCATTCTTCAAATCTGGAATACCTTTGTACTATAATATATATGAGCAATATATTTTACATTATTCACATTCATATTAAATTCCATCTATGTAAATCTTAATATTCATGTATTCTAAAATTCATCCTTTCCAAGTTTTATAAATTTGAAGATATCCTGAATATTAGAGCTTTGTATTATTTGTATAACTTAAGTAATAATTTTGATTATAACAACAATTATTTAGTATATCTAAATTGAAGTTAGTGATCTAAATATTTTAAAAGAAAATCGGCAATAGAATTACTGAAGATTATGCGGCTTGTAACTATTACTAAATACTTAGAGTCCTAAATAACTAACTATTGTCGGAATATAATAGTTTTATATATTTAATACTTTAAATAATAGTATTTTAAAAAAAAATGTATTCATGGAGAGTTGAATACTTTATCACAACACCGAAGAGCATTGTACTTTAGAGTAATAATTATAATTTTAATATCATAAAAAGTAATATATTGTTTAATGATTCTAGACCATAGTTCCCACCTCATATTCGTATCAAGATGAATAATAAAAAATTTATAATTTTGTTTATTTAAAATGTAATAAGAGAGTAAAACAAGTTTTTCAATTGTTGAGTAACCAATATATTGTATGTGGGTATTATCTGTTTTACTAATAGTACTATTCATTTCTTTTACAGATGTTACACACTCACATTTCGTCTTAACACTCTTATTGATATGATGATAATGAATAAACTGTTGAAATGTCAAACTAAGTAAATCATTTTTATTTAACATTTTCATATTATGTGTCAAAAGTTTTAAATCTGACAAAACATGAATAAGCTTATTTTCATCATTAAAATATGATGATTTTGGATCAAGTATTTGTCTTAAGGTCCAGTGAAGAGGTAGTTTAATGTCATCTGATATAATAGCTATAGATTCTATTTTTTCCTTGGACATATAGAATTCTTTATTATAATTTTCAAATTGTATTTGAAAATTGGTAGAATAGTTTTCTACTTTATATTTACTGTCCATACAAGATATATTGTAGTTTGAATGGTTTGATAGCCATGTTAATGGAAATAATAATGAATGGGAGCTACCATATGAGTAAGTTCCAATATCAAAGATTCCTTTATAGATTCCAATAAACCTATTATTTTTATTAGCTAAATCACTTTTATTTATTAAATTAGATATATTTTTTGGAAATTCATACATTAAGGGACACCTTTCTGCAAATATAGATCTTGAAGATCTGGAAGATGTAGTAGTATAAGAACTTGAATATATTGATGAAGCCGATCCATGGGTACGTTTTTTAGGTGAAGGAGTTGTCATCTCAGTTAAAATTACTGCATCTTTGGAAATATTATCAAATTCTAAATTTGGTGCTTTTTTTGTAACCCTAGTACTGGATATTGACTTTAGGACTTCATTTATATTGGGATTATTTCCGTTTTCATTCTCGAAAATACCAGAGATAATTAAATATATACAAGGGATAAAAATAAGTATAATACACAAGTTGATAGAATTGATTAGTATTACAGATAGAAATATAGCAAATAGGAAGCTTGAAAAAAAAAATGAAATTTGAGTATATAAGGAAAGTTTGTTTAACTTTTGTTTATATTCATTCCTTTGCTTCAAAAAACTGCAATATATATATTCCAAGATGTTTGAAAATTGACTAAATTTAAGAATATAAAAGAAGTCTGACTTTTCATAAGCATCACATTCCAGTAAATTAATTATTGATGACCTAAACTTCTTAGTTAATATTTTTATATTTGAATTCTGTTTTAAGATAATAAGGAAGTTGTAAGTTATAAGAAATAATATTAATAATAAAATTATATATTTATTTAAAATACTAACATTTATTGAAATTTCAGAACTTAGGCTGATATAATTGTATAAAATACCTAAACTTATACAAATATAGTGAATTTTTTCAAATAAATTACAATATTTAGTTACATTTTTATCCAATTGACTATTTATGGCCATATATATAATCCCTTTTCTAGATGAAAATATTTCTTTAATTAGTCTAATAGGATCCTTTGATTTATAAACTTCAGATAGAATTCTATTTAGCCAGAAGTGTAAAGAGTCATGATATTTTCCAAAGCAGATCTTTTCTATAAATACAATAGCTATAAAATCAATTGCATAGCTGACTAGAAATAATGAGAAAATTGAGGAATAATGGTATTTTCTTTCAGAATTTCTTGATAGTTCCGAAGTAATTTCTTTAGTATGCCGAACATTTCTTGATATAATTAAAGAGTTTTTTACCCAATTAGCTGCCATTAGTGCATTATTCACCCCTATAATATGTATATGAGGTAATGATATCGTATTTTGAGAGTTATGTTTCATATTACTATAATTATTTGTGGAATTCCCAAACCTAAATGATATATTCTCCATCCCTTCAATATATAAAAATGATTTAGAACCTTTATTTTGTTTCATATTCATAAATTCAGGTTTTGGAAGCATATCCGTAACACTTATTAAATCATTTTTTTTATCCTCATATATTAAATTGTAAGATTCCGTTTTTTCAAGTTTTCTAGTTCCATGATTACTTACAGTAAATAACATCAATACTATTGGATTAATAATACTCCAAAATATTGGAATTGGATTAGATAATATTAAGCTGTTATAAGCATTGTTGGCTCTTGATGTTGCTGAAATAGAAACATATTGTAGAATATAAGCTGGCTCAATATTTACTATATTTGGAGAATTTACAAGTTTAATTAAGTAAGTTTGTTTAAATATTGATACAATTATTCCAATAAAAATAATTAAAGGAATAATAGTTAAACTTCTAAGCCTACTTTTACCTTCTATTGATCTAATAACTTCCTTACTTTCAGGTATTACATTGTTATTTTGTATCTCAGATAAATCTACTGGAAACCTCAAATTATCCTTTAAATAATTTAAGTCACTTTGGTCAGTAAATGTACTGTCGTTATCAACATTAAGATTATAAAAAAGTTTTCCAAAATATTCTATCTCTCCAAATTCAGTCAATTTCAACAGACGGATATTTCTTGTGTCAATATTATCTCCTTTACTAGTGGATGTTTGTATTAAATTTATAAGGATATCTGCCCAAGATAGATCTAAATTAATTATAAATGAAATATTCAACAGCTTAAAATTATTCACATATACAAACTGTTTGACTAGTTGGAAGCAGGTTGGTGGCAAGATTTCACTAAAGATATCATCCAAGACCACTAAAAGATAATTATTAAACTCTGAACTCGAACTATTTTCAAGAAGTGGAAGAGAATAAAAAAACTGAGCTAGACTTAGCAAGAATAATTCATCATCCCTGTATATATCATCAATAAAAAGGTTATTCAAATTACTTGTACTATTTAGTAAACATAATTTACATACTAGATCCAGTTTCTCTTTGTTATAATCATTTCCTGCCAATATATATGCATATATGTTATACCCCTGTTCTTGTTGACGGTAATATTGTAGAACATTTTTACTAGAGTTTAATATGCCTTTGTTGTACAAGTATATTCTAGTTTTTGATTCCTCTGTAGTGAATAATTTAGTATTACCATCTAGTTTGTATATACCTATATATCCAGATATAAATTTTAAAAGCGTACTTTTACCAGATTTTGAAGGTCCAGTAACAAATATAACTTCTCTATTATATATTTCAAATGATATATTTCGAAGTACTATATGACTACATGGACTATTGGTATTTCCACAATAACAATATGAAATATCTATGCTTTTGCATAAGTATACCATAGTTCTATTAAATGAATTATTCTGTTCATGGAAACAGCTAACTGGGCTTGAAGATTTAGATGATACAGATGTATCTTGAGTTAGTAAAGTTTCATTTAGTGAACAAGTAGTTATACTAACTGTTTTTAATATATTTTCATCTTGAATATCTCCTATTTTACATTTATTTATGTATTCTTGTAATGAACAATCACAAATATGTTTTCCATTAGTGCATGAGACATGTTGAGGGTTTTTGTATTGAGAAATAGAGTAGTCATAAATATTTGGATCATTTAAGGCAGGGATTTCTTGTATATACTCATGTTGTATAATATTTCCTTCTGATGTATCCTGCTCACTCTTATCTATTCTTTTGATATTTCTTCTCCTAACAGGTGAAATAGATTCTAACTCCAGCAAGCTACTTGATATATCAGCTTTCTTACTTAATGTATACCAAATATCTGGATCTAAGTCTCCAATAAGTATGAAATACTTCCATATAAAGTGTATGTGAACCAAAAAATATCCAAATAATCGCAAAGTACTTTTCAAGAAATATAATAAATATATAGATATCCACAGTGTTGTATAAAAAATAAGATTAGAGTCTGATAATTTAGGATATAATAGAACTGAAAAGTTGCAAGTCTCAGTAATAATCCAATACATGCAAAGTATATATGAAAAATTAACTAGCTGATAAAAAAACCATAAAAATAGAGACTTGAATTTCCATTTATTAGTTCCATTTGAGCTAATATTATATACATACGACGGTACCACTGTTAGTAGAGTTAAGTTGTCAAAAAAGGTGGAAAATTTCCGAATTATATTACATCTCTTTCTATGAATTATAATATAAGATTTATATGTCTCAAAAAATATAATAAACAAAGTGGATATATAAATTATCTGTAGTTTGAACATATATATATTTTGGGAGCTGTAATAGGAATTTGATACAATAAACATTCGGATAGGAAACAATAATACTTCAAGGAAAATAATACTACCATTCTTTATATATTCAAAAGTATTGAAAATTTTAATTTGAGTAAGATATTCTGAAATTTCATTGATTTGATCATTACTAATAAATTTATTTAATTTGAATGGTGCAACAAAGGCATATTTTTCTATTCTGCTTAAAACTATGTCAACTGTTGTAATAATTCTATTATTTATATATATCGAAAATATAGTTGATACTATTGTATATAATAATAAAAATAAGCTCCTATTGAAGTATTTATATTTAGTTAGATGGATACAAGCGAAACTCAATTCTGGTAAGACTAGAAAAAATACATACAAAGTAATACTTCTTAATTCTCTCGATGAAAAAAATATAATATGTGCTGAAAAATTTCGATTATAGGAAATATTTGATAGTCTATACTTCAAATCTGCAAAGGTATCATTGTTCCAGTACTTGCCTAACTTCTTCAAGATATCCCCTAGTATTCGTGTAGATAATTTATACATTAAATTATTTCAAAATATCCCAAAATGAAAAATATTTGCACTATTATATTGTCTAAGGATCTCTAGAAACTAGTAGATTCTCTTTATTTTATTCACTAGTCTTGAGTTAGAGACCTGGAGGTGCAAATTAAATACCACGTTTATTTCACTGGCGCTTACCATACTAGTAAATAAGACATGCTTTGCTTTTAAGTCTTACAAAAAATTTATCATTCTATTACTGCTGTATATTTTAAGATATCTCATTGTTTTATTTGATTATTCAGAACTTTTTTATTTATATTATCACTATTATTATATTGTAACTAAGGTGTGTATTTATAGTCTAGTCCTTTAAGATTGAAGTTGATATATGATTGCTACAAAGTCTTAAATTTATCATTACCTAAGAATTTAGAAATTATATTTAGTATTAAGTTATGATTATTTCTCACTGATATATTTCCGAGTCACTTTTTGGATTTTTAAATTAATATTAAATTTATATAAAACGTATAATTCTATAGTAAACGCTACCATTTGTATTTTTTGATTATTTTAATCCAAATGTCATTAAAAATAAATTAGATATCTACTATGATCAAATTCATATATATAATACTTTTTATATGACAAATGTATTTAAACTATATATTAGTTAATAATTACAACTTGATATCTTTATCATACAAATGAATAGGTATAAATAATCAATCATGTTCCAAAAAGTTATTAATGAAATCTCGGGAATAAAATAATAAATAAAAAATCACAACTAGATAAGTGTGATTGTAATCTTTAGCAATGTAGAAACTGTATAAATCTTGGAAGAAATATATATAATTTAATAAAGAAACACAAAGAAACTGTTGGAAATTCTATTGAAATGTTAAAAGTTGAACCATTAACTAGTAATATTCATCCAAGTGAATATGATGATGAAAGTATGGGAAGAATTGTATTTAGATAGTTCATTATTACTGAATAGTTATATAAGAATATCAAGAAAATTTCAGTACAGAAATGTTATATACACAACGAGCATATATAGAAATAAAATTAAGAAAAAAAGGATTAGATTTGAAAAATTAATTGCAAAAAATATATATATGTATGGAGATACTGAAAAGTATATTGAAAAGAGGAATAACTTCTCTAGAATATGATGAAATAATGGATGAATTTGTTTTATATGGACCAATTAATGTAGTTTCATAAATACATCAAAGCAGAATAAACTCAGTATTCAGGATTGAAATTCGAATATAAATTTACTTTATTTATTAAATTTAACTCATCGAGTTATAAGTGTACAGATTATACTATGTTTCATAAAACTTTTTTTTTTTATTATTATTGAATATACCAAGCTAAAAATTGAATATTGTTACATGAGATTGCTATTTTTAACTATATTTTCATCTAATTTGAGTATATGAAATGAATATTTGGTTATATAATTTTTTTTTATACTTTTAACTTACATATTCTAATTATTTGAGATAGCAATATTTATTTATATATTTCAATTATTTACTACGAACAAGAGTATAATTATTTTTATAAAAATATTGGTTAGTAAATTGTAAATAATTTAATTATAAATATTATTTTAATATTGGGATTAAGTAAAATATAGGGATTATGTAAAAATATGTAGTCATTTTCACAATTCTGATCATCTATATTTAAGATACTTCTCTTAATGATATAAAATTAATTTCTTAAAGTTTATATTCAGTTCTGTTTTAGCCAATGTGCTACTCATGACAACTTTATAGACAAGAGGTCCATTGGATTTTGAATCTAATATTTTGCATTATTAATTTTGAAATATTTGAGATTAGAATGAAATTTCAGAATCTATATAATAATGAAGAGTATGAGTATAATATTTGCTGCAAAATTATTACTTCAAGAAGTTACTTTATAGTGCAATATATAATCTTAGCAATACAGATAAGAATAATAATTTCAAATGTTATTAGTTAATTTGGATGTTTGAATAGATAAAGTTATTTTATATTTTTTAATTAGGTAAATATCTTTTTCTGTAAGTTTTAGGGATGATACCAATATTTCAAATTATAAATATAAATTGAATACCATGTATGAGTACTTTAATAATTTTAGTACTAGAGCAAGTACAAAAAACTTATTTGCAGTTTGGAAATACAATAGTTTTAAGTTCTATTACTTTACTATTTCGGAAATTTTGTAAATAAACTTTATTATTTAGTTATAATATTTATTTAACTTGAAAGAAAAGTTTGAGTCTAGCTTGGTAAAATACTTAAAGTGATCTTTAAAATATACCCCTAATTTAGTTAATATAATGAAACCTTATTAATTATATTTAATATAGCATCTAGTATTATATTGATCCATTACTACTTTAAATTTCGTAATACAAGAATATAAGACAAATTTGAGTTTGTATTCATTTCTCTTTGGAGGGACCTGAATATTTTTCAATTTGTAAGAAATTATCTAGTTTATACTTTTCTAATCTTTTATACTCAAGAAAAATAGATTTAGATACAAAGATTTATTAATTCATAAAATTTAGCTAATAAATACCAGAGGAAATTCATTAAAATAAATTATATGTAAAAGCTCACTTTATATTTATGATACTGAGAGAAGTGCCAAATTCTATAATACAAGTGAAAATCTGCTCTTAATTTATTACTTGTAGTTGGAAGGTTAATTGACAAGGCATTAGTAAGAAGAAATTTAAAGTTTTTGCTTCATATTTAGTGTTTAATAAGTAGACTATACAAGTTATAAATTTGAGTACTTAAGTATTATAAAATAGTCTCATAAGCACTTAGCTTTACACAAATTCACTTTATATTATTATTTTCATTATGAATAATTCTGCATTTAAATGTCTAAGAATACCATAATATTTGTACTCATAAAGTAGCATTGTTATTTGCTGAAGTATATCTTTATAATAAGAATTTTACTGCATTTAAACAGATAATAAAATATCAAAAATTAATATATTAAATTTGAAAATAAGATATATAATTGATAAACATTTTAATTGTACATTCGTAAATATATATAAGGAATTCGGTATATGCAGGAGACTCTGATAAATCGTATAGTATTGTCAGTAGAATTGTAATACGAAGTTTAGGAAAGTTAGCTAATCAGATATATTTATCAAGTCATTTATTCAAAATATTATTATATTTTCAATTTGGTTCTATTTATAAATATGGTTTATATATTAATATTCATATTGAAGAACAGCTAACTGGAAAAAATATTTAAATGTTTTAAGGCATGATTCTAACATGTCATTGGGTGTACAAAATACAAATTTGTAATATCAAAAGTTTTGGAAGAAGTAATATATTCTAAGATAGAAAAGTAAGTTTTAATACTTAAATTATTACAAGTTAATATTACATATTTTATATAAATATAAGAAATCAGACAAAACTGAGCTATTGAATAAATGATAATTTCAGAACCTTTTAAGGATATCACTAAAATTAGGAATTATATCTTGTTGAAGTTGTCCTAATTATACTTAAATATTATTACAGCTAGTGTAGGATAAACTTCAAAGCTACGAAATTAAAAAAAAGTACTTTTCTCACTACTGAAATAGTACTATATTTGTTATTTTTGAATTATAATGTTTTGTTTTACTCATTCTTTATAATTTTTATGTATTTTCTTTATTTGTAATAATAGCTATTAAAAATTAAGAACTTTTCCTAAAAGTATCAGCGTTAAGTAAAATAATTTATTTTAAGAAATTTCCCAACTTAACAATTTTCTAATACACTCAAGATAAATAATAAATCTTCAATATTATTTACAGTAAGATGTATATCAAATCTGAAATGTATTAATTACATAAATAGTCTAATATCCTGCTGAAGAAGTATAAAAATATAATCGAGTTTATCTTAAACAATATTTACTTTTTTGGAAAAATAAGAGAAATTAAAAGTTATGGTCTTATAGACAACTGTGGGAGTATATTTAGATACCTTATTTATTTTTTATAAACTTTAAAATAAAATACACTAAAATTTTGTAACTAAAAATTGGGCTGAGTATAAAATAAGAATTGTTCACATTATCCATCTACAACTCATTCTGCAAAAGCATTACACTTTTTTTTGCTCTTTTTACTGCATCAATCATTGCATTTAAACCATTAGTATTGTCATTTATGTTATTATTTGCTAATTTCATATTTTCATTGTACTGATCTTCCTTGATCTTTCTTGTACTACTTTGCGAAATGTGTTGGTTTGACAAGTATGGAGTAATATGTGTACTTTTATTTCTTGGTAGTTCAATTCCCTCTCCTGAGTTTTTTATCTCTATAATATTATTTATATTATCCTCTTTCTTGTGAAATATGAGATTACAAAACTTATAGATCTATAAAACCAAATATAATATTGTGAGGCATGTAAAGGTTTTGTTGAAAAAGGTTAAATAAAACGTACTTCATCAATAGAGACATTATCATGCACAAATTCCAAGTCTATTAGATGAGAATTTATATTCATATAGTATAATTATAGAGTATAAAATAACCTAAGGTATTTAAATGAATGTTGCACACATGTTTTGTGTGGACATTTATACCTGAACATTTAATAGATCTAAAATTTGTACATATACTGCAGAAATATGAAATTCAGAGTAATTAGAGTTTCAAATACATTAAATTATTATATCCTAATAGTCTATGTTTAAATAAATATTTATTTTATAAAACTCTAGTCATTTAAATTATCTTCATATATCTTATAGCCAAGCTTCAGTAGAAATAAACTTAGTAATTGTTACCAATTTAAGCCTAGATAATATTAAGCATTATTTACTGAGGCTATTAGGATTACACTTAGCTATTGGGAGTAGTATACTGCATATTTTCTCTTAAGTGACTAGTTTTTAGTCTTAGATATTCCACTTTCTTTATTGGTAGATATGCTATTACATCGACTGAGTATACTTGCTTGACGATACCACTCTCCGATTGTAGCTGCACTTATTGAACCTGAAGTAGCATTTGCATATTGATGGTTGATATTTTCTGACAAAGCTGGTGTATTTATAGCATTAGTTGTATTAGATTTTGTATTTATATTGTTTACATTTGAATCCACTTCAGTAGTATTAGTATTTGAAACATTATATGGATGTTGAATGACACGATTTGGTTGTATAATTGGTGTATTTGGGATCATAGGTGGTAATGCATTGGGAGATGATGCTATAGGTCCAGAGATCATAGGTTGCCTGGGTAAGACAATTGGTGTTGAGATAGGTATGTAATCTGTAATTGCTGTTGTGGGATATGAAATATTATATGCATTTATTTGATGTTCAGTTGGGAAATAAGTATAATGTTGATTTGGAATCATACTACTTACTGATTGCTGCTGTAAAGGTACTCCAAATCCTGCAGTAGACTGCTGTGGTATTGAACTATTACTGTTATTATAGTATGGAGGAGGTACATTAGTAGTTGTATCATAATTTTTAAGAGCCTTTTGCATTTGAAATGGGGTTGTAGAGGTTATATTTAATGGAGCTGATTTGGAAGAGGTTGGAGAAATCATACTTGAATTCACAATATTACTAGTAAATTGTTGAGGAGTCCGAAGATTAGTAACTGGAGAAGCTACCAAATTTGAAGATTCATTAGTACCTGTTTGTTTTCTTAAAGTATTTTCAATATTAGCGAATTCCTCATCCTCATGAGTGGTAACAAAGTCAGTCAGAGTGTAGAGTTTACCTCTCGATGCAATACGTAATAAAGGTTTGTTTTTGTCAATTCCAGGTTTTGTAACTAATTTAGCTTCAACCATTAACCTACCATACATATAAATACCCTGTTTTACCCTAGAAAACATTACTTTATTTTTTCTATTATTTGAAAATGTTGCAATTGCTCTATCTATTGGGTCATCTGATACAGGTATGTATTCTGAATTACTTTCCTTAACTTCTTCTACTGAAAATTGTAGATCACCTTCACTAGCTACTAGTGGTTTAACTTGGTTGATGCAAAATTTTGTTAATGTAGATGATAAAGGTATGGATGGAGTATTTTCTACTTCCAATTGCAGTTTGTTATTTTCTGAAATCGAATCAGTACTCTTTGTTGGCTTCTTTTTTGTTAAATTTGTTAATTTATTTGTTAATGAAGTGGATAGTTTATTTTCTTCTAAAATAATCTCTTTATCATATTCACTTTTCAGGCTTGTCCTTAGTTTATTACAGGCACTTCTCAGTTCTTCTATTTTACTTTGATAGTTACTATTAAGATCTGTTAAATTTGTTATTCTTTTCTTTAATTGTTTATTTTGATCTCTCTGCAATTTAATTTCCTTCTCCTTTTTATCTATTTCATCTTGTAGATTGTTTATTTTGATACATAGATCTTTTCTTATTTGTTGACTATCACGCAACCGATTCACAAAGTCACGATTCTTAACTCTTAATTCTCTTATTGTACTTTCATATGATGTTAATCTATTATTCAATTCTGCCAAAATACCTGCAGTTGAAGCAGTATCTTGAATCGTCATTATTTATTGTAAATAGCCCACTTAATCTCATTATTTGCTTCTACCCAATTCTTCCCACTATCTTGTGCACACAGCCTAAACTTATTTGCCCGTCTAGACATTACTGTGTGCAATATAAAAATTAGTATTAGATACTAATAAATACACACTTAAACTATTTAAACAGATTTTTCTTTAATATAATAATGTGTCGAAATACCTAATTCTATATGCTATTGATAATATATATCATAGTAACTAATTTTTTGTTATTTAAGAAATATATCTGTAGATTTGTTATCTCAAAATACACTATACTTTATAAATGTATAAAATTTCATTATTCAAATAATATCAATAATTATTGCAAATATTTACACAGTATTTGACCCTTGTCATAATCTCTAAAGATTTAATGATTTCTGGATTTAAGTAAGGGAGTATTGAAATGACTGTCTCACTTTATGACAACAAGCACTAAATTTGAAGTTTAATATCTAAGATATTTCAATACAAGTACTTCCATAACTAATATTAAGTGTCTTATCTAGAAATACTATTACCACCTGCATGTACGCGAAATAATAGAATATCCCTGTCTCGTCTCGTATACCGGTAGCAGTAGTGAAGAATAAATATGACATTTATTTTCCACTATCCACTGGTACTAAAATAACTTTACTAGAAAGAAAAAGAGTAGAGGCTTAGGGATTAATTTCTTTTCTTTTTTACAAATAATAATAATAGATTTGGTGAATTTCAATGACTATGCTTTTAAAGATTTAAGTATCAAATATGCACTTAAGTTATGAACGTCTCGGAATATTGTAATGCCTATCGAACATTGGGTATACAGATAGGTTGCTCTTTTGATATTATAAAGACTGCATATCGTAGAAGAGCTAGAGATATCCACCCAGATAAGAATCCTGACAAAGACAAATTGCAGGCTCATGAAGACTTCACTAAACTTCAGAAGTCATATGAGCTATTATCTAATGAGTCTGGAAGGAAACAATTTGAGAAATATTGGAAGGTATATTCTAGTCAACGAGAATTAGCTCAGAGACAAAGAGATAGAACAGATGAGCTTAAAAGGAAATATAAATGCGAACTATACAAGAAAGAGAAACGTGTCACGTATAGTTCAAGATCATCTAACTTTACTTATAAAAGAAAATATAATAAAGAAGGGGAAAGTGTCTATTCACCAGAGTATTTTAATGATCTAAGAAGCCAATCGGAAGCCTTAATTAATGCTTACTTTCAGAGTTCTGACAATCACTCTTCCTATAGGAACTCCGATATAGCAGAGAAAATCTCGGAGATCTTAAATAGTAACATTAAAGACTATATAGTGCAAGACTTTGATTCCTTTGAAGATGCTTTACTAGAGAAGTTATTAATGGCTACAAAGGAATAGGAAATATCTAAATTTAGGAAGTGATTATTATACGATTGCATCTGCAGAAGTTAATTATGTATATTTACTTACAAACTTGAGGAGAATATAACTTTAGCCCTACACAATTATTCACATATTTCAAAAAGTAACTGAGATATAAAATGTTTAAAATATGAAGAATATACTCATTAATATAAACTCTAGGCGCTGTAGAATATATTGAGACAGATATTTAGGGTATTAAACAACTACGCGGTAAATTTGGAATATAGCTACCAAAGGTAATATTGCCGAGACACAAGCTAGTCTTTAACTACTACGTACTTACAAACTGGCAATTAAATATTTCTATTCGTATTTCTGCTCTATTCTGACTTCCAAAGTTTATTTGTGATCATTGATAAATTTGCTTATCTTAAGGATATCTGAATTGTAATAAATTATAACCAGAAATGCCAAGCAAACGTCGTAATAATGGTCGTTCTAAAAAGGGACGTGGTCATGTAGTTGCAATTCGCTGCAGTAATTGTGGAAGGTGTGTAGCTAAGGATAAAGCTATCAAACGTTTTGTAGTAAGGAACATAGTTGATGCTTCATCTCAAAGAGATCTTAGAGATGCCTCAGTTTACTCTACATATGCATTGCCAAAACTTTACAACAAAATGTGTTATTGTGTATCTTGCGCTATTCACTCCAGAACTGTCAGAGTTCGTAGCGTTAAAGATAGGAAGATTAGGACTAATCCAAATATTCAGAGATTCAAGGTGCAATCCTAAATAAATAGGATATTAGAGTGGTTATATGTGAACTAAGTGCGATCTATATGATACTTATTTAGTATATAAATAGCTTTCTAAGCTCTTGTCCCTTATATACCCTGAAGTAATTTAGCTACAGAGAGACAGACTAAACTCTAATTCTTGTCTAGTAAAACTGCGTATTTGTATTTCCTCACCTAGCTAGGATTTTGTTCCACATACTTTTATAATTTAGAATACAATTTCAATTAAATTGCTAAGTGTAGGATATTTTGGTTCTTGACTATAATTTGTAATAAGCTTCAAGTATACAATATATCTTACAGTCATACAAATTAATTATTAATGAAATAGTAAATAATGTTGCTTTTTAGCAGGATGACAGTCTGGAACTTAAATTATATCTTCAGATCTTCTAACTAGACAATATAGCCTCATATCAAGCGTGAAGTCTCCAACAAGGTTTTTATCTGCAGTTAATGCCATTAAAAGACCTCCATAAGATGCATATAAGGTTCTCCTATCGGATTGTTTCTCTTCAACACGATATATCTTCCCATACATTACATAGTCATATTGGTCCATTAATGTTTGGGGTGCAGCACTATCCCAAACTACATCACTTGGATTCTGCGATACTTGAGTTGAGAGACCAATATAGAGGCTTTCCTTTTCTCTTACTGGAAATAGATCGCTATTAATATCTAATATTAAATCTGCATCTAAACCAACACTTTTTCCACGGATTCTCCCTATACGTTCAAATTTACCACTATCCACACTATTTACTGTAAATCTATCTTCAAATAAGCATGAAGGAAGGGACATTTTAAATTGTAACTTTACTAAAATAATATTAGCAGGTGTTACAACACTTATTTTATAATTACTCTTGAGAAGAAATAAGGTAGTTCGTCCAGTAACCGCCATAAAACTTAGGTTGTACCAAGAGTTCCATTACTAAATAAAAAACGACTTAAACCATCATTAAATGAGTATAGGAATTCCGGTTAAGATTTTATATGAGGGCCTTGGCCATATTATTAGTATTGAAATGAAGTCTGGGGATCTATATAGAGGTACACTTGCACATGTTGAAGATAATATGAATTGTATGCTTGATACCGTCAATGTTACAATGAAAGATGGAAGACCATTAGCACTTGAACAGTGTTATTTAAGAGGGAGTCAGATAAGATTCTTTATATTGCCAGATATGCTTAAGAATGCCCCAATGTTTAAGTTAGCTGCAAATGCGAAAAATAGAGCACGAATTCTTGGTGTAGCAGGAAATAAGAGAGCATTTGCTAATAGAACTTCAGTTAGAGCTCGTGGAAGAGGTAGATCTAGTAGAATACCAGTTGCTCAATAGCTAACATATTAAATAGTTATATAATACTTGAAATTTATCTGTAAAACTCTTCTTACCTTTGTCCAAATTTACAAAGGTATCACCTATACTTTTTCTTAATCCGAAACTATATCTCAAATTAAGTATATTGTTGAGATTATACCTTAAAGAAGTGTATATAATGATTGATAAGATTAAAATTACAGTAAAAAATGCTTTTTTACCAAACAGATTGTATCCAAGTTCCAAATTTGACTTGTACTTTGATTCCTTATTTCTAATCCAATCTCTATTTTTTTTACATTGTTTTAATAATAAGGAATTTATTCCTATCATTCTATTTTTTGGATCTAATATTATTTGTCTATTTTTTAAAAAACTCATACCTAAAATAATATCGTCCTCATATGATTGAAATTTGTGTTCCTCTATGGCAAGACACCAAAGTCCACTATTAGTCTTATATAAATAAGAATGGTATGTCCATGTAATATAATTTGGTTGTCCAAGAAATTTCATTGTTATATTTGGGAATTTGTTATTTATGTCTTTAATGTTAGTCCAGCACAAAATATCATGTACTATTCGACATGTACCAAATTTCTGATCAATAGCAGTGCATAATTGATCAAAGTTTTTTCTTATTAATTTGTATATACTTTTTGGAAAATGAGAAAATGTAGATCCAGTATCAATTACTACTCCTATAGCATCTTCTGTATTACCAAAGGCCCACAAGATATCTGAACTTTTCATTATTATTTCTAATTTTATTCTATAGACGCTTGTGTCCAATACCAATGGTATCCAAAGAATTTGATTCTTTATCTCTATATTGTTTTCTGGATCAAATTCAATTATATCATCATTATATCTACCAATATTCATAATACCACCATCTTTTAATAAGCATAGAGATAATATTATATCTGAATTTTCATTTTCATAATATCTACTCACAGAGAGCAGAAGGAAATTAATAAAATTGTCTTGTAAGTCCTTATTTCTTATTCCCAAACCCATTATACCAGATGCATTTTGATTTATAAAAAGTTGAGTCTCAATTTCATGGCACCCAAGTTTATTATAGTGCATTCTAAATCCATTAAAAAAATACTTAACATCTGAATTAGGCTCTTCAAAACTCAAAATATCTTCAAAATATTCTCCAGATACAATACTACCTTCATTATATATTTGGACATATTTGCATATATTATGATTATTTTCACTTAAATTACACCACTTTGCTGTAGTAGACTTACTTAAATTATATGGTTGGACATCATGTTTGCCACACTGTAAGCATGTTGCACAAGAAAAACCAATATGTGAGCTACCAGTGTCAATAATTAAACTTTGTTTTTGAGTAGGAGTTCCAATATATACATCTACAAAATAGTACCCATGCATATTCATTGATCCATGCAATTCAACAGATAAATAACTCCTAGTTGGAAGTATTACACCATATATAAATATCCATATCCAAAGTTCTACTTTAATTCCTATTCTTATTCTCATTAAACTTAAGATAATACCATCTGAGCTACTGTTAATTATTATATACTAAAGTCATTGTAAGGGCTTTAGGTATAACTAATTTCTTAGTTATTAGAAAGTGTTACTTTAGCAATTTTTCCACAAGACAAACCCTACAGTATTTATAATAAATTAATTTAAATATATTAGAAACTTTTCATATTTAAAGAAATCAAACTTGATAAGTCTTTTTTTGCCAAGGGAAAAATTTAGAATATTAGTACTTATGTGACAAATATTATTCACTACATGTAATTATGCAATATACATATTCTGGTACTGAATAATAAGTTTTGTGATACAAATGATTAATTCAATATTTTTGATACCTTGAATAGCCTTGTTAAGTATAATATTTGATGTTATTATTACAATTATATTTTACTTTCAACTATATTATTAATATTTGTAAAATACTAGGCTATAATACGAAATACTGCATTGACTTCAAAAAATATGCAAGGAAATCTTAAATATATAGAAATAAATGATATAAATAATATATCGTATATATAATAAACATAAAGTAATTTCTCTTTCTTTTCTTTTAATTTCAGTTATTATTAGTGACAATAGAAATAAATAGGAATATTAATAATATATATTGGATTACCTCAACTTAACAATGAAGATATATAGTAGTTACTAATAATTTATTGCTATCAGTAGAGTGAAAAGTAGATGAAAAAAAGCTGTCTAGTTATTAAAATATGCATTACTGTTACATAAAGGTATAGCGCTATAAATAAATGTGAGAAAAGAAACGAATTGAATATTATAAGTTTATTATCCTAATCTTCATACTGGTATAAAGATTGGAAATTATATTCTAAATAATAACATATTAATTAGATGTTAAATGTGAGGAGGTTAGATTGTATTGGTACATTAGACCACATTATTTGGAATATATGTACACATCCGAATTTACCAATAATAGCATCTTGTGGAGAATCCCATAATATAAGTTTGTGGTTTTCAAAAAGTTTAAATAAACACTTATGGTATCCAAAAGATGATAGTTTTAGTAAATATAATTCAAAGAATTCCGATTGGATATTAGCGTATCAGTTTGGCGATATAAATCATAAGAAAACAATTAGACGAGTATGCTGGTCTCCATGTGGAAATATGATTATAGCTGGAAGTTTTGATGGAACTGCTTCTATTTGGGAATTTGTACCTTCTACTAAGGTATGGAATTGCATATCTATTCTACAGGGTCCAGAAAATGAGGTAAAAGGCATAGACTGGAACAAATATAATAATTTCATTGCATTATGTAGTAGAGATAGATCTATCTGGATTTTTTCAATAGTAATTGAATCTAGAAGAGCACATGGTAGTCAGGTTGAATCAGAATGTCATAGCGTATTAACAGGACATACACAAGATATTAAGACAGTAAAATGGCATCCAACTAACTCCCTTGTATTGTTTTCTTGCTCATATGACAACACAATTATAATTTGGGGACCAGAAATACCAATATCAAATTTTGAAAATCAGAATATAGAGTGGATTAAATGGTATGTATTAGAAGGACACTTATCAACTGTTTGGGATATTACTTTTGATTTAACAGGAGATTATTGCATAACATGCTCTGATGATTCTTCCTTGATATTGTGGAAAGCTAAAAAGTCTTATAATGTCAACTTTACAAATCCTGGTAAGAATATTATAAAATCAGCTACTATGAATACATCATTTCGTATTCTGACAGAAAATAGCACACAAGTTGTAAATAATTATTTACAAAAAAGTAGTTACAGTGGATTTCTTTTTCATGGAGATAATGAATATAGTCCACCTATTTATTCAGTTGATTGGTGTCAATACTTAAATTGTATTGTTGCTGGATCTGGTGACAATAGTCTTCATTTCTTTAGTTTATCAAAAGATGAGTTAAAGCATTTAAAAAGTATTGAAGATGCTCACAAAAACGATATAAATAGTGTTTCTTGGTTACACAATAATAATGGGAAGTTTGTCTCTGCTGGTGACGATGGGAATATAATCTTATGGGAGGTTACCTTTATAGAAATTGAAGAATAGCACTAATTATTTCAGAGATATAAACAAATTATATAAAAGTTCTATTATAAATCTAGCTTTTATTATTATTTTACAAATATGTTTGCAAATATTGTATATTACCTTCTTTTCTTTATAGATTTCCGTTTCCACGACTTACTACCAACTACCGTGCAATTTAAGGATAATTGGCAAATAACATCTGAGTCACCAACAGGCAATGAAACTTTGTTTCCATAATACCATCCTACACTACCAGTACTAAATTGCCTGGGTGCTGCGGCAAGTTTAGTTTTTGAGTTATTTATAGTCAAGCTAAGAACTTGGGCCTTCTCTAAAAACTCATCTATTGACATAACAGAAGTTTCTTTTGGCTTTGTAGACTTTTTAGTTATTGATTTTGACTTATCATTATTTTCTTCATCGTCCTCTAACCCTCTTTCTCTTTTCTGCCTAATCTCTTTATCACTATCCTCTTCATTCCCAGCATAGTCAGACTGTTCACTTGAAACCTCACCTTCATTATTTGTAGGATATTCTTGTTTGTACTTATCTAATGTTTTATATTCCATTGATTTCTTAGTTAAAGGTTCATGATCTTCCAAATCCCCTTGTATTTCCAATATAATTTGGTCTATTATCTCATTGATCTCCAACTTTTTAGATATTAAACTACCCTGTAATAAATTTAATTGATTTTCTATCTCTTCTCTAACTTTTCTAGAAGTTAGTGAATCTAGAGTTTCTGATGTAACTATTGTACGTATTATTTTTTCAACTTCCCCCATATCTAGGTTATCATCTAAGACACTTTCCTCTGTTCTAATCAATTCCATATTACTTATTATTAATATCTATATAATATACTTTTATTCTTTTGCTTGTTAGTATATATCTAAAAACCTAATTTCAGAGGACCTTAAATCAATTGGAGTCCTAGTAGGCGGGTTATATCGGCTTTTCACATGTACTTTTCACTAATACTACTCTTGCGAACTTTTAAAAAAATAAAATATAGTTAGATTACAAATTAAATGAAATAACTAATAAAATATTTGATAATAATTTATATCTTACTAAACTTTTATCATTTTTTCTATATATAAGAGGGAAAGATCCAAACGTATATTTTTTTTAGAAAGATAACAAGTCTTTTTCTAAAAATGCCTTGCTAAAACTATATATATATATATACACTAATTAACTTAAAAAATCATAATTATGAATGAGAGTAGAATAAATCGTCTGGAGAAAGTAGTTAAAGAACAGAGTGATGCCATCAAAGATATTGCATCCTATGTTTTAGATATACTGCACGAAAATGACCAACTATGGAAATATATAGTCGGAAGTCAAAAATTAAATATAGAATCAAATAATTTATACTCTAAGGATTCTCATTTAAGTAGTAAAGGTAGGGTAAGGTGCTCAGAACAAAATCAAGGAAAAATGAAATTCAGATCTTCTACTCCACCTCCATTAGTTGAACCTTTACAAAGTAGAAATGAATATTATAGTGATAAAAATAGTAGTGGATACACTGAAAATCCCTATTTGAAGCTACAATCTGAGTGTGAGAGTAGAAGAATGGCAGTAGAGAGATTGGCTCAGACAAAAATGAAGATGCAATCAAGATATCACTGATTACAAGAGTATGAAGGTAATAAATATGGGCTTATAAGCTGATGATTATATCCAAAATAGGTTGGAGTATATTTAAATAAAGGCTGATTGTATCTTATATATGTATTTGGATAGTTTCTTTGTTGCTGTTGAATAGTTACAGGTTTGGGGATTTGAGTTCTTGAGAAAATATGATAAGGGAGGTGTTGGAACTGATAATAGTGTTGATTTGGATATTGAACATGTTTGGTATTTTGAGAATATTGTAACTTTTGAGTATTTTGCTGAGTATTATTTATAGGATTTTGATTAAGAGCCATATATGGAATTTGAACATAACCTACAATCACTTGGTAGGGCTCATAATAATGGACTCTAGTAACTGGAATTTGGACATTTGTATTATCTTTTAAATTAAATTCCAGTATATCTTCTCTTCTTTTGATCTTATCACGACAAAACCTAGCAGTCAAGGGAACCTTATGAGGTTCTACACTTCGCCTTTTAATATTTCTATGAGTAATTGATCCCCTCATATTACTACTCCTAAGATAATAGAATTCATCTTCAGCTCTTTCTAAATCTGGACTTCCATTTTTAAATGTATTTTCTTCTTCATCATACAAATAATGTTGCTGAGATAAATTTGAGCCGAGACAACCCGAAAACAGAGATCCAGTACCTGTTAAACATTCAGAAAAATCTTCAAGTCTTATATTTGCTATTTTAAGTGTTTCTGAATCTTCTTTAGTTTGTATATGCTGATCAATAGTTGGTTTAGAACTACTTTTCAAATGTGAAACTTCTAAATCTGGACGTATTTCAATAATAAATTCTTTAGATACTACAATGTTAGAACTCTTATGATGAATTTTAACGGGTTCACTCGATATTTTATTGTATTCTGTATCATTTGATTCATCATCTTTGTCAACATCAAAGCTTGATATTGATGAGCATCCATTAATGTCATCCCCATAAAGTTCTGTAGTTTCTAACATTGCTATATTAGCTTCATTAGTCCCTTGGTAGTTTTCATGTTGAAAATTACAATTGTCGCTTATATTGGATAGGTTACAATTTGTCATTTTTTCAAGTGTCATTGATATCCATTCTAAATCAATTGTTCTACCACAAGATGAACTTAAACTTCTCGGAGAGGGTAACGGCTCGCATAGTGAATCTAATAAATCATCTTTAGATATCAAGGATGCACTATCTGTAAATATATGTTTCAGATCTGGGTCCACACACATGTTTTCAATATTCTCTATGCGCTTCATTGCATTATTGATGTTATCTTCTAACCTCTTCAAATTCTCACTTTGTCTTCTTAATACTTCATAAATATCCATGATAATCCTCTTCTATAATGTTAGTCACTAATTATGTAACTTAGCTCCATATAAATACTATTGTAATTAAGGATAAACTAAAGTTAGGGATAGCCGCTCCTGAAACCACGTTACACTCGATTTTAAGTAACATATGAAGTATCATTGTTTTTAGATCCAATCATTAAGAATATAATATTTTAATTTTATGATACTTATTTCCTACATATCTATTATTTTAAATTGGATATTTATTATGATCAGTTTATTATTTTTATAAAATCAATATACCAACACTAAATATTAGAGTAACGAAATTCTTGTGAAGTTTCAAAAATAGAATCTTCATAATATGTTGTTTATTTAAATATATTTTACTATAAATATAAATGAAAAATAAGATACCAATGAATTTTAAGGGACATATTATAAGTGAAAAAATAAAATATATTAGTGAAATATATCTAATCACTAATCAATATATATACTTAAGATATAAAAATTGTATTCATCTTTTTATCATGGAGTTATTTAGATGAGTGACATGAGCCAATGTAAATTCATCAATATTTTCTAAACTAATATTTGTAGAATCTATATCAAAATCACTTGATTGCATACAGTGATCATTGTCAATTTGTTTACTTTTATTTATATTATTCAAAACTATATTATCACCAAATATCCTAGGATTTTCATATTCATCATCACTAGGTAATACAATACAATTATTATTTTTAAATAAATTCCAACCCTTAACTAAACTTGCCATTTTATTGCTAATCTTTCTTTTATAGAAATAAGTGTCTTGCTCAAAATGATAAAATGAAGAAAATTTGCTACTTGAAAGTTTATTTGCAATATTTTTTATCTCAATACTGTGCGTATCTATTGATTGTATATCACACAATTGAATGTTAGTTTGCCTCTGATTTGTTAAGTATGATAGTAATCTTAAAATAATTGGAGTTGTTATTAAAGACACAACTGTTATTCCTACTAATAACAAATATACTTTTCTTGAAATAATCCCTAAAGACATCCCTTTTGAAGCTAATACAAAACCAAATTCACCCAAATTTGCCAGTAAAACAGCAGTTTGGCCAGCTATTCTTGAGTCATGTCCAAATATAAGAAATAATATGAAATTAACACTAAACTTAATTATTGATATGAAGATACAAACAGTTCCAATAGTCAAACAATTATCCCAAATAAAAGTAGCATCTATAACAAGTCCAATACTTGTAAAAAATAACATTGAAAATAGCCATTTTAAGGATTCAACTGATTGAATAAAATCATGCTTAAAGTGAGAATCATCATCACCTAATATACTTGATAGTATTATTCCAGCTACAAATGATCCCATTTCCATTGATAATCCAAGATATTCAGTTAATGAAGATATACTTAATACAATACTTATAATTCCAATGAGAATTATTTCTTTGTTTTTTGTCTTGAGTAAAAAGAATAAAATAAATGGGAAAACTATTACCTTTACTATATATGAGATTAATCCAAATAAAAATAAGACTAGAAATGGTTTTAAAATCTTCCATGTTAACTTACTAAAATATGTTATTATTAAGATAATCCTATATTTAAATATACTCTTTGAATTATTTAAATTATTTTCAAAATATCCTTTATTTGTGTTATTAACTGTAGAAATTTGCAATGCAGGTATTAATGCTAATATTAAACCTAGTAATAAATCTTGTAATATTAATACACCTATAGTTAGCATACTTTCTTTTGTATCTAATTGTAATTCTCCAATAACAACTGCAGTCGAACTCATTGAAATAAATGCACCAATAAAAATCCCTTCTCTAATTGGTGTACCAATCCAAATAGAATATGTACTACATAATAAAATAAATAATAATAATGATGATATTGCACAATAAACAATCACTTTGCCAATAGATGAAACTCTTTTAAATGAAAATTCTAATCCTAACATAAAAAGAATTAAACACACACCAATTTGAGCAATAGAAATCATTTGTATTGGTTGAGAGATATAACCAAATCCATAAGGACCAACTATATATCCACCAATTATATAACCTAATAATAATGGTAAACCAATAAAACGACAAATAGTACCAAATATAAATGATGAATATAATAATATTACAATTTCTAAAAATAGACCATAATCACTCTGTAATAATGATGCATTAATTGGATTACTCAGAGTGTATGAATTTCCAGAATTATCAGTATAACGATGAATATTATTATTTTCAGATAAAAAATTGTGATGTTTTATACTACTTTCTAATATAAAATCAACTGAATTCTGTTTAACATTACCATTATTTTTTAAAATATTTATTTTATCTGAACTAGTTAATAATTTTTCTGATGGTTGATCTCTCTCTTTTACAACATGAGCTACATTCCCAAATAAAGATGATTCTTCTTCAAAAACTAAATTTTCAGTACATAAATGGTATTGAATTCCATTAAATGAGATAGACAAAGAAACTGTTTCAGAAACAGTCCAAGAAGGACTCTCACATACTATTGATGGTAATGGTGATGTAGATAATTTTATATCTGTATTTGGTCTAAATAAATTAATTTTAGTAGAATTATCAGATTCTCTTATTTTTTTTTTATTCTCACTATCAACTTTTTCATTTGTTAAAGTAATATTATTGAGATTATTGATTTGTTTATTAACTATTGTATTTGGGTCTATTCTCATTGAGTAAGATGCATCTACAATCTTTGATCTCTCTTTACTTTGAAAAAGGCACTTTAAATCATCGGTAGCAAATAATCCATGACCAAATATAATTATTTCTGTACCACCAGACATTCCAATATGATCTGGATATATCTTTGTTATTACAGGTATAGGATAAACTCGGAAAATTAATGCACTATTACTTTGTAAAACTACATTTGGATGTGAATGTACACTTACTAAGACTGTCTTACCAATATCACCCTTAGATATATTAATAGGTGTCTTAACTTCTAGTAATGTATCAGAAATAGGTTCAATTTCAACTACTTCATAAGGCCCTTCAGTTACATCAAAGTGAATATACAATTTTGGAACTAGTGAGAAACCAACACCATTTATTGATAATTTTGTTACACCATTTACAGGGCCATTTTGTGGGCTTAAACTAGTTGCCTGAACAAATGAATTAGATGATTCAATTGGTGCTAGTGTTGAACTTGATTCCAACTTTAAAGTAGATAAATCAAATGTAGGTTTAGGTTTTACAAGTACTGGGGGTTCTAAACAAATACTTTCATTAAACCATAAAATAGTCAAATATAGTATTAAAGCCCATGTTTCAAATTTTATCACCATGTATTAAAGGATTGAAATTTAAAAAATAAATTAAGGGGAAAATTGCTATTAAATTCTAACCGCTTCAAAATATTTTCTTAAGAAAAGTGGAATACAATTTATTGTTAAAACATCTCTATATCATTATCTATTAATAGATTATTACTCAAATAATTTAAGAATAAAACTCTACCAATACTTAATATTCACTATTGTAAATTAAAAATAAAATTAGTTTCTACATAATATTAAATTGGAACTTTCGATCTGTTTGTCTTTTTTTTCTTTAAACAATCTATATAAATATCATATAAAGGTAATTCAATGTCTTGTGATGTTTTTTTTTCCTGGTCTCCTTTTTTTAATATATTCGCTGCCCATTCTCTTTCAGCCTCTAAACAGACATGTCTTATTGCTCTTCCAGAAAGTTTATTAGATAGTTTTGATAATTCTGAAAGTTGTTCATCATTTAAATGCTTAGCATATTGTTGAAATATAGCTTTACGTTCCTTTTCATCTGGAAGATGAAAATAAATTGTAGAATCAATTCTATTTATAAATGCTTGATCTATGTCATTTCGACGATTTGTAGCACATATTAAAAGAATTTTATCTTTTATTGTATCAAAACCATCTAACTTTCTTAGAAGGACCGAAAGTATCCTTTTAGATCCTTCATGCATATTAAATGTATTATCACGTGAAGATGCTAATGTATCTATTTCATCTATAAATATAATGCAACCATTATCAAATTGTTTTGCCAAATTAAATACTTGAGCTAATTTTTGTTCGCTCTCTCCATACCATTTAGATATAATATTTTCTAATGAAACATACAATAGTGGAATTTTAGCGACTTTACTTATAATTCTAGCTGATGTAGTCTTACCAGTACCAGGTGGACCTTCAAATAAAATTAATTTAGGTCTATTTGAAGAATTATCTTGTTTTCTTGTTCCATTAACTATTTTATTTAATATTTCAGGATATTTTATATGTAATAATATATGTTTTTCTATTTGTGTTTTGACATGCTCATAACCAGCAAGATTATCCCATTGATTTGAATCTTCAAGATTAATTTCTTTTCTTTTTTCATTATTCATTTCAGATGTATAATCTTCTTGATCAATATATACTTGAACCCCTAATTCTTCTAGTGTAGATATTGCTTCCAATTCATTCATTTTTAAATTCTCTGACTTATTTTGATTAAATTTATCATTTAATTGGTTAGATATAGAATAATTAATATTTTTCATAGGAAATCTTGCCATATTTGGCTCCAAATTAAATATTTGATGTATATCATTAGGTCCATATGTATTTGTATGAAATCCTGATTCCATAAATGGATCAAAGTTAAAAAAGTGATCAATTCTATCAAAAATAGTACTCATAAGATAATGAGCATCCCATTGGTTTAAATTATTCTGTACTATTTTATTTTCACTATTTTGGCTTAGTAATAAACCAGTCTTTAAAGCTTCAATATCTTTTACTGTTAATTGTTTTGATGGACGAATAAATTCTAACTCAGTTAATTCATTTTCATCTTTTGGTACGAAAACATTTAAATATCCTTTACTATTTAATATATCATTAAATTCAATATTAATCCTTTTACCATCTATATTTTCAAAACTTTTCCATTTACTAATATTTATTGTAGTTGAAGATTGAGATGGTAATACTTTTTCATTTATAACTTTAAGTATACCATTCAATAAAAAATTTACATTATATATTTTAGGGATCTTAATTTTAATAATAAAACTTCCACTTTTTTCATATATAATGAGACTGTTTTGATTATTAATACCCAAACTTTTTAATATATCAACTAAGTATTGTTTTGCAGTATCAATTGATACAGCTGATGGGTTGCAGTAAATATATAAATTGTTAAGTGTAGGAACTTTTGCAATATGGGATCTTAATTTCTGATTAGCAAATTTTGAGTTGGAATTATTAGTATCGCAAAACCACTTATTAATATTTTTGTTATTATCTTTTAAAATTGAATTTCTCAAGCTATTTTCAATAAATAGATTTTGTCTTAACTTTAAAAATCCGTAGCTTGTTGTTATTAAAGCTAATACGTAATCTTTAGTCAATGAATACATATCTGTCTTCTTATTTCTTTGGAAAAAAAAAATTAAAGATATTCACTATATTTCTTCGAGTTTACCGCTATAATGTCATTATTTGACAAATTTAACTGGACATCTTTTGGGAAGCTTAGTGTAATAAGTAAAATTAAATAGAATTAATAAGGAAAATTTTACTTTTAGGAATTTATATTATTAGAGTATATTCATTTGACTATATATATTTTGGATCTAATGAGCGACTGCTCAAGTATTAATTGCTATATAGACCAATATTATGATTTATTATTAGAACAGATGCATCTTAAAATTAGTAATAATACATTCCCTTTTAAAATTTACAATTCTTCAAATAAGGGGAAACATATTCATTCTACCATGATATTAAATGAAAATACAGAGATATTGCAAGAAGTACCGTTTATTTGTTGGCCAATAAAATCTTCTTTTGGATCTATTAAGGATATTTCATTTTGTGAAAACTGTATGAAAATTCGTAATTCTGAGAATTCAGATACATTTTTGAGTTATTCAGATCTAAATATAGAGAAAGAACTTTGTAGTTCTTACTGTTATAATAAGTGTGTAGGTATTTCTAGAGATGACAATAAACCAGAACTTTTTAATGGATGGGGATTTTATATACAGGGGAAAACTGGTCTAAATATGTTACGTGATTATCAAACAAGAATTGATCCAAATTATAATCTCCCAATAACTATTGAGGCTATTAGCCGTTGTATAGCACAATTAGCAGCTGACATACACTTTTTTTGGAGCAAATTAGGAAAGATTTGCGATAATATAAATAATGCCTTTAATTTAGGATGTAAATCTGTTGAGAATTTGATTGCACCACCAGTAACTTTTTTCCCAGAAATAAATTTGGAATTGGTAACTGAATATATTAATATAGTTATGTTTAATAGAATGAAAGAGGTTTTCCCTAATGAAGTAATACATGCCTTATTAGGCCGATCAACTGTCGAGCAAATTCTTGGTCAATTAGTTTTGAATTCTCAAGGTTTAAATATTTGGGGTCGTCGGAGTTTGAATATACCTATATATAATTCACAAATAAGTAATAATATACAATGTAATGATGAAATTGGGATTATCAAAGCAGCTTGTATTTGCACAATTCAATCTTGTTTTAATCATAGTTGTGAACCAAATTGTTATGTGCATGCTATAGATGATGCAACTGTAGTAGTAACTACTAATAAGGAAATCTTACTAGGTGAAGAGTTAACCATATCATATATTGACAATACATTAGATTATGAATCTAGGAAATCATTATTAAAGAATTATCATTTTGAGTGTACTTGCAATTTATGTAGGAGACAACAAAGATCAAGACCTAATAAGATTGAATCTTCGGATCCAAAGAAAGCTAAATATATCATGATAGAATGACTTTAGACTTTAATATTATAGAGCCTAGAAATTATGTATTTAAAATTTTTTAATTTGAATTAAATGTTTAATGTTTATATTTAATAATAATACTTAGTCTAAAAAAAAAACTAATGCTCATTCTGATTTTAATAGATGAAATTTGGATATTTTATATTCAATTTTAATGAAAATATTAATAAAGACATGTCAACTTCAGAAAAGTAATTTGTGAAATATATTTCTAATAACGTTAATTAAATAATTTAAAGCTGATAATATATTATTACTTTTGATTTATAAGTTTTTATTCTCTTTTTACTATATCATATATATTACTTTATTTAATTTTTTAATCTTTGAGTTCCAAATTTTGAATTAATTTTTTCTTAAATCTTTTATGACTTAGTTATTTACCCTACAACTTTAGCAGTGGCAGCTACTCGCAAAGTATAGAACAAATATTTTACGTTAGCGTTTTTAGTTTCTAATTTTAGTTCTAATGATAAGATTTCTGTATATCTCTACATTAAATCTCTATTAATTTTAAAATAGTATATTTTGTAATCTGAAACCTTTTTAAATGTTACTCTCTTCAATACAAATAGCTACACCTACAAACTTAATTTACCAGAAAACTTATGAATTATACTTGAGTTAACTATATATAATCACAAGAGTACTAATTTTTTTTATATGAAGATAGTTTTGTAGTATTTGGATAGATTAAATTTTGTTTCTATTATTGCATTTCATCAAAATGAATAGTTCAATAAATTTATTATTTAATCCCAATGAAGTATTTCAAAATATATTAGATTAGATACACGACTTTTAAATGAAATTGAATAATCTTATCATTATTAACTAGGTAACATGTATAAATTTACCTTATAATGTGGTGTTACTTTTTTATCAATAGTGTCTTTATTTCGAAATATAGATTAGTTATCACTTTCTATATATTGTTTTGTCAATTACACAAACTTTCAGAAGTTATATAACTTACTTAATATTTAAAAAGTGCTTATTTATGTTTTACATTATCTCTTATATGAAATTAATATTATGTTATATTAAAGAAGTTGCATGCATGCAATATTACGCTTTGAAATATATAAGCTGATATATACAGTAATTATATAGGTAGAAAAAATCGCCATATACAATCTAAAATTTTGTTAAAATTGTTAGCTTCTTTTATTTTGAGGGAATCAGATTATCAGATATGCAACAAGATACTACCCAAGAAAAAAAATTCTTAGCCCCTATTGAAAATACAGAAAAAAATAATAAAATTAGTCAATATTGCTTTATAGATGATAGTGGAAAAGAACAAGGTCCATTTAATTTGACGCAAATAATAGGATGGATTAATCAAGGGTTTTTTGATGGGAAAGGTGATATTTTATTTAGAGATATAATTAGCTCACCAGCAGACAGAATTTCTCTTCAACAAATGTTACCTAGATTACTTTCTGAGGCTGAATCATATGTTGAAAAGAAAGTATCTGTCAAGAAAAGCTCTAATTCTAATATAGTAAAAGAAAAAGTGGTTGAAGTTGATGAGATACTAGTAGCTGATGGCAAGATAAATATGTTAGAACAAGAAAGTGACCAACATAGAGATCTGTGGTTAATTATTAAACCAACACAGAAAGCTACAGAAATACATAGGCAGCTAGAAACAACTCGTAGTAATCTATCAGTTTTAATAACAGGTTCAACAAAGAATTTGAATATTGATATAGACACATCCCAATCAAAGGAATACAATGATAAAGAAGTTCAGTTAAAAAAGTCTAGATTATGTCGGTTTGCAGAACAGTTTTATGGAAATGAGTTGTACGATTCAAATCACAATATTATGGTACCTACATTAAGAATACCTATTCACAGTAGTTTACTTTCAATGTCATCACCAATACTAAAGGAGAGTATGCGTTCAATATTTGAGGAGCATTATAAGCTTCGTGAAAAAGTGACTAGATCAGACTCAACAGAAGAGGAAAAAGAGAAAAGCTTACAGAATCCAACTATAACTTTAGAATCTGATTGTCCTGCTGCAATTCAGGCTGCAATTCGCTACATGTATGGTTATAAAACAGAAATTTTATCACTAAGTAGATTATTGCTAGTGTCAATATGGAAAGAATCAAGAAGATTTGAGTGGAAGAATTTAGAAGAAGAGTTATTAATGCATCTTTTTTCAAATAAACTGGATATATTAGATCTGATTGAAATAGCTGCTGCTGCTGCTGCATTGAGCATACCAAAACTTGTAGATGAGATTGTTCCAATAATAGCGGATTGTGCTAGCTATGTATTACAAGGTCCATATTTAGCTTTAAACATTCAGGCTTATATACGTTTCATTTCGGATGATAATGTAATGTTAGATGAACTACAACTGTTTTGTGCAACACAACAGTATGTTAGGCAAAGAGAGATGATGAGCATAGGTATGTGGTCTGAACAAGTTAATAGAAAGGAATCGTCAAGTGAGATAGATATATATAAAGATATAAGGTTTGATCAAATGTCACCAGAAGAATTGGAAAAGATTCGAACTTCAGAACTAGATAGTTTACTATTAGATGCATGTCTGAAGAAGTTACTTAGTAATGAAGGAAAAGGTAGGCTTAGACCTTGGCTCCCAAACAATGAGTATAGTGTTGGATTTAGGAATGGGCTATATCCTATTAGCTTGACAAGAAGAAAAACAAGTGAAATGGACGTAAATGGAGTATATTTAGAAAGATGGGCATGGACAACAGGTGACCCAAGATCAGTTAGCGAGATGACTTTTGCTTTTCAGATTATGAAAACAAAGAGGGGGAGACTTAGAATTGGAGTATGCTGTACAGGACGTCCTGTAATAACTGAAATTCAAAGTATCACAATGTCAAAAGTATTTTACTATGATTTCTACATTCACAAATTTGTATCTGCATTCCTTGGGAGTAGTATTTATCAGTGCACATCTAGGATTGTATCATCAAGTGAAATTAAAAGAGGAATTTTTTATATAAATTATTTTACAGAGCCTAATAAAGATAGAAATAATAGAAATACTCAAGATAGTATAAATAATGGAGATATACTAAGAGGAGATCTTGGTAAAGGTAGTAAAAAGGCTGAAAATACTCGTGGAAGCATATTTGAAGAGAGTGTAGCTAAGGGCCAGATGTATCATTTGGTAGTTTCCATTGGATATTACACTGTTTTGCTTAGGATTGAAAGTATTGATAGTGGTGAGTATATTGAGAATTATTTCAATCACGGTTTTCTAGTCGAACATATGGAAGTTACAAAGAAACCCTATATCCAAACCAAAATATTTGTAGAAACGATAGATATAGGTGACTCATTTTCAATTCCATCTAATTCATCTATTGTGAGGAGACTATACCAGATTTAGATCTAAAATTTATTATTGACATCTAAGTCAAATCGGCGCTCACACGTTCCATCTGAAAAATGGTCAGCAAATAACTACTAGGAGATGCTAAGAAAATCAGAAGTGAAACAGAATTTTTTAAAGTTCATAAATAGTTATACTAATATTTAATGGCTTTTAAATAAATGGTAGGTGTGATTAAATTTGATAGATTTCAAAAGAGAATGCCCAATGAAGGAGTGAAGTTTCACAATAAAGCTATTCAAGGTTTAAGAAAAGAAAAAATCTCTAATCAAAGGAATTTATACTATTATAAAGATGACAGTGAGAAATTAATAGGCCCTTTCACTGCATCTAAATTAATTGAATGGGTGAATCAGGGATATTTTGATCAAAAAGGTAGCACTCTTGTCAAAAGAGAACACGACACAGATTATGTGACATTAAAAAGTATTTTACCTAATTTATTAATGGAGGAACAGAAATCTTTAATAAATAGATTGTGTAACTTAGATCCGTTACATAGTGAAAATACTCAATTTGATGTTTTATCACAACAAATATCTGCAATAGATCCAATTGGCACAATTCCAGCTAATGATATATATTTGCAGGAAGCAACGTGTGATTTAGACGTTATTTTGATGCCAAATGAAAAATCCAAGATGGTTTTTGAAATGACTATGAATAAAATTAATGCAACAAAATCGAAAAAGGCTATTACATTAACTTCAACTCTAGGTGACAGTGAATTAGCAAGAGTGAAGGAGAGAACAGCAGATAATAATCTTGAGACAAATTCTGGAAATATGGATTTAATTAATATAGCTGATGACTTTGTAGATAAACATTCAAAATTTATAGGAAGATATTGTGGGGATTCTCAAAATATACCTTCTCCTTTAATCTCGTTAAGAATTCCAGTTCACAGCAACTTGCTAGGTTTAGCTTCTCCTGTAATGCGAGTAGAGATTAATCAATTAATGGAATTAAGACAAGAATTTAATGAGCAATACACTCTGAATTATAATAGTGAAGATATACAAACAAAACTGAATAGACTTAAAGCTAGTTTAGTTAGACCAGAATACAAAATAAAGGCAATATATCCTGAAGCTGTAAGGGTACTACTGTTATTTATATATGGGCATACAACCTGTTTAAGAGGCGCAGATCCCTACCTAATGCTAACAGTATTACACGAAGCTAGAAGATTTAAAATTCAGCTATTGGAAGAGGAACTCTTTGAGATGTTAAACTCACCTGCTAATCTAGAAGCTATTGTACAAATGTCTTCTGTGGCAGAATGCTTAGAAATGGCAAATTTAGTTGAATCAGCAGTTTATATCTTGGCAGACTGTGCTCAATCATTGTTTAAGGGTGCACATTTAGCTTTGAGTTCGAATGTTTTATTACAAGTTATAAAGAGTGAAAGAGTCTTGATGGCTGAGATGGACATTTTCCTTGCAGTCCATATGTATGTATTGCAAAGAGAAAGAAGTGTTGGTCTTTTTTCAGATTCTAAAGACAAGAAATTAAATTATTACAAATATATCCGATTTGAGCAAATGTCTCCTAGTGATTTAAAAAAAATAAGAACACCAGATTTAGATTCCCTATTGTTAGATGCAGCCCTAAACAAACTACTAGGAAATGAAGTCAACGGTAGATTAGTACCATGGAAATCAAATACAGAGTTTTCTACAAATAAAATAAGTGGATTGTACCCAATAGAATTAATAAGAAAGACATCTTTTGCAGGAAAGTATAAATGGGCTTGGACCCTGGGTGATTATAGACTAGTTTCAGATATGATATGGCAAGTCAAATTATGCAAGACATATATGGGAAGAGTAAGACTTGGGGTATGCTGTCGTTCTTGGGATGCAAATAATTTGTCACAGGTACCTAAAGTATTTTACTATGACTTCATGGAAAACTGTTTTGGGAGTGCATTTTTAACCAATGATCTTTACAATCTAAGGTCCAGAATATCTTGTGCTAACAATAAAACTAGAGACAAATTTATACTAGAATCTGACACAGAAATACAAATAAGATTAAATATAAACCGTTATAATTTAGTGTTAACTGTAACAGATATTACTAAATCAGAGGATAAAAAAGTCACTATTCCAGCTACTTCCATTGCTAAAAGTAAGTTTTCAGCAAGTCATACATTTGGACATGATTGTATTATAACTCCAATAGGTTTTACAAAACGACCTTTTCTTGAAACAGCAAATTTTGTTGAAATGTTAGATGATGGTGATAAGCTTAGACTTTCATAAGTTTAAAGTACTATGAGAAATTACTAATTATAATTATATTTCAAATAGATAATTAATTTTGTACTTTTTGGATTTGCTTTATACTTTAAGATTTCATGAATTCCCGGTTAATATGTAAAGTATAAAATATTTTTCAAACAAACTAAAAAATCACTGCTGCGCGTAGATTTGAGTTTTATTACTGGTGTATCATGGAAAATTCTAATTTAAAAAGTTTTTGGTTTCCAAAAATTATTGATATTATCCAACCTACCAGCTTTATTGAACTTATTGTTTTATCTATCCATTCAGCTTTATTAGACATTGGATTTTTGAGTGTACAACTACTTGAAGAACAGGATGAGGGGATTGTTAAACAAAGTATGGAAGCATCGGAATCTACCTTATCAAACCTTAAGTTAATTTCACATTGTAACTATCAGTCTTCACTTCCTGACTCAAATTCAGTTAGGATACCACTTACATATTTAAAAGATGATGGAATAAATCTAGCAATAGTACCTTCTGGATGGAGGCAGCAGAATGCAGAACAATATAACTTTCAATATATTCATCCTGCGTGGGATGAAAACTTTAGAAATAATCGAGATGTAGTGAGATTATTAAAAGTGAAATGTTTTAAATCTAGTGAGAATGTTCTGGTAACTGTTGATGACGTGCTTAATAAGAACAAATGCTTGGCTACTGGTTTTAAAATTCCACAAAACGAGGGCTACTTTAATTATCATACGTGTGATCAATCATTGATATTAAAAACAATTAAAGAAAATATTATTGAGAAGCTACTTTCGGAATCTTCTTTGTACTTTAATTCTGGAAATGAAATATCAAGGTTGAGAAATTATAATGAAGTTAGCTCAAATTCCAGCAACCTTTATTTTCAATCAAGTCTATGCAATTTAGATAGTACGGTTCAACCTATAGATCCTTTGGTTGATGATCGAGGGATTAAAGGAAATTTGGTTGGACCAAATAGTCAGATATTTAGTAACTTTCCCAGAACTAAATTTAAACCCAAGTTTGATCCAGTATCATCTATTCCAGGTCACTCCGGCGAATTAAATAATGACATATTCTTCCCTCCTGGTCCACCTGATGTGAGCCAAGATTTTTTTTTTAAGTAGAGACTGTTAATAATAATTGACATGTGAAGTAGAACTTATATCAGATATTAATACAGATACTTGGCTCTGATCATTCCCACTTCAATATTGCTATAAGAATAGTTATTTATATTATGTGCAGGAGTTAGAACCACATAAACTTCAATAAAACATTTACAATTATATAAAATAATTGGTTATTTAAGTGCTAAAAGAGTAGTGAAAAGTGGAATTTTACATTGCATACAAATGAATACGACACCTTAGCGCCCTTAGTTCAATAGCTCCTGCCATTTGGTGGAGACACTTAAACTTTTATGCTATATTAATAGTTGTAGAATTTGTTAAAGATTTCTTGTCTCTATTATCTTTATTTGCAAAGTTTGAGGGGATAACGTATACATTATCATCTAAATTGTTTGATATCAATAGTAAAGATATAAAGTCGAACTATTGAGAGATGACAAATACAGAAAGGATCCTATCAGCACTGGATAGACTTAGAGAGGATATAGATATCCCTATATCATCATCTAACTTTATCAAACAAATAATTGAGAAAGATATTAGTAGTGGGAAGCATGACACAATTGTAACAAGGTTTCCACCGGAACCAAATGGCTTTTTACATTTAGGCCATGCAAAGGCTATATGTCTTAATTATGGGATTGCAGTTCAATATAACGGTAAATTTAATTTACGTATGGATGATACAAATCCATACTCTGAAGAACAAAGATATATTGACTCCATAGAAGTAGATTTAAGTTGGTTAGGAGCTAAATGGGGTACTCACAAGTATTATACATCAGATTATTTTGATCAATTGTATATTTGGGCTAAAAAGCTCATTGAACTTGGAAAAGCATATGTTGACCATCAGACAATTGAGGAAATCAGAAAAAATCGTGGTGATAATGATACTCCACCAAAGGATTCTATATATAGGAACCGTTCTATTGAAGAGAATATGGAACTTTTTGAAGAGATGAAGAATGGTAAATTTGAAGAGGGTGAATGTGTCTTAAGAGCAAAAATCGATATGAATCATGGAAATCCAAATCTACGTGACCCTATATTGTATCGGATTTTGAAGCAATCACATCCTCATACTGGAGATAAGTGGTCCATTTATCCGATGTATGACTTTGCTCATGGTCAAAGTGATTCAATAGAGGGAATTACACATAGTATTTGTACACTAGAATTTGAATTACATCGTCCACTTTATATTTGGTTTCAAAAGGTACTAGATATAAGAAGAACAGAACAAATAGAGTTTGCTAGACTGAATATTACACACACAGTATTGAGTAAAAGGAAACTACTTATATTAGTTAATGATAAGTATGTGAATGGATGGGATGATCCTAGAATGCCAACTATATCTGCTGTTAGAAGGAAAGGATATCCACCACAAGCATTGTGGGATTTTTGTGATAAGATTGGAGTAGCTAGAAGAGATCAGCTTATACATATTGAGTTACTTGAAGATTGTGTTAAGGATAGATTACATCTTATTTGTCCAAGACGTTTTGCTTGTATTAATCCATTGAAAGTTGTTATAACAAATTGGAATTACAATGATGAGCATTTGATTGAAATCGAAGTCCCTAATCACCCAGATCAAGGTGTTGATATGGGAAAACGCCTGATTTATTTCTCAAAATATTTATGGATTGAAAAGAGTGACTTTTGGGCATCTAACTCTGAGCCTCCAAAGGATTTCAAACGCCTTGCAAAAGGTAGGTCAATTCGTCTTAAATATGGATTTGTTGTAACTTGTAATGATGTGATTTATAATGAGGAGACCGGAGAATTACTTGAAATACATTGCACATATTTGGAAAATAGCCATTTAATCCCTTCCAATATAAACAATACTCAAAATAATTTATTTAAACGTTTAGCAGCAATTCACTGGTTGTCTTCTAAAAATACTTGTGAGGTTGAGTTTCGCTTGTATGGGAGATTATTTAGTGTGCAAGATCCAGGGAATCAAGACAAGGATTGGAGAGAGTATATTAATAGAAAAAGCCTAGTAGTGAGAAGAGGTTTTGCTGAGAAGAATATTTTAGAATATGAAATTGAATATACTAAAGATTCAAGAATAGATACCTTTGAGAAACCAAACCGTTATCAGTTTGAAAGAATAGGGTTTTTTACACGTGATGTAATAAGCTCTACAAGGACACTACCTGTATATAATTTGACAATACAACTTGGAGAGTCACCAGATGCCTTAATTAAGACAATAACAGAAACCGGAGCAGAACAATATATGCAAGAGAGTTATCGAAAAACTACATACCATAAAAATAGAGAGAAGATAGCAGCAGAGAGAGCAGCCAAGAAAACAGCAAAGGGAGTTAGAGGGAAGTAGATAGTAGATAGTTTAGAATACAATTATGGGAGTTTTATTTACTAGATCACTAGTGAAACAGTTATAAAGAAGTATAATTTAAGAAGATATTTAATATATAGGATTTTAAGTTTTAAACTTTAAGTCTTATTAGGGCCTCAGAACAATACTTCCTAACATCTAGGTCCATATCATTTAGTTTTGCATTCTGTAAAATATCCACTAGGTCTTTGGAATTGTATAATTTGATCATGGATTCTAGTACTTGTATAGACTTTATCCTCACATTTGCAACGGGATCATTGGAGTATTTGTCAATTACAATTGATGTAATGTCATTGTATAATTCAACATCATTTTCATCTAATAAGCAGTTGGTTTGATTATCATTAGAAGAGATATGATTATAGTTGAGTTTGTAAGATAGAACCAAATTAGTTGAAGAAATAAGTGGAATATGCTTGTACAATCTGCTCATTGTTAGTGCTGTCTGTTTATCACTTTGATCACTATCAGAATTACTATAATATTCGATTTCATAATCTTGATCCATATCGTTAGTTGGTAGTACTGTAAATATTAATTTTGCAAGTATATGTATAACTGTTTGTAATTCACTTAATGACTTAATTGATATGCCCGTAAGAATAGAATTTAATGAAAATAATCCAATACAACGTAGAGAGTATACCTTCTCATTTTGTATCATCGGTTGGAGTATGTAAGGCCATAAAGTACTTTTAAACCACTCTTTTCCAAGCCAAAATGTTAATAGAGGTATTGTAAATATAGATGTTAATTGTCTAATAATACTCGTGTTATCTGTAACACCCTTGTATATCATATCAAGCAAATAGTTCGGTGTACCACCATACAAATTAAAAAATAGTTCTTCTTCTGATGACTTTTTCGATTTGTCACTAACTAAATTTGACAGTATCTGCATATCTAAACAATCTCCATTCCACAAATCTTCTTTGTATATTTCAACTAATATACGGTAGAATATTAGTGTCAATAATAGTATGCAACAATAGCGAACTCTCCAGAATGAGTCAGACATTATAATGCCAACATAAGGTATCAATATTTTTTCTAATATTACATCTATATTAGATATATATGGTATACCATTACATAATGACAGTATTACACTTTGTCTGACTTGAGTATCATGATCATTAATCAATTCAGATAATACTAGTGAAAATACATTCAATAACATCTTATCTCTGGAATTTATATCACTATTTTCTATATTATTAGTACTCTGGCTAAATAAATAATCAGTGCTAAGTGTCTTCTCTTCTAGGCCGGTAACTTGAATAATATAAGTTAATAATCTTGTAAACATCATTCTCATTGATGGAGCTGGATCATTTATGATCTTGTTATTATTGATTAAGGGTACCAAAATTTCAAATAACAGAAAATCACTAATTAACTTATCTATATTGTTCTTTATAGTATTTTTATCAATACTGATGGCTCTGCCAATTGACTCCATAATGCTCTTCATTGTACTAGTTCGAACTTCTCCCTCCATATCCATAATTAAACTCGTTATAATTGGTAGTAAATAATTCCTCATTTTTTTAATATCCTTCTCAACATTATTCGTGCTATCAATTATATTACTAGTGGTATATTCTTCATCGTCAGTTTTCCTATTGTTTGGACTTATATTTTCCAAATTCTGAATACTATTCATATGATTCTTGTTTAAATTGCTATTGTGTACATGTAATAGTATATTTACTACCTTAATTAATGGTGTAGAAACTACACTTCTAACTCTCCAGTTAGGATCATTACTCAAATTCACAATAAATGGCCATAAATCTTCAATATAACTACTAATTTTACATTCAGAAAGGTGCAAAGTCCCATTATAAATCCAATCAAGGAAGGAGAATATGGAATCCATAGATAAAAGACGAACACATTCTTGTTCGTCACTGCAAAATGACTTAAGCATAGGGAAAAAGATTTTATCAGCCAGTTCCTGCTTCTTTGATATATATATTTCATTTAATAATAGAGGAAATACTTTACATACATATTTTCGAAGCATTGGTGCATGGGATGTACTAAAATTTACATATATATCCAATACATGAATAATATCCAAATTACATAGATCACGTTGTTTCAAAATAATTGGTGTAATGTAGCATGCCATTACTTTATAATTCAAAATATCTGAGTCCGAAATTCCTATATAGAAGTTTAACAAATCCTTGCTCACTTCAAATATTACAGAATGTGAATTTTCCTTATCACTACTTGATAGTTCTGTTCCAAGTATTATTGTAATACTCTCAAGTAGATAAGTGATTGAATTAATAGCTTCCATTCTAACTAAAATATCATCACCTTCAACTATATCTTGTAAAATTGGAAATATTTCCATTACATCATTTATAGTACTAATTCTCGGTATTTGCTTATTCCTATTATTGTAGTGTATAATTCTCTTGCCTATTTTTGAGCACAGTTTGGCCAAGTGAATTAGTACATCATTGCTCTTTTCACATTCAAATAATTCCTTTATGATTGGTAAATATTTCATAGTGATTTCTTTTGTAGAAGCTTGCTCAATCACTTTCTCATACAAGCTTTCTAAACCAAAAATCCTCTCATTGAAATCACCACTTTTCATAGACTCAAGTGATGTGTAAATCAGTGACTCGGTGCCAGTTAATGTGCAAAGAACATGTTTCTCTACACTCAAACTATTCAATAATTTGGAATTCATGGAATTATCGTCAGTCATCTTCTGATGCTCTTTACTCAATAACTAAGTTCCAAAAAAACTCGTCTAATATGTACAAAAATACTCCATCAATTTATATTAATATAATTCCCATATTACCCAAAGTCAACTATATAGTAAGATTTGAATCTTCTAAGACTTTATTTCCATTATTATTGCAAAAATTCCCGGGCGGTTTATTCTGAAGAATGATTAGTGGGGCTTTTCTGATTTTCAGTAATTGCATATTATCCCGCCTGTGATATACATTTAGCACTTACCAGTTATTTAAATTGTCTTACAATTTAGCAATGTAATAAAATCCTTTATTTACAATACACCTGAAATTTCATTGTTCAGTGATTAATTCATACATGAAGTTGTAGGTATTTCCTCGTAAATATATTTCATTATTTTTTTAGTAGGATTGTCTTAACTTCATCTTATTTATTTTTTATATGGAATTAGCTTTTAAGTAGCTAAATTATGTCCAATAAGAAACTACTCCATCTCTAGATGCGGTTATTAGACCGTATTGATTATAAAAAGAACCATCTAATATACTAATAGATGTTACTAAATCTTTGTGACCAGCCAATACTTTTGGCAAGCCTAGATCTTCAATTTGGTCAAATTTCTTTACTATGCAGTTATATGAAATAAGTTGTCCATCATAATTACTATTTATATACTGGAAAATATTTCCAAGAGAATCACCAAGTAAATAAGAATACGAATTATTTTCTGTAGCAATAGGCCCAACTTGACATGTATGATATTGATTGTAGTAATTGTATTGAGGTTGTTCATTTAGAGTAGTGCATACATTATTAAAATTTAGGCTAATATTGTCTTGATAGCATATCATTCCACCTTTCCTAATATAGTTTGTTATACAATATAGACAATCGCAGTATTGATCAAAGTGGTCCTTTTTAATATTTATATAAGAATGCAGTTGAGAAAAGGTTGTAGCATATACATCAATGTATTTGTTCATTTGATTATATTGCTGGAATTTTATAAAATGATCACTATCTTTAGGATAATTGCTGATAACTTCACCACTAACCCAATCAAACAGTATTAAAGTATTATTATCAAGTGATAGTAATATTCTTGTGAGATTATGACATATACTTCCATTTGATATACCATTAATTCTAATATCTTTAGTATCCAAATTTATACCAATGATTTTCCATACTTTTAAATTTCTGATATATTGGATATCAAAGATAATAATGAAATTTTCACTAGTACCAACGCATATCCATTTATTGTTAATGCAATCCGTACATATATTGGTTACATATCCCAATTCAGGTGGAATAGTGGTTAAAATATTTTTTTTTATTGTTCGGAAATCATTTAAAGAGACTTGTCCATTACTATAGACTGTTGCAAATTCATTATCTAAGGAATTTAATTTTTTTAATAAAATAATACTTGGATGTTGTATATTTTTTGAATTATACTTTGTAAATGGAAATTCATAAGTATGTGGCTTATCACTTATAAAAATTTGCAGTAATTTGCCCTTATTTGTTCCAATAACTACGCCAAAATTATTGCTTTGGGATACCATTCCAGTGCAGTATGACCAGTTTAGTATTTCTAATTGATTTGCAATATTACTTCCATTAGGTATTCTATATACATATTGATCATTTTTATTTACATTCTTCCATGAATATTCATTATGGACATATTTATGAAGATATAAGCAGCTTTTATTCATGTTGCTACAAGACCATAAGTAAATTTCACTATTTCTGTATGATATATCAGTATATATATCAAACCCATTGCAGTATATATTATTACCATTTCTTTTAACTGATTTCTCATGTATGTATATTGATCCTTTATAATTACCTCTGATTTTAAAATAGGAATAATTTTCTCTTTCAGTATTGTTTAGCCGGGGTTCTGGGATTGTTGTCAAATTTCCAACACTCGGAAGTTTATCTAAGCAAAATTTAAGAATATATTTACTTCTTAGTCTCTTCTTTGATTCTGATTGCAGAGTAGAAATATCTTTAAACAAGTTATCTAAATTTAGTGTCCACTTACTCTCATAGCTATAAGCATATAGTAACAGCAATGAGTAATATAAGGTTACAAATGATGCAATGTTGTTTAACCACTTTTTTGAATTGTATTTTGTATTCTCATTAAATAAATCCACGTTTGAGTTTATAGGAAGTATATTACTCATGAAAATTGCCCTTTTTTTGTAATTAAGAATCAAATACTTCTTATCCGAATCTTTTAATATATTGTATTTTGTATTTCCAGTGTTGCAGCTGTTAGGTTGGAGATTATTTTGTCTTAACAAGGATACTTTTGATTTATTTTTTCTGGTATTCTTTAAGTAACTATGGAAAATATTAATTATTGTATATTTATCTTTGATCATTCTATCAACCAAAATTTTATTTAAATATTTTGCAAGATTAGTATCAAACTTTGAGAAGAAAAGACATATAATAGTCCAATCTTTCATTATGATTGATGAATCAATAATAAACAAAGATAGTTTATTGAATGATTCATAAAGTTGATAATATATATATAATTTCCAAATTTTAAAATTAGTCAATATCTCAGATGCTGTAGATATCATCATCTCAAAAGATATAATAGGATTATTTACTGTTTGTGTTTCCATAGCTTCTAGAAAGGTAGTTTCAAGAATTTTATATATACATTCAATTGAAGTTATATTTACAGACAAGTCATCATCTCCAAGGCACTTTTCTAAGCAAAATTTACCATATGGTAGAAATAAGGAAATGTCCACATACATAATAATATCAGTAATAATTTGACAATATCCATTGCGAATCTCTGAAATGGGAGAATTCAATTGTGCTATAATGTATGGAAAGATGTCCGTAACAATTAAGTTAGTATCTTGGACTACATAATAGTAATGTATCAGTAGAGTAAAGATAACCGACCCATTCTTTATTGGTTGGTATTCTTGTAAGGGATCTAATTTATTTGTTTTATTTAATACCATTATTAAAAGTGGATTACAATTAGAAGTTAAAATAAATTTTATCCATGTATCTAATATTACCTTATCATTGACTATTTTATACACTTTAGAAAGCACTTTAATAGTAGAGTATAAAACATTATAACTTAAATTATCTTTGTTTAAAATACCATATTGCAACAAATCTATAACATTATTAATAAGTACATTATTCAATATATCACATAAATCTTTGTCATTTAAGTAATTGTCAATGTTTATATGTTTATTGACCCAATTTAAAGTTTCAGTCTTCACTGTAGAATCAAAGCTATCCAACTTTAGAAATAGACCAATAATTGGTAATATTCTGTTTATAAGTACTTCCCTTAATCCGGTCTCACCTAGCATTAAGTATAGTATATCCAGTATATTTAGAGTATGCAAATATATACTTTGAATAATATCTTGATCAACAAGCAGATCTTCATCTGAATTGCAAAATTCAATTTCAGGTTCAACAATTTGCATTAGACAATTAAAAATAATTTCTAAATATAACTGAATTGCTAGATTTTCATCAGATACACTTTTGACATCATTAATTAGAAAATTTAAATTTCTGCTAGTATCTACAACTTTTTTATTATTTGGTTTAACTTTAAATAATATCGAAGATAGATAATCTTCAATATCTTTCATTTTGTGTATATCTTCTGATTTACTTAATCTCCTTTGGGTTTGTAAATCCTGTTCTATTGCACCATCTACAATTCTAATGTCAAAATCTTCATCTTCTAGCCAATATCTGAGAATTAATTGAAAGTATGAAAATAGACAACATGTATCAAACTGAAAAATTGAGTGACTTATAGAGCTAGCCTCACTATTTTCATTTTCTCTATATTGGTTGTAATTATAAAGCTGCTCAACAAAAGTATTTATATGTTCATGGTTTATTTGCTTATATTCTATCAAAATAATGGTTAAAATAATATCATTTATTAGTTCGTAATCTATTTTAGTATGCAGTGTATCTTTGATAATATCAAATGACCAATTATTTATGCAACTTATCTCTATCTTTGGTAGGTATCTTTGATTTATTTTTGAGCTATAATTGTCTACATTTTCAGATAATATCTTGACTTCATTAAAAAGAATCGCTTCTAATAAAGAGGGTAGCATTGAACACAATAATAAGATTTGTATCCAAGGATTTGAAAATAAACTATGACTTAGTATTAGTGATAAAGGGTAAAAAAAAAGTGGAAAGGCATTTGGAAATATCTTTTTCTTCACTTCTTGATCAAAATTATATATTACATACTTGTAGTGATCATTAAATACTTCTCTTTTCATTCCACATGTATCAAGAAATATTTCATATATATTTGGACGTCTTTTCGGAGTAATTTCAATAATATTTGCAAAGTAATTCTTCAGTTCATCAGTTACTTCTGTTTCAAATTTCCCAGTACTATTTTCATCTTTGTGCCTTTTTAAAATTTGCTTCAGGTTTAAATTTAAGTTTCCATTGTTCATTATTTCAATTATAGTACATCCAAGAGAAAATATGTCCATTTTCTGCAATAATAAAGTTTCATCAGACAAACTTTTGTTACAATTATCTTCTGTATATTCATATTGGTATAAATTCTCATAGATCAATATTTTCCTTTTCATATTATCCCTATCAATAAACCTTTCTGGGGCTAAATAACACTTAGAAGAGTTCTCCTTTTCAAAAAATATTGTCCATAGTCTTAAATCATCTCTATCAATGTAAATTGGTTTCCAAGGACATAAATCAGTTATTGTTGTAAATAATATATGTGATATAAGAAAATTTTCACATTTAATATCACCATGAAATATACCACAGCTATGTAGTTGTAATATAGAAATAATTGCTTGGAATGAAATCCATTTTAAGACAATTTCTTGCCGAATATCTGACATTCCCAACTGACTAAACCAGTCTTCTACTGTACAACTCGATGACAAACGATTAATATATAAAAAGTTTTCACCGATTTCTACATTGTCATATGGCAATACATTTGGATACATATGAGTTGAAAAAGTAAATTTACATTCCTCAATTGCCTCTTTAAGCTCATATAAAATTTTACAGGACTTCTCAGTATTACCAATAAATTTTTTATCATATTTTCGCTGTGTGATTAATCTCTTTATACCATTAAAACTAGGTATATACTTTGCCTCATCATAAATCTCATTGTCGGTCATCCATGGTAAATGTTCACTTTTATTTAAAGAAGTTTGTAACTCCTGCTTATCAAAAGATCCTGAGTTTGATATAATCTTCCTTCTATCTAAATTTTCTTGCTTTGATATATTTCGAAAGAAACGATAGAACTTGGGTTTTTCTATAGTTGGATATTCAATAATAAAGTTGTAGGAAATTCTACTTCTTCCTAAGAACTCTCTATAGTTCTGCAACCATCCATATTCTATTAATAAGCTTTCATATTCAGCCTCATCGTCCAAAGATGAATATATCGAGTTACCCATTAAAGATAACTTAAATCCTACTAAACTCTAAAGATTGAGGTATAGAGTGTCACATATCATCCAAGGACTTATGGATTTGGTTCTTATGAACTTATAAATGGCGGATCAATATTTCTGTAGCGGCCCAGTAGAAAATCGCATTAAATCATGGCTCTCAAGTACATCATTTTGGACTATTTTTTTAACAGAAATGACCAAATAGCACAAACTTTTTAATACCTAGATCTTTTCACTATAATATTCTCGGGTCATTAAGATTCCACAACGATCTATATTAAATACTCAAAGTAACCCTGCTTTATCTCTAGAATAAAGTAATCCTGTAGCTATTGTAAATGCATTATTTGGGTATATTCAGTTGTAAGACTCTGACTTAGATATATTCGTAATTTAATACTAACTAGTTATAATCTAACTAAAGGAGACACAGTCTGTTATAATAAGGATGCAAGTATACTGGCTCAACAAGTATTTACAGATATTAACAGCTAAAAAGCATTACTTAGATAATTGAGATTTCCAATAAATGAGAAGAAGTTGTATCTTAACTTAAATTATATACATCTACTATATATATTTACTTTAATGCAGTAAAAAATAATGTGACCTTTAGCTGGGAAACAGTTTTAAGTTAGAAATACTTGAAGATTTTAAAATTTTATTATAATAAAGCAGCTAATGTATAGTTGATCGAATACATGTATTTGTTATTTCAATAATTGCTAGGTAATATTAAACACTGACAAGATTTTTTTGTAGACTACTTATTAGAGTAAACTTACAGGATTAATACTTCTCTTACGTTTACGTAAAAATTTAGTTAGTTTAAAAAATATTCAGTATACAAGATTGTTATTTGACTAAAATTCACAAGATATACTTGTCAGTATGTCTTTAAGAATACTTTCAAGCTCGAGTATTTCCATATAAACTAGCTATACGTTTGTTTAGTGTATAGATTATTCATTTACTTATGCAGTGCAAAGTTTACGAGGAAACACTCAACAATTACTGAAAGATATTAATTGAATACTTCATCTAGCTAAAAAGGTGTTTAGTTGTATTTAGTAAAATATAAATCAAAACATTTGATTTAAATTATTAATCTTCAAATTTATCAGTAAAATTATTTTGTATTGCCACTAACTGCGAAGATTACTGCAATATTTATTACTTATATCAATATTCCAAAGCTCTTATTATTTTATTTTAATATTTCTTCTTAAATATAAATATATGATTTTCGTATTAAATAAATACTTTGTTGAGGTAGTATAAAATTAAACATTCTAAATCTATGCTTTCCCTATTTCCAAATACAATGTCAATTTACTATAATAAACTTTTTTAAGGATAGGGAACTACTGAATTTTAAATATATTATCTGAAAAAGTACTTTTATAATTTAGTAATATATGAGTGAGTTTCACCATTTGCAAAAGCTTGTACTCAAAATTCTTATCTCTATTGTTTCAATCCTTTTGATAGTTTCGTAAATCACATATTCAATATATCAAAGTAGTTATTTTGATTCTAATTGTATATAATTCTTTATTATAAAAAAACGAGATTCCCAATATATTACCTTTAATTGCGTCCTTTTGCTTTCTGTAAAAAAATACTTGCAGCCTGAGTATATTTAATATTCACTTTAAATATTACATTGTTATTATTATGCTGTTAATTACTTTACTATCAATAATCAAGTTAGTACTTAATACTAATTGATCACCTATTTAAATTCATGTTCTTAAAGAGTATATTTCCTCAATAAAATTCAGTACTTTGAGAACAATAATCACATGAATAGATATTTGTTTTAAAAAAAAATTATATTTGTATATATAATTCTAGTGTGCAACTTTGTAACTTACCTTGCAAAATATAAATGATAGTACATATTATTTGTAATTAGTAAGGTGATCCCAAAGAATCAGTTACTCAAGAAATAAATTGCAAGATAACATCTATATATAAGTTTCAATTCAGCCACTTGTTAAAAGAGCAATTGAATTCATTTGTGTTATATTATTTTTATTGATTGGAAATATATGAGGTTTGCATCTTCAAAACACAAAATATTTTAAGTGTATCTCCAAGATCATCCGTATTTGTGGGTTCAGCCACTTTTTTTCCTTTTTTTTTCTTTAGTTAAAAAAAGTTCCATTCTATTCTATTAGAAATGAATCCGAATTTAAAAAAAGATTTATCTCTTGTTGGACTATTAAGATTAATAGAAATATGTTGCAGTTTTGAGGAGGAGTTGGACAAACTTAGGGTTAAGCTAATTCAGTCACCAAGCTTCGACTTTGTAAGTTCTTATCTTGCAATAACAGTAGCATATGGAGAAATAAATATGATCAATTTTATTTCCTTCATGAAGTCACATGATAAGCATATCTTACCACTAGAAATAGAATACTTTTTCAGACGTGTAGACTTGAACAGTGATGGTATTATAGATTTGAAAGAATGGTATAACTTTTTATGTCCACTTGCCCACTTTTGGATAGCAGACAAGAATAGTTACACACCTTTTTCTGATGATATACCATACCTTGTTGCTAAAGATGAAAAATTAATTTTTCATATATGCAAACGATTTATCGATTATCAGTTGGTTCTTGATACTCCCAGAAGACAGTTATTAAACGATCCAGACTTTGTAGTTAAAGAATTATTTGACAAATTAGATATACAAAATAAATCATTTTTTACTTTGGATGATCTTTCAGAGGTAATAAATTCCAAAATTAAACCGAATCCTTTACTTCTATTAAGGATATTAGACAAAAATAAGGATGGGAAAGTCCAGTATATTGAGTTTATGGACTTCCTGCTTCCAAATTGTGACTCCGATCATAGTGACAGATATCTATCTAATATTAGGATATATGAAAAAGAGATTTCTTTAGATGAAATTTCAAAAAATAATCAATCTTTTTTTGAAGTTGATGATAATTTTATATCAAATAGCTCATCTAGAAATCACCTTCATATATCGAATTATAAAGAGTCATATACAACAGATAAATTTACTCCGACATTTGTATATACGGATTTCTATAGTATTCCAAAAAAACCAAAGCCCACAAAGGTTCCTGATTGTTTCCCAGATATGATCAAGACTAACAGATTCTGTAGATACTTTCCTTCATATTACTAAAGAAAATCTCAACATTGTAATCTTTTGGCTTATATTCAGTAATACTAAATCTTGTTTCCAATTTTGAACTACAAATTTAATGAGCTTTCAATATAAGTAAAGAGCTATTGTAGCGATTAGCAAAAAATCCCCCTTACATATAATACCGGTATGTACTGTATTACCAATCATTATTAAGTTAATTTCTATAGATTAGATAAGCTAAAATTGTCTCCAAATATTTTATATTTACTATATAACCTTATATTGTAAAGAAATGATAAGTTTACTATTAAATTATGAATTTGTATTTAGTCATATTTAAAGAACAATGCTATTTACAGTTGTTATATTATATAATTTGTAGATTGAGTTTAGTAATTAATCACTTAGGCCCCATTGCATAATGCAATATGATCTAACTATCTGAATTCTTTGCAAGATTTAATAATAATTATTTTACAAGTGTCTACAGATAGATAAAGTCACTGGCAAATTTTGATACTAGTCAAATTCAAGAGACATATATAGATGAATACAATAATTTCATGTTTTTTCTGCAATGCCATGTTAATGATAGGGAAAGTACTGATGTAAACTATTAAATATTTGGGGAATAAACTAGAAATAGGAGTGATGTTCTATTCTTGACTATTCAATTTTAAATACATATGACCCGCCTAAATGTCAGTTTTCAAAAATAATATTACAAGAAGCAAAACTTGAGAATAACTTAGCTTTGAAGGAGTCCATATATAGAATTTAAGCTAAAATGGAGATTCAATATTGCTGTAAATGTAAGCAATCAAAGGCTAGTATTAAAGGTAGAGATTTAATGTGTAGACAGTGCTTTATAAATTTTGTAGAAAATAATTTTCGTACAGAGATGAGACTTGGAGTTATTGAACCTCTTAAGAAGTTACATAAAAACTCCAATATAAGAAAACCACCAAGTACTGAACTTTATTTTGCAGTCGGATTTGGGTATACTTCCCAAACGTTACTTAGCCTGTTAACTGTAACGCCTAATAGTGGAAAGAGACCTGATTACAATATCAAATCACTTATACATGTTGATACATCCTGCTTTTTAGATTTAAAATGTATCAGATATGTAAATTATTTGGAAAAATTTGTTGAGAAATATTTTGAAGAAAGCAAAAGGCCGGAAGTTGTAGTAATTCCATTTGGTCTGAGCATAGCAAAATATTTGACTGAAGTAACTCCTTCAAATTATTCAAGTATTGAGGAGTGTAGACAGAAAATTATGATGTCAATGAAGTTTTTGTTGGATAAAAATACAGATAATATTGGTATATTAATGAAATCAATTATTTTTAGTGATATTCGTGACTATATAATTGAGGAAAAAAGAACAGAGAGCAAAGAATGTAACACTGGGAAATATTTAGTATTAGCCTCTACTATGGATTCAATGGCAACTGAAGCTTTACATTATATGAGTCTTGCCTCAGGTGACCATTCTAAAAGTATTTTTCGTCAATTGGACACTAGATGGTCAGGAAAACAGGAAATAATAATCCTGAGACCTTTAAGAAATTTAAGAATAAGGGAAGTAATCATTTATTGGCACTTTAATCCAAAGAAATTGGTAAGTGTCCATAATATGGGAGTACAAATTTCAATGAAAAGGGGACAATTAGAAAGGGAAATGCTTAATTTTATGTCATCTCAGTCTTCAAAGGTCTACAATATATCGAATATATTTGCAAGGTTAGCTAAGGATCTGGATATGCAGAATGAATATAGCACTAATTACTGCAAGATTTGTGGTTTATATTTACAAAGTAGTCAAATTCTCTGCACTGTTTGTGACTATATCATTTCAAATAATCCTTCAATAAAGTTTCTTAATGAAACCACTTAGGAGCTGTTTCTCTTCCTTTTTATTACTCAAAAGGTATCTTTGTAATTAGTTTGTGAATAAGTCGCTTTATAGGGGCTCAATGCAACAGATAAAGTCTTCTATACAAGCATGAGTATTGAAAATGGCTGCGTACATACACGCGCCTATATTGTATAATTTCAAGATCAAGCTATTTCTAACTTATTTCTTTTAAATAGTACTATTGAGACCCCATGAAAAGTTCTCTAAGTGACTTTATCCGTATATTATTGTATGGAACAAATGTAGCAGAAATAATTATCACAATATTTATAGTAATCTCATCACCTTTCAGTACCTACTTATGGATATTTGGAAACGGATCACACATGATTTATACATTATATGCGAATAGTATTGTTAGCGAAGGAAGATGTATTACTGATAATACCATGGATTATAGGTTATGCAGTGAGATGCTTCAGATTTATAACTATGGATATGTCTCATTCAGTTCTAAATTGCCCTACATACCATTTATAAAATTCCCTAGCTTTCTCGAATCATCTTTTAATTCATTCTCATCAATTTATACACATATTCATTCACTATTTATTGGATCATTCGTTTTACTATGTTTATTAATAGGATACATAATTTTTTTGATGATTGGAACTTTGTTATTAATAGTTAGAGATCGAACTAATTATAACTCAAGAAAAATATTCTTTTTTTGTATATGTCTACATTCTTTGGCTTTAATATGTCTCACTTCTGCTGTATTATATTGGGGAATTACACCTATTATTTGGCTTAAAACATCTACTTTAACAGATAATCCAGATATTATAATAACAAGAAGAATATATTATTGTTGGGGTTACTATTCTATTATTACTATAAATATTATTTCATCAATAGAATTATTAATTATGGTAGATGATTTCCCCTCAAAATCTGATTATGAAATCATCACTTAAACTTATAAATATGTAGGATTTATTTGTGCCGGATATTATACAATATAAATGTCTATATGTTACATAATGGTGAAGGTGGAAACCAGCTATAAATTGAAGCTATATATTACTTCAAAATTATTTATACACGGATCCTAATATATCTCTTATTTTATGAATACGTTCAATTGAGTTTATGTGATCAAAAGGTACATCACCACTCTTTCTATGAATTAGCCATTCATTAAGAAGCTTCAACATTGTAGGGCATGATGACCTTATAGTATGTAATGCTTTTAAGCGTTCATCTAGATCAGATCTCCTATATTTATTGTGATAAATTTGGTATGCATGCTTGAGTTCACTTGAAAGAACAAGTTGACTACTAATTTTATCAATACCAACACGGTAGAATAACCTAGTTGAACTTGTATCTGGGGACGTAGTTTTCAGACAAAATGACAACATATCTAAAGAATTTTCATTAGAATTACTAGCTGGTAACTCTTTAGAATCCCCATGGTTTTTATACAAGTACTTTGTCCAGTGTTCTCCATCTCCTGGCCCAACTTCAGCATTACGGAGTTTAATAAAGCTTGTGGGTATAGTACTACTTATATCATAGAAATTACTATATAAATAACTTAGTGATAAAACAATAACATAGGGTTCTTTCTTCTCTGTTCCGGATTTCTGATTATATGATACATTCAAAACACGCATAGCAACAGTTCTTGCAAGAACTTGTATATAAAGTAAAGAAACTTTGATGTATTCAATAATAAATATACTATCTTGTGTTCTCTTACCTTTCTCTTCAAATGCTTTACATACTAACGATTCCCATTCTATAGGGTTATTAATATTACTAGTAGGTACAGTGTTTATATTTGTGCAGCCTAAAATTTCAATTGGGATGCAGCTTAAAAGTTCCGAAATTGCCTTTCTATTAACTACAATCTCATTCAAGGTATTTTGCCATTCTCTCGCTTCAAGTGTCATATTACTAAAGTCTTCATTATCTGTATTTTCTAAAGATATCTTATTATTATTACAGTTCTCACTTTTTAGATATCTCTCTAGATAAGAATATGCTTGAGGGCTTTGACCAATCACAGTTTTGAGACTCTTCCTACTAATAACAGTTCCAAGTATTTCAATAGCTGTATTTGTTTCAAAAAAGTAAATACTTTCAGAGATACCCTTCATACAATCTCTATACTTAAAATATTTGATAAGACTAACTTCTAAAGGAGATATATGGATATCATCATTTATATTCTTTACTTGCTCTAATTGCCTAATTTCTAATAGCTTCTTTACTCTAAGCAAAGCCCTATAGTTTGCCTTTGAAGATTTAATGCATTCCCTTTCTAGTAGGCTTTGCTCTTCCTCTGGTATTGCTGGATATAACTTAACATTATTTGTATTGCACACAGCATACTTCATATCATCAAATGAATTCACAACTATCATTCCTGGCTTTAACAATTTGTTTAGAATCTTCTCATGCTCTTTTTCCAATCCTACTGTTTGATCTTCTAGCTTCAAATCTACAACACGACCAGGAAGATATCGTTGTTTTCTCGTCATTCTCCACCATACCAATTCGTTGTGTGGCAATTCATTTGCAGACATCCTACTTATAAGATCCCAATATATTCTAATTGACAAACATATAAGTATATGTAGGGTTATAGTAGTTATTCAATTGGTAAGCTGTTCAACCATAAAGTACTCTAAAATTAAATATATTTCTTCTATGCTAGTTCTACTCAAAATGGTTTAAGCCGCGTTTCTTAGAAGTACTGAAGTTGCGCCAGAAATATAAAAGTACAAAAGCTAATTATATAGTACTACTTAATAACCAGAACAGCACAGCTACCTTCATGCACAATTTAGGCGCCAAAAAAGTTGGAAGTAAATATTTGCGTGATACAGCTTGATGAGAACTATTTATACTCTTCAACAATGGGGCACCAGTTAGCGGTGTTACTGACACTCAGTAAGCTAGCACTAGGGGATCTTTTTTTTTTTTTTACTATTATATTACTGGAGTAGAGTTACTTAAAGATGATATGTTAGAGACTTCTTGTTATTATTCTATAATCCAGTAAATAGAACCGACATTTTCTTATCTATTTGGTTACTTAATCTGATTGAGGTATCAACTTACTAATTATATGTCCGGCTAAAGGATATTTAAGAAATAAGTTTATTTAACTTATTGCGTAATATATTTAGTTTGAATTGACAACATAGGGTTATTTTCTCTCGAAACAGCATTACTCTCGTCTACGCGAGTATTTTTCCTTATTTTATGGATGAAATAAAAAAAGAGAGCAAATGTTTAATTTAGAAAAGCTTAGTCGTTTATGTTGATGATGATATCTCCATATGACTATTTATTTAAATATATAATAATTGGAGATACAGGTATGTTTTAAATATACTACCTAAACTTCTACCTAAAATTGTGAAATTATTACTGCAGCTGTTGGTAAATCATGTTTGTTATTACAATTTACAGATCACAGGTTTAGGATTGATCATGATCTTACAATTGGTGTTGAATTTGGAGCTAGGGTTGTAAATATCGATTCTAAACAAATAAAGCTGCAAATTTGGGACACGTAAGTTTGACATAAATTTATATTGTGATTTCAATAGTAGAGTTATGAACTCAAGAATGTCACTATATATACTTTTAGAGCTGGTCAAGAATCATTCAGAAGTATAACAAGATCATATTATAGAGGAGCAGCTGGAGCTCTGCTAGTATATGATATCTCTAGAAGAGAGACTTTTAACCACTTAGGAAGATGGCTAAGCGAGGTCAAAAAAAATGCAGCTCCTTATATGACAATTATGTTGATTGGAAACAAGTCCGACTTAGAGAGAAGAGAAGTAACAACAGAAGAAGGGAGTCAGTTTGCTCAACAGAATGGTCTAATATTTTTAGAAACTTCTGCAAAGACTGCCCACAATGTTGAAGAAGCTTTTGTAAAAACAGCTGAAAAGATTTACAAAAATATTTTAGATGGTGTATATGATCTGACAAATGAGGTAAGAAATAAATTTGATAAATGAAATTTAATATCTGATTGAATATGAGTTATATTATTTGCAATGATATTTTTTAGGCCCATGGAATTAAATGTGGTAATTCAAATAATTCTAATTTATACCTTCAAGCAAATGGAGGTCCTAGTAGTTCCAGTGGAACTAGTAACTGTTGTTAATGAGATATTCAGGCAATTAAAGTATCCTCTTAGTCTACCAATACTAGCAGCTTTAAAGCGGGTTTACATCCTATTCTTTAGAGAGAATAATCAGAAGATGATACCAGAGTTTTCTATTAACAAGGCAATTATATAGCAGTTTAGTGTTATACGCAGAATATGCAGGAGCTATTAAGATATGGAAAGATGCTAGTATATAGCAATAATTACTTGATATGGAGTAGTGGAAGTACTTTGAAAGCCTTCTCAATATTAAATAGTGAAGCTTATCAATTTAAGATAAATAGCAAAGACGACACTTTTATTAAGTCAATAGACACTAATCTAGATGGGCTTATTTTGGTTTGTACAGATGATAGGGTAGTATCTTTATTTAATCTTGGAAACTCTGGATTTAGTTTAATTGGGAGCTATGGGCATTCTAAAAGAGTTAGTATAGCCCTATTTAGCTTTTATAATGATGAAATCATAGTTACAGACAAATTTGGGGATATGTATATAATTCCAAAGTGCAAGTTCATTACTATGGAGCAAGAAGTTGCGACAAGGAACAGCGAAGATGATTATTCTGATAATGAAGCTGGTAACCAAGATCGTCTGAATATAATTTGTCCTAAGATGGGTCATCTATCAACAATAACATTTGCTATAAGGAGCTTAGACAATAAGTTATTGTATAGCGGCAACAAATCAGGTAAAGTATGGATTTCTAAACTTCCATATATTCAGATTACAGAAGCAATTTTATGTGGACATAGCGACTCAATATCATCTATATGTGAGGTAAGACTAAACAGTGAAACCTTTATTGTAACAGCATCTGCTGATAAATCCATCAAAATATGGGATATTGAGAAGTGCGAAGATATTGATTCACTTGACTTTGAAGATATCCCTATTTATATTGAATATATCCCATCTTCATGCAATCTTATTGTTCAGCTTCAAAATAGTAAGGAAATTCTAATGATTTCTATAGGTAATGACTCAAATAAAAACAAAAGATGTGTATTTTTTTCAAGGAAATCTATTATTCATATTCATTTAAAGAATATCCCTTTGTATATTTTAGTTATTGACTATACATACATGAGGACAGATTTTGAGTTGTGCATGCAAACATTATCTCTGAAGAATTATTACAGAGACTCAGATATAGTTCATGTACCAGGCCCATGGCTCTGGTATATAGAAGTACTAGGTGAATATCCGAAGTTACCAGTTCCTTTAAATCACTTAGATCAAGCTGAAATTGGAAGCTTCTTTAAGGCGCACACATAGCTGATAAATCAAAATATGAATACTTCTATCAATTTCTTTTTATAGCTCGACTAAGCAATTTTCTAAAAAAATTGAAAACAAGTTGATCTATTTATATGAGATTAGTTTGTTATTAATAAACTTATATATAGGATAGTTAAGATGTTATGAAAAAATTTATCTTATATTAATAGGAGACTTGATAACCCCACTATTATATCTACTGATGCCACACATGGCGCTTATATTGTTGTTTTGAGCGTACTTATACTTAAATGCGAGTATATAAAAATTTCGGGAGCGGTTTATAATGTAAGTTATAACAAATTTAGGTACTTTACTTAAATTAGATATAAAGTTTAATCATAAGTTGTAGATACTTTTTCTCCCCTGTAATAGTTCTAAGGATGTATATACCAAGTCGTCTCAATCGTTTGGCCTCAACTTCAACTGTTATGAGCTGTACTTTGGGAAAGGCAACATGCCTAGGAATGGATAAGATATGTTCTCCTTTATGCGACGAAGATATAACTCAGCGTAAGACTCAGATTGTATGTACAATTGGTCCAAGTAGTTCTGATGTGGAAACTTTAATTGGACTAATAGATAGAGGAATGAGTGTAGCTAGACTAAACTTTTCTCATGGCAACCATGAGAGCCACCACAAAACACTATTGAATATTAGAGAAGCAGCGGCAGCTCGACCTCATAATACAGTGGGAATTATGCTTGATACAAAGGGACCTGAAATTAGGACTGGCATGTTAGAAAATGGTCAACCAATAACTTTAAAAACAGGGCAGATGTTAAAGATTGTAACGAATTACTCATTTGTGGGGAATTCAGAATGCATCTCGTGTAGTTATAACTTGCTTCCGAAAAGTGTGCAGGTAGGAAGTAATATTTTGATTGCAGATGGTTCACTAACAGCTCAAGTAGTTGAGATAGGGGAAGATTATGTCAATACAAAAGTGATGTGTAATGCAACTATTGGAGAAAGGAAGAATATGAATCTACCAGGGTGTAAGGTTAATTTACCCATTTTATCAGAGAAGGATAAACATGATATTGTTGATTTTGCCTTGAAATATGGTCTAGATTTTATTGCTCTTTCTTTTGTGCAAAGTGCAGCTGATGTTCAACTATGTCGTCAAATAATTGCAGAGCATGCTGATTGTTCCACGAATCCAATACCTTTAAAAATTATCTCGAAAATTGAAAATTTAGAAGGTGTAATAAATTTTGACTCTATCTGTGCAGAATCTGATGGGATAATGGTAGCGAGAGGAGACCTAGGAATGGAAATTCCTCCTGAAAAAATATTTGTAGCTCAGAAATGTATGATTACTAAATGTAACATAGCTGGAAAGCCAGTTGTCACTGCAACACAAATGCTAGAAAGTATGATCAAGAATAACAGGCCAACTAGAGCAGAAATGACAGATGTTGCCAATGCAGTACTTGATGGATCTGATTGTGTAATGCTCTCTGGAGAGACTGCCAATGGTGCCTTCCCTCTAGAAGCAGTCAATGTTATGGCAAGGGTTTGTGCTCAAGCTGAGACCTGTATTGATTACTCTGTACTATATCATGCAATTCATGCATCTGTACCTAAACCTGTTGCGGTACCAGAGGCTGTAGCATGCGCAGCAGTGGAATCAGCACATGATTTAAATGCTAAAATTATCATTGTTATTACTGAGACTGGTAATACAGCTCAGTTAATTTCCAAATACAGACCTGAACATACAATTGTAGCTTGTACAGCTAAAGCAGAAGTAGCCAGATCTTTGAAGATAGCAAGAGGAGTTAAGACATACGTTCTTAACTCAATTTTACATAGTGATGGAGTTATTTCTAATGCTCTCTCTTTAGCAAAAGAGCAAGGCCTTATAGAAAGTGGAGAATTTGCAATTGCAGTTCATGGAGTTAAAGAAGGATGCCCCGGTACTTGTAACCTAATGAAAGTTGTAAAGTGTCCTTAACTTGTATTTTATCTTAGAGGGGAATATTGCAAGAGTAGTTTAGAAGATTTTGAGGAATTTGATTAAAGTTTTCTTCAATATTAGATTAACCCAAGTTAATATAGGTATTAGAGATTTATCAGAGAACTAAAATTACTTTTGCTAAAAATACCAATCGATTTGAGATTTTCACTTTCTGAAACTTGAATTATATATTCAAATCTTTAATTCTTGATATTTATACCAAATATTAAATTAATTAATTCTATCCTCTATTCAAATCCTTTAAACTAATAATATAGTGGGGATTCACTATATTAGTGAAAATAAAAGATTCAATGATTTATTACATACTAAAATTAATTTCACTAACATTCTTAAATGTGTAATCAAGATATGGAATTCCTTAATTTTTTAATGAATAATACTTTAAAGGATTTCTTATATTATCTTACATCTACATGTCTTCTTGCAATGATATTTTAAGATCTAACTTTAATAGAACAAGTTACAGTAAATATATAATAATAGTAAATAGAAATTCCTAAAAAAAAAAATAAAATAACTATTAATCTTGAAAATCTAAGGAAATAATGTGGTTATTCTAATAAGCATCCTCAAAATTTAAAACAGGTTTTATATATAAATATCTTAAACTCCCATATTATTCTAGAAGATAAATATACAGTTGTTAACTGATTTTTAAGATGATTTCATTAGGATATATTACTACTATTCTTTTAAAAATTTGCTCTTATTAATAATAGTATCGCAATTAACTAAAATTTATCCATCACGTAGAATTAAGGATTTTTTCAGTATTAGTAAGTGATTCAATATTAAACTTAAATTCATAAATATATTTATATAATATACATTATCTCGGGTTTTAAGGTTTATTAGATTTCTTTTTATTTCGTTACTGTCGATTAGCTTCCACTTAATACTTAAATATCTTAACCTGCTCATTATAATATTATATCTATAAGCTACATCTCTTATTACTTGGCTAATTGTTTCTAATATCCTCAATATATCAAATTTGCTTATAACTCTATTGTATAAGTATTAATAGCATATTGTCAATATTTTAACATCTATATGAACTTCCGAAATCTTCCAAAGATCTAAAAAAGTGCTCTAAGAAAATTGGAAGTATAAATAAGTAATAAAATTACACTATATCACACCATAGGTCATAAATATTACATATACTTTCACTTCATAGACATGATTCGTAAATTTTTATTTTCAGAGTACTCGGTACCATAAACTTCCAACAGATTTTACCGCATACAATCTGCTGACTAAAGGTGAGAAAATAAAGAATTTAAGGAAGTGCAGAAAAAATCAATACTATTATATTAAGTATAAACATATCACTTATACTGTCAACTGATATATATATATATACGTTTATAATCTTGTTAATATTATACTATTAGTAGCTAGTAATGATATAGCTATCAGTTTCACAAAGTGATATCGAAATCTTTTAACATGTCATATATAATTAGATTAATGAAGTCTCAGTTACAATTTATATTTACAATTATTATGGCCATTATAGTCATCTCTTCTTTTGCAAAAAAAGCTGAAGACACGACTACTATTGATATTAATAAGTTAAATAAACATGTGAGACAATTTAATTCAGTTTGTGATATTAAGAAAATGGATATTATTGCTCTTATTACAGTTGGATGTTTAGGATCAATAGCTGTATCTGCAGGAGCTGGAGGTGGAGTTATTTCAATACCTGTATTTCTTGTATTTATGAATATGCCATTCTACCAGGCTATAGCTCTATCAACATCTGTCATTCTAGGAGGATCATTATGCTCAGTCATATTAGATATTGTCAAAAAGAAACCTGAGCTACCAGAATATGTAAATACTCTTAATTACTTTAAATCTGCACTTGATAATAAGTTAGATGTAAATCTTAACAAATTGCCAATAATGGACCTTCCTCTAGTTATCTTCTTATCATCTTTACTATCAGCTGGTACTTTGTTAGGAATATTGATATCTAAGGTCTTAAATTCAATACTATCCTTCTTAATTTTAGAATTTTTATTAATATATGTATTTTATAAAACATGGATAAAATTTTGGAAAATTAGAGAAATGGAGAAAATTACTCAAAGTGAAAATAACATGGAGATAACTCCCTTTCAAAAATTTTCTCAAGAATCAGAGGAAAAATTTAAAATTCTTCTATATATATCAACAATTTCAAAGATAGTTGAAGAATACAATACAAAACATGAATTAAAACAAGAATCTATAATGACTGATTTGACAAATAGAAACTCATCTTACTGGTTTTATATAGGAATTTCTATGAAAACAGAATTTTGGTTAGTATTAATAATCTTATGCATGCTTTCAGTATGGTTTGGTTTACTGGAAAGTGGTTTAATTATAACTAGAAATTCACTTCCTTACTGGATATCATGGGTACTTAATTTTGGTATACTTTTAGTTATACCTATGATCTCAATACCTAAAGATATCTTAATATCAATTTCATCTATTATTAATACTCAAGAGAGAATTTATTATGTAATAAATAAAATAAAATATGCTTTTCATATAAATTCGGATATTAATGAATCTCGACAGTTTACTACCTTGGAATCATATTTGAAAAAGTCAACTATTCAAGATACTAAAAGATTTTTAATGGCATATTTAGAAATTATATATATTGGAATTATTGGAGGTATTACTGGAGCTAGCGGAGGTATCCAATTAACCACAATATTCTATTCTGCACAAATAGATCCAGCATCTATTGCAGCAAATAATTCAGCATGTTTAGTTATTTCATCACTTGTTGGATTTTCAACTTATATTATGGAAAAGCGTGTACCTTTATTTTTAGCACTGCTAGTACTTGCTACGTCCTTTATTTTTACAATGATAGGTAAAAGTATTATTAACTACTTTGTAAAGAAATATAAACTTGTATCCATTGTTGTTGGAATTCTACTTATATTAATTACATTAGCTATTATATATTTGAACTATAACATCGCTATAGCTATTATCAATCAGGTATTGGGCATATAATATAAAAGATAGATACCTTTTACTTAGAAAATTCGAAATTGCTTCTTAAGATAAATATTTCAACAATCTATTAAATTATTTAGTATATCTGTTAGCTATACAAGAAATAAAGTACATATTAAATTACTTTTTACTTTGTTAATACTAGTTATTTAGTAGCAAGTTCATTTATTATTACTGTTGATGCTCGGCTTCGATATTCTCTTAGACATTTCCTTCACCCTTTTTTCATTAGACTATGGTCTTTTTGAATGATATGGATTTACTGCACCTTTTGTTGTTCATACTTGTTTGGAGCAGGCCGAGTTTAATTGGTGTTAGAGCTTCCCTACTATCTTCGTCAGTATATTCAAGCAGCATTAGATCTAATTTAGAAGTTGTTAATCCTTGGACAGTTGGAACATTTATTCGTCTACGATTAGAGAAGTGGTCACCTTTATTTGATAATGATAGTGATGAAGTTATGTTTAAGGATACTTTAAAGTTATGTATTAATAGAGGACTAAGTTTTCCACAACCTATTTTTCATATTAGGATTTTAGAATATGAAAGATCATTTGGACTAATTGGCTTTCTTATTGAATTTCCTAAGAGTGAAGCTACTAGTGGGATTAATAGGGTGAGTATATATAACTTTTTAATGCAGTGTAGAAAAGATAAATTTGAAGGAGAGGCTCATATAGCTTTACCTTCACTGCTAAGAAATGTTGTACAAATGCCAGCTATGATAGAAACTGAAGATAGTGAAAATTACACATTGGTTATGACTTTGACAATAGTGTTTCTCGCTGTAACAACGTCCTTGTCAGTTATTAGTATAGTACTATTTGTCATTTTATCAACTAGAAAGAATACATATATCCACAACTGTTGTAAGAAGGAAAATACAGAAGATGTAAACTTTAAAAAAAATGAGAATGCTCCCTCTATTAGTTCTAAAACTACGAATTTATCAATGTCAAATGACGGTGCATTATCTATAACACTTAGTCCACCAACAACAATAACAGAATTGAGTCCCTCAATGAGTACCCCCACAAATCAGCGCAGTAGCCCTTCTATGAGGAAAGTGATAAATTTTTGCGATTAGGAAGGGTATTCCCAATAATTATTGTAGAGGAGATTGCTTAGCTATGAGATTGAATCTATCAAGATTAGATCTGGTCTTTTACTTTGTATGGCTTTACTGATAAAAGTGCAAAGATGAACTTGTATCGAACTATATATACAATATTATTTTGAATAACTTTCAATATATGTTACAAGTTCACTTTTTTCTTAAAAAGTGTTTTGTAGATATTTATATTTCCATGTGGCTTATTGAAAAATAAAGCTTTCAAAAATCAATAGTTGAGTTAGCTAAATCAATTAGGCCAATTACAAATATCCAATTAATATAGAATAATCTGTGATTGATGGATTGGGTAGCTCTTTTAGTAGCTTGATAGTATTGTAGGGGGACTTCTGGAAATGCATTTTTTGCTTGAGAGAATAATCGTGGATAATTCCTCACAAGTGGCCGTCTATTATATAGAAAATTAATACATCCTAATTTAATCATGATCTTATTTTACAATTCACTTGAAAAGTTTCTAAGATTTTTTAGATTTGTCCTGGTGCATATTTCACTCGCGGCTGTATCTAAAGATAAACTCTAACGAGAGCTCGTTTTTAGTTAATTGCAAAGTTAAGCAACTTTGTGAATGAATTAAGTGTACTTTTTCTTAAAAAAATAGATGGTATCTTTAATTGTAAGTTATTTAACTCTGTAAATACAGTGTTTCTTTTTCAATTGAATATTTGTTTATTAATTGACTAACATCTTCAATGAACAAATTAAAATTACTTGTTTAATTTTCAAGATCCCCTCAAAAATTGTTATTGCAGAGGCATTAGCCTCACAATCAAATAAAAAAAAATTAAAGTCATATGATAAATTGGCACTATTCCTCAGACTTCCAATGCTACACTTTAGGTACACGAAAAATGATAAAGAGGACATGGCTTACTCTCTATCACGAGATTATTCACAAGTTCCAAAAGATATACCTTCAGATATTTTAGATATAGTGCAAACACGTCAAAATGGTTTAATAAGAAGAGCTAGAACCACATTAGGTAGCTGGTGTGGATCTATCATTTCTTTTAGCTTGGTTTCATATTCTATACGTTTCTATGATTGGAAATCTAAATTAATTATATTGCCCTTCACAACCTATGGAGGATGTCTTTTAGGTCGTTTTATTTCTCATGGTATAACTGGGAGGTGAGTATAAGCGTTGGAGAGATAAAAGTATAACTTCATGTATTACATTAAGGACATTTATGTTGTTATTACTGTATTTCAAAATATTATTTTAGATGGTCTGAATCGTACAGAGATTCAATTATGGCAGAATTCCCACCTAAAGAATATGTAAACTCAATTTCAAATGAATAATTTATTATTAAAGCTAATGTTCTCGTAAAGTATTACTTTTTTCAATTGCTATAGCTAATTAGTGAGTTTAGTAAAGATTCTATAAGTGGAGAATCTTTTTAAGAGTAGTAATAAGTCCAATATACTGAAACTATAGATCTGGTTAGATTAATTATTAAATTGGTAGAGATTGATTAGTTTATTCCTAGTTATATATTTCAAGCAACTCTATGAAGTTTTGTGTAGGGTTGCAAACTTCGAGTCCTTGAAAGCGGGCCTCAATAATTTTGTGATTTAGGTTTTGCCCACATAAATAAGATAAAACCAAGTAGGAATAGGAAGGTGAAACTAATATATGGAAATTTATTGCTGTTGATGACTTCATATACATACAACGTATAAATGCCGGAGAATCGTAGAATCAATAACTTGAGCCGCGCTGCAAGTTTTTCTGAGGTCTCATCAAAAGGAGAGGAAAGAGAAGATAACAAAGGCTTTATTATAAAGTCGAGAACTTCAAAGCCTGAAAAGCTAACTAGACAAATAAATAATGTACCGAATATATATAATGATGGTGTGTCTGAGTTGCATTCATTAAGAATGAAGCAAATTGATACAGCTCAGAGATTAAAGGAAACTTTGCGTAGGAATGTAGACTTAATGACAGAACTTCAAAAAGCCAGAAGTGTAATTCGATCTTTAGAAAAAAGAATTACTCACCTGGAAGATTCACAAGGATCACATGATGATGAGAAAGAAGTTTTGAAGGTTTGTTCTTACTGTCCGAAACAGCAAGAAGAAATACAGAAACTTAGATTGCATATCACTGAACTGAAAGATTCATTTCAAAGAAGGTGGGAAGATACGCAGATGGAGCTTTCTCAAGCTAGACAATCCTTAGTAGATGTTTCAAACAGGCTTGTTGAATGTTTAAATGGCCAAAATACTTCAACTGTGAAAATTCAAGGAAATAATACTCAGCATTTACCAAATGTTGGGCACACCAATTATAATGATTCTCAACTAAATTCCACTAGAGACATACAATTAATATCGACAGGAGGTAATTCTATTAATCCTCCAGGTTATGGGTCTTTTCCTTCTAGTAATAATTCTAACAATTATTATGAACCATCTAAGCAACACAATAATTTAATGTATACTACTCAAGTAAATAATTCAATAAGCGCTAATGAAAGTTTAAATAATCTAGAATCTTTATCTAGTACACAGCCACTCATGTTTCCATTTCCAGGATATGATATAACCTCAGGAGAATATGCAACTTATGCAAGATCTCACCAGCAAAGCATGGTAGATCTGAAGGACTTGCTATCAAGAAGTGATGAGAATAATAATAATAATAATAATAATAATAATAATAATAATAATAATAATATGTATTATTCTAGTAATAATATATATGGATTTGGAAATGGAGATATAGAAACTGAACCGAAGAATTTTCAGAATAATAAAGGAAAGGATACTAGACAGATTGTTGGATTTGAGTCAAATATTCATAGAAATGAACTAATGAGAAACAAATTTGATTACAAATACGGAAACTCTAGCATTAGTAGAGATAATATAATAAATAATAATGAATTTAACAATGCTTCTAATTTGAGAGTAAAGAGCGATTTAAGGATACCAAGATCACCTTCAATTAAAACTAATAGCTTACCTACATCTGGAAATAGATCACCAATGGGATCAGTACAACCATCATCGCTACTCTATTCTAATATCATAAACAATCGCCCTCAGTCTGAAAATAATGTGAAATATACAATTGGTAGAGTAAATAATTTAGAAAATATCCCTTTATATCATAGCCCCAAGACATATCAAAATTATCCTCTTTCAGTTCATCAGAATCAACCTCACCATCTCCAATCCCAGAAAATTCAATCATATCCAACATCATCATATAATACACCATCTTTAGATTCCCTTACGATTATTCCAAACCAGGCTAATATGATTAACCAAAAGTCTTATCCATTAGGATTTATGTCTGAAAATAGTCATATAATAAATTCAGCTAGTATCAACTCCAATTTTGCCACTTCAGTTCTTCACTCTTCTCCAGCTTTATTTCCAAGATATTATCCAGAAAATGGGAATTCAATAAGTATTCCAGGTTCTGAGGATGGATATACTTCAAAACCACCTCCAATTGGAATCTCTAGTACATCAAGCATGGTTAATTGGATGAATACAGGAAATACAGCGAATATAATCCACTCAAGTAATTGTGAACTTAAATTGAATTCTTTAAATTCTCCTAACCAAACTAATGCTGTACAAGATATAACGAACTACAATGAATTATGTGAGCCTCCTGCATCTTATAATTTAGGGACTCCTGAATATAAAACATCTTCTGCAGTATCCCCAGTTTCAACAGAACAAGTTGGGGTGGATATTGAGCATGATACGTATGGAAATATTAGGAAGACTTTAGAAGAACTAAAAAAGACTCAAGATCAAAGAGTAAAGCAACTTAAGGATGATCGTGAGAAATTATTAAGAGCTGTTTTGAATGATTTACAAGACATGAAGGATTTTCAGAATAATCTATCTACAATACAGAGCCAACAAGATAAATCCCAACAAAATCCTCCAAAGAAATTGTACCCAGTAAACCAACTTGATAACTGAATTTGAAAGTAAACAAAAGTTTAAAAAAAACTATCTGGAGGTAAATCTTATTAAAAATTAAACCAAAGAATGGTATTAGATAAGATATAAAGAAGAAATAGGAAATTATACAAAATATGAAGTACATAATCAAATAAAAAAAAAGCTATTTAATGTTATATATATACAATAGTATATATATTAACCTCTAAATACAAATATAAAATGAAAAGCTGAAATTTTATATTTGAATTAAGTATATTAAGGGATATATTGAATTTATATCTGATGTAGTTTATTCAATAAATTGGGATGGGTTTGGTTAGTATATAAAGTCTGTTAATGATTAAACTTCATTGAGGAATACACGTATCCCTGGATATTAAAATCTTGCCTTAGTTCTATTGCACTTTTTTAGATTGCTCCACTTCTTTAAAAATGAGTCAGATATAGGGATATTTTTCAGTTGTTTTGAATATACCAGTGGTTTAATAACTGCTCCTATTCTGCTCTGTATCTTTGGTTGTATTAATCTGTTATGTATTGCTGTAGTATTCCATTCAGGGCCAATTGGATATTTCAATGTGCTTTCATATAGTTCAGCTGATTTATAAGGATGAGGAGTTTCTTGTACATAGTACTTAGCAATTTTCCTATCCACAGAGTTATTAATGCTAATCAAGGGTTTTTTTGAAGATAAGGTATTAGAAGTTACATCAGTGACCATGGATATGTCAGTAAAACCCTCTGCATTTTTAAAGTTGTTTAATGTATTAACTGAACAACACCAATCACCCCAACCTGGAACTTTAGAAGTATCTGACTTACTATCAGTTTTACCACTACTTTTTTGGTTAGGTTTGACTAGTTCTTCAGTCGAGTCTTTTCGTTCATCTACTTCTGAATAATTTCCATATATAAATATTTGCTTCATTACTTCAGAATTGTCATTCAAAAGCTCAGCTTGGTCTACTATTACCATTCTTTGTAACTCCTCCTGAATATCAAGTGATCCAGTACACTTTTCCTTCTGTTTACTGTTGCTGCAGTTTGAGGTACTAGTATTAATACACTTTACAGTTGGATAAGGGGAGATATCAATAGAAGAGACAGGTTCTGTACAGTAGTCTTCTGTACTTTGCATGTCTAAGTTAAAGCCACTAGAATTATCCAGTATTTTAGCTAGGCGAGCCTGAGCTTCAATGATTTCTTGAGCACTAGGTTTGCTAGGCTCCTTTAACAATGGAATCTTGTCTACATCTTCATTGATAAATAGACTATTATATCCTTCAAGCTCATTTTCTAGAGTATTAGATTGATTAATTAAATCATTAAATTTAGATTCTAGACCTTTACGAATAAACTTCAAGTCTAGGCAATTTTCAGATATAGATTTTAGCTGTACTATATTCTTCTTGGACTCCTCAACAAAGTGTTTAGTTTTACTTATAAATTTGTCATCATCTTTTTCATGTGAATATGAGTCTAAAATTTCATTGATTTCCAAGTCACTATTATTATCTTCACTATTATCACCATAATTAACTCCACTATTTATTATCTGCTCAATTCTGTGTTTTTCATCGTGTTCTAATTGAGCTTGATTTGCAATATTCTTTTGCATATCCCTACCCCCAAATCTGGTTGCGGTCTTAGCCCACTTCTGGCGAGCTGCTTGCCTTCTTAATAATCTTAATTTCGCTCTCTTTTCTTCATATCTCGCCTTGATTTGTTTTACTAGTTCAGGGTATTCCAACTCTCCCAAACTCAATAATTTTTCTTCTTCAATCTCCTGTTGTCTCCTATGTGCCTTCCTCCAAGTCTTAGATTTAATCTTTTTTAGACGCTTATTTTCTTTTTGTTGTTGAAACAACAAAAATTTCAGCCTTTTTAAGAAGTTTCTCTCTGCTTGAGTTTTCATCTTGTCACACGGTTCAATCAAATCACTTAATTTTCTATTATCTTTTTTCCTTTTGTTATTAATGTCCAAATTTTCAGACGAAGTACTGTCATTAATACTACTGCTTAAGACTTCCTCAAACTCCTTCTCAAATTCATCCATGGGTGTGTATTTAGTTGAAAGTTGAGATATAGAGTTATCTTCAATTTTCACTTGTTTCCCAAATACCTGTATCTCTTGCTTGTTGAGCCTCTCAATTACAGGACCCCAGCGTTTCATATTCTTTGATACTAATTGGTACTGAGTCTTCCTTTCTATCTCAGATTGCTTCGAAGGAGCTAGAAGCTCCATAATTTTGTATTTACTTTTTTCTTTAAGTGTACTAATTTGCTTAAGTGCATCCGAAGTTTCAGGAGATCTAGATAAATTTGATACTATCGTACTCACTGCTTCCCTTATATTTAATTGATCTATATCATTGTTCCAAATCTTACCATTTAATTCAGAATGTTCAACACTACTAGACTCTCTTATAATTCCCACTACATTCTTTGTCCGATCATAATTAGTACTTTTCGTGCCAATAATTTTCGAGATTAACTTACTCACATCACCTTTGTATTCTCCATCATCATCTGTGTTATTATCCGACATATAATCATTTGTTTCATCATCTGAATCCATTTTCTATATATAATCCTAACTCTTAGAATTCTTTTAGTGCCTTTTACAGTACTCTTAAACCTCTTCTATCTACTTTAGACTCTAAATACTGTTCCCGCCTTAGGTGACATAAAATATGACCTGACGGTTTTATATTCACGCATTAAAAAGAAAACGAGTATCTCATGAAGATATGCAAAGTATAAGGTAATCTTAATTAAAATTAGTAAGTATTTTTATATTATAATTTTGTAGGTATGGATAACTATACTTAGTATTTTCTTTTACTCATGCCAATAGATATTCATTGTCTATCCAAAATGCATCTTGAATTATATCCTGGTGACATTTAAGGATATTATTTATTGTAATTTCTCCATATTTACAGCTCCATATTGGATGAGTTATGTCCTCATCACTAGAGTCTTTTGTATCATCAATCATTACTTCCTTATCTCTAATATCTCTCATATTAAAGTATTCACTGCTTGTTTTTTTTGTTTTTTGCCTAGGTCGATACAAAACAGTTCCTTTACGAAATTGTTTTGGGATTTTGCTATAATTGATATTAAATTCTGAGAACAAAAGCTCATTTTTATCTGAAGATACGGAGTGTTTCAAAAGTTCCGTAGCTTCTTTTTCAGAGATATTTCTGAACTTGACCAGGGCCCAAAAACAAGTATTATATAAATTATTGATATGACAATCAACCTGTCTCCAAGATAAATAATCACGTATATCCTTGTCAGTTGGATATATAATAATGCGACCATCAAATGTGGGAGGGTATGTTAATCGAATTTTAGGGAAGAAGTTATCCCAATAATATACAAAGCTTGAAGTGAATAACGATACAGTATAAGTTAGTATCTTTTCATATCTACGTCCCCACAAATCAGTTTTTCTTCTAAAAACGAAACTAAAGAAGAAATGATATCAGTCAACAGTTAGACATTAAAGTAGAATTACGTCAATATAAGAACTTCTTTGCTACCACAGTATATATGTCAATAAGTACACCTTACCTATATTCATCTGACTGGCCATAAGCTATAATAATATCACTGATCTTTCTCATTACCGATTCTGCAGCTCTATTCATCAAATCTAAGCCATTTTTGTCATTAGGTTTATCATAATTGTGACTCCTAGTGAATCTATAAAGAAGTGTGATAAATATAAATAATAAATACAAATATTAGGATCATCTTTACCAAAAAAAACAAGTTTCAAGTTGCATCTTAGAAAAACTTACTCATGAAAACTACATCCATCAATTCTAACTACAAACCAAGAGTTATTAAGAACTCGATTAGATTGTTCATAACTCTTGACATATTCATATTTACTACAGGCCATTTGAAAATAAACCAATATAAGTTCCGTATCCCCTAAAAGTAGTCTGATATACTTAGTAGTTAGATTAACCTAGTTTAATATTAAATTAGGGGCGGTGGAAAATTTGGATACTAATTTAGTTGATGTTATGCTAAGGAATAATGGTGATGTTCAATATAATCCCTATAACCTTTTCCCTCGATTCCAATTTCACCAGAATCTGTTAATATTAGTGGATTATTGGCTAGAAAGTGTCTTGCCTGAATTATTTTATCAGGTCTGATATTTAAGAAGGGATCTGTAGGATTTATTAAGTCATTTGATGTAACAGGTATAGTATGCACATCAGAGTATTTAGAAAAGTCCTCACTAGGACTTCCTAAAGTTTCAAAAGAACTAATCGGAAAATCACTGCTATCTTTCATATGTATAGCCATTTTTTGAGCTAAACTAAGCCCACTCAAAGCATAACATGTATGATACATATCACGTGACAAGCCAGGTTTGTCCCTGAAGCCTCCTGCTGGTGACTGACAACACACTAGTAAGAATGATTGCAAAGCTTGATAGTCACACCAGACATGATTGAATGGTTTCTCAGCTAGCATAGAGCGAATTCTGCAAACTTCTTTTAGACAATAAAGTAATCCAGTAAACCAAAAGCTATAGCAAGAGTCAATTAATTTATTAGTTCTTCCTTGAAACCCTCCTTCTACCCCAGACTGTCTTTGAATAGCCCAATAAATTAGATTCTCAAGATCTAATAAGTATGACTTTCCTAATATACATACTCCTGCAACTGCACAATAGGTATATGCCCCGTGGGACTCACCTCCTTGTTCACCACAAAAGCCTCCATCAAATGCTACACAACTTAAAATATAATCATCTATTTTTTCAAATAATTCTTCCGTTATTAAATGTAACATTGATGCTATTGCAACAACACAATAAAATACTCTAATATCTACCTCTCCATCCAGAGTTGCTTGGAAACCACCAGTATCTGAATCTCTTAAGCTCTTTAAATATTGATACATTTTAATTCTATCAATAGAACCAAGAGCTTCAGTATCACCAACTATTATTAGGGAGCATACAGCTGCATATGTTGAAACAATATTTGGCATATGACTAAAGTTACCACAGAATCCTCCCTCTGGATACTGCAAGTTTAGAAGAGTTGCAATGATTTTGTCAGAATCTACAAATTTAGATGCACTGTCACTTTTATTACTTCTGCTACTTGTATCATCATCAAAGACAATATTATAATTGTAATCTGTTTCTAGAAGTTCTTCAGAATGCACACTCCAATATATAATAAGTACTCTACTTGCTTCATTACTAGCACTACTTATTGGGAATCTTCTTAATCTCATTTGTCTCACATACTCTAAATGCTCATCACGATATAATAAATTTTTATATTTTTTTAGTCCAACCATATTTATAATATTACTTGTTTTAGGTTTCTCATATTCATCCATATCACTATAACAATAGTCCGATACAAAATTCTGGTAGCAAATTTGATTATTTCTCACTGACTCCAAAATACTCTTATATGATTCCCCTTCTACACCATCCCCCATATATTCAATATACCATGGGTATATACCTTTTTCAGTTAAAAATAAGTTGCAAATATGATCATCCATATTATCTATTCTATTTGTATACTATATTCAATGCTTCACTTAGCATTATCAAATAAAAGGCTTTAAATTTTACAAAAATTAAGCAGCTTGTATATTTATTGAATATATATAATGGTGCGTATTTAGGATATCTTTTAATTGCAGATCTAAAAATGAGCATAACCCGCTAGAAAACTGTTTCTAATAGACACACCTCTTATAAACTACATAGTTGTTATATTTTTTCAAATTAAATCATTTTAAAATTACGATATGTATTGTAAAGAGTATATTTAACCTGGAATTTATACTTTAAAATGATAATAATATATATATAGATTTTAAGTTAGATCTATTTATATTCGCGGTGATAGAGGCCGCCAATACGACTTAACGTTGGTGGGGTTACGCTGGATACAAAGAATTGCAAATTTATCATTGACATAGATTGGTGTGACTCTTAACCTTTAAAGCTATTTTTTGTTATACTTAAAGCTGATTATTACAAATGGAAAATCGCAACCCTGATAACTCATCTACTAATACGGTAAGTAAAATAATCGTAATAAACAATATTAGGATATCTTGAGTTGATAAAATCTATGGAGAGGTTTCTTCAATACTATATAAGCTCAAACCGAGATATGGCATAACTTGTATTTGTAACAATTCCCACTTTATTTAACTCATTATCCTATACTGAGAGTTCTAAGTTTATTAATATTAGATACCATCTGTTCCTATATTTAAAAGAATTATGACAAATCTAACTCTATGCACTATTTTAGGCGTATAATATGATGAATGATTATGGAAGACAAGCAGCTTCTACTCTACAGGATTGTGGAAGTCACTTAATAGGAACTGGTAGAGATTATTTGCAACATGCTCATATAATGGGGGAAGGGCCGAAACCATTAAGAGCTTTGTGCTTTATTGGAGGCATATTCCTAACTTTAGCATCTTTATTGGGCGCATTTAGTATCAGTCAATTATTCTTATCTCCTGGAAATTACTTATTTGAACTAGTTTTGTTTGGATTGGGGATAATTGTGATGATTGTTGAGTCTAAGGATATTGAGAGATTAAAACCATTCAGAGACTTCTGTTTAGAATGGGCTAAATTTCTGACTGTTCCAGCTGGTAAAGGTGTACTTTATTTATTATCTGGATTGTTAGCAATGTCAATATTCAAGATAAACTTTCTAGAGCTATTTGCTGGTGGATACATGGCTTTTTTGGGTATTGTTTGCATCATGGTGCAACTGGGATGTAAATCTCAACTGCAGGCTGCTGGTATATCTATTGATGTCAGTGGTTCGATATCAAGAGAGAACACAAATGAAAGGTTTAATAGATTAGCATAATGGTACTTTAGAGAATGTTGTGCATGTTGACCTTTCCTACATGTAAAAATAAGGGGATCACGGCACAAATAGCCTAATATGTGGGTCATACTCAATATTAGCTTTAATTACTATGAGATACTTCAATATTGACATAGATATTTAGAAATAGAAGTTGTAAACTCTTTATGTCACCCCAAACACCATATACTGTTGACATAATTGTGCCGCGGAAACTGATTTAGTTTTATAAGTTAAAGAATTTATTATTCAATACTATATAATGGATATATTACTAAATGATAGATATCGTCTGTTAAATTATAGAAAAGTAGAAGATAGCTGTAAATCATCGAATTCTAAAAATCCATATATATATTTAAAAGGACAACTTGCATTCTACTCTGAAAACCCACTCTTACTTCAACAGCGTATCCATGATAGCTGCTTTACAAGATCTAGTGTAGTTGGATTGGGAGGGGGAGTACTGGGTTTTTTATTTTCATCATTTATATATACTATGAAAGGTAGAAGCACTAATGCAAAACAGATGTTGTCTCATGAAATTTCAGGTTCACTTTTAAAGCAAATGAGAAGCGATTTTAAAGAATTTCTTACTGAAGCTAAGAAGAACTCATATAATTGGGCTAAGTTTGGCTTTGGATTCTCAATAGTTGATTGTTTTATTGCTAAACAGCGTGCTCAAAGTGACAGTCTCAATGCCATTTATTCAGCTTGCATCACAGGTGGCATTATGAGAATAAATGGTAAGTTTGGGGACATAGACATTTTTGTGTATCATCTATAATTACTTTTAGAGTCTATATTAATGTAAAATTAAATTACTTTATAGGTGGAATTTTGTCATCTATTAGTGGTTGCGCAAGTTTTGCTGCCTTTACCTTCTTTATGGAGTACTTATCAATATTTAGGAATGATAGCACAACTAGATATAATAGGGCTGCTGATGAAGATTAAATATTAATCCTTGCATCTCTTATAAAATATAGTATATTTGAAAATAACGACATTAGAGTAATGAAATAAAGGACTACTGCTAGTGCAGGGATTTATTGATTTGCGCGGCGAAGTCGTATCACTAATTTAAAACTCTCTTCATTATTTAAATTATTATTTTTGGGATATAGACTTGTTATATATGTTTGGTACTGTTTCTATCACAGACAAAATTCACGTATATCCTAATGAACTCTTGGCCTTCTCTGAAGCTTCATTACTTAATAAAAATGTGAATAGCAAGTGTTCAAGGAGTTCTCTGCATATATTAAAAGAGAGAATATCTGAAAAATACATTAATAAAGTTATTAAGAATGTTGGGTTGGTTATTTCTCTTGTAGAATTTGATTATGTAGACCATGCAGTAATTGATAGCGACGATGGATCTTTATATTTCAATACAACCTTCAGAATTATCGTATTTAAACCTTTTATATCAGAGATTATTGAAGGTATAGTCATTAATTCTGATTCAACTGGACTTACTGTTAGTCTGGGATTTTTTAATGATATTAAGATACCATCAAATGAGTTAAGAGAGCCTAAATCAATGAATGGAGATACAAAGTTATGGTCGTGGAACTACGAAACTCATCAGTTATACTACTTAATTAACTCCATCATTAGGTTCAGGGTAACTGGGGTTTTATTCAATGATAGTGATACAGAAGTATCTTCAATGGTAATTATGGGAAATGTACAAAATGACGGACTTGGCATGATATCTTGGTGGAGCTAATGATCTCGTGACTTTGTGGGATTAAGAATAAAAGAGTGCATATAGCATACTATTTGTTTAAGTACTTTACAATTTTATACAATGGAATTTCTACTGAATTACCATATAACCGTATGCCTTCTGCGTACTGAGAAGAACAGCAAAATCAAGTAAGCGGTAATAATTTGCGCTTTTTATGGCGGATTTTGGGATGTATAACTGGAGCCTTCTGTTTCATAACTAAATATAGATGTAATAAAATGTATGAGAGTACAGAAAATCCACGATATCTTGCTAAAATTCAGCTTTTACCGTGGGCTGAGCAATTGGATGTTGATTCCCTACTGAGATCTATGCGAGAATATGAAGTCACTAAGCGTGTAATACGCCCTTATAATCGTATATATATAAATAAAACAAAATATTATGTGGTCTTATTTTGTGATCCAGAAGAAGGGGGGATACTAACTGAACATACCCAAGTTTACACAAACGGAAAGCCAATTGTCCCTCTGAAGAAAGTTCACTTTTTAGCTTTACCTCCGTTTAACGCATCAACTTCCCCATTAGCTCAAAGAGTAACTACAATACGACTGAATCGTGGCATTCAGGAGGAAGCAAATACTGTACCGGAGACATGTGACATATCTATTGATGATATCAATACTTTGTGTGATCGTGATACTCTATGCAAGCTTTATGTAGAGCCATACTTTAAGAAATGTAGAAAGGAACCAGTGTATGTAGGAAGAAGAATAAATATGGAGGGGATTGTGTTTCTTGTATGGGCCTGTGATCCTTGTCAAATTGGAGTTATTAATAAGAATACAGCTGTTTATATTGATTGGGATTGTTTTGGTGAATTCAAGCGTATTCACGTTATGCCTTTTTCGGACACTTTGCCTCAAACATATTCATATGATATATTTCAAGACTACTTAAAGCCCTTCTTGTCACGTTACACATTTCATCCATTTTGTCAGGGTGAAAGTTTTACTTATAACGGTGTACAATTTAAAGTTGTAGCTACGGATCCAGTGGGTGTCAAAGCTAGAATAGGGGATAACACTACTATTTTTTGTCAAGGAAGTTTAACACCATCAATTGTGGATTTATTACCTATACATCTACTTGAAAATATTACTAGACTACCCCCAAGAAGCCGTCCTTTTGCTATATTACAGGCTTTGACTCACTTGCCTCCTTCTGATGTTGATAGAATATTTGGTATGGCTGATGCAAACAATAATAGGGGAGTTAATAATGATGTTATCTTGACAATTTCACAGAAAGCATTCATTTATCATAGCCAATTACAAGTGGGATCTAATAGTGAACCATCAGATGAGCCTCCAATGTGTACTGTATGTCTATCCGAAGTTAACAATGGTGAGAATGTTGTAAAACTAAATTGTCAACATTTGTTTCATCTCCAATGTATTCAAGAATGGCTTAGAATGTCCGTTATATGTCCTTTATGCAAAGTTGATGTAAGGAGTTAAAAATATTATGAACTAATTTGATATTATTTCTAAATGTTTCAAACTATTCAGGACTTTGTATTGGATTATATTAGTAATTATTACTATTAATATTTGCTCTAAACTCAGTAACTTATCTTCTATGGCTCTGTCGATTATTGTTTAAGATTATTATTAATCCAAGCTGAACTTTTATCACAAGTTAATGAAAGTGGCAACTTTAGTTAATACGAGACTCTATATAAACAAGTCCCAATTTCTGATAGTGAATGTTTCAAGGATATGCTTTATAATTTCTTGAATAGTGTCATTTGAATAATATATTGCATTCTCTTGCACAATTCTTTGATCTTGTTTCATTACACTATTGAAGGAAATTAAGATATCTGTCTTCTTCATCAAAATTCTGATTACCAACACATATAAGTACAAATTTTCATTACGTTCTCCCTCTTGGTAACGTTTCTGTACTTGTTGTATTCCAAAACAGGTTGATGTAAAAAATTCTTTATTATATTGAACAAGTGGCTCAGAATATAATACCTCACTACTTGTTGATTCATTGCAATCTGCTAAATCTTTAAAGTAATATTCACCAATTTGATCACTTTTCAAATCTGTTTGTTGTAAAATCTCGAATATGATGCTACTTTCTGATAAATCGTCAACAAATACTTCTTGATGATCTGGAACATCTCTAATCTTACTTATATCAATAAAATTCCTTGGTATCTCCACTCTAATGGAGTCACCATATAACTGATGCTGTATAAATTCCATTTGTACAATTCAAATTTTTATTATCTTATAGTATAAGGTCATCCAAATTCAAGTCTGGCGCTGCTATTGCAAGATAATAAATTGATATTAACAATTCAGTTCGGGATTTCCTATAATTATTAGGCTTAGTTATATTGTCTTCTTGAACACTCACTCTTTGAGGAAACTATTATGATTTCTATGTGATACAAAAGTGCCATATATTGATTTTAACTCATACCTCAAAAATAGCTAAATATAATTACAAAAAACTAAGATTGCATTAATACATTACAATACTAGATTATTCTATAATCTTCTCTACTAAACTATATTTAATTTTTATAAAGTCTACATTGATCATACTTTGACTTATAATATCCAATATGACAATATTAGATTCTCGTTTATGAAGATTATTTAAACTTGTTCTTAAATTCTTACTCAACTTGTATATTCTTTATCCTTTCGAACTCCTCATCTTCATCATCAGAAAAAAAAATAGTTTCACTTGGATTCCAAATATGGAGATAATTATCTTCGCTTACACTGACAAAGCTCGTAGTTGAGAAATTATCTATAAGCATACATGAGAAATCGCTAATTGGAGATGTATGACCACTGTGAGTAAAAACTAATTCAGGTACTCCATCTTCTATTTCATCTAAACGTTGTTCCATACCAATTTTTTTTAAGTCCCAAATCTGAAGGAAATTAAGAAGGTATTATTTAAAGAGTACGAGATATGATAAAAATGGAGATATAGACGCTATATATATATATATAGGCAATATTAAACTTAATTTATTACTAACAATAGAATTTGTATAATAACTTATACTTTATTGCTATAGTAAATAAAATTTTTACTCATCTATTTGCCGTATATTTTCAGTGTCTAATTCTCCAATTATTCTTACGCTTATAAACTTACTGATATAGTCATATCTGAAGATGCAGATGCCAGAAGTCCCTCATCTTCTATTAAGAAATGTAGTCGATTAATTTGACCATTATGACCATGCATTGAATGTAATCTTTTTTGTAGGTTTCTTATATCAAATATTCCAATGGTAGGATCGCTCCCTCCAACAGCAATAATATTTGTTTGAAATGGGTTAATTGTTATAGTATTTAAATTGTTTATACTAGAACTTCCATATTTACTAAAAGAGTATGAACAACTGCTACTATTTATAATAGAAGCTACCACAGATAACTTTGTTGTATTCTCAGCTCCATCTCTCTGACTTAATTGTCTCATATTTTCATCAGCAGCTACAATTGCAGAGCAACAAGGAAATGAAGATTCTCTAATATCCCATAATATTATTTGTCCATCATCCCCTACAGATAATAGTATATTTTCATTTGATGGATGCCAAATTAAATCCTGGACACTTTTTTGATGTCCTTTTAGCATGATAAGAGGAGATAAAGTTTTAGAACTATTAATGTTTGATGATATATCCCATACACATATAATTTCATCATCAGAACCACTTGCCAAATATCCATTCTTGGTCATACTCCAATTCAATGCCCATCCTTCTAACTCATGACCTGATAGAACAATTGCAGGATTTTTATCCAAAATTTCAGGACCTCCACTTTTATGTAATAATTGAAGAACATCTAAAGTATTTTCTTGTTCAATGTAATTACTTAAATTATAAACATTTACATTTCCATTTATTGCTTTGGAAGCTATTATACTGGTATTTGTAGGCATATGAAGAACTCTATTAACCTCTCCTTCATGCGGTATTAGGAATCTTTGTTTAAACAGAGGATTTTGACTCACTTTTAGTCCTTGGGAGAAACCTGCAAAGTCTTTATGAGTCTCAAATACTCTTTGCTCAGGCGGAAGTGATAGTGCAGATTGAAATACATCCATTATTATAATGTAATCTTGATCATTGCCAGACGTATGAGTTCCTAGTAGTATAGAATTTTTGATTATTTCCTCAGATCTACTAGAATCTTGTTTATCGTTATAAATCACATCTTCAGTCTCCTCATCCATTTCACTATCGATAGCTTTCATCCATTCTATTGTTAGTGATGGCCATTCCATTATGTGTGTCATTATATTGTCATATAAAAGTGAAGTATTCTCTTTCCATATTTTATGTTTCTCTTGTCTTTCTAGTTCTTGGCTTTGGTTTATATTATTTGAATTATCAAAAAAAGTAAAATTCATCATAGAGGAAAAAGGTGAAGATGAATTTGTAAGTCTCATTTTGTTAAATTACGAAGAAAAGTGTGGTCTAAGAGTTCATATAGTTTGACAATATATATAAGGCTCACAAGCATTTGTCCAATGGCCACAGTATACTTACAAGTTTTTAGGGGCGCTAGTTAACTAAAAGTAGATAATAAATACTTAGGCATTAAGGCAGGTGGGAAATATCAAAGATTTATAGATACATATATTTGAAGGAATATAAATCTCCCTGTTTATAAACATTAAACCTTTAGTAAGAAGGAATAAGTATTTTGATTGGGAGTTTTGAACATTTATTTAAGAATGCTGTGAATAGTGAAACTGTCTGGCACAGTTAAATACATTTATCAAATTACTTTTATTAGGAATTTTTCAGTTCTCTTTTTATTCTGCTTTGAAATCCCCCAAGATCTTTATATTTAGTACACTATAATTTGTTAATTAGAGAAAGTATAGATTATAGTACATATTAGCTTGAAATATTGAAGAAGGGATGAAAAGAGTATGATTTGAACCATTCAAGATCAGATAAAATATATTGAAATATCCCATAATTATCTTGATTGTTATAATTTGATTCATATATATTAATAAAATTGTTATAGTCCCGATAAATACTCTGAATGTGTATAATATCTTCATCTGTTATAGAGTATTGCTTACAGAGCTCAATGACATATTTTACTGATTCAATATCTGACAAAATATACTTTGATTCTTCTCGAATATATTGTAGTATATCAGTCATTTCATGTATTTTGTCACTTTGTTCATACCCGTTTATTAGGTTTTCATATATACTATTTTGACTGTAGTGATTATTATATTTTGTTTCAATATGTGAATCTGTATAATTAATGAAAACATCTGAATTTCTCTTTTCTTTGTGTTTCAATTTCATATTATATTCAATAGCTGATAATAATGATAATGCAAATTTATAAATAGTAACATTATAAGACTTTGAAGAGTCATGTATCATTATGTTGTCTAGAATATAAACTGCATTCTTAATATGTATAGTATCTGCTAAATCATATGTAAATAGTGTAATAAACCAAGGAATAGCAAATAATTCAGATGTTATATGATATTGTATAAATATATTGTGATATATACTGGGTAAGTATTTCTCAACAAGTACATTAAAAGTATAGCACATTTTATGAAGTTTATCAAATCCTTCTTTATAAACTTGTTGATATTCCCAGTTAATCAATAACTTCATCATAGCTGAAAATGATAATTCTAATTCAAAGTTAAATACATACAATATAATTCCAAGAACATAATTCATACCCTGACAATAGCCTACTTGAGGTAAAGATTTAGCAATTCTACATAATAATTGAGTCATAGTATCTTGATTTTGCTTAGCCTTAAATTGATAAACATTTGGATATGTTCTATTAATATCCTTTAAAATTTCTGAATAATATTTGGATGATGAGATTAAATTTTTTTCTAGTAATACTTCATTTACGTTTGATGACTCTAGTTGTTTATCTACCTGGATGTAATTTATTTCTGAACAGGTATCATCACCAACTAAAACACACTTCCATATCCAGCGTCTCTTCTTATCACAAAAATTATAAAATCCAATTGGATATCTCGATTGATACACTTCTACTGAATTAACTTCTGCAAACCATAATTTGCATACCATGGAAATTTCTTCTAAATCTTTGTCTTCAAGATAGTTAAAGACTGTAGAATTTAAGATAGCTCTACATTGCAAACTAAGTAGAGTAAATATATAATATTCACTTGGCTATAGAACTCTATTATTGAAGTTATTATTTGCATTTTCTAGTGACTTACCTATTATTGTGTCTCAATAGTAGTTTCCTTATAAAACCCACATGTATTGATTTTTCAGAAGTAGTTACATTATCAAGATTACCCAATTCAACATCATATACTTCTTGTATCATAATTAAGCTTTTACTTACATCTTTTTCGTACTTATTTTTAACTTCACGTTTAAAAACACCTTACAGTAGTTGTGTGTGTAAACTGTGTGCACATCACCGCTTAACTGAATACTTAGTAATGTGCTTAGTTGCAACTCAGTCATTGACTTGAAAATGAGAAATTATTCATAATTTATCTAATAAGAAGTACTAGAGAGAATATAAAAGAATTAGATAATAATCCTTAGATATGTGTAGTTAACCTTAAAGAAGTGGGTATATATATTAGTGTCTTAAATATAGAGAAGTAGTAATAGATATCAACATTTAATCACATTCTAAACCAAGCTACATTTCTTGGATCTTCTGGTATTGTTGCAATATCAAGAGCCAAAGACAAGTCATCCATGACAAAGTCAGAGGATGAGAGTGTTATGGGTGAGGATGACTCCATAGCACTGCACGATGAAGCTGACTCTACTGATGAAGTAGATAGACATGTTGATTCAGAAATTGAGTCTTCAATTGCATCCTTATCTGAAAAATTTCCCTTATTACATTGTCCCAGATGATCCTCAACAAGAACTAATGGGTATCTCAAAACATAAGGTTTAATCTGGTCTTCTAGAATGTCACCTTTTCTTTTATTACTAACAACACTGCACAATACTTTCCTTTTCAATAGTCCACTAGTTTTGCCTACACAATATGTGTTGTCAATACTTAATTGATCGAGGTCTTGAGTATCATCTTTGTTAACCTCATTTAATCGATACGACTCCATTGCTTGCATCAGACTTATTGGAATGTACAAAACAGAGCTAACAACGCCAACACCTAAGAAATAAACTCCAACACAGAACGCCGATGCAGGATCAATCATTTCTTAGTGACTTACAGTTGTATCCAATGGGATTAGTATAGGCTTATTCAGTTATGAAGATTGTAAATAAGTTCCCCTAGTATGTAATGCTGGTCACTACTTCAAATAAATAAAATAAAATAAAATAAAATAAAAAATCTGAAATGTAGGACTTATTTCCACAGATTTCCTCACTGCACTACCTTGACGTCTTTATTATCAAGTACAGTCAATGCAGGATTCACTCCCTTGATAGATTCTCAGTATTTCAATTGGTAAACTCAAAAAGTCATCCAAACGGTGCCAAATTGCACAATACTGCAAATTCCAGTTATTTAAATAGCCTTCAATATTTATCTCAGCCTAAACTGTTTCTTTTCTGCTATATAGTGCCCAGTTTTGTTACTTTCTAAATCTTCTTATTACATTAAGTTTATGCTACTTCGGTAGAAAGCTTTCTTCTTAGCCAAAACCTCAATTAATCACATTGCAAACTACGAAAATATCACTTTCGAGTTCCTTTAAATCTTCTTCTTCGTTTCTTAAAATTACGCAATTTTGTATTAAGTAATCTTCCGAAATAGTAATTAGAGAAATTTTAACTAACTTATGTTTGAGGCGGGAAAATGAGGCGGGATTATCCTCTCTTTTCAAGTAGGCTTTGTGTGTCTTGTATCATTTCTATGTATCTGGAGATCTCTCTGGAAAGGGTCATAATATGACTTAAGTACTAATAGGGGAAGTTTTTACTTTTTTAAGGTGTCCCTGGAATTTTTTAAGTATTTCCTTTTGCTATTCAATAAAATACAAGGAAGATACTCCGAAACAAATAATTTTGAAAATTTTTAGTAAAGAATTTGCGGGTGTAGATTTTATATATCAAATTTTTTTGTATACACTTAAGTCAATGAATGATGAAACAGTTAATTTAGATACTGAAGGGATAAATGTAAATTCGTCTTTTTCCAGTGGACTGCTTCTCTGTTTAGGTTGTGTGGCTATGATACCAGGAGCTAGAAATCAACTAGTAAATAGTGTAACTTTCTTCCCTCCATCTCCATCTGGTTATAAAGTGCAACCTAATGGTAAAGTAAGCTTATATGACTTGCATCAAGCAAAATATAGATCTATGAATAGTATTTGGAAAGATGCTGTAAATAGAGTCCCAGAAAGAAAGTGTGTTGATGTTAATTTCATTAGTTTACCCTCTAATTATTGCTTCCACTTCAAATATCCAGGAACTAACAGGACAATAATTTACTCACATGGAAATGCTACAGATATTGGATATGTCTTTGTTCACTTGCTGGACTTAAGTAGTAGAATAAAGTGCAATATTATTGCATATGATTACAGTGGTTATGGGCAATCTAAGTTTAAACCTTCAGAAAAGGCAATATATGAGAATATAAGTAATGTTGTGGAATATGTTACAAACACTTTGAAGATACCGTTTGGTTCGATTTTCCTTTATGGACAATCTATAGGTTCAGCTCCAACTATTAATTATGCTTCTCAGCATAGCCAAAGCAAGGATTTCTGTAATTTGGGCGGTGTAATTATTCATTCAGGTTTAAAGAGCGGGGTCTCAGTTTTGTGTGGCGCCTCAATTTCTTCTCCGTGGTATGATGCATTTAGGAATCTTGATAAGATACAAAAAATTACATGTCCTATATTTATTATACATGGTACAAATGATAGACAAATTCCACTGAGTCATGGGAAAATGTTATATAATCTTTGCCAAAAACCATACAAACCATGGTTTGTGGATGGTGCAGGACATAACGATATAGAGACTGTCTGGAGAGATGAATTTGTATCAAAGATCTACGGATTCATATCATCTGCATCAATGCAACCTATAATGAAACTAGGTAAGAGTGAGAAGGTTACTAAAGATAATTACTCGTTATCTAGGATGACCACGAGAACAAGCGAATCTATAAATTTATGTACCAGTGAAACTGAGAATAATTCTGAAGATGATAATAGCGGCGAAGAAAGTATTAGTGCGTTGAATAATGAAAGTGTAACAAGAGATATTCCAAGTATTAAACAGAGGAGTAATATTTTTCATAATGCTACTAGATTTTCAACACAGACTATAACCAGTTCTAATGTACCTAGATGCTTGGAAATTAATGTGGATGTCCCCAGTATAGCAACAGAGTTCCCAAAATTAAGGGACCAAAGCCAAAAGAAAAAATTTACATTTCAAAACATTATAGATTTATTTAGGTCTAGTTGAATTAAAGTGTTATTAACGTGGAATTAAAAAGGACATTGTAAATTGTAGACTGTATAACTTTGATAAACTTATTATAGAAACCTTAAATTTCCTAGTTTCTACAGTAACAATTACTTAAAAGTCCAGGCAAATCAAGTATAAGCCCCATTCTGTTGTATCAAATCTTACTAGATACTAGTCATATATTAGCTTAATGGTCTCATACACAGTGAAATGTGCAATTGTAAGTCGCTCCCAACTTGAGCTTCACTCTACAAGGTCACTTGTAGAGTGAATATTCAACAACTTAATGCCTCTCATATACTCAAGAATGTAGAGGGACCACAAATTAACGTTTTCCTTTCGATTTAAAAGTACACGGGGACTTTCCCCATAGCTTGTAAAGAAGGCTAAATTGCCTCCTGTATGAATACTACGTTACGACTCATAGACTGCCTGGAATATTAATCAAATTCATCTCTTTATTGTCTAAATTAATCTTCATTCACAATGACCTCTATTGTCCAGTAATTTAAAATTAGTTCCTTAAACTATTTAAACCAAATTCCAAAACATTAGTTCCATACCTAGAAAATATAAGTCTTATAAATATAATAGTGTTCATATAACAAGTGGTATGAATGAACTACTTAGGTTCTAGATAGTGAGATAAGACTATCCACTCGACTTATCATAGCCTCTTTTCTAAAAATAAGTAAATCTCTAATAACCATCAATTTTTGTCGAAGTCTGAAATGTGATCTTGTCTTATTTTTGACAAAATCTTCTCATTCAATTCATTATTTAAACCACCTGATTGAAGTTTTTCTTCAATTTCATCAGTCAAGTTCCTTTCATATTCAACTCTCCTACGCTTCATTTCAACTCTCCTGGCATATACAGAACCCATCCTTGCCTTCAATAAATTGCGAATCATAGTTGGAGATTTATAGTCTGGATTTTTATAAATCACTTGACCAGTAAAAGATTTGTCCATAATAAGTATTGGCTCAAGGACAAATCTTGGACCTATCTCTGTTAAAACCTGTTTATCAGCAATGTTATGATCATATTCAGTTTCTGGAGAAATCTGGTAGTGCCTAAACCATATCTTTCCATCTAAAACACTAAAATTGATTACATGATCATGAAAAGGTTTACTTCTCGGATGGTAGCGAGGTGTACCAAATATCTGAATAAACATTTCCTTCAGTAACTTTAGTGGAATTCTTAAGTGTTGAGGAGTATTTACAGAATTATCATCTTGACCTATATCAAAACTAGAATCAAATGATAAAAAAGGCCTTGAACCTAGTAGATTATTACCTGGCAAACGTAATTCACCTAATGTATGAATATTCAATATCTGAAATTTCGCACATGGCCCATCTGGGCACTTCGATATCCACATATATAGCTCTTCGTGTCTCCTTGCTTCCAAAAATATAATATTATTACATGAACGAAGTTCAGAAACCTCTATTATTTCAGAAAATGGCTGCTTCTTTTCCCACTTAGGCTCAGCCTTGTGATGTGGCAAAAGTTTCTTCAAGTCTTCCATCAAGTGCCTATGTCTGAAGTTAATTCCTCTTGTAGACAATATCAGTACTCTTTGTTTATTCCTCCATCTGGACTCCTTTTTGAAGTATTCGGCATTTTCCAACATATATGGATCTTTAGAAGATATTTTATTAAGACAGTAATCTTTACTTGGGATATTCATGGATCTTTGAATAGAATCCTCGAAATCACTTGACTTCAGCTCTACATTGGTCTGTATGTCTTCCTCTAAGTCCCTCATTATTGTGATATTTTAGTTATAGACTTCACAAGCAGGCCTTAAGGAAATATATCTTCTAAAAAATTCCAAGTTGTTGACCTAACTTAGTTAGCACTCCCAAATATAATGTACACGTCTTTGAACAAGATTCGACACTAACTTTTAAAGTATCACCACTTGTAGCGCTATAATTTCACCGCTACAACATAACTTAAATATTAAGGTATTTCTTGAATGGAGAAATAAAGTCCAGTGAATTTACCAAATATCTCTAAATATATAGCAATTTCATCAAAATATAATTATTTTTATTGGAATATGGGTAAGGTTAATTATTCTATTTACAAAATATAAGCGAACTCTTATTTTCTATTGTAAAACTAAAATATTACAAACATTTTAGATTCACATGACAATCCTTTCTTTCGTAAAAAACCAAGTACAAGAATTCATCACCCTCCAGGTGGTGGGGATTCTGGGAAATTGTGTAAGTTTAAAAACACTTTATGATGGGAACTTAAAAAATCCCTTTGTACTGCAGTACACACAGTGATGAGAAATTAGAAACTAAATGTTAAATCCACTGCAAGCAAAACTTTGTAGAGTTTACATATGATTTCTTAATTTCAATTCCCACTTAAATTGTCATATTTTCGTATTTGTTTACTTTAGGGGATACTGTGGATGATAACAGACTAATAAAGGAGAAAACTAAAGTTGAATGTACCTTGAAAGATAAAACAGAAAATGAAAATCATAATATGAGAGTAGCTATATTGAATACATGCTCAGATAAATCTAGTGAAATTAAAACAACAATTGTAATTCACAATCCTCCTGGCGGGAAATCTTCACTTACTCTAGGCTAACTTATCATGCATTTTTTTTTCTTAATTGGACCATTGATAGCGCCAAATTCCCTGGCCTTCTTAAAGTCTAGGAGAGAAGTTACACTTGAGATCTGAAATGATGAACTACTGAGATAATGATATTTCTAAATATGTGGAAGATGGTTAAATACTGTTTTTCTGTATTTCTTCGTAACTTAACCCCTAATCATGTTGCATTTATACTAGATGGAAATCGTCGGTATGCCCGTCTCCACTCTTTTGAATCTGTAATAGATGGACATAAGAAGGGAGCTGAAGTAGTATTAAATATTATACCATTATTAAAGAGTTTAGGAATTAAGTATGTCTCTCTCTTCATCTTCTCAAGAGACAACTTTCTACGAAAAGGAGAAGTCGAAAATATGATGGAACTTCTACATCGGAATTTTCATAAGGAGAAACAATGGCTGTATAATCTTAATGCCAAAATCCTGATATCGGGAGACATGAATCTTTTACCAGAGAATATAAAAGCTATACTTAATGAAATAGTAAATGAAACAAAAGACAAAAATGAAATGATCCTAAATTTATGTTGTGCTTACTCATGTTCTACAGAAATTGAGACGTCTTTGAGAACATTTAGTAAGGAATTTGTAGATATAAGAGAAGATATAAAAGATAATAATCATAGAAATGTGATGAAATCTACAAAGCTTGGATGTATTACAGATAGAAACAAGCTATTCTATGTGAAATTTGAGGATCTATATGATTGTGATGTAGATTCACATATATTGAACTATAAACTAAAGATTCGAGAATTTTGGCAGTGTCTATATAATCCTCAGATCCCACCACCTAAAATTCTTATTAGAACCTCTGGCGAAACTCGTCTTTCAGATTTCTTATTCTATCAAGCCTGTTTCAATACCAAGATCTATTTTATTGAGACACTATGGCCTGCTATAAATCGCTTTACTATTATATTTGTGATTATCCATTATTTACTATTTTATAATTGAATATATAAATACTAAAATTATGACCTTAGACAAAGTAGAAATATATTTGGACTATAGCTACACGGATCACTTAACCTTTTCATAGAAAGAAACCATTATCTATATCAACCAAACTAACTTTATTATTTGATTCTAAGACTGGAGAACTTATAGTATTGTTGATCCTTAGGTCAGATTGCAAACAGTAACCTCCAAGCTCAGATATCTTGATATCTATGCTCTTAATAAGTTCTTTCTTTTTATTAATTAGTTCTTCATTTTCTTCTATAGCTTGTTGTATATCTGGGTCATCCTGATATTCAGCTTTCATTAAACTATTTGCTTTTCCAAGTTTTGCAATAAAATCTAAAATCTCGTCTTTGATTTCAATCAGTTTCGACAAGTCATTAATATTTTCTAAATTAAATTCACTAATTCCACCTAATACTAGTTCATTATTTAACTCTTTGCTTCTTTTCTTTGGGATATAAATTTCAATCATATTTCTTGTTGTGGTAAACTTCTTATAGATAACCCACTAAGATAAACTATAAAGAGAATTTACCGCCGCAAAGTGGGAGAAGTACTTATTACTCTTGAAGCTCATAAGCTTATAGGAATATAGATAGATAAGTTTGTACTGCAGGCTATTGGAATGGACTTAGAAAATTTTGATGATGACTCGATTGTTGATAAGAATGACCTGAAATTTTTTTACAGTACGTTATTTATGTGAATTGTACTATACTTAAGGTATCCTTTAAACTGAACTGTAAAGGAAATTTCCACCTGATGCTGTGTCTTTAGGTAGAATATATCCATTCGATATAATGTCAAAGTGGTTGTCATATGAATTAGGTAAGTTTTTTTTAATGCTGGAAGCTAAGAATTAATGCATATAGGGTGGTATCTTGTATATGTTTAATAATAAGCAAAGCTTCCATAATAAGATTCTAAAGATGGTATTATTTCATTATTATCTATCTTGTGATCATTTATTTCAGGTACTGGATCCTCAAATTTATTACCAAATCGTGAGTTCTCCATGACACTGATATCTAACATGGGAGAAGATGAAATTTATCTTAGATGGCAATCCTATATGACAATTGACCAACTTAAACAAGAACTAGTTAGTAGAGTACCTCATAAGTTTGATATTGGAGCTATTTATAATATCCCTGTTGCGGAGAAAGACATTTCACCACTTGGATTTACCCCTTACCAAAGAGAGCTAGTATTTGATATTGACATGAATGACTATGATGACATTCGCACCTGCTGCAAGGATAAAAAAATTTGTAATAAGTGCTGGCTTTATATAGCACTAGCTATAAAACTTATAGACACTAGTTTACATGAAGACTTTGGCTTTAGACATGTTTTGTGGATCTATTCTGGACGACGTGGGGTGCACTGCTGGGTATGTGACACTAAAGCACGTTTAATTCCTACAGAAGCTCGCACATCAATTGTTGACTACCTAACACTTGTTACTGGAAATGATAATAGAAAAAAAAAGGTGAATTTGAAGTTTGCAATTTCAAACAGTAAACTACATCCCTTTATTGAGCGTTGTTACTCTATATGTATACAGTATTTTGATCGGATTATAGAAGAGCAAGATCTTTTTAATCATAATTCAGACCATATTCAGAAGATATTAGACCATGTTTCAGATGATAGTAAGGTATTACAGATATTGAAGATTTGGATTTCAAATAACACTTGTAAAGGGTTCACTTCAACTGAGTTCTGGCTTGCTTTAAAAAAGATTTTGGAAGAAGTTCATGGGAAGAACTGTACTACTTTAAAAGAGATAGTCTTTGCATTTAGTTACCCAAGGCTTGATACAAATGTTAGTAAAGACCTTGGACATTTATTGAAGGCACCCATGTGCATCCATCATGGAACTGGACGCTTATGTGTCCCTATTGATCCAACTACAGTTGAGTTCTTTAATCCTCGGTGTGTCCCAACACTAACAAAAATTAGGGCTGAATATGATGCAATAAGTACTAAGAATACAATTCAAACTAGTATATGCAATGAAAATTATAATGTAAATACACATCAACTTCCTTGTATCAAGAAATATTCTGATTTTTTAAATTCATTTATTAGTAATCTCGTAATAAGTATGCAAAGAGAACAGAAAGAGTATTTAACTGTACTTAAAATTGCGGAAAGTAAATAAATCTACTGTTTTCAAATTAGATATATTGGAGTTTGAAGCATATAGTATCAACTGTGCTTACAAATGTTTATATATATTTCTATATATTTTATATAGTCCACCAACGAGATGAATGCGTATCTTTAATAAAAGTACAAATTACTGAACACTTCTTGTTTAAAAGAATGTTATCTTGAGTATAGAATTCTTGAAGTTAGTTTATAAAATTATTCTTCTAACCTTAATTTTTTTCTCTGTTTCTGTAACTTGATACCCTTTAAGGCGTATCTTCGTTTTATCCTTTCTTCATTCTTAGCTTCTCTTATTTTCTCTATTGGCTGTCTTCTTTTCATCTTGATTTCTCTAGCTACTTTTTTTCTTTCAATCCTTTGTATTTGTCGTTCTTTTTGAATTGTAGATAGTCGTTGGAATAAATTTGCAACTCGTTTTTCATATGAGCTCATTATAACTGCAACTTCTCTACTTAAAGATCCCTTTTGTTTCGGTGTATTATTTTTCGTTCTTGAAGTAAATGGTAGGTCTTTTTCAATATCAACGGGTACAGGGGTTTCATTAAATCTCTTCTTAGCAGGGCGATCTTGCTTTTGAATATATATTGAATCTGACTTAAATGGTACAGAAAGTCCCAACTCATTCCTTAATTCAGCTTGAGTTCTCAATCTCCTCCATTCGGGAAGATCTATAACTGGATTGTAAAACTCTCGTGGATTTACTGTTATCCATGTTTTGCAGAATACTATATCTGACATTAATACTTTATCCTCAAAAGTTGCCCTAAATAGCCCATTAGTGTCAATTGCCTTCTTTATTTGCCCTCTAATCCCACTTATAGTTTGTATTTTAGCTCCAATAAACTTTGAAACCTCTAAATCACTATTGAACATATTTCCAATAAACGCAGTATGTTTATATATTTTCTTCGGTTCACCAACTAATTTTAACTTCTTTACTATATCACTTTTTGCTTGTATTTCAACAGATACGGCAGTCATTGATATTCTGAAATTGGGTGCTCTTTCAGAAGTTCTAATAGCTAATATACCAAAGTTAGGTGGTACTATTGGACCCCATGTTGTGCAAATACAGTGCATATGCTCAGGAGTATATTTAAGCATTCTTTGTCTAGTTTCATTTCTATCTTCAATAGAATAAATAGGAAGCGATTGAAAACGTCTCCACCCAATGCTAAATGTCAACACATCATTACTTTTTAAAATTTTTGGGTACCATCGATGTTTCTTAGCACGCATCCTAATATAACCAAATGTAGATTCACCTGGTAAAATTGTTCCAATTACTGTAATACCTTTACGCAAATTAAGCCATTCTCTATTAACTCCATCAACCTTTATTCTAACATATTCACCAATAGCTAAACTCGATGACTTAGATTTAAGGGCTTCATTTACAATTTCACCTGAAGTTCCATTTTTATATTCAATGCTTTGATTTTCTAAATTCAAATGTTCATTTTTATATTCGCTATCACCAATCCCTCCAGTGATGAATTTTTCTGATCGAATTTTTGAGAGATTGCTTGATTTCCAGTAGTTTGACAAGCTCTTTAAGCTAGTTAATTGAATTGGATATAGAGAAATATCCGATACACGAAAAGTGTCAATTAATGAGCTCATTCCTAAGTCAGAGAACTCATTGTCACTAGGTTCTCCTTCATTTTCCTCATCTTCAAAGAGATTTTTAACTTTTCTATCACTTATATTGATCGAATTCTTATTTCGGTGTGGGAACTTCTTTTTCAAATAGATCTTAACATCTGAGTATATGAGTTCTTTTAAAGACTTTTGCTTAAAATTTAAGTCCATATTCCTGTTACTTGAGTCAAAATTAATACAATTTTCTTCACTTGAAACTTTTTCATCCTCAGCCTTCAAATCCAGTTTTCGATCCAAATTTTTATTTGAAGATGATAATAAACGTAGTTCAGTATTTTCAAGCTTTTTATCAAGGAATGAATGGGCATCCTGTAAATCACGTACATATCTTACAGCTTCTGGTAATAAAATATTATCTTCATCTAATGAATCATCACCTTTATTACTGGTTTTCCTTTCTGTAAATTCACCTTGCTTTTCTTTATCTTTATCTTGATATTCTTCTTCATAGTCTTCTTGATACTCCCCTTCATATTCTTCTTCATAGTCCTCTTGATACTCTTCTTCATATTCTTGTTCTGATGTCTCATTATCTGTAGACTCCTCACTCTCACTATCTAAGCTTCTAGTATCCTCAATAAGTACCTTGCGTCTAGTAAATCCAGTTGCTGTATTTGGGATATGAATATAGAGATTATTAGAATCTACTTGAATATTGCCAACATCACAATAAGGTGCATATATAATTCTTTCTTTAGCCTTCAAAGTCCTTAAACCTGCATTTGGACCATCTTTATTTATCCTAGTTTCAGGAAGTGGACAAGGATCTGGGTACTTGTCAATCTTATTTATAATAAAATCTCCTAAGCCAGGTAAGTGCACATTTTGACCCCGTCGCATTAAACCACCTCTAATATGACCATACAAATACATTGAAATTTTTTTATTAGCCTCTTTATCCTCATTGACTGACTTCTCACTATCTAATACTTGTTCAACTTTTAAAGCAACGACATAGGGGTGAGAACTTCTCCAAGATAAATTTTCAAATTTCTGGACAGCAATGAATCTTGCTAAATTCCTAACTTCGGTCTTATTATATAGTGTATTTTGAATACCACTCAAATAAAAAAGTTTCGCACCATGATATATTTCAGTCCAAAATCTATTCTTCATCTTTTTCTTCGTCTTGCGTAATGTCTTGTTATCTTTAAATTTGTCTAAATGTGTTAATACTCCAATTACCCGAGGAAACCCATGAACTTGAAGTATATTTAAAAATTCAAAAGTCTCCATCTCAAAAGAAAAGCTTGCATCAACTAGTAGTAGTACTAAATCAGCCACTTTAGCTACATCTATCATTCCATGCATATCATTAGGGCATTCAATGATTGTTAAACGACGGTTCTTAGACGATACTAGTGTAATTGGACCCTCTACTATATTTAAGTTATATTTTGTATAGTGCTTTACTAATGAACGAATTAGAGTGGATTTACCTACTCCAGGAGGTCCTTGCACAATGACAACATAGGGAGGAGGATTGTCACCTTCAACATTTTTCTTATTAATTCCAGGAATTTTCTCACGCTTAGAAGAAATATCTAAGCTTCTCTGAACACGTCTCTGGACACTCTTTATACCTCCAGAAAATGTAAAGGCCTGAAAGGGTAAATAAAATCATTACATCAGAATGTCACTTTCTGACAGTTTGAAGACTTACCTTAGGATTATGTCGTTCCTTCTTATCTCTACTTTTACCACTTTTTTTGTCTGCTTTACGCCCAGAAGAAGGATACCGATGTAACTTCTTATGATAAACCTCCGACATTTTCAAAATATCTAAAACTTCAGTATAAAAAAAATCCACGAAACTACTCTAGCTTGTGAAAATACCACCAACCTCCGAACTACTAGGCGCTAGGACAGACTGACTTAGTATCTAGGTATGAAGTGCAGAAATAACATCCTAATATTACTTAGAGAATTACAAAAACAGCAAGAATCTGGAAATTAGTTAAAAAAGTTCTATTTACAGGGCAATTATAAATCTTCAGATATAAAAAAAAGACTACTAAAAGAAAGAGCTATCCTAACATCTAAGGTAGTTAAATGTAGTTTAACTTTTATTAGGGATTATTTAGTGCCTCCTCAGTAGCAAGGATAATCCTAAGGTGGTTAAATGGAGCAAAGAGAATCCCATCTCCCTTGAAGAATTTATTTTGAAATTCCACCCATTGTAAACGGAGTCCATGAAGAAAGCATTCTAAGGAGTCCATGCAAATCATAACGCCGAAAGTGGCACTTGCAAAACCAATAAATGTAAGAAAAAGGAGTATAGATTTCTTAGTAAGCCCACTAGCAAGCAGTGCCACTAATAGGGAGTTTTCAAAGAATACGAGAGCCAACATATTGTGAGCTAAAGAAAGAGCCCATAAACGAAGATATGAAGCAGTATTTGAGATAGATCCTATCAAGAATTCCACTGTTTCGATTAGTTGATGAATAAATATTTCAGTTGGGTCATGTTCCGAATTATATTCAATAGTTTCATAATCAGCTTTACTGTCACTAGATTGCCTTCTCATATGTGATAATTTCCTCTCTGAATGGGAAGATACATCAGATAAAACTGTATTCTGACTTGATCTTGAAGAGTAATTGATTTTAGCTGCTTCAATCTTCTTTTGTTTCCTAGCCTTATAAATAAGATAAATAGGTTTAGGAAAGAACATCCATGGAATAGAAATAAGAAGAACAAGAGTAATAACTTTTTGAACAGTAGCTTGATTGGGGTAGAATATGTCCTGAGGTTGGATTTCTGCACCAAATAGTGAACCTTGGAGGCCAATTAGAGTATTAAGAATTGATGGTTTATTGTATCCAATAACAGGAGTTAACCACTTGTAAAATATGAGGAAGTTTAAATAGCCAACAAAACCTGTCATAAATAAGATTTGAGGAATGAATTCACAAAAAAAGTCTAAATAATTGCCAAAATGAAGAGAATTAATACCTTTGAGAATAACCCCCAGAGACATTTGTACAAATGCTACAATGACAGAAAACTTCATTTTAAAACTATTCATGACAACCATCTCATTAGATGCACCTTTCCAAGCAGGGTCAAACCCAAAGGGATATGGATATGAAGTTTTTTGTGAAGAATTTGGAATATAAATATGGCTACCATCAACAGTTGTTTGATTAGATTGAATGAACCTAGATCCAAATAAATTCAGTCCTAAAGAGAAGAAGTCATTGTATAACAAACCACAGTAAGTTGCAAAAAACCCCATTAGTGTAATCATATAGCGACCATTTAAAAGCATATTTAGGATTTCATTATTTTCCTTCTTTAGACGTTGATAGTCATATAGTAAATATAAACCAAATAATAATACTATAAACCCATGGCCAACATCACCATACATAACACCAAATAAAAATGGAAAGGATACAATAGTAAAAAGTGCAGGGTTAACTTCCTGATATCTTGGAACACCATAAGCATTAACGAAGTCTTGAAATGCTACAGTAAATTCATTGGTCTTTATATAAGTTGGAGGTGTATTAAATAAGGTACTCTCTCCATCATGTGACCCACCATGATGAGTAGGAAATCCATGATCACTTATAGAGGTGGCACTAGAAAGTAAAAATGCACCTACATGTTGATTACTACTCTCAGCTATAAGAATCCTCCTAATCTTCTCTTCCTCTTCTAAGGGATACCAACAATCTGATCTCAAAGTGATATCTGACCCCTCGAACAAGTTCAAAGTAGCATAAATAGATTTCTCCTTTATACAGAATAAGCGCCACTCTTCAATTAAAGAGTTGCCATATGTAGTTACAGGCTGAAGCAAAGTCTCAATTTCATCACATATATATTGCTCATATGCCTGTAGTGCCTTCTCTTTATCTTGTATAAGTATATTCAATTCATCTACTCTTTGAATTGCATATTCATAGCTAGTTGGCCATGGATATATACAAACACCAAATGCATCACAAATCCTACTTATCTTATCATATACTGCAGATGTTGTAGCTCCTTGAAAGTATACTACAAATACAACCTTTGGTATTAGTTTTCCTGTAGCAGAATCCGGGATATCCTCAGTTATTTGTTGAAAATGTGTAAATGTATTACCCCTTGTAGCCCTAAACAGAGCTCTAGCAAATCTTTCTTGATCATCTTGGCTAACAACACCAGCTATATTACTAAACATCATATCACCTATACTTCCATGTTTTGAATGACTATTCATAAATGGTTTTGATAATCCAACACCATCACCTCGTTCAACTGCATTACTAAGTAAGAAATCTCCATGGTCTTCAACAAATCTGGATGGAGCAAATGAGATAGTTGCAGCTTTTGCTACTGCGCACTCTTCCACTGCTGCATTTTTCTGTTGTATTAAACTTGAATTATTATCTCTGAAATTAATAAATTGTCCATATAAGCTTTGTAGTGACTCCTCCACCTTGTCAAGTTGGTACAAGTGATCATGATCAAGGAAGGCCTCATAGTTGCCCTTATGGACTACTGCCTCTGGGAGTTTCTCAATTTCTGTAAATAATACTCGGAGAATTCGCTCCATCTCATCAATACGCTGTATATATTTCCTATATTGACGATTCATTGTCACAGCATTCATATCAACAAACTGGATATTTACTTCTCGACCTAGGATATCAATAAATTCTCTAGCTCTGTCATTTGGTAAAACTAATGTCCCGTGAGACATTAATTCTGACCTCAACACACCCATTGTCACTAAGAAGTGAGTTCCCTATTATTTATATAATTCCTGTATTATACCAAAACTCTAAACCAAATATGTTGCTCCCTCCTTTTTTCCTAGAAAGCTTTGCTTAATTGCATTTCTAGGTAGACGTAATCTCATTTATACTTCTTAAAGCTTGTCTACAAAAATATCCCGCTTAAGAAACTCTAACAGTCGGCGGTCTCTAAGTAGTTTGAAGCTAGTAATACTGACTCTTGACTTATTGTTATATCTCCTGTGACCCCCCTCTGTAAATTAAAAGTATAGAGACAGTAGAGTAATATATTTGGATTAAGTGTGGAGGGATTTGAATAGATGTGTATGGCTTCTTAACTTATAGAGTGTATCTTGATACTTGATTTTCTGTATATATCTTTATTTAAAAGCATATCCCATATAATTATTTTGTTAATATACTTATATAATACTATATTAGCTATGTAAATTAGAGGCTAGTAATTAGGATTTATTATATGATACATCAATAACCATATTTCTGATCTCCTAATTCTATGGAAACTAAGTAGATCTTGGCGGTGGTTCCTTGCTTTCTTTAGAATATGGGAAGTTTATTGAGATACTTTAGGATAAAAAGATGAATGAATGTACACAAACTGTCTTGATAGTATTGCTAATATTGCTGTGCACTACAATATCTTATAAAGTATACTCAACTTTTCTGGAGAAAAAAAGGCTAAAGACAAAATTACATAACGATGAAAGAATGAAAAAGATCCGTGAAAAACAAATAGAGATATGGGAGAAAGAAAATAAAGATTATAGGCAAATAAGTCAATATAAATCTGGAGACAATGAAACAGATGAGAGATGTAACAAGAATGGACGTGAAGGCTACTCAAAACCGAAAGATGTACCAGTAAGCAGGCTTAACCCTCATTTCAGCTATTTGGCCTCTTACAGACCATCTGGATCAAGGAGAAGAATCTGTAAAAAGTGCTGCAGCAATTAAAGTGAAGCTTTAGTTAGTAATTATTTGTCACTTTATAAGATAGAACAATTGTTATATTTTTAAGAGACTATTCAATAAATTAGTAGATCAATGAACTTTATTGTAAAAAGCAAAATTTTTATATATTAAAGTATATATCTATTGGCATATAGAATCTATAACCAAGTACTCTGATATTATTTAATGTATAAGCTTAAAATGAGCGAAATATATAAATTATAAATCAGTAAATATAAAACTGCCCTACAAAATCAGCAGTAGTTATATAGTGCATATGAAATCCTTGAAAATAACAAGGGAACAGCATAATATTTATCAAGTAATAGGATCCAATTTTTTTAGTTATTGTTCATCTGAGTAAAATTCTCACTTGGAGAAATATTATAGTTGGGAGCAATACTATATAACAATGGATTATTACCATTGATAAGTTGCTGCATCTGTATGTTAAAGAATGGATTAAATATTGATTGAGGATGTTGAATAAATGTTGGTGAAGACCAAATTGGGATAGTTTGAGTCGGAGATGTATAGTTTGTAGGATCATATGGTCTAGGTAAGCAGTAATAATTTGGTAACATATACAAAGGTATTCCGGGACTATAAACTGTATTTTGAGTAGCTACTTTTAAAGAATTACTTGGGCTATTTGTGCTCTGATCTGATGAATTATTTGTAGTACATACTGATGAAGTAAATGATTTAGTTATTGAAGACTCCAAATCTTGTGTATTTCGGTGGACAATATCTTGAGAATCTAAATTGTAAGGACTTATAGGCGATGATATAAATGTTGATGAAACTAAAGAGCCATAAGTAGCTGATAAATTTGATTTTGATCCAACAAGATTAGTGAAATCAACAACTTTATCTTGTTTTGGTATACTTTTAATCTTTTCTTGCTCATCCAGTTCCACTTTAAGCTTTGTTTTTTCTGGTGTATTATCAGTACATACCGATATCTGGTTTTGATAATCAACAGCTTTATTTTTCTTTATTTGAGTTGCAGATTCTCCAATATCGTCTCTCTGCCTTTTTTCTAAAGTTAGGTTATTTGTCCTTTGAGGAGAGTGCACAAACTCAGCCCTGCGGTCTTCTTCTGCTAGGCGTTGCTGCTCTTCTAATGCTTGACTGATCATATCTTGTAATTCAGACAATTCATAGTTTTTTGTGACTATCATATTGCTTACTACTTCACAATTCTTGCTATTTGCCTGCAAATCTCTAAAATATCTTCCTACTGAATCACGAAAATGCCTTATTCGTGTGTCCACGAAAGTTGTTACATGGTCCCTGTATACGAGTCTCATATGAGGTTGTTTAGGCCATATTTTATTAACTAAATACTCTCTAATACCATCTCTAGCTTCTTGATGTACATACCAAGTATCGTGCTTAAGCACAAGTAAAAATACAATCTTATTTACTAAAGATGTCAATAAATTAGATATCCTTTTCTTGAAAGATCTCTGGAGCATGTCTGAAGGAAATATATTATCCAAATCCATATTTGGAGGCTTGTACTTTCGGAACAACTCTATTTCCTCCTTCTCAATTTTACTGAATGGTATGAGTACAATGCTATCAGAATCAAACGTGTCTATCCATCTTCTATGCTTAGGTACGGGTTCAGGAAGGTATAGTTTTAGTTCCCTTTGATAAAGCGAACATTTAAAAGTGAAAAATTCACTAGCTCTTCGCATTTTATAAGCGACAAAAGCACACAATTCATCACGGGACTTGAAAAAGCTTCTTGGAGGAACAATTGGACTAGAGGTAGACATGTATAATTAATACTCCACGAATTGCTGTCCAATGTTAACTTGCAATTAAATTATTTGCTTAGCCTTATATAATTCCCTTATCGTTTTATAAATCGATAATACGATTTCATTTCATGTTGATACGTATATGCCTTAATGCATCCATTTTCAGTCGAGCGATGACTTCTAGGAAAATAGCATGGGGGGGCAGTTCTTGGTTACTAAGTGTATAAAGTAATCATATACCCGCTATCTTATTGGCGGTCAAAACACCGTATAACTTTTCATTGCTTCCATCACTTTAGACAATACTAATCCATATAAATGAAAATAAGACTTAATATATGAAACCATTATATTTAGGAAACAAGGGAAAAAAATTTCTTAAGTGCTATATATAGTCTATGTTTCTATTCACATATAAGGACTTAGTATTATAAATGAACATTGCAGATTCAAATGATACGAGAAAACAAAACTTAAAGATACAGACTTAGTATTCTTTTATTTCCTACTTTTTTTCTCAATGCTTGCTTGTCTTATCTTAATCATACCATCCTTTTCAACATCTATAAGTAACATTTCAAAATCCCTTTGTGGTGCAAAATTGTCATAGTCTATATTGTAAGAAGGTAATTCCGTCTGAAAAGGTTCGTCCGTCAGTGGGTCACACATATGAATTGATTCTAGTGGAGGTTTTAATCTATAATCTATGCCTTCCTTATTCCGAAGCTCATCAAGGTATCGAAGTATCTTGAAGGCAGTTTCAGTATCTGTTTCACCCAAATCAACAACACCACGCTGTACATAAGGAATTAATAATCTTGATAACTTTCTTACCCAGTCATCTCTATCTAGCTCACCACAGTTTAAAATACTTAAAAATTCATCTTTACATTGTTCACGTAATGTATCAGAAATATATAAAATGCTCATTATAATGCGGACTTTAATTGGAGTACTACAGTCTTGAAATCTTGGTACTACGTAGGTAACTAAATCTTTTGTTAACATAGAAGAAGCTTGGCAGCTACTCCATGACATACTCAAAGCTTGTAGATATTTTATATATGGTTCATAACTTTCTTCTTCTTCTACTTTATCCAGTTCCTCATATATACCACTGTCATTGTCTTCTCTAAATCTATCAACTGTAGAAGTGTTGTCATTAAATGTATTTCTAAGTTCTTCCTTGCTTATATTCTCATCCATTTATAGACTTCTTTTTCTTTTTTTGCAATACCTATCTAGGAGCCTTTTCATGATGCGTGATATCAACAGTGCTTATATAGAAACCGGTCTTATTACATCTAAGAAATTTCCACAAGTATCTATATTTCCGATCTGTATTATATGATTACTCATTATAAAACAATATAATCCAATATTTTGTTGTTAATATTGTATTTGTCAATTATAATTGTAATAAATACCCTAGTTAAATTTATCTCCCTGCAGCTCAGTAATTACTATCAAAAAAGTGGAACTACTACATTATCACATTGTTAATCTAGCTTTATTTCACAATTAATTTATCTTTAAGATAGTTTTTTCATTATTCTAATTCAGGTAACTTTAACTTTCAAGTGGGGTGATCAAACGGAAATAACTACCAGTCACTAGAATTTAAGTTATCTACTCACATCCTATCAGGTACTCCAATTACATTAATTAAGGAGATGTAAAGACTTTATCTATCCTATTGATATTTAAATAAAAATATTGATTGATTTGGTTATATATTTTCAGACATTTACGTAAGGGTGTTAGTTACTAATACTAATCTAAAAATATAGGCAAAGTTTCAGGGAATTGCTTCATTACTAATTATAAGTTATATAAAACTCAATCATTAGAATAATAGAACTAACAGGGTTCACTAATTGAATTATTCAATGTTTATAATGTAATGTTTTAACCGTACCTTGAAACGTTCTTACTTTACTATTAAACAATTTTAAACCTACAATGAATTTGTGTATTAACCAGAATATATTTATAATACTATGCATTTAAGGATCCAAGTTACAAGGTTAACCAGTAGTTTAATTATTTAAATACTTTTGATGTTATATCAATGATATTTAATTACTTCTAACAAATAGCCTTACAACTTTAAAAGTATAATATCTTATTTGATCCAAATAATAAGATTTATTTAAATCCTAAATTAATAACTTGATATATTGTACTTAACACTAATTATCTATATTTATTGGATTGAATTTCCGATAGCTAATAAAAGCTTTATTAATTGTAAATAGTACCAATAAGTTACTTCTAATGACTACATTTAGACATAAAAAAGTAGCTTCGATAGCTTTTTGTTATTATTTCAAATACTCTTGAGACTGATTGATTCATAAAGTAGACTATTTCCTAAACCATTCTATAGTTTGAAGTTTGGTATAGATGAAAATTAACAAAAAATTACTTGTTTTAATTTGCTTTTATTATATTGCGAAGTATAACTTATAATAGTAGTTTTAAGAGTTATGGACCCTAAATTTAAAATAAAATATTGAATTTTTTTGTGAAATGAAGGAAACACTAGTATAAAATAAATTCAATACATATATATATCATAAAAATTAGATTACTTATATTTTGTGATAAAATATCTTAAAAAACTCGATTTATTACATTTGCTAATAGCGAATAAAATTTCTGGTATAAGGATAACAAAAAAAAACCCAGATAATGGAAGAGATTACAGTGTCTCTATATATTCGAGCTAATAAATATACTTCCAAATAATTCCTTTTTTTATTGTATTATTGAAATATCTGAGGGGGGGGGGATGTATCCGTTATTTATATTTACTGGGATGATCTTCTTTATAACTATTATTCTAAATTAGTTTGCAATATCTACATAACCCTAACTTAGATTGAGTACATATTTCTAGATTATATACCAATAAGAATATAGTATTTATAGATTCATTATATATATAATTAACTAGTTCATATTATTCTGCTATTATTACTAACATTAATTTCGGTAACGAAGTATTCACAAAAAAAGTACTTTTAGCTTAAAAATATCAAGTGAAGTTGATATGTTCACGTTAAAATATATAATTTAGAACATTTGCTTATATTATCCTACATTTTTCCTGGTATTACCAATACCTTTTGGGTTCTCATCCTTCCAGTCGTCCCATTGTCGTTGTTTCATCTGCTCATTTTCTTCTTCTATAGAGTATTCTTGAGACAGTATATTTTTTTGAGCATTTTCCTTGTTCTTCTTGGCCTCAAAGCTTGCTTTTTCCAACTCTATAGCTTGTTTTATTTCAATATCAGCTGCATCATATATACTTATTGTAGGTAGCGTATGACTTGGTCCAAATACTTTTGATCTATATAGTTCCCTTAAATTAAAGAACTTGACATGTTTAGAACAGTTATCTGTACAATCTGTAGTAATATATTGAATATTTGGAGCAATATTGTAAGATGAAAGTTTAGGGAATTCGCCATAGGCATCGGGTATTTTTTGATCTCTAATATTATTTTCATTTGAGTTAGTTGTTCCATATCTCAAAATTTCAGTCTCATATTTTAACATACTTACATGTTCAACACTTTCTAAAAAAAATAAAATGAGGGTCTTAATGCTATTTGACCTTAATATTTCTTCATCTGAATTATCCAAGCCATGTTTTAAAAAGTTATAAACAGGCTTTTTCAGTTCACTAATTCTTTTAAATCTCTGTATTTTCATATATCTGGTATTCTTAGTCATTTCAAACTCCCCATGCTTGTCCCAATTATCTTCACAAGGTGAAAGTCCTATGAATTCATAATATTCCTTTGGTATTATTCCTTTGATATAATTCAAGCTCTCTATAAATGCATTGTACAAATTTTGAGCCTTTATAAGTTCTATTTGACGATTGGTATTATCACTTAACATTGTATAAGTAAATATTATTCTTTGACATTCAGCTAGAAGATATGGTAGAAGCAAATATTTTAGATCTCCGGTTGCAATATCATCTAGTTCTTCATTCATTGAAAAAATACTTAGCTTCTCAATGTATACTTGCAAAGCTCTAACATCATTTAGCAAGTTAGCAACTTCTGATATCACAATTTCTCGGTTATTGTCATATATTTCATTGTAATATCGTTCAAGACATGATTTAAATAGTTGAGAAAGCTGGCTCTCATTATCTATTTCCATTGTGTCTATAATTTAGACCTTTGTCTTCGACAATAAACTAACAATTTCAAGTCTTAAAATATACTATGTTTATCTAGTACTACTTTCAACTTATTACTAATTTCAGATTTTCATATAATTCGAGTAGGTACATCCTAATATTGAGCACTTTGTACTTTATAATTTTAGCGCCTTAAAAAATACAAGTCTAAATAGCACTAGAAAATATTAAATATAGTCAATTATAAAGTGCAAATTTTAACAAAAATAGCATTCCTGATTTGATTACACTTTTATTTTATATAGGTATATTATTATTATCACTTCTAAAGTATAAAAAGTAGCATTTTAAAGGCTTAACATAGCGCTAATTCTATAAATGCTTACCGCTTAATATTGTTATGTTATTTGCTTATTTCTCAAGTTACAAATACAATAGGCTCTTATATTAGATACATTATTAAGTTATTTTAACTCCGGCAAAATATTGGTATTTGGAAATATTTGGAATTTGTAGCATTATATTTTTGAAAAAGTAGTATTACTATAATCAGTATATAGCTAAGGATCAACTCAGTCTTTACTTAAGGTAAAATTACAGAAAGATGAGTGACCTAGGGAGCTTATCAGACCATGAAATATCTAACGCTCCTATATATTATGATGGGGGTGACTTGGATGTATACAAGTACTTAAAATATTTTCATAATCACTATCCACTATTTTCTAGCTCTGAGAATTTGAATCTAGATGAAAAAGGTAATTCTGAATTTGATACTGAATATAATCACTTTATGAGTGTGATTGCTGCATTTTTAATGTATGAGTGGGATTGTATGAAAAATGTAGCTAGAATAGAGAAGAATTGGTATAATTTAACTAAGGATGATCAAGAAGTATTGAGGAACTGCATACATGAGGATATTAACAAGTTACGTCATTCAATAGCATGCAATCAGCGTTTTTTGAAGTTAATGTTAGCTCCTGGCCTTTATAATGAGACGAATGCATGCTGCTGTGAAGCTGGAAAGACTCATATTTCACTCAATGACAATCAAATTATAAATTATAAGCAAGATCAAGAAAGTAACAGTGAAATGGATGCACCTCCTCCATATGGGGAAAGTATGATTGAGAAATTAGTCTTGGAGTATCATAGCAAAGAGAAGATAGAACAGAAAGATGCATTAATTGTATCTAGTGAACTAGTTCAGAGTGAATCTCTACTAAACAACGTTGCTTCATCCCTACCAGAAGCAATAACAGAGAATTATTCTTATTGTAATTCTCCAAAAAATGAGAGTATGCAAGATAAGAAACTTAATTTGTTGCATAGAGAAGAGAGAAATAATGTTGCTGATACAGATTCTACTTCAAAATGTAAAGTTTCAAAATGTGGAAATATAGTATCTACTACTTTGAATAATCTAAGTAAGGCAAAAGCCACATTGAGACAATTTGTCCGCGATTGGAGTGAAGAGGGTAAAATAGAAAGATCGCAATCTTATGATCCTTTACTAGAAGCTTTAACTAAACACTTACCTATTTTGAAAGATAAACCTTTACCAAGAGTTTTAATCCCTGGAGCGGGATTAGGCAGATTACTATTTGAAGTTGCAAAACTTGGATATGCATGTCAGGGAAATGAACTAAGCTATGCAATGTTATTGGCAAGTAATTTCGTATTGAATTATGTCTTTGAACCTAATTCAATTGTTCTGTATCCTTATGTTTTATCCTTATCAAATAGACCCAAGAAGTCAGATAATACTAGACCAGTTACTATACCTGATATATCTGTAAGCAATTATATAGAGTCAGGACATGACTTTAGTATGTGTGCTGGAGAATTTGTAGAAATATACTCAAAACAACATGAATGTTGGGATGCAGTCTTAACATGTTTCTTTCTGGATACAGCACGAAATATATTAGCATATATACGTACAATAATAACCTTATTGCCTAGAGGAGGGATTTGGGCTAATTTAGGTCCCCTGTTATATCACTATTCAGGAATGTTAGACATAACATCTATAGAACTATCTTGGGAAGAAATTAAACCATTTATACAGGAGTACTTCGATATTGTCACTGAAGAGTGGAGACATGCTACTTATACTTGGAATCCCAGTAGCATGTTTAAGATTGACTACAAGTGTATATACTTCGTGGCTATTCGAAATGATAAAGCTTTACAAGGAATATCTAATGACTTCAACTAAATCGCTGCAAGTACAGACAGTATAGAAGCATGTAAATATATAATGTATTTTTAGTCAATATACAAGGTAGAAGTTGTATAGTAAATCAATTATCACTAATAATTAGGATTTCTCTAAGTCTATTGTCTAGATATTCAACTCTCCATTATTTTAGGATTAATCTTTCTCAATATAGTTGACTTCATCTGCGGGGCTAGAAACCTGTTCCTGTTCAGAATCATCTGACCAATCATTGTCAATAATATCTTCATCGTCAGATGACTCTGAATGAATCTCTCCTTGTCTTAAAATATCTAAATAGTCTTCTATATTACTTGAGAAATCATCATCTCCATTATACTCTTGAATGTATTCATTATCCTCACTTTCTAATTCAGTACTAATTTCATTCAAATCCTGTTTATTAGTATTTAATGCAAACTTCTTATTAAATATTCCACCCGGTTGTCTGCCAATACTATCTAAAACATTCCTATGATTAAATGGTCCCCATACAGCCAAATAAGACTTCACTTCAATATATTTATATACTATTATACTTACTAATAAAGCTATTATAGTACCTAGCAAAAGTTGCTTAATACATATAGAATATCCTTGGTAAAAGGTACCTTCCAATTTCTTTTTTTGGAATTTTATAGTATCTACTTCCATGTATAATACTTATACTAAATTTAAAGATCCAATTTAATTACAGTAATTTTATTATATTTATATTAAAAAAAAAACCAGAAGCTATATCGTGCCACATATTTTAGCGCTAAATATTAGCCATCTATGTAAAGTTACAGTAGAAAGTTGGAGGTATTCCGTATTACTAAGAAAACTTCATATTAATGATGTTATTTATACAGTAAAGGTTCAGATCTAGCATTACTAGATAGTAGACCATCACAAGGGTTTTCAAAATCGGTGTGCTTTGATTTCCCATGTAATATATTAGTCATGCTAGGAGTAGTGTCTATGCTACATGTTGCTGAAGTACTTTGTGTGGATAATATGCAATTATAGTGGTTAATATCACAATTCATCAATGGAGGTAACCATAATGACTCAGATTTGGACTGACCTTCCATTAAACGTAAGTATGCATGATGAGTTTCAAGTACAATGGAATGGGCAAACTCTGCAGATTGAGGTTCACCACAATGGCCATACATATTCATCTTCGCAATATCTTTATTTTCTACAGCTTTATACAAACCAAACCATCGTCTAATTCTATCCACTGTACCTGGAAATAATGACTCAATATCGTCAATATTATTGAGGCGTGAGGCATGAGGGTCACAAACCCTAATACATATAATTTTCCAGTCCAGTTCATCGCCATCTATCAGAGCTAGGCATCCTAAAACTTTAACAGGGATAACTGTACCTCTAGGTAATGGTCCAAAACCTATTTCAACTGCATCTAATGGATCGTTATCTCCATGACAGAATCCCACTAGCTCCCCTCCACTCTTCTCTGGATCCTCCCAAGTTTGAGGAAAAGCCCCATAATTCCATGGAATAGGACCCGGATATGTCCTTAACCTCTCCAATTTACGATCTTGATATAATGGTGTATATGCTTCCTTTGTATTTATTTCAAATTTTTTGTTAGTCAATTTTGGTATTTCTACAATCATATTATATAATATAGGGCTTTCAGAGAACCACAGTGGTACGTCATGCCATGGTGAAATCTTATGGCCTTCTTCATTATTGAAGAATAGACGATATTCAATAGAATCTTTAGAACCATATTCTTCATGAGATATATAAACAGATCCTATAGTTTTAATTTCTTGTCGCACTGTAGGTTGGTCTAACTCTTGAGACAAAGCATGCCAAGCTTCTTCTACCTCCTTAATTACTGAAACTTCTATAGGAGGTGCTAGTGAACTCTGGGAACGAAGTATATATTGTTCTGAATATTCTTCATTATCACTTTGTAACTCCTCAGGTGTTATATCCGTATCTCGGCACTCACCTTCTTGTTCATTTGCTTGCATATTAAATCTCACTCCATTTATCATTCTCCTATATATATCCATCCTAACTGGATTTAAATTTGCCTGTTTAATACTCATGTATACATCTAAAATCTATTGACCAATTAATACAGTCCTTGGTCAAACCCTACAAAGTATGAGTGACCTCGGTACCCGAAATTTTTATACATGGTTTAAATATAGTGGGATTAAATTGCCTATATTGCGGTAGTCACTATTACTGTCTCATTGCGCCATAATGTATTTATTTCCGTCTCATTAGCGTAAGAGTATTTGGTATTAAAGCCAGATACTAACGTGTTTTTACCTTATATTTGTCTTAAATGATAAATACACTCGTTAGAGATCCATTCTTATCAAGTATAACTACACTAAATAGAAGATTATGGGTAGGCTATCCAAAGGATGTTAATAGTAAAGATATTTCAGATGATACTTCTTATATATTAGAAAGTGATGTGGATAGACTATACAAGATATATGCTAGCTCTAAAGTATTCCTTAGGAAATGTGGGAAATTCACCAAATTGGAGGTTTTCAAGATTTTTATGCAGGGATTCATGAATAATTATATTAAGTTATTCGTGTTACAGCTCCTCCTTATATTGGTGTCATGTTACTTTACTTACTATGCTAAGTCTTTCTTTTTACATACTTTGAGTTGTGACTCTAAGAGAGATCTTAAAGTAGGTTTACTTCTACTGTCTATTCAAATTGTACAGATATTTTTAAGCACTTTTACTGATTACTATCGTGAGGGTCTCCAAGTTCGTGTCAGAGGAGCAATAATATTACTTTGCATGAAGAATTTAATAAACTCACAGTACATTGATGTAGAAGGTGTATCTCTAGCTAAGATACAGAGTTTAATTTCAGTTGATGGCGAGTTTTCGGAATATTCACTTTCATATGGTGTTGATCTGATTTTGCTTCCTTTGAACGTAATGGTAACATTGATATTTGCAAAAGTTATATTTGGTGGAGTGCCATTACTTATATGTTCTACATGTCTATTATTATTTGGGTCATTTGCTATACTTAGTCAATATATAAGTAGTAGCTATAAAAGACCTTTTTTAGATTATAGAGAAGCTAGAGTTGCTGAGGAAGCAAGGCTACTATCTCATTCAAGTGATATAATGGGTACAAATCAATATTTAATGGCTATTAAGTATTTGATAAATGGAAATAGGAGATTGGAGATGTATTATAACGGATGTAGGAAATACTGGTTTGCTATTGGGGATGTTGCATGCAACTGGATGTCAATTATATGTGCTTTGGGATTTTGTATTTATGGGAAAGTTTATGAATTGAAGTCTGTTAAGGTAGCCACTACTATAGTAGAATGTGCATATTTTATTCCAACATATATAAAACCTTTAAGTTTAATCGCATATTTAGTCTACTACTTAACAGAAGCTAATAATTCCTTGAATAGAATATCAAATCTTTTTAATTGTATTTTGGAATATTCTGATCCTTTAGGAGATAAAATCACAGTGATTAACTCCAAACAATGCTCCAATCTCCATTTATCCTATATTTCTATTGAATATGGAGGGAATTCACCACCAGTAATACTTAGACCAGGAATGTTGACTCTTTTGGTTGGTGAGAGTAAATCTGGTAAATCTAGCTTTTTATTGAATTTGATAAGATCTAACAAATATTCCAAGTCAAAACTTAAAATGAAGTTTAAAGTTGTATTTAGAGATTTCAATTATTCGAAGAATAATAATTCTAAACGTCTAAGTAAAGGATATAACTTGAAGATTTTAGAAGATAATTCGGAGACAGATCATAATTTATGGACAAGTAGTTTAGAAGAATATTTCGAAATTTATTATGTTCCACAGTCTATATGGGTTCCAGATGGTTTATCCTTAAAAGATACAATATTATGTGGGAGACCTTATGATGAAGATTTATGGAATAAGACTATTGATGTTTGTTGCTTGCAACCAGATTTTGAGCAACTTGGTCTTACCAAAATTGAAAATCCATTAGAATATAAACTGAATTTAAAACAACTCAGTATGGGACAAAAAGCTCGTTTATCAATAGCTAGAGCTATTTATGATGTCTCTTTGAAATTAAATCCTATATTTTTATTTGATAATGTCTTGATATATTTAGATACTAAAGTTCGTAATAATATATTATTTAATCTATTTAATAGAGAAAGTGGAGTATTCAGATTTGGCTGTGGAATTATTGCAATTGAACCTCATATGATTGATTCTACTTTAGTTAGTTTGAAATCCAAAATATCCAGTTGTAATAAACTTTTAGTAAAAGAGGTAGTTCAACATTATAACAAACTAGAATTGGTTACAAGTAGGACTACAAATAAAAATGTTATATTATCCTATTTAAATTCACGTCAAGTACATTCATCAGATAATAGTTGCAATATGGAACTTTCTAAACATGAATTGGCATTTGTCAATATTTACAATATAGTAGACAATTGTATTATAGATGCAAATTACTTAGATATTCAGTCTATCCCTGATGAAAGCTCTACAAATGTGATTTCTTATGAAGACGAAATAGCTGACTCAGGTACATGTCTTGGTGTATCTGATATGGTTGTAAAGTGTTTAGATAAATCTACCTTAAGGTTTAATAGTAATTTACATAGTCCCAGTATATACTGGTACTATTTATTTAAAGCAGCTGCTACTATTTCATATAGCAACTCATTTAAAGGTACTCAATCTGATACAAAGAGAAATTTTTTATTTGTAAATTTATTCATAACTTTACTACTACTACCCGCAATTTTCTACAAGATTTCGGAATACTGTCTAGTTAATGTACTCGCAAATCCGAAGTCCAATTATTCGGAATATCTATTCAAAGTACATTTCTACATTTATTGTGGTTCAAATTTGTTTTTATTGGCCACATCGTGTATTAAAGCTTTTCTAGAGGTCTATTTGGGACAAAGTGCTGCTAGATATACTCATGACACCTTAATATCTGGTTATCTAGGGACAAATTCTAATTTGAGAACCCTTCCAAGCTCACTTATTTTCAATAGACTCTCTACTGATCAATTGATTATAGATTACTGCGCTACTAAACGTATTGGACAAGTTGTTCAACACTTAAACAAGGTAATAATTGCAAGTATAATGGCGGCCTTTGCAAGTTCTTATCCTGCAGTTGTTTTGGGAATTATCATATGTGTATCACTCATTATATATTTGAAATATGTTCGTTACTTTATTAACAGCTGTAAATCTTTGCGTTTTTGTTATCAAACTGAAATTTCATCTTTAATAAATACAGCTAGCACTATTACAGAGGGGATCTTATGTATTAGATGTCAAAGGTTTAATCACTTCTACACAAGTAAAACGACACAACAAATAAAGGCCATTTTGATTCCACTTTATGGGCAAGTAGCATTGGATATTTGGTTAAGATTGAGATTGGATCTATATTTATCAATACCTTTAAATATCTTCAACATATTATTATCCTCTTTTTTTGGAAGTCAAATACCTTTGACTTTGGGTTTAGCTCTCTCCACAGCTCTTTCAGTTCCTAAATATGTATCATCAATAGTTCAATATTGGAGTAAAATGGAAATTGAGCTTGTAGCTGTTTCAAGAGTTCGAGAATATCTTGAACAAATTGAGAGTGACAACTTTGAATATTTGGGAAAAAATGAAACTTCAGAATTTACTAGTAAATATACTCCTGAAATATCTGATCCAAATAATATTGTAGAATTCAAAGATGTTTATTGCTGTTATTATAAACTCATTTTAGCAGAATCAAGATTCTGGGATGAAGCTTTAGGAACCTTTACTGAATTTCAAATAATACCATGTATTAAGGGTCTAACCTCAAAACTATATACAGGAGATACCGTTGCTATTATTGGTAGAACTGGATCTGGGAAGACATCAATTTTGAGATTTATTGCTGGGATTTTGAAACCTTGTTGTGGAAAGGCAGTAATAAAGTATGGAGAACTTTCTTCTACCACTAATATTAAAGAAAAATTACTAAATTGGGGTTTGGATTTAAGGACTGTAGAACCTAGCGTATCTTGGAATATCTTCAAAAATTTGGAGAGAACTAGATACATCGCTTATTTACCTATCAAAGTATATTATCCTCAGAAGATGACGATTAAACGGATTCTAGATCCTAACAATATACACCAAGATGAAAATATCATTTCAGTCCTTAACATATGCAGACTTAAATTGAATATTAAATTTGAAAACATGAGGAGTTCTCAAATAGATTGCACTTACCCATTAATGAGTAGTGAGTCCATTCAAAATCAAATTTATATTCCTCTAGAGAATTGTAAATTCTCCGATAATCAACTGAGAATATTAACATTTGCAGGTTTTATTTTGAATCGTTTGGATATCAAAATCTTGTTGATTGACGAACCTCCAATAATTAGAGAGAAATCTAACATAATAGATACAGACTCATACTTATTACCTTCTTTGATTAGAGAATACTTTTCTCATTGTGTTGTCTTTATTGCTGCTCATGAAGGTTGTAGTTTGGTAGGAATGAAGTATATATGGTTGGTAAGTAACGGCAATATACGAATTATTTCTAATGAAAACTTATAAGTATATTGGCGGTGATTTGATTTTGCTTTAGTAATTAGATTTATAAATGTGATAAGGTAGTTAAATTTACTGAAATTTTCTTAAACATCTTCTCATTCTAGTCTAATTTCTACAATTTATTAGCTTTTTATTTTCTAGTTATATATTAACATATATATCAGGGGAGCTTGATATCTTGTGTAGTTTCACTTAAAGTGCCGAAATGAGTCATTTTTAGTTTTGTTTTCTTGCAAATATGATGATACATACTTCTTATCATATAGATACCCTCAAAAAAAAGCATGCAATCCATTATTTCTCGATATCCATATACCGGTATTATCGGCACTTTTCACGTCTCTTTTTAGCGCCAAATTGTGTATAATATTTGTAGAAGGCAAGACCAGGAATTCTCGTAGTGAAATTTTGTTAATTTCTGTTGCTGATATTTGTGATTTTGGTCAATATTAAAGTTTGCTATACCAGGGCATATTATGGGAAACTTGCTTAGCAAGTTGCTTTTGTTGGAAGTAGGGTCAGTAGCTAGCAATATACTGAAATCTGCATCAGCTGAAAAAGCTAGTCTGGGGAATACACGTGCTAAAAATCTACCAAATATATCTAATGAAGTTAATATTGAAGATGATTCTCGTATTCTGTCAAAAAGATTTGAATTATATGACCAGATTAATATGAATGATGGTAAATCATATATTTGGACGGCTGGAAGCGTATACAAGGCTTTAGTTGTAACTTTTGGCAGGATTTATGGTTTTTACTTATTATTATTGCTAATAAATGTTTTTATGGGTAGTTATGTAAAATATTATGGTAAAGAATTTTTCTCTGATTTTATAAAAAATGACTCTTTAATATTCTGTTTAAAGGATGCAATGAAAGGTTTTATTCTTTTAATTCTCCAAGTAACTAACGTGATTTTTACATCTCACTGTGAGTACTTTGGAGCATGGCTACATGTAAGATTACAGGGAGCTATAACAGGCTCTGCATTATCAAGGCTAGCAAACTGTAGGAGAATAAAAAACATTGATGGAAGTGCAGACATAAGTTCTTTTAATTCAACAATTGCTTTATCTCGTTACCAAAATTTGATAGTTGTAGATGCTGAATTTGCAGAGTACATGGTATCTAATAGTATTAACTTAATTGTCTATCCATTTCACATTCTAGCGTCTGCATACGTAGCTCATTCCGTATTTGGAGGGAAGCCTTTAGTACTATGCCTAATTGCATTGTTCACTTGCTTTGGTCTAAGTGTAGCTTCTCAATGTATTAGTTCAATATTCAAGAAACCATTTATGGAAGCACGTGAAGAGAGAGTTGCTGAAGTTGCTCGTTTGCTAGATCACTCAAAATATATTGCAGTAACTCACCAACTGTTTCCAGTTTTGATTAAGCTTTTGAAGGGGCCTAGGGCAAAGGAATTACTTTATAACTCCTACAGAAAATATATTTGTACATTCGGTGAGATATTTGATAGGCTAATGAGTTTGAGCTGTGCAATTGTTTTGGGATTTTATGTATGGTACAATGCTCTTCCCTCTAATGAGGCTTCTTTTCTAATAGTTCAATCTGTCTGGCTAATCCCTTCATTTTACCAACCTTTAAATATGGTAATTTATTTTGTATATTACATTATTGAGGGCTACAATGGACTGGAGAGAATTGCTAATTTTTTAAATTGTACTGCTAAAGATTACACAGAAGAGACAACACAATGCATACATGTTCATTCCAAAAACTCTATATATACGGAATTTCAAATTCCAGGTTCTGAATTTAGAATTTGTTCCGACTATCAGAAAGTTGAGAATGCTAATATAATAAGATTGATGATGGAATTTGTTTCATATAGTATATCTAAATTTGGTCATCCTAGTATTTGCAATATTTCACTTGAACTTAAACCATCACATCCAGTATTCATATTAGGACCTATTTGTAGTGGGAAATCTGCAATACTCCAAGGTCTGACGGGTTATTTATTCAGTGTTAAAAATAAAGGTCGTTCTGGAAAAGTGATGTTAGTCACAAGAGAAAAGGAAATCCAGGTAACTAACAACTTAAGTAATTATTTAAACATCGGTTATGTACCACAGCAACCATGGGTACCTAGTGGTTGTTCACTAGCTGAATGTATAATATGTGGTAAGGAATATAGAGCTGACTTATGGAATGCAGTTGTATATGAGTGCGATTTATGGGCAGATTTCCACTCTTGGGGAATAAGCGATTTTCAAGATGCACGCTCACGTATATTTACTGATAGACAGCTTAGTGCAGGTCAAAAAGTTCGATTATCCTTAGCTAGAGCTATTTACTGCAACTTATCCACATCAAGTAGACCTTCTATTGTATTATTTGACAGTGTATTTAGTGCTTTAGACCCAGTAGTTTGTAAACGTGTATTTGAAAGGTTATATGGTTATGGAGGTCTACTGTCATCTTCTATGAGCTTAATTGTAGTTGAACCTCCAGTCTTAGAAATTATGAAATCTGTGGCTTCTCAAAATAGGTTTGGCTACAGTGTATTGAAGTGTCAAAAGGGGAAAGTTACATCATATGAGTCATTCAAAACAAACTACACATTAAATGAGAATACAGATTTAGAAACTACTCAATCTAATAATAAACTAACGATTACTTCAGATGAAAATGCAGAAGCTAAAATTCAAAGCAATAACTTAGATATTTTAGTAAGTAAAAACAATGAATCTAATATATTAAAAAGTTCTGCGGACTCTACTAATAATTCTGGAATATACTTAAGAAATGATACTGAATTTGAGACTACCTTGAAACTTGATATGGAGAGGAAAATAACAACAGATATAAATGATGCTCTTGATGTAAGTTACTCTCGTATTGAATTGCCAGATGACAATTTTAGTACGAAATATTCAACAAATATGTTCTATTTACTCTTTGCTTGCTCCAAGAAGACAACTATCAGTTTTACTGATAATAATGGCAAATCAAAGGTGGAATGTCATGTATCACACATTGGAACTATTGTGTTTCTTCTACTTTTATTAATTCCACCCATTATTTGCAAAGCAGCTGAATACTTTTTGCTTTCAGTTCTCCATTCTGGTATAAATTTTGATACCTCAGAGTCAATTTATGAAATAATACATAAAAGCAACTCAAGATTTATTTTCTGGCTTCCTAACACACTAGGATGTAAAGTTTTACCATTTTGGTATTCTATATATAATATTGCATATATTGTAACTTCTATTTCAGTAGTAGTAGTTGGAATTTTAGAAATTTCTTTAGGACTTAGAGCTGCAAAATATATCCACAATTCACTTTTGCTTGGATATCTAGGAGCACCATCAACTTCAATGCTACGCTGGCTTCCTACATCTTTTATTCTGAATAGACTAAGTACAGATCAGCTCACAATTGATTATTGTATTACGCGGAGAATTAGATTTGTCGTAATATCTTTGAATACGATTGCAATCTCTTTAGTTCCATCTATTTATTCTTCCGACTATCCATTATTTATAGTATGTATGGTTATGTTTATTGGATGGTTTTGTTACATTGGGTATGCTAGATACTTTGTTAAAAGTTGTCAGTCACTAAGATCTTGTTATGTTTCTGAACTTTCGCCCTTAGTTGAAACAGTTCAAACTATTGGCAAGGGAGGGCTTTGCATTACTTCTCAGAATATTCAAAAGTATTTTATTCAGAGAAGTTGGGGACAACTACAGGCTGTACTAAGACCTCTATACCTACAAGCAGTTTTAGATGCCTGGTTCAGGATGAGAATGAAGCTTTTAATGTGTACTCCGATTATCATAGCCAACATATTTCTAACCTTATTTTTTAGAAGAAATTTGGATTCTAAAACAAGAACTTTACTAGCTATATCTATTGCTGCACCCCTAAGTACTATTCCAGAAATATCCTCCTTGGTGAACTTTTGGACTAAACTTGAAACCGAACTTGTTTCAGTTGAAAGATGTAGGGCATATATTGCAGCTGCTAGAAAAAGTACACTAGAAATGATTCAAAACAATCAAAATATCTTCAATATCAATACTCAAAGAAATACACCTTTATCTTGTACTTTGGATACTGAAATTACTTCAGTTTCAGATGTAGCCAGTGCAATGAGTATAGCGAAATCTACAATCATCTCATCAAATAGCCGTAACTTATCGACTTGTGTCATTCTTGACAAGGTCATTGCTAGACATTCAAGACTAGACTCTTGTGATGATTGTAATGTTGACAGACCAGGATTGTCTGGTTCTACTATTATTCACACTGTATGTCTCAATAAGATTTCTGCTGCAGTAAATCCTGGTGAAATTGTGGGAGTCGTAGGGAGGACTGGATGTGGTAAAACATCGCTCTTAGGTGTATTATCTCACATATTACCATTTTCAGGAATACTATATACTCCTCATAAGCCTTGTTCTACTATTTCTGATGCAATGAAGTCATATCTCAAAAATTCAGATTTGTGCTTGAAAGATATAGATTCCTTAGTATTAGAGCCTATATTGGAATTTCAGACAAGTTCCCAGTGTATTGCATTCCTCCCATTAGAAGTTTATGTTTCTCATGATGGGATTTTAAAAGATATTGTAGATCCATTTGATGAATTTGATAATGAAGACATATTTTCTGCTCTTAGTATATGTGGATTTGGACCATATATCTCCGATTTTATAGAACGAATATCAAATGCAGATTCTGAAGAGATCAGTCCCTTACTTAAATTTGATTATATTACTCATTTGTTGAATACCCCTCTATCCTACTTTAGATTTGGATCTCCTCAAATTAGAATGCTTTTATTTGTTCATTATTTTCTCAAGAAACAGGATATTAAAATGCTTCTTGTAGACGAACCTCCAGTTATTGAAGTTAAAGATTTGGATAATTCAAAAAGTACAAGCTGTATTTTATCTAGAATCATCACTCACTATTTCAAACACTGTGTAACATTTATTGTAGCTCATGATGCTAGAAGTCTAAAAGGTATCACGAGGATATGGGCTCTTAAGAATGGTGAATTGACTAATGATGATAATAACCAAGACTATCAAGTGAATCTCCAACTAGATCATATTGTACAAGCATTTTCAGACTATTGAATTTGCTAATTATATCATATCTACTTCAATATTATCAGTATGTTTATCATAACTTAGCAACTACATATATAAATGGGGAATCTAATTTGGAACATATCTCAAATAATTCTTTACGGATACCCTTAATAAATATCTCATGTAGCTACTCAGTACCAAATTTTAGATCCGATACCTAGTGCCGCAACATTTACCAAGGATACACTTCCGCTTTGAAAATTCTATCTCAACAAAGAAATCTGTTTTAAATGCAACTAGGTGGCTCGTTTAATATGGATATCCCAATTACATGTGCATATCATTTTAAATCCGACATAGAAATCGGATTATATTGTATGTTTTAGGATTTCCCAATAGTCACCTATTCCGCTAACTTTTAACCCGCCATATTATGTCTTTAGGACTTTTTTCATAAGTTTAAGGATTTCGATTTAAGATATTCTAAATATTGTAGGGACAATTTAAAAGGTTAGCTACTTCGAAATATCGACCCTCTTTGTTCATTTCTATCCTACTTTAAATCTTATCTATATATTTGCAGCTGTACCAAACAGACTGCTCTACAAACTTTCTTGCATAGCGCTGAATTCTATCTGCTAAATTTGACTATAAGCGGCTTTTACCGATTCGTCTCATCTGCAAAATTTTGTAATGTGAAATTACTGAATATACTTGACTAAAGGTTATTATAGCTACCAGCTATCTATAATCTCTTATATATACTTGTATAGATTTGGAGACTATCTAGGAGGCTAATTAACAATTTTAAATATATCTTATATAGTAATATCTGAATTATAGTGCTACTAATATTTGTTTTATTTAGATGTATTGGTTGGATAAATTATTATTATTGAATATTGGGGATACAGCGAAATATTTGTACTATAGGGCATATGACAATTCATCAAAAGAGGGGAATAAGAACAATTTGATGACTATTAAGGCCAAAGATATACCATTTTCAGAAACTCAATATTCTGTTGAAATAGACACAAAACGACTATATAAATATGTAGTCAACAGAGAACTCCTGTTGGGAAATCAACAATGGAGAACTAAAGATGTATATATTAGTATACTAATGGCATTTAAGGTTGAATATGCTATTTTAGTTATTTGGATGTTTTTTACATTAATTTTTGACTTCTTTGTTAAATACCATGGTACATACTACTTAAAATATATCCTAGGTAAGGTATATGGAGAAGAATGTGACTCATTGATACCTGGTATTCTACTATTTATGTTTAAACTCATCTCTTTACTATGCAACACTCATATATCTTATTACACATCAAGGTTGAGTAATAGAGTGATTGGTGCAATAAATGGACTGACTTTATCTCGTTTGTTTGATGGCACGAATGACACTAGTTCCAAATTCAATACTTCAGACTCTAAATTAAAAATATCTAAATATCAAAATATATTAACTGTTGATGCTGAATTTTCTGAGAATGCTATTTCATATTCTACTCGAATTCTGATATATCCTTTACAGATATTTTCGACTTTTGTAGTTGCAGCAGTAACTTTTGATTCTACACCACTTTCACTGTTGTTATTAGTACTTTCAAGTGCATTTCTACTATCTATACTTGCCTTGTACATTAGTACACTCTTTAAGCGTCCTTTTATAGCAGCTAGAGAGGAAAGAATAAAGGAAACAGTGAATTTACTTGAAGCTTCTAAGGGTTTAGTTGTAACTCAGGATCATCTTATGGCCTCCTTTCATGCGCTAATTCAAGAGTCTAGGAAAAAAGAGATGTATTATGGATCTCTAAGAAAATACTTTTTTACAATTGAAGAGGTATTTTCAAGATCTTTATCATTCTTATGTTACTTCACAATTGTATTGTATGTGTGGTATTCTAGAGTTGAACGTACAAAAAGTATTGAGATGATTATTCATGCAGCATGGCTAGTTCCAACATTTCATGGCCCACTACAGGAGACTTGTTACTTTCTATATTACATATCTGAAGGGATTAATTCTTTGAATAGATTAGGTCAATTTTTCAATGTGACTAGAAAGTATAATACTGTGTATATGGAAATTTCACAAAATTCAGAAAATAACAAATGTACTGAATATAAAGGTGAGGAATATGAACACATATTCAATATTACAAATTTGGAAGGATACCACGAGAATTTTAAACAATCTGAATTGTCAAATTTACCAATTAATGTAACTAGAGACTGCACTATAACTGTAAGCTTGGGTAAATTTTGGACAAGTAAGGGTCTACCAAGTAAATTTACTATAAATAGAGGTAAACCTGTGATTATAGGGTTTGGAAGTATTTCAAATAACTATATATTATCTAATTTATTATCTTGTTTAGTTACAGGAGAGTCCAATAATATCAAATTGACGGTATCATACAATGGCAAAATTATTCCTTTGAATTCATTAAGTGAAATTTGTACAAATATTGGATATGTCCCTTTGGATCCATGGGTAGCTGATGGAATGAGTATATCTGATATAATTTTATGTGGAAGAGAGTTTGATTCTGAGTTATGGCAGAATATCTTAAATATCTGTGAACTATCTTCAGATTTTGATGCATGGGGTATATCAAATTTTGAAGTTGCAAAGAGCAGTGTATATTCAAGTTCACAGTTGAGTTCTGGACAAAAAGTCCGTATATCTCTTGCAAGAGCACTGTATGGCTTCAAAATAGTAGATAAATCAAGAAAAGAGGATATAAAAGAAGGGCTAAGGGTTTATTCCAAAGATAAAGTGAGAATATCATGTGAAAAACGTTCAAAGAATTGCAAAAACTATAAGGGAAGTTTAGGAAATATAGCTTTAAGAAGTGCTCCTATTGTAATACTGGATTCTATTTTTAAAAATCTTGATCCTCCAGTTTGTAGTAATATATTATCGAAACTTTTTGATCTTGAGACAGGTATACTAAAGGATGCTATTTCAATTTCCGTCTTTGATTCGCAGTTGCTAAGTTTATTTCCAGATCATATTTTACCACCTCTTTTGATTATGTTAGATTCACAAGTTGCTGTTCAGGGTGAATTTGAGGAATTTACACCTATTTCACACTCTTCTATATCTACAATGGAATCTATTCGTAATGATTATCAGGATGATAGCGATAATTCAAGAGATATATGGGATGTTTCGACTAATGAAGATCCAACAAGGGATTTTGATAATTCTCCAAAGGATATAGCACATGGAACGAAGGGAAATTTGCATAGTGAAGATTCTGAAAGGCATCACAGAGATGAAGAAATACCAGTTATAGATTTGAAATGTGGAATGAAAATATCACCTATTGGAATTGTAGATAAATGTGCGGAGATATACCATGAAAATGGGCAGATAATAAAAAAAACAAAACATGAATTTATTGATAGTACCAATATTAATAAAACTCCAACTTTTTCAAATCCTAATATTAATCATAGTTCAAGTAATTTAAAGTTTGGAAATAAGGAGTTAACTCTTGATTCAACAGATAATTACGGTACAAGTTTTGGACCACTATACTATTATATTTTCTATGCAGCTAATAGTAGAAAACTTTCAAAGTATAATGATGGAAAGTTATTAACTATTAAAGAATCATCTTTTGAGATTATATCTTATTTTCTATTGTTATTATTACCACCTATAATAATTAAGTTTGGAGAAAAGATTTTGCTAAGTAATTTAAGCAATCAATCTAATACAACTGGGTTATTCCAAATAGAATTCTGGTACTTTTTTCATTGCACCCTTATTTTTCTGTCAGTTTTGTGTATTTTTATGAGTGGTTATCTTGAGGTGTTTGTAGGACTTAGAGCAGCTAGATATATTCACAACTCATTTTTATTTGGATATATAAACTCAAAGATGTCGAGCTCAATTAGATCTTTACCAATATCCTTCATATTAAATCGTCTGAATTTTGACCAATTAATAGTGGACTACTGCACTACTAAACGTATTGGACAACTTTTTACAGCTGTTAATAGAGTATCTGCAGGCTTATTTTTGTCTATTATAGCATCTAATTCACCTGTCTCCCATGCTCTATTCTTGATTATATTTGGAATCCTTATATATTATGTTGGATTGAGATACTTTACAACATCTTGTCGTTTAATACGTAATACTTACATTTCTGAGATGTCTCCTTTAATTGATACTGTGAGGAATATTTGTGATGGAAAAGAATGTATTGTTGCTCAAAACTTAAGCAACTTTTTTTTACAAAGTGGATTCTGTCAACTGCAGAGCATGCTGAAACCTTTATATATACAATCATCTCTTCAAATATGGCTTAAGCTTAGGCTCCAAGTTGGTATATTTTTACCAGTAAGTTTGTTAAATATTTTAGCACCTCATTGGCTTGGTTCTAAAACTAGTACACTTACAGCTCTTGTAGTTGCAACTACTTATAGTTCATTAAGTAGAATCGATGAAATTGTTAGATATTGGACTCGTTTAGAACGTGAACTAGTATCTATTGAAAGAATGAGAAAGTATATCACTATAATGAGGCAAGATAGTGCATTTGACAAAAATTTAGAAATCAGTATTGTCGATGAAGTTAGTCATATAAAATCTAAAGCATCTGATATACCTGAAGTTTCACTAGAGGTAGAGGCTCCACTTATGAAGTCGCCTGATACACGTTTAATTTTGAAATCTGTATACGCTTATCATTCAAGTCTAGATTCACAAGGGAGCTCTGAAAGAGTTGATAGATCAGAAATTGTTGGAATATACTTAAAAAGAATTTGTTGTTTAAATAATATATCTGCAGTTGTCAAATCTGGAGAGATTATTGGTATTATTGGGAGATCAGGATCTGGAAAAACCTCTTTACTAAACTTAATAGCAAACCTCCTTGAATATGATGGTACTATCAAGTACATTAATGAATTTAAAGAAAGGAAACTTTGCATTGATATTTATGAACACTATTTACATTGCAGAGATTGTATTGAGGAAATAGATCAAGTTATTTTAAATTCTGCTTCAGCTTTACAAAACAAGCTTAGACACATTGCAATGTTACCTTTAGAAATATTCTTTAGTGGAGATCGAACTATCAGAAACATCTTAGACCCTTTTGAGAGATTTCAAGATATTGACTTGATATCAGCTTTAAATATTTGTGGTATCTCAGGATTTTTAACTAAGAACCTTTATTCTAGTAACCAAAGTAGATCAGATACCAGGGTATTCTTGACATTGCCCAAAAAGGATGAGGAGACGGATCTATTACTTGATGGTCATAATCTATTGAATAGATGTTTATCTGAACCTCTAAAAAACTTCAAGATTCCAGATCCCATTAAAAGAATGCTTTTATTTGCTCATTTCTTCTTATTTAGAAATAATATATTTATCCTACTAATAGATGAGCCTCCAGTAATATATACAAGTGCTGTCAATGAGGGTATATGTACAAAGAAAACAAAAAATACTTCTTTAATACCTCAAATTATTCGGAAGTACTTTAGTCACACATCAACCTTTATTGTAGCCCATGATATACGAAATCTTGATGGAGTTCATAAGTTCTGGCATCTCAATAATGGTAACTTATATATTAGACAATACTAGGTCATTAAGTTGTAAAACCATTTAATTATATTAAAAGAAACCTTTCATTTTCAAATATATACATGCATGTACAATTAATGCAGTCATAATGAATTAAATAGATATATTACTAGTTAGTTTTATGTGTGTTCTAGTTTTCCTTACTAAACATAGTGGAACTGAAATTTGGAGAAGCCACTTTTAAGTTGATTCACTGAAGAAGACAATACGAGGATCTCTTCTACAGAAACCTTTAATAACCAGGGCTAAATTGTCTTTATCTAAGAGAACTCTTCCTTTACATGATGCCTTTATGTTCATTTGGGTCTCCATATCTTTAACTCCTCTTTTAGTAAAAGAATTAAACACTAGTCTTTTTAAGTCTAGTACTTGGTATTTTTCATTAATATAAATTTTTTTACCATTTCTCCATACTTTGCTGTAATTGCTATCAAAGTGCTTTAATATTTCATTATCTATGAATATATTACAATACATTGAGTTTTCTGATCTTAAACGAATAAGGAAGAGTGCTAATGGTAGTCCAATATACAATATGTACTTTTTTCGTTGCTCCCCATAGTAAAATTGTGTATATAGTCGGTTTAGTTTGCCTCTAAAGTGATGTAAGAGGAATTGACAAATTTTGTGAATTGGTACTCTCTGATCACTTGTGTCCATATTTCCAACTTTCTAAACTTTGGGTAATATACCTCAAGGGTATCAACAGGTATAGAGAGATATAAAATATCTTAATTTTTAGAAATATTCAAATATAGAGATAATAAAGTTCTACATACAGAAAGCTCTACACTTCGTCATATATATGGGGCAATTTAGTGGAACAAGATTTTGGCGCTAAAATAACGTGCATTAATTTAGCGGGTATTAATCATTCTTTAAAAGTGCACTTATAAGCTGATAAGTGCAAATATAATAGAACTAAATCACTTTAGAGACCATTTAAAATGTATAATTTTAAATGTACCCCAATAATACCAGCAATATGTATAGATCCAATAGGAGGACCTGGATCTCACAATGCATATGTGAGTTTTATATGCTTTATAATAGGTGCATGGTTTGCATATCGTTGTTCACAGCTCATTCAATGTTATGATATATTGAGACTTATTGAAGAGGGCGCAAAGACAATTCAGTTGAAAGCATTAGGCCCTTATTCACATGAATTAAAAAATCTCATGAGAGTGCATTTAGCACAAATAATACGTGACAAAAGATCAGTGTCTCCAATCCCACTAGAAAAAGTGTCAATAGGCACAGATATAGACATAAACTCTATAGATACAAAATTGATACCTCTATCTTCATCTTCTTCAAATCCTGATGAGTCCTATAATTTGGAAATTTCATTTTTACTAAACTCGGAATCTTCAAGCACTGTTCAGTTATTTTGGGGAGTTGACTTTTCTGCAGCTCAAAAACTTATGCTAAGTAGTTATGAAGTAAATAGTCACAAATCTAAAGTCTCAGAAAGAGTAATGAAACTATCTAGTGGCACTAATGAGGGCGATGAAGTATTTATTACCCAAGGTTCGGTATCTGTATCTGGGTCTAATCTCCACTTAAACTACTATTCAAATACCAATTTTGACTATACAGAGAATTATCACCATCCTAACATCGTTTCTAATATCTCAAATATCACTTCTAATATGAATGAACTAACCAATATTAACTCAAGTGACCATATTTCTTCTAATCCTCAATATCAGTTCAGTATATTATCACAACCACATTCAGCCAAAGCAATTAATTCAATAAACCCTATATTATACTCAGAATCTATGATATACCCTACATCACAGTTTAATAATCGTGAAGGCTTGCAGAGATCAAATAATTTAGGTTTTACAAGATGGTTATCATATGCATCTCGCTATGGTTGGCCATCACATTCTAATACGAATAATCATACAAATAGGTACATTCGTTGGAATGCTTCTGTATTAGGACGTAATATAATTTCATTTAATGGAATATATCATAGGATTCTAAATAGGATATCAAGAAATAGATCTAATTTGCATGATTCAACAAGGTCTCTATTAGAATTACCTATAGTAGTATCATCAAACAATACAAATATTCATGTTCCCTATAAAAATTCTAACACAAGTATAGATATAGCTTCAATAAGTGAAGATATTGATACCTTTATGGATCCTAGAAATTTTTTATCTGGATCTCCAGTTTCTAGATATAGCAGGGGACTCAGTCAAATTTATAAGTACCAGTTCAAACTGACATCTGAATATTTACAAATTTGCAAACTTCCAAATATAAAATTAACAGATGTTGTACAAGATAATGAGGATTATACTTTTAATTCTGATATAGAGTCAGCTGGAAGTTGGAAGATGCTTAATGAAACCAAGTTCCCCAGAATTCCGCTAGTTATTGTTGCACAAGGAAACAATCCTTGCTGTGAAAATACAAGCTTTTATCATATTGTTGCTTTACAATTTCAAATTGCACGAGAACCATATAAGAATCCAACTCTAATATATAAACCAGTAGTGATTAAACAAGTCTTTCTTACATCTAAAGGTATAATAGAGCCGTATGACGCTTATGGGCTTGAAGATGAAGAATTAGATTGTTTAATATGCATGGCAAATCCAAAAGATACAGTATTATTACCTTGTAGGCACTGTAGTACCTGTGAATCATGTTTAAGAGCTCTCAGGCAAGATAGGTGTCCCTTATGTAGAAGTGGATTTAGTGGATTCATAGTATTACCTATATTTTCTAAGAGAGATATTATAGAAGACTAGAACTATTAGATAGCACAAAATTCTTAATAGTTTATTAAGAAATAAATAAGCAAAAATTCAGTGCAATGAATTTTTATAGAACTTATTGAATTTAGATATTATGATTTAGTGTATAACTCCTATATTACGTTTTCTATCTTACTGGTTAAATTTGATTAAATATTGAGGTATTTTTTGAGTATATAGCACTCAAAAGTTGTATAATATTGAAATACAGTATGTATAATAAACAAAATTTGTTAGGATTTAGTAGTATATTAATAAACCTTTAATTTTCTCATACTTTATTTCTGTTACTAGGTGACGAACAGCTAGAATAAACTTTCTTGAAAAATCTATAATAACATTTCCAGCATTCATCAACTTGCATAGCTATTTCGAAGCTTACTATAGGATTTAACTAAAGATTCAAAGATATCTTATGGTTATTAAAATCTAATAAAGCTATTCATTACCTGAAATATATACTATTATGTTTAGTAATAGTAACAGGGTTATACATATCATACAAGATGTAGATATGCTATTTTTAATATTAAAAAGGTGAATCCTAAATAGTAAGCTCAATTACATTAAAAAATTATAAGGAATATTTCATTGTATTTCTTTATTTAGTCTGTTTATAGTTCCTCTTTTTTATAGTTTTCTCTTTCGTAGTCAAGGACGATTTTACAGGTACTGACTTATTCAAAGTTGTTTTTAAAGTCTTAGTTCCGGTTTTAGACTTAGACCTAACTTTAGTAGTGTCAATTAATTCTTGTTTCGATTTTCCATGTACTTCATTTGAATCTACAATTATTGATTTCGATGTTATTCTAGATTCTTGAGCCTTAGTCTTTAATTTATGCATTTTACTGTTATCTTCAGGTTTCTTGCTAGTAGCCTTACTTATCTTGTTGTCTCCAAGTGCTTTACTTCTTAGATCCAGTGTCAAAGATTTTTTACTATTAGACTTAGTACTCTTTACAGTACTACCTAAACTTGCAGCCACTTCAGTACTATCTCCTTTCTTCTTAGCTGAGTCTATTAATTTTTTTACTTTTTTACCTTTAGTTATGTCGTGAATAACAGTTTTTTTTCTATCATTTTGTCCTTTGTCTTGAGAACTTTTAGGTACTTTCACCTTTGTAGTAGATTTTCTTGTTGAGCCCTTAAACGTACTTGTTACTTTATTTGTTGATATTTTTAGACATTTAGTATTATTATCACTTCCCTTGTTACTAGGACTTCCGACAGATCTGGAAATTCTAGGAGCTTTAGCTATCTCTTTCGTATTCAAAGGTGTAGATTTTTTAGTTTTTGTAGTGTCTGTGCCTATATTCAAAATATTGTCCTCGTACAACGCATTTAAACGTCTTAATTTGTAATCATCTTCTAGCTTTTTAATATGATGCAAATTATATGCTCTATTTACGTACTTATTATCCCATGCAAGACCTATGGAATGTTGACTTCCTCCGGTTACTTTTAACATGTATTTATTTAAAAATAAGGCGGGATCCAATATTATTGGTTTGAGAATAACTTCCTGAGTCCCATCAATATCAGATACAATTTGTCCAGTCAGATTCATACCCCAAGCATAGACCAAACCAGTTTTATGAATAGCAAAGCAACAATCAGAACCGAAACCTAAAGATGAAATATTTTTTAAGTACTGTAATCTAGTAGGGATTGTTATATCCTTGTTGGAAATCCCAGGAAGTACCTTGGAATTTTTATTACCACAACAATCAGATATACCCCAAGTATAAACTTCTCCACAACAAGTTAAAGCTGCAGAATAGTATTGACCACTTCCAACTACCTTTATAGGACTAGAGCAAGGATGATATGAAGATTGTGGAAAAGAATAATCCTCATAATGTATACAGTCACTTCTAAAATTAATATAAACTTTCTTTGGTTTAACCACAATCATCTTATTTAAGCCTGCTTCGCCTAATCCAAGTTCACCATGTCCATTACGCCCACAAGCATACAAACTTACTTTAGATACATCTTTTTTTCTATTATTCTTCACAACAAAAAAAGTTGTAGCTCTTCCGCAAAATGCATTGACAATTTCATAATGTACAGGGAACTCTAATACCTTGTTCGTCAACTCTACAGGGTATAAATATTTATATTTATCTAATTTTGCGTGTTCATGATTATCTACTATTGGATTTATGCCAAATTGTCCAAATTCTGCACTTCCCCATCCATATAGTGTTCCACTTCTAGTAATAACAATTGTATGATTCTCACCTCCTGAAATATAAATTACAGGATCTTCTTCAGTATCTATATTAGAGCCCTTGTTATCAAGTCTTAACCTCTTTGTACTTCTAGATCCCTTTCTACATCTAAAGAAACATGGTAAAAGTGTAGGATTATATTCTTTTAATTTAAGTGATCCACTATCCACTCCTGAGTAATTTGGAAATCCAATATAACCACTACTATCTTTATAAGAGCCCCATAAATATACTCTACCATTATCAGTTAAACAAGCACTGTAACAATCCCCACATACCACAGATATTGCATTAACCTTGTTGGAAAGTGACACTAAGTATGGGTATTTGTCATTATCCTCATCTAATTCTAGATCCTCCATGTCATTATAATCATTATTATATATGTTCTCCTCTTCATCATTATCACTGTTCTCCTTACTTAGCTCCACTTGTCTTCTCTTAGAGACTCTTCCAAGTGCTCCATCATCATTACATCCCCATGATAACAGTAAACCTTCATTGGTTAAAGCTATACTGTGCAATGCTCCAACTGAAACATCAATCACTCTATGGTTCTTCAAACCACTTAAAACTTGTATTGGACTAGTAGTACATAATTCATCATTCAAATATTTCTCCTCTACTCCAAGTTGGTCACATTCACTAGATCCCCAAGACCATATAGAGGCACTTGGAATCTTGTACTTATTCTTATTTATTAGTGGAGTCTTAGATATCTTATTGGAGTAGATCTTTAATAAATCCTCCAATTTGGCATCATATGATTCATCATACTCAGTCAATGTACTATCATTCACCGGAACTACTTCAATATCATACTTTATATAGCCTTCCACAGAACTTGGAGAAGTCTGTAAGGGAGTAGATGGTAATTCCACATTAATCACAGGTATAAAACCTACTCCAGATACACTACTACTATTTTCAATATTATTAACTGTTCCAAAATCAGTCATAGATGTATTTCCAAAAGTAAATACTGTGGAATTTGTATTAGGTTGGCAAGAAAACAGAAATGTCGGATCTGTAGTTCTTAAGTCAGCTCCATTTGGTTTTTTATGCTCACAACAGATACACACCAAGGTATCATCATCATCATTTGTTACCAAACAAACTTCACATCTCCAGCCCATTACAATTAGTTCAGCAAATCTAACCAACTATCTATCTTGCTTCTTAAGATCATTCCAAGTTTCAGTATTTTAAGGGGGTACCCACAAGGAATTACCGCCTTATTAAGGTTAGACTCAAGTTCTTGCATATTGAAGTTGATTATATATAGAGAAAATACTTGGTAGTTACCCCATCTCTAAATATTTGTATTCTAGTAACTTCCATGGAATATTTTAAAAAGGTAGTTCTAGTGATTATCTCACACTAGATATTAGGATATTTTTATTTAAAACAGAAATGAATTTAATATAAGTTAAAGCATTAGAACTATGATTATAAGGTACTAATAAGTATTTTATATGAGTATCTAATTTATTTTTTACAGTATATATAGGAATATTTAGCACAAAATATTTAATTGTGGTAGCTAAGGTTCTAGCGCTCTAATGTTTTATTTTCTATATAGTACTAATAAACAGAAATAAAGTATAAAAATATTACATATAATAAAATACTTTATATCCAGGCTTGCAGCTATAGGTTTAATTTTAAGTAGTATAATATCAAGGGGGAAGTAGTTACGAAGTATTGGTATTATTTATGGAAACATAGTAGTTTTTAAAATTTTGGTAATTACACAAATGAGATTATGTCATCTGATATTCTAGAACAGCCAATAACTCGTACAATAAAACGGAAGTTATTGGTTTGCTTGGATAATTTGAGGAAGCAACCGTACTTTAAACCATTTAAAGACCCAATAGACCCTGTAAAGAACCAATGTCCTGACTATTTCGAAGTAATTAAGAAACCTATTGATCTACATACTATTGTTAGCAAACTAAATAAGGATACCTATAGGACTTTATTGGAATTTTATGAGGATGTAATGTTGATATTTAGTAATTGTAGATGCTATAATACTGCACCCTATTGTTCACCTCTACTAGAATACTGCTATTTAGCAGAAAGGAAATTCCGTGATGAGTGGTCAAAACTAGGATTTAGCAACTCAGGAGAGCTTTTAGATGTCAATGTAGATGATACAAGTACTCTAGATGAGTCATCTTCTATTGTTAGTTTTACTTCTAATAAGAGGATAAAGATAGCTAAAAATTCATATCGTCTAAATGGGGATGTGTTCTCTAATACAAATAGAAGGGAGGAAACCAACAACAAGCAAAGGGCTGCAAAGAGTGATACTCATACAGAAAATAGTGATATCTTAAAGCAAAGCACTAAGAAGCCTAGAAATAATCATACCAAGAATTGTACAGAAGATTGGAGAATAGAATGTATGAAAATACTTGATTTAATGAGAAAAGATAGTTCTAGTTTTCTTTTTGAGAATCCAGTTTTAGAAAGTACAGAATTAAATGACGAGACTAAATCTAAATATAGAGAAATAGTTACGGAGTGTATGGATTATAAAACTATTGAAGCCAGATTATTAAACAATGTTAAAAAGCGACAGAAAAAGCCTATAAGCAATAAAGAGACTATAAACTCACCTGAAGAATTTGAGAAATTGATGAGGCTTGTTTATATGAATTGTATGACGTTTAATCCTCCCACAGGGGAGTGCAAATGGATATATGATGCTGGTAAGAACTCAATGCAGAAGTTTTTATCTTTATGTAACAGATCTCCTTTATTCAATAAAAATATAAGTAATTGTAATGAGAAATTAAATAATTCTTATAAATTAGGATCTGAAGATATTACAATAAAGGAACCTCATAAACGTGGTGGAGCACTTAGAGTTGTTTCTGTAAGATCAAAGATAAGTTCTATCACAAAGAATAAAATTATCTCAAAATGGAATAAATTTTCGATGGAATGGCGTCAAAAAATTCTGACTCAAAATAAAGATAGAAAATCTTGCAAAGATGAAAATTTAAATGGTATTGATGATGTTACAACAGTAATAGAAAACTGTAAATCTGATATGGGCAAAATTAATTTCAGTATAAATAATTTAAAGTTAATGAATAATATTAAAAAGTGTAGCATAACTTGTGATATATTTCCTGAGGATTATATAGGTATATACGCAGATGATATAAATGCTAATATGTCAGCCAATATCAAATTTATTACTACAAAACCTAACGAACAATCTACAATTATATCTACTGGAAAGTGTTTGAGAAAAGGTAGTTGCTATTACACCTCTACAACTATTTATATACCTGTTCTTTATGTGGGAAACATTAAATCAGACTGGCAAAAGGCTATTATAATAGAGGACTTTTTATTAAATAGTAATTTGTCAGTGAATTGTAGGACCTGTATTTTTTATTCTATACATATAAATGATATTAACGATATATCATCTCAATGTATAAATCAAATAAATCTTGCTGCTATTTCACTTGATGAAGAAATTGATGGACATTTTATCGAATTAGATCTATTCATCAAATCTGATTCTGAAATATTTCCAGAATTATATATTGATTACTCAGACAAAATCAATTTTGATATACTAAATGTTCTTAAAAAGGTGAAAATTAATTTTATTATTGGAAATGATTCAAATATAAATTTTAAAATTAATTTAAGTTCTAAAAAACATGATTTTCTACCTTTAAAATATTTAATATCACTTTATGAGAAAATACTCCGTTTATAGATTAAAGTAATTAGGAAAAATTTAGCAAAGTATTGATTTATTCCCAATCCCAAAGAGTGTCTATATTAAAATAAATGGGAATATCAGTGCACCTAATTTATTTTCATTAGCTGATTATACAAGAATTCTTATTTAAGATTTGACTTGTGAATTTTCATTCGTCAAATTTATCTTTTCCATTCTTAATATTGTATTTACTACTAGATAAAGTCATTTTATTTAATATCCCCAATAGTATGAAATTCTCTAAGAAATATTAAATTTGCCATTATTAAATTTAAATATCTGTACTGACTTAACTTGTGTATAGTCGTAAATATTTATAATGTAAATATTAGAAAGTTATCTTGTATATACTCTTAAACTGAAAGATACTGATTATATTTGTACTAGGAAGTATATATCTTATAACTTTCAAAGAAATTTCATTATTTAGGGATTATATAATTAGGTTTTATTAGACAAAAAATATGTTTGATATTTCAAATTTATAAATTTATTGTTTACTAACTTAAAATTCACTAATACATTGCCATCTAAAATATATTGTTAAATATAAAGGCAAGTATTATAGTAAGTATCAAAGGACGTTTTAATTCCATGTTTCTTCAATGTATCTTCCTTTTGTAATAAATTTTCTTAAATGAACTAATGCTTCATCTAATGTGTCGAAGTCCCCATTTCTGACTAAACAGTCAGAAAGAGTGTTTCTAATCTCATTTGGCATTATTACTGCGTTCCCACAAACAATCACAATACCATCATTAATGCATTTACATAATAGCTTAACATCTGTCTTTAATATGAGAGATTGAAGATAACATCCACATTCTATGTAGCCTATATTAGGTAAATTGTGAAATATGGAATTCTCTATAGTAGGAGATGATCTGGAATATGCAATATTTATTACAATCCACCTATTTAAGTATGGGTTCCTGCACCATTCAAAGATATAATTTATAAATGGGAAATCTTCATCACTATATCTAAATCCTAAATATACAATACAAGGTGCAATTTCCATATCTTTACCCTTTAATTTATTAAATTGCAAGTTTATAAATATAAATAACACTCTTTGTTGGATGATTGATATAATCCCGGAAATACCAATTCCTGGAGCAATTAAAATTAAAGGAATCTTTAAGTCTATAAACATAGGTGATACTATCGGAAGAAGTTGATTTTCAATCCCAACAAGTAATTTCGTTTCATGGGGTATTAAATTATTTAAAAAACTAGAGCATAAGCCAGTAATCTCTCTGTTATGAGCTGTTTTCCATTCGATTATACCTATACACAGATCTATAAATTGAGTAGTTAGTGGTTTTAATGTTAGAGATGCCAGTAATCTTCCATAGGTATTGTAATTTATGCAAATTTGAGCAAGCTTATTCATTATCTTATAATAAATTGATATAGGTGATGATATAATAGTGTTAGTAGTATGCTTAGAATTTAGAACTTTACTTAAAAAAAATACTTTAAGTGTCTCAACATATGACAGATCTTTGTAAAGTATCTTTTTTTTTGGAATAAATACTGAGATATTTGAGGATCTAAGTGTAATCAAGCTACTTATGAGAGGATCATTTTCTATATGATATAATATATTTATATATTGCCATAAATCCTTTCTATACCATAAAGGTGTATTGCAAATAGAATAATATCTTGGATTAATGAGATGTAACAAAGAAACAAAATTATTTAATGGTAACTCTACAGAGTTGAAATCCCATAAGACTTCGACATAATTTCTATGTTCATCACGAATATAATCACTATAGTCTTTTTTTGAGTCCAATGTTCTTTGAACCATATCAAATAATCGGTCCTTGTGTAATTTATCTTTTGCAAAATTATAGCATTGCCATAAAAACCGTCTACCAGGAATTCCTACAATATCTAAATAACGAGAGAAAAGAGTAAATAAACTCATTTTGCAGTTCAACGGCAAATTTGATAATGAACTGTCAGAAAAGCACTTCATATATTTATTAGATATTATTTTACAATCTGGATCTCTACATGGACACAGAAAATATTCCGGATTTTCCCGAATTATAATTAGTGTTTTACAGGTTAAATTTTGTCCTAATAGCTCAACTAGTCGCTTAACAGTATTGGGAGGACTTGTAGGCCATATAACAGCATGAGATCCTGTTAGATACGTGAAATTATCCTCTTCATCAATTGTACTTAAAGTTATATTTTTTACTACTTTTTTTCTATTAGAAATGCAAAAATTGCTATTCTTGATGGTAGTACAAATAACAAGTTTCGAAATATTTTTGTAATAATTATTTAAGAATGTTTTTTGTTCGTTCAGGCACTTCTCTGTTTCTAAGTATTCTGATTCTCCAACAATTTCACACAAGTATCTTATTGGAAGGTCTATATTCGGTCTACACTTTTCTTGGTATAGAAACTTGGCCAAATTCTCTAACCATGGATCAAATTCACCTAGTAATCCAAAGTCATGTGATTCATCCCCTAATCCCCAGGGATTTAATTCACTTGCTCCCATTTGAATAAGTCTATGATGAAGTTTACGAGCAGTCAAATTAAATTTATTACCAAAGCATCGATCTCCAAGACCAAAAATTACAAATTGAAAAGTTTTAAATTTATTCCGACTTATATCACTGTATAATAGACGTTGCCAAAAAGATCTCATTGAATTTGGAACTTCACCTTGGCCTGTTGTTGAAACTACAAATATTGTTGGTGGAAATAGCTCATCACTTGAGTTATTCTCAAAATAACTATAGAAAATATCCTCAAATTTATCTATGGATGTTGGATAGGTTAAAACTCCTACTTTCCAGAGTTCCTCTCTTATCTCGTAACTTATCATTTCAGATTTACCCGTTTGACTAGCATACACCAACCATAGCCTTTTAGGGCACTTAGTTATTCCAAATCTATATCTCCCCGAATATTTTAATAATTCTTCATCAGTATTACTGAATGTTCCAGTTGAAAATTCAATATTTTTAGTAATAGATTTACTATTATTTGATGATTCACCAGTTTTTTGGTATTCCAATGGGGAATCAATATTCCCCATAGTATATTCAGAAATATCTCCATTTGAGTTAGGGTAATCAAACTTTCCATTTATGTACTCTTCAGTGGCAGTGTTATTATCTTGTTCAATTGATTTTTGGTAAACTTGCAATCCATTAGAAGCTTTAGTAGGTAATTCTAGAGTATTAATTGAATTATCATTGTAAAATTCCAAACTTGCTACAGTATTACGGACATCAATAGCTTTATTTTCTTTTTTATATCCAATTCTCTTGTCTATAGCCATAAATTTAGCTATAAAATATCCGTTAAAATTTTATTTTTTAAAAGCTTGGAGCAATATTTTGAAGTATTAGCGCTATAATTTTATCTTTAGTATCTTAATATTACTGGACAAGCTTTTGCCTCATAAATAATGACCTATAATAAAAGTGATGATACTGAAAGCAAATTAGTTGAGCTCGGAATCCAAGACAGCCAAGTATCTGATTTCAAAAACTATTCTACTCCACTAATTTTCGAGGCTTCTGGACTTTTTGGTCTTACTGATGAATCTCCCGAGTCAGATGACTCATGGGAATCAAATCCAGATAGCTCTTATTTTAGAAATGAGCTTGAAAATATTGAAGAATCAATCTTAATTGAGGATCCAATCTCTATATTGGAAGATGTTAGCCCGAAGCTAGAAAATGAAATTGAATCTCAAATATTCACTAGGAAATGCGATTTTATACTATGCCGTAATTATGCATTTAAATGCATGGAAAAATTAAATGATCTTCCAGCAATTAGAGTCCATGAACTATGGAGAAGGACTCCTTTGTCTATTAGAGAAACTATTTACGCTGCATTTTCAATTATTGTTATCCACCAAGTACAGTTATGGGTAGATATAGATGACAATTTTGGAAAGTACTTTCTTAACTGGGGTGAAAATTATTTAAGGCATATTTCTGAGTTTCTAGTTATACCAGATTGCAGCCTTGATAAAACAATAAGACTTTTCAACCTTCATTTATCCGATAAATCATTTAGAAATATTGCACATATTGAGCCATTAAGAGATGCTATAATGAAATATTGTATAGAAGAACTACAACCAAAGGTTCTCCAAATATATTATGAATCCATTAAAAAGAAGAAAATAAGGAAATCAACTAACAATGAGGTTTTGGTTGTCGATGACTTTCTTTTTGGTAAAAGTTATAGCGATGATGAAGATAATTCTTGCAACACTATTCAGCCTAATCCATCTACCCACCTAAATTGTACCAAAAACTCACATTATTGTTCTAAAAATACAATACAAAGTGATTTCCTGAACCTCTCGTTACCAAAAGACCTATGTAACAACCATCGTAGAAAAACATGGCACCAAGGTAGTATCAAAAACTTTCAAGAGGAAAATTTGGCCCCTTCACCAAACTTGATTTTGATCCTTGCATTAGTACGCCTTCACGCTATATATGGAATTTTAGATGCAAGAAGCTTAACTATTCTCTATAGAATTCAGTTAGTACTGTGTGATAATAAGAATATTCTCGAACTATCTCCTATTCTTCTAGATTGCATCCAAATTCTAACTTATACAAATACAAAAAAAAATCAGTTGCAAACTGATATATATATGACGGAGAGAAGTTATAATAAATCATGGAGACATTTAAAGGTTTTAGGAGCTACAATTGTTGGTGGGGCAGTATTAGCAACTGCAACTGCACTTGCCGCACCAGGAATTATTGCTGGGCTAGGTGCATTGGGATTAGGATACACTAGTATGTTTGGGAGTGCTGTAGCTGCAAGCACAGGTGCAGCTGCTCTAACTACTGTAGCTGGTGTAAGTGGTGCTAGCCTCTCAGGTTGGAAAATGAGTAGAAGAGAATCTCCACTCAAAATATTTCGCTTCCATCAAGTAGGGAGTAATAAAGAAAAATATGGTCTACTTCCAATTATTATAGGGATTAGTGGATGGCTAAGATCAAAAGAAGATATTACAAAGCCTTGGAAGATTGCATTTAATGGATTAGATTGGATGGAATCTTATGCTGTTGAGTTTGAACCTCAAATTTTGTCACAATTAGGGAAATCAATCGCATTGACAATGTCTCAAGATCTTGCAATATTTGCTGGCAAAGCAATCTTATTGCAGACTATTGTTGGTACATTAACTGCTGCTCTTTCATGGCCAATTACTCTTATGCAATATGCTGCCACACTTGATAATACGTGGGCTGTTAGCCGTCAAAAAACTGAAAAAGCTGCATTAGTACTAGCTGATATTTTAGGGGAAATCTCTTTAGTTGGTGAAAGGCCAATTAGACTTGTTGGATATAGTATGGGAGCAAGACTTATATTTTTAACTCTACAAATTTTGTATGATAGGAAGCATTTGCATAAGGTTTTTGATGTTATTCTTATTGGAATGCCAACTTCCTTAGATAAAAACAAATGGACCAAAGCACGTGCAGTTGTATCAAATAGATTAATTAATGTCTATACAAGATCTGACTGGGTTCTTGCTTTTTTTTATAGATATATGCAATGGGGTCTTCATGTAGCTGGCATAGCTCCTGTGGAGAATATTATAGGGGTTGAAAACTATGATGTTACTGGTATTATACATGGTCATGATCAATATCCGGATAGGATTCGTGATATTCTATATCTCGTTAACTTTTTATGATACTAGATAAATATAATATTGCTAACAAAATTTAATTATGTAAACCGGTTATTACTAAATGCATGCATGCATGCATCAATATTACAAAACTATATGGAGCTTTTTATTGACTATTGAACTTCTTATTTTAATTTTACGCTGTGTTTTTATAACTTTGTATATTTTTATCTAGCTAATTTATGAATTTTAAGTCTCCAAAACTACTTTATGCCTCACAAGGAGGGTATGAAACTTTCCCTATATCAAGTTACAGCTTTCCAAGTGACTTCACAGACCAGAAGTCCCACTTATATAAGGAGTTATCGAAAAGTATTGAATACAAATGTGATATAGAGCCTACTGAAAAAATATCTACAAATAAATATGTTTGGTCAAACAACAGTGCAACTGATGACGATGAAATTCTTATGGAGGAACTCTTGCTTGATCTATGGTTATTACTTTCTAAGTTGAAGGAGAAAATATTTGTCACTGATACAAGCGATGATAAACAATCAATAATAAATATAATTCAAGTATGCATATCAATTGGTGAACGTCTAGGAAATGAAATCGAAAAAAGCTGTATGTCTTCTGTATCTATATGCCCTTATATTAATAGGCACTTTCTTATATATAGCTGGTTTTCCTATTGGAAATATGACCAATTGAGAAATAAAATTTCATTAAGGGATACAATCATAGATAAACTACAAGGCTTTAAAATATTTATTGAAATTGAAAATAAATCAACCTCTAGAATTTGGCATAAATGCGACTTTTATTGTGCACGTCTTTTAAAATATTCTAATGATTTTCATGTTTTATCTAAATATGCTAATAAACTATTCAATATTGCACTCTCACTAGGCATATGGCCACCATCTAAACAGCTATATTTGACGAATATTAATAATAAGCTGATTTTGTATACTGAAAGTAATTCGTTACATTGTCGTGAAGAAGAATGTCAAACATTAGCAGAATACTCCTCTAGCTTAGAGGATTTATTATTACCAGAACTTCTATGTGCTACCAAAGAAGGAAATCGCATTTTTTCTGAGCAAGCTTTGGTGGAAGTCAATTGTAAAAATGAGAGTATTAATAGAGTTAGCTTGATTGATTTAACCCAACATGGGAATTTTAACAGATCATCAATTATTGTCGAAGATACTCAATACAAATCCTTAGCTGAGTGTAAAAATAAAATGGAATCTTTGAAGCATTCAATGATTCATATACATGAAATTCAAGTGGAACTTCAAAGCTTATTGTTGGAAAGCACTGGAGAAATTGATTGTATTGAAGAACAGACAGCTCTTGCTCAGATGAACTCTGCTCAAGGTGTTTGTTATGTTGCACAAGGATGTAAATATAAATCTAAATGGTGGCCATTTCATGGTTCAACTGCTGGTATTGTATGTGGAGGAGCTGCAGGAATTTTATTAGGCCCAATAGGCATGACAATTGGTGCAGCTGTTGGAGGTACTGTAGGACTTACTATTGGCTCATTACTACGCTCGAAACACGAATCTAAAATGGATGAAATCCTCAAGACTTGTGAGAAGAGAAAATCTAAAAGTCACACACAATTTAAAAGACAGTCTTCTAATATTAAGGATGAGAAATCTAAAGTAATACCTGGCGGGAGTCCCATGTACTTAGAAAAAGGTCACGCTCTTACTGATTCATACAATAAATATATACTTAAATCTTCTTTAAGTCACATCATTGATAACTGTGAAATTTTTCCATTAACTTAATTTTCATATTAATTAAGGCTTTTCTTCTATATCACTTTAAAGCTTATCTATACAGCTATGTAAAATGACATCAAAATGTTGTTTCTACTTATATGCATGCATTCATTTATACAATACAATTTCCTAGATGGTCAATATTAGTTAAATATAGTCAGATATATACTGACATTTTAATATTATTTTCTTATTAATATGGACTCTTATTTGTAGAAAGATACAGTAAAGCAGAAATGAATATTCAATATAATATTCGAGGAAATATCTAAAAAAAAAGTGGATATTTGACACAAGAATATAAAATATTCCTTGGGTATTCTTTTGTAAAGCTGTAATATATTTTATTCCATGATGTACTAGGTAAATCCCATTTATATGAAGACTCAGTGCAACTTTAAGTTAATAGTTATCACTCGATCACAACTAAGGATACATTTGCGGTTACAAGAGATTTGAGCAGAAAATGAAGATGCCATGCACTTTTCATTTATTAAACAAATCTTATTTTTTTATGAAGCTTTCATGAATTTACTCATTTTTATTTCAATATATGCTTTTCTTGGAAGTGGGAAATGTTATGATGTAATATTACAGTTTTACTCACACCCATTCTATACAGTAAATTCACATACTCTTGCTCCAAACTATTATCTTGATGACTACCATAGCCAACATTATGATAGCATTACTACAATACGGCATGAAGGAATAGATAGTCCTATTAATATACTACAACCAGAAGTTCATAAGCATGATATATATCATCATACCATTGATACTCCCAGCCACAATTTAATACTAAGTGATCACCCAAAAAGTGATTACTCTAAAAATACTGAAAGCGATCATCAATACAGAATCTTACACTTACCTACTAATGGGGTAAAGCAAGAAATGAAAAGTGGGGCTGAATTAATAAATTCTAGACATCAAATGGTAAATATTTTGGCAAACCATGAGAATAAGAAATCACATCCAATCAGTTTTATATTTGGGGGAGGAGGTCATAATACAATCCCTGTAACAACACCTCCACCCTTAATACCAACAGAAACCACTACTCATCATGAAATAACTCATACAGACAAGATAACAATAAATACAGATCACTCTATGCATTCAACACCTCACACTTTAATGCCCACATCTCCAACTACATTGTCTACTACTCCTTCAGTTATTCCAACTACACAACCAGCAATTATACCAACTGCTCATACAGCAATTATACCAACTACACAACCAGCAATTATACCAACTACACAACCAGCAATTATACCAACTACACAACCAGCAATTATACCAACTACACAACCAGCAATTATACCAACTACACAACCAGCAATTATACCAACTACACAACCAGCAATTATACCAACTACACAACCAGCAAT